GAGCACTGGATGCTTCTTCGGGACGAATGCCAAAGTTGTAAGCATAAGACCGCATCTTTGGAGGGCTATCCGAACCGAGAGCCACACCCAGAATGTACGGAAATGCCATGGCCGCTGATGCTCCAGAGTATCTAGACTTCTTCTCGTCGAATATGCCTGAGAACTCGCCCGCCACGATGGTTGGACTCCTCGTCGACGAGCCGTCACCTTCGCGGCGGCTTCTGTCCGTATGGTCCGTATGGGACCTGCTGCTCGGGCTGTGGTCTGTAGTGGCTCGAGTAGTCCGACAAATTTCATTTCCGAGATTAACGCGCTTAGCTGGAGGAATTGGTATGCTGCCGCCTGCAGCAGGGGCTGCAGCAGTGGTGGTATTGAGATCGTTGTACCTGCAGTTGTATCCGTAGGTGGTGCACATGCTACAAGGATACACGGTGTCGCATTTTCGCTTGCGCTGATGGCAAGGGATGCATGCTTTCATCGCACGCTTGCGCTTGGTTGTCGACATGACCAGGGTGACTTGAAGCTCACTACCGCGGGAAGAGAACCGTGATAGACTCGACCTTTTGATCGGTATTTCTGTTTGTTTGAGATATTAAGCTCAACGAGTCCACCAATACCCGTCCATTGCTTTCGTTTAACTCGAGGGCTTTTAAGATGAAGACGTGTCAGGCTTCCTTAGAATACATGCGGCCCCCACTCTGTTCTGCTTAGTCAAATAAACAGATTCTGGCAAAGTAATGGCGAGACAGAAGTGTTGGTGAAGTATACAATCAGAACTTCCACGATTGACAGAAGCTCGGAACCATGAAAGCGGTGATGATATGCGAGATGTCTTAAGATATGTATGACGGAGTAAGGCAGCAACGGAGGGCGGGGATTTCAGTGCCTGAGGCATGTAACTAGGCCTTAACAGCTAACGTAATTCCAAAGCGAGCTGGCCACCTACCCGAGCTGGCCACCCCAAAACACATAGTAAATGCGATAAATTACAACTTCATATCTTAACAACAACGTGTAACTTAAGTCGGGAATTAAACTTATTAAGTATGAATAGTATTTAAAAATCCTTGTCAGAGTATGAAAGAACTAGGACAATTAAAGGACGAGTTATGTATATTTTTCGCTTAAATGTCTAAATTACATGGTATTTTATGGTAATGTAATAAAATATTAAACTGAGTAGCTCAATACCTAGACATATTATATCCGATGTAGAGAAAAGCCTGTATCCTAAAAACTAGAGAAAAGTAAAAATTGGTGGCTGAAATACAGAGGGACAGAGAATGGCATTTACTATGTGTTTTGGGGGTGGCTAGCTCGGGTGGGTGGCCAGCTCGCTTTGGAATTACGTTAACGTAATTCCCGCTCGAGTGAGCCACCTCAAAACACGAAGTAAATTCCATTTTCTGTTCCTCTATATTTCAACCACCAATTATCAATGTTGTCTGGTTTTAAGTATATGTACTCTTATATACGCAAGTTATAATATCTCTTGATACTAAGATATTCAGTTCAATATTCTATTGCATTACCGTAAAATATAGAGTAATTTAGACATTTAAGCAATGAATATATATACCTCCACCTTTAATTATCTTATTGCTTTCATACTCTATATACTAGTTACATATACTATTCAGACTAAATAGGTTTAATTTCCTATTTAAATTACCCGTGGTTGTTGAGATATGAAGTTGTAATTTATTACATTTACTATGTGTTTTGGGGTGGCCCACACGGCCGGGTGGCTCACTCGGGCGGGAATTACGTTAATTAAATAACTAGCAATTCTGGATGAATCTTCAGAGTATTTTTAAAAAGCACGAATAAGCCATGTAAGATAATCTTCACTACCATGCTAGAGCAGGAAAAAACTGAAACTTATAGTATCTGAGAGAAAGAGACATTTGTTTGGCTTGAGAATGCTGTAACATCAGGTTGTAAATGTGTAACGTAATTCCCGGCCGTCTCGAACACCCAGCCGTCCCGAACACCCCAGACACCATACTAATTACGATATTTCAGATTATGATATTTCAACCCACAAGGATCTATATAAGTTAATGGGATATTCAAGTATTAAATATGTCATATTACGTATATTTATCAGGTCAAAAACTATTTTCAGGTTCTGTAATATTAATATATAAATATGCATCACCTTGTCGGCGTGTATTTCAGTAATATATGTAAATAACAATGTAATCTATTTATTGATGAATCCATACTAGTTAATGTATTACCAGTAACTATCCTACCAAAAATCAAGCAATATTGTATTCTTGTTGTTGATATATAGCGACCTGAAATATCGCGTTTACTATGGTGTTTAGGGGTGTTCGGGACGGCTGGGTGTTCGAGACGGCCGGGAATTACGTTAAATGGATATTCATGACTAAGCGATATCGATAGTTAACGTAATCCACGGCTCAACGGGTCACACGGTCAGTGGGTCAACCCTCCAAAATCGCGTCTCTCTCTATACACCACACCAATTCAACTACCAACCATGCCACCAAAACGCTCAGGGTCCAGTCAAAAATTGGCTAACCAGGAGGGCAGGATTCAATTAGCCCTTAATGATATAAGAAAGGGCCGAATCGAATCTCTACGCGCTGCAGCGAGGCTATACGATGTTCCGTTCTCTACACTCCAGCGCCGCGCGACCGGCGTAATCCCACGCGCTGATTCATACCACCAACGCTATAAATTAAGCGAATTAGAAGAGGATTCGCTGGTGCAATGGGTTCTCTCCCTAGATTCGCGTGGTGCGGCCCCTAGGCCTTCTACTATTCGAGAGATGGCCAATATCCTACTCGCTGCGCGTGGCGAATCGCCCCCGCCTACAGTGGGCGTGAATTGGGTTTCAACCTTCGTGAAACGCCGCGAGGAGCTCCAATCGCGCTATTCGAGACGCTACGATTACCAGCGTGCCCAAAATGAAGATCCTCAGTCGATTCGAGCGTGGTTTGAGAGTGTAAAGTGTGTGATAGAGGAGAATGGTATCCTTGCAGAGGATATCTACAACTTTGATGAGACTGGCTTCGCGATGGGCTTGATATCAGCACAAAAGGTAGTTACTCGCTCTGAGTACTATAGTCGGCGATCAATCTTACAGCCTGGTAATCGTGAATGGGTGACTGCGATTGAATCAATCTGCACTGATGGTTATTCGCTACCGCCCTGTGTGATATTTGCTGGTAAAGTTTATATCGCTGGCTGGTTTGAGTCAAATCTACCTTATGATTGGCGAATCGAGGTCTCTAATAACGGCTGGACTACGGATGAGATAGGCCTTCGCTGGCTAGTGAAGCACTTTATTCCACATACAAATACACGCAAACGAGGTCGATATCGGCTATTAATACTTGATGGCCACGGTAGCCATCTTACACCTCAATTTGACCGAGTCTGTGCTGAGAATGATATTATACCTATCTGTATGCCAGCGCATTCCTCGCATCTCCTACAGCCACTTGATGTTGGGTATTTTGCTCCGCTTAAGCGTGCGTACGGTCGCTTTGTGAGCGATCTTGCCCGATGTGGCTATAACCATATTGATAAGCTTGACTTTCTGGCAGACTACCCTCACGCGCGAGCTGAGGCCTTCAAGCCGCAGACTATCCAGGCTAGCTTCGCTGCAGCTGGTATTACCCCGTTTGAGCCAGAGCGTGTACTATCAAAGCTAAATATCTCACTCTCTACACCAACACCGCCAGGAAGCCGGCCAAGCAGCAGATCTAGCCAATTTACACCACAAACGCCTAAGACAGTAATTCAGCTCCAGAGACAGGCTAAATTACTCAAGGGTCTATTAAAACAGCGGTCTAATAGCCCTCCGTCACCCTCTAAGATCGCTGTAGACCAGATTATAAAGGGTGCCTATCTCTCGATGCACAACGCTGCATTACTAGCGCAGGAGAACGCTGATTTACGCCGCGCAAATGAGAAGAAACGCCAGAAACGTACACGGTCGAATCGGCAGATAGTACACGAAGGAGGCCTAACTATCGCAGAGGGCCTACAGCTAGCTCAGCAGCCAGAGCAGCTAGTCAAAGATAGCCCAGTGGGATCGCATGAGGCAGGCGAATCGGCGAATCAGACAGATTCAGCCTGCAAGAGGGCTCCGCCAAGGTGTAGTGGGTGTTGGGAGATAGGCCATAAGATTAACCGATGTACTAAGCGCTAATTTGAGATGAATTGATATCGTTTTGGCTGAATTTTTTGATTCAAAATTGCTGGTTGCTGAGGGGTGACCCACTGACCGTGTGACCCGTTGAGCCGTGGATTACGTTAGTTACCCAGTCGTTTTTTGACTTTCACGTTCGCATCACTACAACTAACTTCGCCATGCCTCCGAGGAAACGAGGCAGGCCAAATCCAGTCGAAGAGCCCGAAAAGAGGTTGGTTGACGAAGATCAAAGCGCACATAATCATTCGCTCCAACATGTAGAGGACCAAAGAGCCTTTCGCTGTCCCTTCTGTGCCAAGGAATTTCGACGAAAGGAGCATTTGCAGCGACATGAGAGACTTCGTAAGACCGTCTATCTGCTTCTATTTTAAGCAGGACTGATTTTCTCTAGATACCAAAGAAAAGCCCTTCCAATGCACGGTATGCTCAGCTGGATTTGCACGAAGGTACAGACTTCTTTTTTTTCTCTTCCCCGGATGTCAATCACAAGAATTGGCAACTGACGCTACTATAAAGAGATCTACTCGCTCGTCATATCCGCCTAGTCCATGAAAAAGGTTCTCCATCCCAAGATGAGCCTGAAGCTGGCTATACAGATATAGCCACTGGACACAATCCATCCCTTTCTGGTTCTACCCTTGGGGTTCTGAATAGTGTTTCCCTATCCGGATTCAGAACGCCACACCAGGAAACGCCAAAAAATGTGACAGCTGGTCCATCTTCTGAATACACACCCATTGGAAATGATTTTCTATCGTTCTCGCCCTCATCTTCTATTCAATTTAGTGCACCTCAGAGGACGTCTGCCATGCTACCTTTTGTAGCTCCAGACACGGCACTGGACATGTCATCAGCTCAGCAGTGCAATGGCTTTGGTGACTTTGATTTATTTATTGACAGCATAAATGGGTCCCATGGTAACGGTCTATCGTCCTTTTATGTCGATCAGCCTATTTTACCATCACCCCCAGCTCCACTCTTCCCTAGCGTTGGATCGCGACATGAACCGCATGACCTCGGTTCCAGTCATTCTGGGTCAAATACAATATTGCCATCCGAACCTCGGCTCTTTGATGAATTTACATCCACACTACCCACATTCGGATCTTCTCACACTACAAAGGGTAAAAAAGAACCTTGGAAAATCACTCAGCAAGACTGGGTCTCTATCTCGACTGAAGCTCAGGAATTCGCTTCAGTCATTCCTCAAGGCTTCATTCTTCCTTCACGACACACCATGACTCGATACATTAATACCTACTTTGCTGGCTTTCACCGTCATCTTCCCTTCATACATTTCCCGACATTTTCGGCTGTGCGATGCCCTGTTGAATTGATTCTAGCCATGGCTACCATCGGTGCGATATCAGCATTTGATAAAAGCAATGCTACTATGCTATTCCGAGCGTCCCTTGCCATATCCCAAGAGCGGCTTCATCGTCGCAAAAGGCAACGCCACGGTGTGATATTTCATTCTAATACAACACTTCCCAAAGTGCAGCGAACAAGCACAACTGAAAATACCCCTGATACTAACACGAATATTCACCTCGAGGCAACTTCATCAAAGGCACAAACTTCTCGGTTTGGCCTGCTTCCACTTGCGCAGGCTTTGCTTATATTGATGGCAATGGCAACCTGGGGAAATTCAGAGGATATATTCGATGAGGCAATAGGGATACAGAGCATTCTGGTCAATTATATGAGGACCGAGAAGCTCCTGGAGCCGCAAATCCTCTCAGGAGACTCAGAATGGGCCATGTGGATTCAAGAAGAGGGCTTCAGAAGAACTGTCGCAATTATTTTCTGCTTCTTCATATTTCATACAATTGTTTACGACGTCCCGCCTCCTATTCTCAACTCAGAGCTCAATATAAACTTGGCTTCGCGCGAGAAGGACTGGGAAGCAAAAACCGAAAATGAGTGGCGACAAGCCCGCAGCAAACATGAGGCTGAACCACATTTTCAATCGACTTTCACATTGCTGTTTTCATCGCGAAAAGAAATCGTTCGAAATCACAGTTCTTCATTAGGTGGTTACACTTTGATTCTGGCGCTGATTCAGCACATCTACTTCTTGCGAACGGTAGCAAATCGTAGGCCAGAGGGTGAACAAGGGCTTTCTCCGGCAAATATGACTGAGGTAGAAGGAGCATTGAAGAATTGGCAAACCGGATGGAATCAAGATCCAGAATCCTTTCTCGGGCCAGGGAGCCCGTTGGGCCCTATCTCTTTCAACTCAACTGCCTTGCTGCGCATGGCCTATATTCGACTCAATGTGGACCTTGGTCCGTGGCGCGCTCTGAACACCCATATTCCCCATGAAATCGCGACTTCCATATATCGAAGTCCACCCCTAGTCACGAACCGCAGACTCACCCGTGCAGTGCTTTACTCGGCCCATGCACTTAGCATTCCAGTCAAAATTGGGGTGAATATTGTGGCTCACAATCAAGCCTTTTCATGGTCGCTTCAACACTCACTATGTGCCCTTGAGTGTGCTTTTATCATTAGCAAGTGGCTGATTGCCATAAAACCCCATGTCTCTGAGGGGACCATTGACGAAGAGGAAGCCAGACTATACGCCTACATCGTGGATATGGTCACGGAAGCAGAGGCCGGAGGTGAGATCGAACCATCTTCCACTACTGATCTTTGCACTCGAGTCGTCAGAATTTGGGCAAGAATGTTGAGTGGAACAGCTCATTGGAACGTGGTACCTATGATTGGGAAGATTTTGGAGGCCTATGCCGGCATTTTAGAATCGCCTTCCGCATACAATCAATAGCCAGGGCTTTGTAGTTCCCCATATGGCTGATATAGATTCGGAGACTCCTGATTTCCAGATTCTTGAATGGTTGTTCTATGATATAGTACTACTAGTATTATGGACCATCGAGAACGGTGATTATTTACTAATACCATCCACTCTTATTTCGCTCAAGAATTATATCTAAATTTCAGGTTTCAAATAGAATGCAGTCTTCTATTTTTTCGGTGAACAGATCTCCTTGCAGGTATTTCAAGCCAGAATCGCATACGACGGTGGCTACGATATTACCAGGTCCGAGTTCTTTCGCCAGTTGAATCGCAGCTACTACATTCAACCCCGTGGAAGTACCAGCCAAAACCCCCTCTTCCTTCGCCACGCGCTGTGAAATGACACGTCCCTCGCTCTCGTCCACTGCACGGGCATCGTCATACAGGCTCTTGTCCAGTAGGGGCGGAATGAATCCAATACCAATCCCTTCGACCGAATGCGGACCCTCGTAGCCCTTCGTTATCATCGGTGCAGAAGCAGGCTCTAGCACAGTCACACGACAGTCGGCATAATGTGATTTCAGAATCCTGCATACCCCCATACCCATTCCTGCGCCTTCTACATGCCTTCAGGAATTTGCTCCAAGAGCTCCCGATCCAATCCTTCATAGCCAATAAGGACATATGAATTACTGAATTGGTCTGCGTAATAGCAGCCATACATCAGAGCTACCTCTTTGGCCTTGAGACGCATAGCAGGTATTTACTCGGGGGTGATCTTTCCACCTGGGCTGGGGACTATACCCACGGTCGCTCCGTTTGCCGCCATGGTTTTCAGTTTCTCCTCAGCAAATGCATTTGAAGATACTACTGTAAAGTTCGTATCCCTTTATTGCACAAACAAAAGCAAGCGAAGACCCAGTACTGCCACCAGTGGCTTCAACAACCGTCATTCCAGGTTTCAGGTCTCCTCGTCGTTCCGCTTCTTCGATGACAGCCCTCGCCATGCGCTCTTTGTAAGAACCAGTGGGATTTAAACCTTCGAGTTTGAGAAAAACACGGACGCAATCCTCTGGGACGACATTTTGCAGCTCGATGCAGGGTGTGTTCCCGATTGCTTCCAGAGCAACACGAACCGGTCGGTTGGTCGACATGATATTACTCCGCTTCGGTTGGTCTGGCTGACAACTCGACCAAGTCCCGGAGTTTTTGGTTCAAGTCTTAGTTTAAGGAATGGTGATAAAGCAATTAATTCACTAAACGGGTCTTAATGGAATTTTATCATGGTTCTACTTGTAGGTTCTAAACTCCTGTCTTCTCCAAGAGGGTGATATTAGTCATTTCTCCAAAATGCCAAGAAGTCTGACATCCCGTTTTCACCTAGGCGTTTCTCCACGGAGATCTCTTAAGTGAGCTTGAAGACCCCATCGACTCTCAGACCTTCTGGATCTGTCTTTTCTTTTCTTCTCCTCTACATCACAAAAAACTCACTTCGCAACTCCGAACTGTCTCGAAATTTTCACAATGTCCTCGCCATCTCCTATCAGCGCTGCCCCGCATATACTGCAACTCCTTTCAGAACTCCACCAAATTTCATTAGATCAAGAAGCTGGTATTTCGAAAAAAGGAAAAGTATTTTCATCGGATGTTCTGGGCGACCTCCAAGATAAGGGGATGAATAGCAATCCAAAGGATGACTTTGACCGCCTCATGCTTGATAAATTCATCGCTTTGGATGAGGATAAATGCCAGTTCACCTATCAACTGATCAATGCCATGGGTGCGACGAATATTGTCGAGGCAGGTACTAGTTTCGGCGTCAGCACAATCTATCTAGCTCTCGCTGTCGGCAAAACCAAAGCCGCCACCGGTAAATCTGGAGTTGTGATCGCAACCGAGAAGGAAACAGAAAAGGCGGCAATTGCTCGAAAGTACTGGGCACAATGCGGTCCGGAAGTTGAGAAAGAGATTGATTTGAGAGAGGGCGATTTACTTGAAACTCTCAAATCCGATTTACCCGATATCGATCTTCTTCTTCTCGACAGTAAGTCTGATTCTCATTCTGTTCCCCCTGATTCGCCTTGAATTAATATAACTTTTAGTCTGGTCCGCATTATCGCTTCCTACGCTGAAGACTGTTTTGCCCCGTCTTCGACCGGGGGCAGTCATTCTTACGGATAACACTATATCGGGAGCCAAGGGGTATGCAGACTTACTTGCTTACTTGCGAGCACCAGGAAATGGGTTCCAAAACATGACCCTCCCATTTACCAATGGCTTTGAAATGAGCGTTTATCGGCCACAGTGATCATACATATACAAAAATGGGCTTCTGCATGGTTTGATTTTTTTAAATGCAAAACAAGTGACCATGACGTTCCAAGGTTTTCCAAGGATTATACTATCCATGCTGCCTTCAAGTTAGAATATGTGGTAGTATATTTCCAAGGTCACCTACCTATCCAGTACTCGTACGAATCTATGGAAGTAACATTAGTACCTTGGAATGTTGAATTTTAAGCTTTGGCCCAAGTACCCAATTCAGAATAAGTTCTATAAAGATATCCAGAAACAAATAAAGAGCATCATTCCCGCGCACCTTCTTTGGATGTTTCCACAGCCGTGCCAGGCTACAACACAGGTGGGTCTGTGGTGAGAAGTAGGTTGTCTTGGCATTTTGGAGAAAGGGAACGAGTTGTCCCTTGGTCTTCGCAGTAGCAATGTGGACAGACTATATCTGAAGCCCATCCTCTCCTAACTGTGAGCTTGAAGAGGCAATGCATTACCGTACTCGCTGGATATTCTTCCAATGTATGCGTTGGTCTGTGGGCCATTTTGCGAATAGACGAATTACCGGGCAGGGAAGCTGTGTTACTTAGGAGACTTAGATACATGTTCAGGTTTCCTAGTAAGGTGGGAAAGACTGATGATTTGTAAGGTTGGTGGTGGTCGCCGTGGTATGAATTGAAAAAGTGCCCGGGGCGAAATATCGTTCAAAAAGGTTGGCTTCATGAGGGAGTCATGTCGTTTGAAGGACCTGGGCGATCTCTTGAATAATGGTTGCATGGATGAAAGACGTATAGCTCCACTCTTCATAGATATGACGTACCTATGGGCGTATAACTCAGTTGGTAGAGTGTTCGCTTTGCATGCGAAAAGTCTGGCGTTCGAATCGCCATTCGTCCACTTTTTTTGCTTTTCTCGGCTGTGTTGTGCGTACTTTCGGATATGAGGTTTGCTCTTTCAAAAAAAGATGTGCTTTAAGCCGATATTGATTGTTTCCATTCCCTAAGCTCAAACTATATATCTCCCCCTGCTGCACTACTAAACTAACACTTTCCTGTCGATGCTAAACACCTCATTTCTCCGGTTCACGATTTCGCTATATGCGCCAGATCCTTGTCAGTCTGTTACGACCTACATCTACTAGTATGGTAATAGTAATTCATCCTGGTTCCTTAACAGTTTTAGAGCTCATGACATAACTACTACCATGGTACCATGCCATGCCAAGCTATATAAATACAAAAATGGCAGCGGGCTTATCGAGCTGAGTAATCACTTATCGTCCGAAAAAAGTCCCCCGCTTGGGAGCCACGAACTTGAATTAAGAATTTCACCAATTACTATTGAACGATTTTTGAAATTGAAACGAAGCGCAGCTTAAAGTTTCCAAGCTGCGCGTACATAGAGAGCGCTATGCCACACAGTGGCCGCAAGAAGCGCAATCCTGTCTCTGCCCAAAAGCGCCTCGAGGTCACCGATGACGACGGCTGGACTCATGTCACTAGCGGGAGCAATGTGCGACGCGTAGTGCGCACCACCAAGGCACGGAGCGACCGCGATACCGACAAGGTTGATGAGACTGAGCCGGTTCTCAGTCCAGCCGAGGCACCGGCTCGTCTGACCTTTGAGGAATTAGAGGCGCAGTATAGAGGCTATAAGGAGCGATGGGTTCAGTCGGAGACATGGCAGAAACTGAGGGTGCAATTGGACCAAAGGATACACGATCAAGAGACGGAAACGTTGTCGCAGGATTTGAATGTTGACGGGATTGTTTGCATCGGGCTTGGCAGTCCGAGTGGATTCCTGCGAGATGGTTGGGTTGACCGCCGGGCTGTTTCTATGTATCAGCTTGCTGCGTTGGAAACTATCAAGGATGTATTTACTAGTTCGTTCCTCCCCCCTTTGAAAAATCACTCGGATATTCAACTTCGCCTGTCGCCTCCCAGCTTACGTCTTTTATGCAAAGGTGCCAACCGCTCTTCATCCTTTCCAATTTACGCCCAAGATCCCGTCTTCAACGATCTCGACCGTGCACTTCTTGAATCACTTGGTATGACCGTGGTTAATACCCCTGTTGCCTTTGAGCGTGTCACATCCAAAACATTACTTTTTTGCCCTGGTGCGGAGCGCAAACATTTGGATATGCTGCTTCCTTCAAACCCGAAACTCGTTCTTGGGGGTCCATTAGAGAACACCGAGTCGTCGATAATCCAAGCATATGCCGAGAAGACGGACTCTAGGATTCTGGTGCCTTTTTCGGCACAAGAACATGCATTTTGGAAGATGCGCCTCTACCATTTGGCGCAAGTGGAGGCATAGTATTACTATGTTGGATAGTACTATTTGGTGCAAATATTCTGGGGTTCAATCTGCTACTACTACTATATAATAATGATTCAAGTGGGTATCTCTTACAAGTTCTCTCGGATGAAAGAAAATATGTATACCTGAGTACCATCTGAAGTACTTTTTGGACAAATATACTAATATAGGATGTGTAAACGGGCCCCGTGTGGCGGACCTGTGAACTCTTACTGGATCCAACTTGAACCAGTGAGTTATTATCACTTTCGATTTAGAGCCTTAATAAGACACTATTATGATTTTGCTGTTGATTTTTTTCCCTCAAGCAGTGATAATAGTATATTATTGGTGTTCTTAATTGTCATCAAGCATGAAATATGGAGTTATAACTGAGAAGCATCAAGCCTCCAAAAGTACAACGTGTTAAGTATTCCAAGGTTGAAGTTATTGGAATGTATTGGAGTTCAACATTCATGTATTCTCATTCACATGTTCCAAAGAACGCAGACTTCCCAACTCCCTTGTGACCTAGATTGGCCTGAGAGGAAGTGAGTTGATGTTTTTAATCGCTCCTATCACGGCCACTCTGGCCGAAGTTGCTAAATCCCGCAATATCGCCGGCCTTCTCCACAAGCTTTTCAACAGTGCTTCCAGTGTTGGACGAGCCATAGGAGTTATCGCCGCTGGAGGAGCCGTAAGAGTTGTCACGATTGGACGAAGAGTTATCGCGGTCAGACGAGCCATAAGAGTTGTCACGATTGGACGAAGAGTTATCGCGGTCAGACGAGCCATAAGAGGTGTCACGATCGGACGAGAAGTTGTCGCGGCCGGATGAACCATAAGAGTTGTCACGGTTGTTGCCGCTAGACGAGGAATCATCGCGGCCGGACGAGCCATAGGAATTATCACCGCCAGACGAGCCATAAGAGTTGTCATTGCCGGACGAGCCATAGGATTTGTTGCCGCTGGATGAGGAATTATCGCGGCCAGACGAGCCATAAGAGTCGTCTCGGTCAGACGAGCCATAGGAGTTGTCATTGCCGGACGAACCATAAGAGTTGTCATTACCGGACGAGCCATAGGATTTGTTGCCGCCGCCGGAGGAATTATCGCGGCCAGACGAACCATAGGAGTTGTCATTGCCGGACGAACCATAAGAGTTGTCATTGCCGGACGAGCCATAGGAGTTGTTGCCGCCGGATGAGGAATTGTCGCGGCCAGACGAGCCATAAGAGTCGTCTCGGTCAGACGAGCCATAGGAGTTGCTATTGCCGGACGAGCCATAGGAATTATCACCGCCAGACGAGCCATAAGAGTTGTCATTGCCGGACGAGCCATAGGAGTTGTTGCCGCCGGATGAGGAATTGTCGCGGCCAGACGAGCCATAAGAGTTGTCCCGGTCAGACGATCCATAGGAATTGTCATTGCCGGACGAGCCATAGGAGTTGTCACGGCCAGAAGAGCCATCGCCCTGGTAGCCGTCAAGGCGCTAAAATTTTCTATTAGTGATGGCCTGGTCAGAGAATGGCAACAGGACGATGATAGATCATCCAATCGCCCATGCTGCTGTTTTGCAAAAAAAAAAAAAAAAAAAAAAAAACACGGGCGAAATCTGGATCTCAACTTACGTCGCTCCCATAGTTTGAAGATGACATGTTGCTAATCACTGAATTTCAGTCCGATAAAAAATCTCAAAAAAGTGAATTTCTTGTCCAGTTCTAATTCTTTTCAGTGTCCACGTCTGGGGGCTTTATAGGAGAAGATTGAGTAAACCTCGGAAGATGGTGTCATTTTAGCCGATGGTGTGGGGTGTTCGAATCTGATCTCGATTCGATATATCCTAGTGAAAAGAGGGGTATGGGAAGTTAAAGTTGTGATTAGCGATCATCCGTGCTCATCGTGAATTATTGCGAAGCTTTTTTGTTGGGGCTTGGTAGACTACAGGTTAGCGAACACCCAATTAAATTTGCCCAGATCCGAAAAAACTGGGACATGCTCCAGTCAGTCAATTCCCAACAGGAGATTAGGCTTCCATTTGGAAAGCGAAAAGCGAAAGCCTCGGCTGTTTTCAGCTGACCACTTCTTTGAAGCCAATCAGTGACCTATTTCTTCCTTTTTCCTTTGTACAGCCACAATATTACGCCACTATGCGGAGTACGGAGTACATACGGAGTACATAACTACGGAGTAGAGGTATAGACCCAATATTTGGGAAGCCACGTGGGTCTTTTGAGTCGACTTCAATGAACCCCTCTTTGCTTGGACCATAGCCACAATGAAGTACCAGAAGATCCTGGATTTCTCCACTTCAAGTCAGCTCGGATTCCAAAGGAATCGCACTATTCGCAAATCACCCTGAACATATTTCCTCCGACCAAAGTTCATGGGTCTGAAAAGAGTGCGGGAAGCGTGGCTGACTTTTGCTACCGTATCGCTCGCAACAAGTCGGGAACAACCAGGCCATCATTTGAAGAACGCAGATTTGAGTCCAAGACCACTTCCTCAATTCCGTCCTTTCCAGAAAAGTTTCAGCGAAGAGCCTGTAACCTCTGGGATCGGCAAGTGATTGTTGTCTAAATTCTATATTCTCGATATAGTAAAGTGCAGTTTCTATGAGTGTTGGCTCTGGAGGCGGCGATGGAGCGAAATGCAATGTCATGAAGGGCAACACTGGCCAGGCTACTGCTCTGTGAATTGCGACAGGTACTACTTCCCTTGAACAATTACAGGGAAGGAATATTCCTTTTGGTCTAGCTATAGATTGGAATAGTCGGGAAGAGACGAAGTGCCAACGAAGTATATGCCTAGGTGCATTGCATATTGGAATATCTCGACTTGAAAGCTTTTCAATTTTCAAATTGTCTATAATCGCCAGTCCCAAATTTCATACTAACCCAGTAGAATAGAAACCATCAAACCGGGGACTATAGAGCCCCGGATCGAAAATCTTGAATCAGACCCGCTGCTACATTGCAAGAGGACGAAGGTGGGCACTGGTCGGTCTCGGCAGGAAGAGGCTTTGGATCTGTTTTCCGACGCAATCCGTCGCGCCTTACGACTAACGCTGCACACCGGGGATGCTGTGTTGGGTATTTTATTGGTGCCTGTGGGGTGCCAAATGCGTTTGCTTTGTGAGAAAGAATGGCTGGTCCCCTATATCGATAAGTCTGGCAATCTTCGCTTGGTCGATGTCGGGTGGCCGGTTTTTCTGGCGTGCATCAGTTATGGTAATGCTGCTGCTAATACTTTTGACGCTACCGATTTTCTTAAAGAAATATTACAGTCACATCATTCCCAGGTTCAAAATAAAATTTACCTCTGCTGGAGGGAATATGAGTTGAGATGCTAGTATGTACTTGTAGAATCTATGTGAGTTCTGCGGGGGAATGAATGCTAGGCCCAGGAACACCTCCAAGAACACCGATGGTGAACACGCCCAACTAAGGCCAGCTACTAAAAGCTCAAACATGAACAGAGCTAGTCCCAGGGCAACCAAGCATCTGATTTGCAAATTGGTCCAGGAAGACTTCCCGTTCCCCGCTTAAGTTCGCTTCCTCGGGAGATCCCACGGAGAACCGACGATCGGTGGCCAGTCCAAGTTCATCACCATTCAACGACTCTATCACCTTCACCTTCACCTTCACCACCGCCATCACCATGCTTAAGACCCGCACTAGCGGTTTCTGTCGGGCAATCACCATCACACCGCACCACTGGCACTAAGCGCCCACGCCCGCCCACCTCCGCCTCTCCTCACTCACTGTCACCATCCTCAGTATAGTTTAGCGTCCCCCTCGGCGCTTCGAGCTGCTGGCGCCCCACCAATCACCGCGCTCATCAGGACTGAGGAGTGATGGCACTTGCAGCAGGGCCGTGATGATCCCACTCCACCCAACAAGGTCTGGGCCATTCACACACCATCACCTCCTGCAGCGTCAGTCACATCCAAGTCCTGCATCCTGACTCGTCCGCCTTGAACATGCCTGCACCCAACGAGAGGTACCCCTCAAAAAGAGGAATGGTCCTCCAAATTCCTCCAGTGGCTTGATTCTCTTTCTTAAATGATTTGATGCTTATCCTTTCTCTCCTCCCTCCTACCACCAGCAATCGAATGCGAGATCGACGTTGACCGTCGTCCCGTTCACAGAGGGAGCTTGACTTTCGAATAAAAAGGCCCGACAAGCAGTTCTTCGCCTGCTTTTCGGTGTGTAACCTGTCGTCCTTTCGCGCCTGTCGCCCAGACACACCTTTCCCGCACATTTCGCCATGGCTGTGCACTCCATATCACGATGGACCTCCATCTTCCTCCTGCTATGCATCGGCATCGCCCACGCCCATACCGTCATCACATACCCCGGCTACCGAGGCAACAACCTCCACACAAATGGCACCGTCGCCGAGGCGAACGGCCTAGGCGTTGCATGGGATGAGAAGAACGGCTCATACATCTACCCATATGGCATGATGTGGATGTATCCTTGTAAGGCGCACCGTCAACAATTGCCGGCGACTCAAATCGCTCGCAAGACTTTTGATCGGGATCCTAACCACAATTCATCCATCCAGGTGGCGGCATGCCTACATCGCAGAACCGAACGAAATGGCCCGTTAACGGCGGCGCCCTCGCGATGCAGCCGGGTTGGTTCCCCGGCCACCAGACTGCCCTGATCTACGTCAACTTTGGCTTGGGCGAGGTGCCTGAGAACATGAGCCACCCCGTCGTCCCACCTTTCCAGATCACCGGTCCAACAAATGACCCCTACCCTGGCACGATCTGCCTGCCACAAGTCCCACTGCCGGCCAATATCAGTGCACAAATCGGTGACAAGGCTACTATCCAAGTGGTGGAGATCGCAAAGCATGGTGCCGCACTGTATAATGTATGTTTTTGCTCTATTCCCCCCCGTAACCGGGATTTTATCCTGATCTAACGTGACTCCTTTCCTAGTGCGTCGATATCGAATTTGCCGACCCGCAAGACCCGGATATCAAGGATTCCGTGACTCGCGACAATTGTTTCAACTCTAGCGATATCAGCTTCCAATATATGTACACGACAAGTGGTACCGGGTCCGGGGCGGCTATAATTACGCCTCCGCAGCAGACCTTGCTTGCATTGGTACCACTGTTACTAGCGACGCTTTTGGGCTGCCTTGTGTAAATACGTTTTATATCACTTTTTCTTTTCTCATTTGCATCTTGCGTGCGTTGAAAATGCTTTTTTGTGCACCATACCCATTCTATTTGATTAATATGTCACCAAAATTATTGAATTGGATGAGCTCAGATCTCTTATACAATGCTGGATAGTAGATAGCCTCCAATCTTACACTTTGAGTCTACCCTAGGGTACCACTGTACATCACTTCCCGTTGACCTGCCACCTACGGCACCGCTCCTTCTCCTTCTTCATCTTCCTCTTCTCATCTCCAACCCTCACTCTTCATCCCCTTCCGAAGTATCCTGACATCTTTCTGATATCGTGAGCCTTCTTTACCCCATCTCTTAGCCCTCACAAATCACCTCCATTTCTCATTTCCGGCGCCATGAAGAAGGTTTGCTCCTCACTTGAACCTCCGTCTTTGCGACAAAAACTGCCCAATATTGCTATTTAGGTCCTCTCCAAGTCTCCAACTGAGAAAAATCCCCAGTCTTCCTCAAATATCACTGATTTGACGCCTCTTGTCTCATCGAAATCGACTCAGGACCGCCCCTCGACACCAGCACAGACTCAGGAACCCTCACAACAGCTTCCAGCTGAGGCAACAAAGATCCACAGCCAAGGCCCTAGTAATCAGCGTTGAAAGACTCGGTCGTGGGAAAGAAAGCAAATGAATGGTCTCGTTGCAGGAGTAAGTCCGACACTAAAAAAGACTACCGGTTCATCGCGAAATCCTACAGCCGATTCAACAAAGGACCATCACCAAGGCCTTAGCCATCCATCTCCAAATCCTCCTTTGGAAAAAGAAGGGCAACAGAAGAAACACTCTCCAGAAATGATTGAGGAAGATCGCTTGGCTTACCTCGAGGGATTGGAGATGCGAAAAAAGGACTGGTACCCAGACACTACAGTAAGAAAGGGCTCGGGGGCACGTATGTGGTATTATTCTTCTTAGATGGGATAGGGCGCAAGTAAGTAGGATTCCTTTCACTACTACTCTGAATTCACATACTAACGTTTCACAGCCCAGATCAATCATCGACTAGAGATCTAATTTATCGCTTTAGTTCAGCGGTTCCACTGAGCAAGCGACTCCAGCCTAGTGGTGCGGTATTACGCAGACTTTGTTGTCTGTGTGGGTTTTTGCGGGAAAGGGCCACAAGGAGTATGATAGATACTACTATTTTGCAAGAACATTAGTAGCAATTCAGCTACTTGATCAACAAAGCCATGAATAATAGAGAGCTAAGTCCTGCTGGGCGGTTTAAGTTGGACAAGAACAACGCTGTGTCCTTTCTTCTTCACCGTATACTGGAGCGAGACATACTAACTCTGCAGCTCGGACGACCCAGGGTTAATTGAGAGTCGTATCTCTAGTTTGGTGTTCTTCCCCGCCACCAAATTCCAAATAGATATGACGAACTGCAGACTCGTGCCGCTGCTGCGTATTCAAGCTTGCTTATATACTGGCCAGAACTGGTAAATTATCGTTGCGGGCATTGTCTCTGTGAATATCCACGAATGGTGCTGCTTCTGCCAGTGTCTTGGGGTATTTATGTATACTAGGGTAGTATTCCTAATTTAATCCTCGCACTAGATCAATGATAGCTCGCGCCACCTCAAGCGGACTTTCCTGGGGTATCCAATGGCCAACACCATCCAACAGTCGACACAGCCGGAAGTCCGAACACACCGCACCGCTAGTCATCTTATCCAACGCCCCGGGTTCTTGATAAATCCCCCAGTCCTGTTTTCCAGAGACAAAGGCACACGGTATCTCAATCTTCTTCCCCGCAAAAAGATCATAATCTCGCGTGTAGCGGCCGCCGGCAGCAGTGCGCACGCGGTACCAATTCAGTCCTCCCTGGAAACCGGTGCGAGCGTACTCGCCCACATAGACCGCTAGCTCATCATCCGGCAGCCAGGAGTGCGAGGATAGGCCCTTGGTGGGTTCGTCTGCCATGTCTCGCTCAATAGCCTCGGGCATCGTGGCATCTGCTGGCATGATGTAATACCCGGGCATTTGGACGACTTGATCGGCAGACCAACCGCTCAGTGGGTGGGGATTGTTGCCAGGCCAGGAGCCGCTTTTGAGATGAAAATAGCCTCGTAGGAAGCGATGGAGATCTTCTGGGGCGAGATCGGACATATCTGGGCTTGCTTGTGGTGTGGAGTAGTACCATTTATAATGCTTGCGTCCTTGCTGAGCGAGCGCTTCATGAATACCTGATGCCGCCGCCGAACCCTCAGCACCAGCACCAGCAGCCTGTCCAGCCATTTGACCATCGCTGCTAGAACTGTTAGCAGTATTAAAGGGTAGTTCAGGAGTTCCATTGAAAGGATGGCTCATGAGCACGACGCTTCGAAAGAAATCCGGCCTGACCACGGCGCATGTTGAGGCGGTGACAGCGCCGCAGTCGTGGCCCGCGACACAATGAACGGATCGATAACCCAAAGCATTGACCAACAGGACGATATCGCGCACGAGGGTGGTCAGTGAGAAGGTGGACAGATCGACATCCTCATACTGGCGGGTATCCCAACCTGTGGTCCGACCGAAGCCGCGCTGGTCGGGGGCGACGGCGTAGAAACCGGCAGCGGCCAATTTGGGCAGAACTCGGCGCCAGGAGTAGGCGATCTCTGGGAAGCCATGTAGGAGGATCACCAAGGGACGATCGCGATCGGGAGTGGCGCCGGCTTCGAGAATGTGAAAGGTCAGATCGGTGGTCGCGACTAGACGACTGGAGACACCCTGGGAGAGGGGCAGTGAGGAGGGATCAGACATTCTAGGGGGTGATCTGCGATTATTGCATGGGAATCATTTGAATTATAGGGAGGAGGGAGTAGGTCAGCTTGTGGTGGGAGAGGAGGAGTTTATAAAATAGTGAACGGGGAGGATCAGGCTGATGGTTGAGCCAGGAGTAGCTATGGAGGTTAGTAATTACAGATGGTAGCTAACTACTGAACTAGATAGTATGTACTTACTAGAAATAGTTAACTAGTGAACTAGTTAAGTATGTAACTACAAGAAAGAGAAAAGTTGGATAGACTTTCCTCGTGCCTGAGTAGTACCACTGCTAGTCCCACAAGTGCAGCCGTCCCCGTTTTGTTCAAGTCATGACGCAAGTTCCCTTCTTCCTTTTCCCTTCAACCTCCAAACCTTCTCGCGGCCTTCCACCACCAACCCTTCCTTCGCTAGTCTTGCTGGCTTATCTGCATTCGCTTTTCTTCTTCTTTGCTCGTCTTGCTCGCCCCTCCTCTCGTTCATTCGTCGCCCACGCGCTCTTTGGCCCCCTCCCCCCGAAGCTACATCACGCATATCTCCGAGCAACTTTTTCTGCACGTCTCGACCATCCTCACTTCCGAGTCTTCCGTCCCAATCTTCGGATCCTCCCCGGCGCTGCTTTGTGCAGTGTCCGGTTGGTTGTTTGATCCCCTAGTCGTCGCGAACCTCGCAGACCTATAGCGATCATGTTCAGCCGTCGCAAAAGGAGCTCCTCCCATCATCATCAGGTATGTCGTCAGAACTGAGAGAGAAAGAGAGAGAGGTCCGCTCAATCGAGGACTCCTTACGTTACTCAATGCCCACTTGCACGGTCGGTAATGAGTTAATTTATCGCAACCAATGCGCTAACCTACTATACGTGCCTACTATAGACACTCTCCACACCCGCAGCACATTCAGCGCAGTCTGCAGCGAGCCATGCCTTCCTGAAGTCACAACCGTCATCTAACAGCCTCTCCTCTGCGGCTGCTGCGGCCGCGCTACGGAATCTCACACCAACCCCGACGAATGTCGAAAATGTGCAGACCAAGCGCATGGTCCAGCGACGGGCTTCGACACAATCGCCGGCCAGCCCGATACATGGCCGTCGCTCGGCGAGTGTTGGTGGTGGAACCCTCCGCAGGTCTAATAGTTCCAGCTCGATGACCGCCAGAACATTTCGAGATTCATCGCCGAGTCGCCCCTCCACAAGCTCCGGCGCCTCTGTACCTCAGGCTCTGCCCGTCGATGTCCCTCCGTTGCCGTCGCTGCCTAGCCAGTATGCTCCGAGAAAGCTTCCTCCGCGCCGTGCCGCTAGCCTCGACCCATCCTTGCGGTCTCCACCAGCATCTCCACCACGAACAAACGCGAGAGTCTCGAGTGTAGATCGAGAGAGCGCGTCGGGGTCGCCCTCACATACCCGCCTTCATAGCTTGACAACGGTGCCTGAGCTGGATCGTCCGAGTAGCCGAAACTCGGTCAATTTCTCTTATCCAAGGGGCTCGCGACCGAATTCGCCCACTTTGCCGGAGAATCAACCTATAAGTCTTGGAGGGACTGCTGTCCGCGATGTCTCATCGGTGGAGGTGGCCAGCGCTCAGCAGGCCATTTCTAAGATGTCGGAGAAATCGATTAACACGAGGTCAAAGACACCGGCAGTGGGACGTGCCGAGGCAAGCCCTGCAAACAAGTCAGCTGGACTTGCAGCTGGTACTGCTATCGCTGCCGCTCAAGCAGTTAGCGCGCAGAAGAGCAGCCCTCAGCCAGAGCCGGATCATGCAAGGGCTACGCGGACAGACCCTGGACCTTCGGCAACTAGCCCGCAGAGGCCGAAGGTCGAGCATTCGCGACCAAAAGCGACACATAGCTCTGAAATCGAGCATTCTTCCTCCCGAACAATACCGAATCAATGGTCCTCCGTTGTGCCCGGGCACGAGTCCCAAATCCAGGATGGTATTGACATCTCCCGCACTCGGGACGCCAGCAATCAAATGGCTAGTGCCTCTGTACCAATTGATCATCATGAACCCATTACCACCCCACAGAGGACACCTCAAGTAACACCACATGCATCGCCGAAAGCAGAAAAGCAAGCAACACCTCAGCAAGAGGCCCACCTCGAACAATCCAGCAGTCCTGGCCGATCGGCGCGATTCGCTAAGTGGCTCTCTGTGACGGCAACCGGCGAACAAGTTCACGAGCCTCCATCAAGGTCGCTTTCTCCCGGCAAATCGGCACTCAAGACCACACGTGGGAATTCTTTGTCTCCAGAGAGGGCCGCCGCTGGCCGAGTTGGCTTGGCCAACAGTGAACTGTCCGATGGTGGCACCTCGATTGCATCTGATGACGGACACCGGGTCGGTGTCAAGAAGCGAGCCATCAAGGTGAGCTTCGATGATGAAGCTGAAGTTGTTGGCGTAGCAGCCAGTCCCCCAACATCACCAGAGGAGTATGTTCCCGACTCTCCGCCGTCCAAATCCAAGACTCGCAAGAATTGGTTCAACGTGGTGAAGAAGAAGTCCCCGGCAGCCGAATTCATCACCAACGACGATGACTTTGACGAGGTCATGAAACCTCGAGCCGCCCTTCCGTCATTTGGCAGTGTTCGCGGAAATCGAAATGGAGGCCCTGCCCGACCACCGATCCCAAATTTCAGTGACAATGAATCCACTAGTTCATCTGAGGATGAAGCCACCGCCCCCTGCAACTCCTTCTCAAATGACCATGCCCTTGCAGGGATCCTTCGCCATGAACAGCAAGAGCCCTCGCAACCTCACGATATCAAATCTGTCGAACAATTGTCCATTATTGGATCCGCCCCATCTCAACAAGATGCAGCTCCAGCCGATAGGTTAGATGGTGTGGCGATTGGTGGTCTTACCGAACAGCAACCACACCCCAGTACTGATTCCCAGCTACCACTGCCTTCGATCGCCGTAGAGCCTGCAACGCCTCCTGTTGACGAGCGCAAGAGTTTCGATGTCCAGCGATCATCTCGATCATCCCTTGAACAGTATCAAATCCCTGGTGGCTTCCCGCCATCCAACTCGGATCGGAGCCTTAAATCTGCGGCCGAAACCCAGACTACCAAAAACCAGCCCGTGGCAAGCGCAGTTCCGATTCTGGATGAAGCAAATAAAGACTATAGCGACAGCATCTATACTGAGAGTGACCATGACAGTATCTATAGTGATGCCCCCGAGGACCCTGAGGACGGTGATGGGTTTGGCTCAATCAATGCTATTGTCGACAGCCGATCAATTCCCAGATCAGCACCGTTGGAGCCGATCGCTGAGAGTCGTGATACTACACCAAGGCCTACGGAACGGACTGCAGTCGTCGAAAACGAGCCCCAAAATGCAATCGATCCATCCGAAATCGACCGCTTCGCAACCCCGTTAGAAGAGCTGGTCAGCCGCCAGTCAGATGAAGCATCCCCGCCTGAATCTCCAATGAATCTGCAAACACCTTACCCTCCTTTGTCGATCAACACCCAGGCCCGGCCATCAAATGGTTCCGTTCAGATGGAGAACAAGCAAAGAAGGCCTGTGTCGGTAGACGCCTATGGTGGTAGTCTGAACTCGCAAGGTCCTCGCTATTCTGGCCATACAAACGGTGCCGGAAATGGCAAACCTCGCCCGCTTTCTCTGGGCCCAGCTTTCCAGGTGCGAGGCCCAGGCCTTCGGCGTACAATGTCGAGTGGCAGTGATTCCTCTAGTAGCTTCAAGCGTGCCAACTCCTCTTCTCGAAGTGACGGCTCGCATGCGATGCGGCGGACTATGAGAGGCAGTGCTGCAAATGGTCAGCCGTCATCTCCCTCGGCCAGGACGGAGTCCCCAATTGATCACCGGCCGCTTTCATCTGGGTCCACCTCCGCGACTACTATGAAGAAGACGCTCCGCGGCCCAGGTGCTGGTGGTGAGAAGTATTCATTCTTCTCGACAAACAAAAAGGCACCACGAGCGCGATTTACTAAGCCAATTCCCAAAGGGATGCAAGGAACCCGATTCGCAGATTCGGACGATGAGCGTGGTCAAGATGAGCCTCAAGTCTTCCGCAGTCGTTTTGCAGATTCCAGCGATGAAGGAGAAGAACCCAACAATGCCATGCGACCCGTCCGTGGGATCCCACGCCGCAGAGGTACAAATGATGGCGATTCAACCGAGTTGGAGGACAGTTCGGAAGGAGAGCGTCACCAACACGCTCCTCAAGCGGGCACATCTCTACTCAGGCCCATCCCACCACGGTCTCGTGATCAAAATGTTGCTTCTCCGAACATGTCTGGTATGGCTGCCGTGGCGCGCCAGCGCGGCATGACGCAACGAGAACTAGAGGAATTCATCATGCAGCCCCCGCAGAGTCGCAAATCATCCATCCTCGCCCGACTCGGCCTGAAAAAGGGCAAGAACACAAACAACCGCATTAGCAAGGTGGATGCCGAAAGCCCGTCCCGAAGAGATACGCCCCTCGAGCGGTCGCGGCTGGAACGCGACCAGCTGCGAGAAGAGCCTTATACCAATGGAGTTCAGACGGGTAACCAGACAACCGTGACTGCAACGCACTCGGAGCCCCCGTCTTCGCCTAAGTTGATGAAGAGGCTCACTAAACGGAACACCATTGGAGGTGGTCAGCAATGGCCACTTCGTCCCGAAGCCCAGCCACAAACGTATACCCCCGAGCCGGTGGTCGAGCCAAGTCACAGTCTCCCATCATCGCCTTTGCGAACGCAAAAAACAGAGCCGGTGGTCGAACCAGCAGGACGCAACGGAAGCATTACTGTCAATGGCAGCAATGCGCCGGGGACAACCTCCATTCTTAAAGAGCCCGAAGCACCCGCAGTCACAGCTGGTCCAGATATGAACGACACTGCCTCCGATATCACGAGCACGACGAATCCCGAGGACCAGGGTGCTACAGTCCGGGACGTAGTGATTGCCGGGCCGGGACGAAAGAAGCGATTCCCGATGCTTCGCAAGGCGTTTGGGCTACGAAAGTGATGCCTCTGAGAGATTTGGTGCTACAGAGTTCCTACTCTTCTCTCTTTTCTCTTTTCACATCACGATGGACAGAAATCGGATTTGTTTCCTCTTTCCTCATTACAATGTTTAATGTCTTTCTTTCTCTTTTTCCATTATTTCCTCTTCACTGTCGATTTTTTTTGTTACTGGGGGAAGTAAAGATACCCGGCGTCGTGTCTTGAAGAGACAGACGTGGATTCCATTTCCAAGTGGATCTAATCTTAATGACTGATATACGCGGCCCCGATCGTGGGTTTGTCTCCCCGCCTGTTTCCACTTTCACTTTATCTTTTTTTTTCTTTTCTTTTTCTTTTCTCGTCCGGGGCAGAACCAATGGTTGTCCCCATTTTTGCCTTGATACTCTTTACCTGCCCCCTGGTTTTGGGGGGGAGGGGGGAGATCCAGGACTCTTTCTTTTTATGGTGATTGCGTGCGATATACACTTTGATACCCTCGTTTCTTTCTCACCGTGTATAATGATGTCTCTCGTTGGGTTGGGTTGGGTCGGATGGGGAAAGGTGGCGTGGGTTCGCCAGCCTCCCCTGCCCCCTCTCCCAGCCTTTTTTTTAGACGCTGTTTCATAGATGTACTTTTTTGCAGGCTGGGAAAAACAAATCGAATCAATTGGATGGGATGAATCCGAGCATGGTAAATTATTCAAGTTTTGCCACTGATAAAGTACGGAGTAATAGTGTAATTGTAATTGTATGTACATTGTACATTTATCTGTACACATTGCGATTCAACATTAGTGTGTATTCTGTATGTATTTACCTAGGCACCGCCATTGATCGACAGTGATGAAATGGATAGGACACAGAGCGACCAGCTCCACTTGTCCACAATCACAGTCACCGCACCCACCACCGGATTGCTCGGGTGGAGCACCCCCCCCCCAGCTCAGCTCAGCTCAGCTCAGCTCAGCTCCGTTGCCCAGCCCTCGGGATAAAAGTCTGGCGGGTCTAGACACCTGCAGGATGCCCGATTCACCGGGGGAGGTTGGGCGTGATGCATCCATTACCGCGCGATACGGGTGGAGATGAGACAGTGCGTTGTCGGGTCCACAGGCGGTTTGATGCAGGAGATGGAAGAGGGAAGAAGACTGAAGTGTGAATTGCGTCAATTGGGTGAGACGCGAACCAGAGAGAGGGTGTCCTAGTTGAGTTAGTACTTCGGTACTCCGTAAACAACTGAAAGCACAAGCTGTGCAAGCAAGTGTAAGTAGAAAAGCAAAGCCACGGGGAAACCAGGGAAATCGGCCGATCGGCGGGACCCGGCTATTTTAGGGGCTGCCCACAGGTGGTTGCCATGGCAGCCACCGCCCACATGTGACGGTGTGTACGGTAATGTATAGTGTATACCGTGTACCTGTATTTGGGTACTCTGTACGGGAGTAATTGTACATACAGTACTCCATACTGAAGAGAGAAGAGGAATCAGTGATGTTCCGGAGAAAAAGAATGAAGTCCAAATAGACTACATTCCAGAGGGCGACATGACACATTCCAGAGAGTATAACTCCATCTATATAGATACTCAAAGTGATTACGGAGTGAAGTAGGAACCTCGGAAGCCGATCCCACCGATCGGGCCAAGGGGGTAAACAAACCAAACCCGCGCAACCGCAACCGCAACCGCGAAACAATAAATAACCTTCTCTCGCACCTCCCCCTCCTGCTTCCTCCATCCTCCTCCACTACTCTACTCTTACCCTCTTCATCAACTCAATTCGTTTGTACTTTGTACTTCCCCCCCCCTTCATCCTTATCTTGAAAGATCTGATCTCCCCGATCACCTCCTTTCTCCCCACTTCTTTCCCCTCCGAGAAAGACTTCTCCCCGTCAAGTCTTTTCTTGTTTACCCTTTCGAGTTGTTTCACGACAGTTCGAGAGGAATTCAAGAAAAGACGATCCAAAGTCAGGCAATCTGGACTTTGACGCCCGCGTCCCCATCCCCTTCAGTGTCTTCCCGTCGTCGTACCGGAGTGACGCTGTCTCTGAAACTACTCAGACGAGAGTAGAGGGAGAAGTTCAACTTGATCGCACTTCAGGCGTCGAACGGGAAGATACTCGAATCTCCGCCACTCTCCAAGACCCCCCGTGTCAAAGGAAGAGAAGAAGTCGAGTTTCGTGTGAAGGAAGAAGCTCCCCGCAACCAATTCCCGCCTCAGTTCCAGCAGCAGAGCCAGCAGTTCTCGCAACAGCAGTTCCAGCCGCAGCAGAGCCAGCAGGACTTTCAGTACACTCAGGATTACTCCCAGTCTCAGGACATCCAGCACTCCCAGCAGCAGCTTGATCAGCGCTACACAGCCGAGGTTGATCTGACCCGTGAACGGTATGTTCTGCGCCGAGCCCATCTTTTGTTTACCCAGCCTTCCCGATTCAACCAGCTGTCGCTCTGTTTGTGCCCAAACACGAGCCACCGCTGGGAAGAAGTGGAGCCACTATCGTCTAGAGGCGCCGATTTTAGCCCCAGACTAAATTACGTGTCACGAAACGGGCTCCACTCCCCCCAATGAGCGGTGTCCCCCCGTTCTTGTTTTGTTTATATGTTTACACCAATCCACTCAACCCCCTCCCCGGACATCTTCGGCTAACTTTTTACTTCTTTTCCCCCTTATAGCTACCCCGACCACCGTCAGTCTTCTGTTCGTTTCGAGGAACGTCCCCAAGTCTACGATCAAGTCGTTGAGGATCAACTCGACGTTACTGAAAGAGAGTATCGCCGCCGTACCTCTCCCGCCTACGAAGCCGACGTCTCTTTCGACCGTCGCTACCAGCCCGTAGACTCTAAAGACTACGCGCCGACTTACCCCGTCGACGTCTCTTACGACCGAGGCTACCAGCCCCAGCCCGCTTCCGCTTACCCCAGCGAAACCATCGCCCGTCGCGAAGTCTTCGCTCCGGCTTCTTCTGTCCGTGTTTCTCAGACTTCTGTCCGTGACACCGCACCCGCATCTCGCAAGATGGGTTACTACGACGACGAGGGTCAGTACCACTCCTTCCGCCGTGGCGTGGAGCGTGCTGCCGACCGCGTTCTGCACCCCTTCCACCACCATGACCACCATCACCGTGAGGAAATCGTCGCTGACGAGCGTGGCCCAGCCCGCTTCTCCGAAGGTGTTCGCGAGGAGGTCCGCATTGTGGAGCCCCGTAACAAGGGCATCGCTGGCGAGACCGTCCCCATCCCCGTCCACTTCGTCCGCATTGGCGACATCCTGATCCTTCAGGGCCGCCCTTGCCAGGTCATCCGCATCTCCGTCTCCCCCCCAGACCGGCCAGCACCGTTACCTCGGTGTCGACCTGTTCACCCGCCAACTGCAGGAGGAGTCCAGCTTCGTCTCCAACCCCTCCCCCTCCGTTGTCGTCCAGACCATGCTCGGCCCTGTCTACAAGACCTACCGCATCCTGGACCTCCGTGACGACAACCGCCTCGTCGCCATGACCGAGACCGGTGACGTCAAGCAGGGTCTCCCCGTCATCACCCAGGGTGGTCTGTTCAAGCGTATCCGCGATGCCTTTGCTGACGGCCGTGGCTCCGTCCGTGCCCTCGTCATCAACGACGGTGGCCGTGAGCTCGTCGTCGACTTCAAGGTCATCCACGGCTCCCGTCTGTAAATGTATTTCCCCGGGTTATTTCCTCAGTCTAACCATATGATATATGTGATGTGATGTTGTCATGACTTCGCTCTGCTCTGCTCTGGCTAGACTGCGGTTTGTCGTGAATACGTGATGATAAACTTATTATTTCTTTTTGTGATTATTATTTTCCTTTGTCTGACGATTTCCTTTCCGCGACGGTTGCGAACTATTTTGCCTGGTGTGAAAATCTGATTGGGCTTTTATACTTAACCCCCTTTTTCCAATGTCTATGTCTCCCTGTAGTTCAATTCACGCTCGACTTCCTCTCGCCTGTTCGTGGGTGGGTTGAGGTCGGCTCATGTACCTAGCGATAATGCAAGAATCAGTTCTCTGAAGATGAGACTCAGATGTTTTCCTTCGTAGATTTTGCTATGTGACTAGTCACTTTGGGCTCGGGATGTGGTCGTGCTTGTGAGTTCAAGTTGGTGTTTTGTTTACTGTACTCCTTGGCGCCTGGATCTTCCAACTTGGTGGATGATAAGTTTTCCGAGGACAATTTCCGAGTATTTTTGGAAACTTCAAGTTGAAACAATGGTCATTGAATTGGCCAAGAGAACCTTGAACGCTCATCGTCATGCTGTATTACCTTGAATTGGTCATGCATGCACGTCTGACTTGGATGAGTTGGGCATTCAAACTGACCTGATACCGGACCGTGACCCTGTTGGAAGGGCTCGAAATATATTCTGGACCCTTCAAGTTACTAGTACCACCTGGGCAGTAGTAGTACTAGTACTACCGTGACTGCGACTGGCAGTGCTTGGACTAGTACGGTATTTAATTCAAGAATACCAGTACAACATGTGCATAAATACTATATGAATGCAAAAATATTTACAATACAGTGATGACGAGAATACGTTCAAGTTCAAGCAGCAACTCCCGTTTTCGAACCCCTGGCATGACACTGTATACACCACGAAAATATATTCGCAAATATCATAACTTCCACCAGCCATTGAAACAAGAAACTCGACAAACCAACCCTCTAATCCCTGCTATCGCACCTGATTTACTTAATCAATTCAAAACTCGAACTCGAACGTAAGAATACTCTGCCCAACTGCCAGTGTTCCACCCCCAGTGATCGGCGCCACGTGATCAGCCCTACGGGCAATTTGGATGCCTGGCAATAGTTCATCCTCTGTACTGCATGACCTGTCATTTTGCTCTGCTACTTCAAGTGTTCGACAGTGCAGATAAAAGGAGCGCCCACTTGCGGAGGAATCTAGAATCACCCTTGTGATAGATATCAACATGAGGACCTGATAACCGTTAAACTTCGACTCAACACCGCGACCCGAGTTCCAGATCCAGATCCAGTTTCAGACCCCCCTCCACATCGAGTCGAGAACCACCACCGAGAACATCGACCAGGGAAGAGAAGAGCAGAGCCGAGAAGCAAAGCTGCACCGGCAATCCTGCAGCCACTGCAAGCAGCATACATTAGGAGCCAGCCCAGGCCCACGCTTTAGCCAAGCCAGATACACACCTGGACATACCCTCCACCCTCCACGCCAGCAGGCCGGTCACGAAGTTGAAAGAATCGAGGTGCCCACCGAATAGACATTTTCCGATGCAATTCGGCAAAGCGATCGGGACGGCATGTGCGTCGTTTGCGATCACGAATATCGACGATGCATTCGTGCTGGTCACGTTTTTTGCTGAGGCAAGCACACGCAAGAATACCAGTATCACCCCGTTGAAGATTACCATCGGGCAGTATCTGGGGTTTACGGTGATTGTGGTTATAAGTATGATTGGGTTCGGCGTGTCGCTTGTTCTGCCTTCGGAGCCGATTGGGTTTCTGGGATTGTTGCCTATGCTTCTTGGTGTTTGGGCTTTGATTGGGCTGATATTTGGTGGGGATGATGATGATGATAACGAGGAGGATGGTGATGTTGTTGTTGTTGTTGTTGATGGGGAGGTTGAGGGTGAGGGGGGAAAGGGAGGAGGCCGTTGAAGGAGATGGAGGGAGGAGGAGGAATTTACGATCCAGATTGGGCTCGTTCAAGGGCATCTTCAAGGTCGGATCGATGACTGTTATCAACGGGGGTGATAATATCGGGACATACATACCGCTCTTTTCGCAGGCGAAGGGTACGGAGATCGCTGTCTACGTCGTTGTCTACTACATCCTCCTGGGTGTATGGTGTCTGGCTGCGTGGCTGGTTATGAAGCAGAGGCATATTTTGAAGCTTGCGCAGAAATATGCCGAGTATGTTGTGCCTTTCCTTTACATGGGTCTCGGGATTTATATTGTTGTGAAGTCTGATGCTTATCCATGGTCGATTGAGCGCATTAATGGGGATATTGCTTCTCATCCTGGAAAGCTTGTTATGGCGGTTTCTACGACCGGGCTGCTTTTGTTGTGTATCGGCGGGATGGGGCTTCTCCAGTGGTGGAAGTGGAAAAAAGAAAAGAAGAACACTTCCGACGAGACGGGGGCTGAGAGGCTGGACTCGCCATCCATTGATGATGGTCTTTCAAGGAGGACTGGAGTTGAAGCCCCCATTGACGATGAGACAAAGACTGCCGTTCGACCCCCCGCCTCCGAGAATGACTCTCATACTAGGAGGGCAGGTGATGTTACTTGATATTTCTTGGAAAATAGATTCCTTTAATAAAACTTCTTTCTAAACGTCCAAGATGTCCGTGTTTTCAGTTCATTGATTACATCGCTCGGCCCTCGGCCCTTGACTGGAACTCTTTGTTTATGGGGAATTATCCAACGACTGGGACAGTTCTGTCCCATCTGTCTTTGTGAACAGACATCCCATGGTATGCTTTAAAAATCGATACTCCCATGAGTCCAAAATGCCCTACTCTAAACGCCATCCGTGACCTGTTGCTGTTCCAAAATGCACCTGCAGAAGCGCAACACAAAGAAAAAGACTCAAAAAGAGTTCGAGATGAATCAGCTTCGGAATCAGAAGCCCCTCAGAAACGTCGAAGTGGAGAAAAAGACCCCAAGCAGAACCCTGTTGTGTCGGGAGCCCAGGGCAAATCCCTGCAGCTTCAGACTCGCGGTCCTCTCGCTCTGAAAGGCCAAGGACATGGGAGCGCCATGATCCTCCAATCACTAATTACAATGATGTTCCTGTGGGGTGGTCAATGGACGAGCTGGATATCCATCTAAAGTTAGTGCGAGTAGTTGATGTTTCAACTTGAGGTGTGCTAATGATGATTTCGTATTGCAGTGACATTGATGGCCAGAGTGAGAGATGTCATGTAAGAATTGAAGAGGGAATTATGCCTATTATATTTGAAAAACGACTCGAGATGTATGAGGGGCTAAAGAAGCGACAATAGTAAGAGATCCCTTGTAGCAACATCTGTTTGAAAGAGAAAAAGAAAGAAACATCATCTAATATTTTGATTTTCAGTGATATGCTTGCCTCGGAACCAGGACTATCTTGGGAAGTTGTTTTACGCCTTGAAAGTCTGAAATCTATCAAGGAAGAACTCATTGGGTCAGAAGACCCTACCGGGCAGCTTCCAAATGTGGATGCAATCATCGCAGCGTACCGGTCTGGGGAGTTGAACTGGCGGCCTGGATACGTGACATTTTGGTCAAAGGGAAAAAAGCTCGGCCCAGCAAAGAAGTTCGACGTTGACGACTCCCTGAAGGTCAACAGGAAGCATGATGGACATAGAGGGTTCTGGGTGGAAGGGGTATGTTCCGCTGTAATTCTCATTGAGTACTAGTTGATGATGTTAACTATCCTAACAGCGCGATGGACTTGAGCCGGCTCGCAGTAATATAGCTTGTGAATTACTCGCCATGTATCCTTATGCGTTTGAGCACGAGGTAAGGTTGTGGCATAATAACTTGCTGTATCGCTTTTCTGATTCCATCTCATTCTATTTAGATAACCCTTGATATTCGTATTCCAGGCTCAACAATAAGGCAACCCCTATATTTCCTTGACGATACTGGAGCCAGCCATACGCACATCTTTCAAGAAGATTTAGACCTCCTTCATATACAGGATCCTGGTCACCAGGCGCCAGGCCTCGGCTGGTCAGTATTGAATACAAGCAACGGCGATATGAGGGCACCCGGTGTTCTGTTGGAGGCTGCACTATTCACAGATCAAAACGTTCAATTAATACCGTGGACAAGAGTTAATGTCATGCTATACAAAGGAAACCAGAGTCATCCCCAGGATTACAGGCTTTCTGGAATTTGGTGGCGCCACATGATCGGCGTTGCATCATTTCCAGATAATACGGGACGCTTACACTTGGGCACTGAAAGGCGGGATTTTGATAATCTTCCCGATTTTGATAGAGACAGGGACGCTGTTGCACCTGAAATATCATATAATCCTCCTTCGGCTGCACCGCCTGCGCCGCCTCTTCCACCTCCACTATCTACTAGTACGCAGAGCTGGGCTTCAGGGGATTGGGCCCTTAATCCATCTACAACGCAGACTCGAGCTCCTGCAGCCACTGGCCCAGCGGAACGATCACATAGAAGAAGATTTAGAGACAGTGCTGCTAGAGGTCTTCGGAAACTCTTTAGGTAGTTTCTCTTTCGATGAAGATTGATGTCGTATTTCGGCTTTCGTTATTGAATTTGTGTATTCCGTTGGATATCGAGCGAAATGTAGTCAAAATTTTGATTATGTTCTTCTTCTCGATTTGAATGTTGTCTGCTACGCGATTATTAGTTGTTTAACGATACCACTAGTAGTATACAGGAAGGTTATTCGGCACTTACAATAGCATTCTTCTCAAATTCCCAAGAACTGGTAGATCACAAAACTTAGTGCTGCGGATTAAGATCCTCGGCTGGTTATAATAAATAACACAACCTCGAATCTGATACAGGACGTTACTAGGTGATATTAATCCCAAGCAACCAAATCTAAGTAAATGCTGTGATTTTACCTCCATGCCATTGCAAAAAACTTCCAGGTAGAATTCGGATAGAGGCTTCATTCCAGAATGACCCACTCATCTTGAGAGCGTAGATCTTGGTTACCCTGCGCTTGTGAGCCATTTGAAGAGACCTTCTTTGACCTCACTAGACTAAAACAATCAAAAAGAGGCTTGTATGTGATTAAACAAGCACAAATTAGATACACAGCTGGCTCAACTTCAGTCCATATGCTCCGGTGGACGGCAGACCATGTTACGTCGTAGCTTTGAGTAACAAAAAAGAATTTGAATCGTAGGATGGAAGTGATAAGACCACTAGAAATCTCAGATAATTAGCATCCATGCTGTTCTTTGGCGAATGATGATAGTATACTGACAGGCTACCCAGAGCAAATGTGAATGTCAACTGTATCTTGGTTATAAGCTTTGTGTGTAGGGACCATATCACCGGGACGGGAAGAAGAAGCATCACGACGTCGGTAATAATATTTGGTAGAGTAGACAAGGAAGATACAGACTGCATATTCAAGCATTTACTACCGGGGATATTTTGATCCCAGTTTGCAGCGAACGGTCGACATACAAAGGAAACGAGGAGAATCTTGACGACGATAACGATGGCGAGGACCCATATCATCGCAGTACTTATAAGTCGTAATACCGTAGGGGCAAATAATCGCCGATATAGTATAAGAATGGAAATCTTTGGAAGATTGGCGGTGATCACGTAGATATAAGCTTGCATCAACCGAAATTTGCGTTCCAAAACTATGAGGTTCGGATTCGTTGCGTTTAAATATGCTATATGGTAGCCGATGCCAGAATATTTCAGCTCAGCTTTGGTTACACCGTTTCGTATTAGCAGGGATCCAGTACGGTGGATATCTTTTGATCAAACTGTCATAGCATACCGATAATCACCCCTGCAAGAGCTAGTTGTCCCATTAATGAGACAACAACCACTAGATCGTCAAAGCCGAATTCCATTTGGCTCCTATATCGGACGAAAAGTCGAAGGCTCACGCAGATCACCTGAGCTGGGATTAAAAGTATCGTAAGCACAAGGAGCTTTTTTTCCTGAGTATTCTGCCATCCTGCCATGGCAAAGTGCCGATGGTGTTGCGATAAAACCTATGTCGGAATTTAGCAGAGCCTCTAGGGGTTGGGGATTTGCTTATTAGATATATTATTAATAATGTGATAGATATTGATACTACGTGCTTACAATTTAAGGAATTATGGTATATTGGAAAGGCCAGTTCAATGTTGTACCGAGTGTGGTATTCGTACAACTTGAGCGAGTCGAAGTTTGCAGTCCTCTTCGGTTATAAAAATAGCCCAGGATATTACTAGGTAGCTGTCATTCGTCACACACACGGGATGCCATCGGAAGAAGACGCTGCGAGACCGGAGAAGCACCAATCGGAGTGTAAAGAATGAAGATTGAATCGCTTACTTCAGGCAAAGCATTGTCATTGATGTTTTCCCAAGGCTATATTCGCGATAACATGTCCATATGCGCAGTAGGATTCCAATAGAGAAATGGCCATGGTGTCTGCCAGTCTCAAGTAGCATATATGAATTTTGAATATCATTCATACCTCTTTTCCGGGCTTGTTCAGCTGGCGCGACACATTTCCCGCATCTGTCATGCAGTCACCGGCCAAGGACAGTGTCTAACTGTGAACAACTTGGATTAACATTCCAAGAAGCTTGGCTTCACGGGACTTGAAAAATTACTTCTTCCAGTATCAATCAAGCCATTGAAGTCACATATTAAGACACAAAAGAGGCATTCTTCGAAGATCGGCCCCTATAACGGCGCTCACAAAATTCAAGCACTCAACACCCGTCCGCTCCCTCGCAGACTCGCCCAAATTTGGCTTTGCTCATATTAAATGAAAGAATTCCACCCTTTAACCCAGTGAAAATCTTTCTTTTCCCTCAAAACTGATTATTGCAATCTTATTCGCCCCCATAGCATCAGCAAGCCGTAGTGTAAAGATACCCGCCACTCCCGTTTCTTTGCGTAAGCACCTACTACCAGGTTAGATATGGTGCCCGGGGATAACAGAAGGGTCATTCCATTTAGTCATACCAGGCTAACCTAGGGCTACAGATTCTGTGAAACAAGTTGCTCCGGCATCGCAACTAATCCTTGCTTGAAAGCTCCGGTTCGCCGAAAGGTACCATCGATCAACACAACTTGACCAGTGTTCATGAATTCTCGTTTCTGAGAAGAGCCAAGCCTCGCTGATAAATCAAGGGAGCATATTCCTTACTAGGGTAAAATTAAGTGTGCTTCCTCGGAGTACCAAGGTCGGCTCCTACTCCATGGGATTCGTGGATGATGTTGGATTTCTTGAAATTGGATACTTTTCTTGTGGAATGATGACATCTCAGCAAGACATTGGCCTATCAAAGATACAGTTAAACGAGATGAAAGAGGCTCCTGCTTACATTGAGCGACACTCCCAAGACCATTGAACTCGATATCAGTCCTATGTCATAGCCACCCACTACTACTTCTAGGCAATGCGCTTGAATTTATAGTTACTTTCAACTAGACTTCACCATGTCCATGGATTTAATTAGAGCAATTTATTCCTCGGCCAATTTCAAGGACTCATTTCCTTCTAACCCGGTGGGATTCCATTACCAGGTAGTTTCGGCTCAGATCGATAGCGATTGGTGGCCAAGATTGAGTATATCCGACCAGAGAAGGGCCCCCGGGGAGGAAATAATACAGCGCCAATGTGGAGCAAATCAATAGAAAGATCGAGATCATTTGAAAGTCAAAAAGGGCTCGTTGGATTTGTAACTAATCATACTGCTGACGCCTAATTATGAATTGGTCTAGATTGTGACTCGGTATCATTAGTTTATAAGCTCCAGTGTTTACCCCCCGAGTATTATTCCTGATCATTATTCCCGATCATAAGTGAGAAGTCTTATGCCGGACTCAAAATTAGTGAAAACAGTGATTATTATCTTAGCTGGTACATAATCTGGTAGAGCAGGTTCATCGTTGATGGTTAACCATGCTGTTTTGACATCCTACCATGAGTTACATCGCGTTTACTATCGCTTATTTATGATTTAACTAGCGAAGCCAAAATTTGTGCATTATCTGCCAGAAAAATGACAACGGTAAGCTCAATCGTAGAATTCATGATGTAGGCCAGGTGGGAACTGTTGGATGGGCGACAATTTCAATGGGCTGCGTGATAAAAGGGCGACCACGTGATGATAAGCGCGGCAACCCGAACCTCAACGGTCGAGCTTCACTTTTACCATCCGGACCTCCCACGACCCTCGCTACCACAAACCGGGTCGTCGGTTTGACATATCCTTCACAATGGTAAGTATTTTACCATATGATTCGAACCCCCTTGAAATGACTTTACCCACTTGCGACCTGCTGTACGATTTTGCTAACCTCAACCTCCCCGCCATGAACAGGCTCGAAACAGCGAAAAGGCGCAGTCCATGCTGTACCGCTTTCGGGCGCAGCAGGCAGCGGACATGGGCATCATAGACGTCACCCGTACTCGACGACCAAAGGCCATCACCAGTATCGACGCGGTCCCCACGTGCGAGCGCTGGCGCGGCCAGGTTCTGAAGGAGGTCTCTCGCAAAGTCTCGCGCATCCAAGAGCCCAGTCTCAGCGATTACCAGATCCGCGATCTGAACGACGAAATCAACAAGCTCATGCGGGAGAAATGGGCATGGGAAATGCAGATTAAAAATCTCGGCGGGCCGAACTACATGCGCGGATCAGGTCGGGTCTACGACGACGAAGGGCGTGAAATACCTGGCGGTGGCAAGGGTTATCGATATTTCGGTCGTGCGAGAGAGTTACCTGGTGTCAAGGAGATGTTTGAGGCGGCGTCGCGCCGGGGAAAGGGCCCTGCGGAGGAACAGGAGGGCGCTGGTTCCGGTCGCGGTGGAGACATTGCGACCAGGAAGGTCGATGCAAACTACTTTGGCTATGGCCTTGATGAAGAGGATGGAACGCTGCTAGCATATGAGAAGCAAAAGGAGAAAGAGGCGGTTGAGCATTTGCGTGGTCAGGGCGATGACGACGCTGAGGATGGCTGGGAACCACTACCTGGTGATGCCGGAGACGGTGTGGAATGGCGACTTCCTACACTCGACGAAGTTCAAGAGGAGATGGTCGACCGACGACGGAGACGCCTATTGGACAAAATATCCTGAGCTTCTCACTCCTGCCCATGTGGAGGGGTTTTTCTTTCTTCAGTTCTCGGCGTTACGGATACTTCTGCGAAATATTCCATCTCGAGCATTCTTCTTAGTTCTTTTTTTGTGATACATCGACTTGGTCGTTCAAAAGATTATATTTTTGATTCACGGGGGGATTCTTTCGTTACATGTACAATACATTACTCGGAGCTGCTATTCACATCCGATCTGGTTTTCCGAGTGACCCTCTCTATCCTCAATGCCTGTGACATGCTCATCTGAGGTTTATAATCAGGGTCATCTCGTTGGCGCTTCTCCGCATCCAAGTCATCCAGTAGAAAGCGACCAAGGTCGCCCTGTCGCCATTTTTGGACGAGATGCAAAGCCGCAGAGTCGATGATGGGCACTCCGCCTTTCCCAAGTAGCCCAGTTTTTCGCGCAAAGTTTTCGATGAGAGGCATCACCTCATTCGTAGATTCTGACCATCGCTGATACGCCTGCGCATCATGCAAATTAATCTTGTATAACAGATAGTCCACAAGGGTGACAGGTGAGATGACCGCATCTTTGACACAACCACAGAGCGCCAGCTTGAGCATATTTTCCGCATCGTGAACATATGGCATGAAGACACCAGGTGTGTCTAGCACATATACATGCGCGCCACTGTCGCGCTCAATAATCTTCACCGGGCTTGCGATTTTCCGAGTGATGCCCGGCTGACCACCGGTCTTCAGGGCTTTGGCCTTGCCCACGCCATGATTCCTTAGATGGTTGATTAACGTTGATTTGCCAACATTGGGCATTCCCACCACCATCACCCGAGACCCGGTCAATTTATCTGGAGCCGCGGCGTCGTTTCGGAGGTGTTTGATTATTTGAGATACATCGGCGCGGGAGGCTGAGCTGGTGAAGAAGACGGCACTGTTCGGGTCGAAGCTCCGTACTTTATTTTCTGTCTAGAAGAGTGAGTGAATGTCAGTTTGTTTGTAGGGTTTAGGCAGAATGAATAAGAATGCGACTGACCACCTGCCGTGCTGAAGATTTGGGGGCGCTGCCAAGATCTCTCTTAGTATAGACGACTATTCGTCGCTTCTTGCCCAATGCCTCTTCAAATACAGGGTTTATTGAGGTGACAGGGGCGCGGTAATCCCGGCATTCGACCACATAATCAATCGATGCGAGCATGTTCTTCATCTGGGTCAGACCGGCGCGATGATGGCCCAGGAAGTAGGACCTCGGAATTGCCCCATAATTGGGGAAGACATGACGCGGTATAAACTGCGCCATTGTTGTGTAACAAAAAATCTCAGCCGGCCAAAGTGATAGTCATTATCGACTTCCAAGGTTCACAGAGCGAGTCGAAGGTGTGTTATCGAGCAGTTGACATGCCGCGGACAGAAAATATTGCCAGTGCGATAAAGGCGGCCGGGTGGGCGGTGTAAGAGGACGTACTCCCATGTATACTGCACCCTAGCTTAAATGCGCCTTGGACATAATTCTGTAAGAAAGGGAAGGGTGAGCACTCAAATACTTCAGAATGGGGCATAAAAAATTCGTTAAGGAGGTAAAAAGGGTCTAACCTTGGAAGATACCAAAAATATCACAGTCCTGGGCACTTGTACACAACCCGTGTAGCTACGATAAGTTGGAACTTGGAAGACACAAGGTGAAATGATTGGATCTCCCCAATTCCTGTTCCAGTTCATCCTGGCAGCCAAGGGACGACCCACTTCGCCTCTAAGTCATGGACAACTTAATGTTCACATTATCCAAAATGCAAACTTTTCTGGTCCCAAATTGCTCAATTTGACCCAGAGTAAAGCACAATGTCATTGATATCAGCTTTCCGTCCGCCGTCCACACGGATCTCATCGGCCCGTCGCAGATCACGGTCACAACCACGTCGACGAAGAAGAACAAGCAACAGTCAACCTGTGGAACTTGATTCCGAGGGTCATCTCCATGAACAAGATGATGCCCATTCAATCATCACGCCGTCTAAGCATACTCCACGGCCCTTACGGGTGCTGCGTGGTTCTGTGGCGGCCGGTGGTCCTCTACGTCCATTTCGCCTAGTAAAGCAAGATATTGTCAATCTACGCCGACGATGGACATCTGATTGGACTGTGTTCAATCAACTTATTTTCGCCAGTGCTGTCTACGTCTTCTTTACGAATCTTCTGCCGGGCATTACGTTCGCTAGTGATCTCTATGTGTTGACGGGTAAGACTTGGGGCACTATCGAGGTGGTGTTTAGTACCGGATTATGCGGCATCATATTCTCAGTGTATGTACTCTTGACCGAGCAGGTCTTTTTGAGAAATTTGTGGCTATCAAAAGACTGATTCTTCGGCTTCAGGTTCTCGATTCAACCCCTCACCATTCTCGGCGTCACTGGCCCGTTTTCTGTCTTGGCGGAGAACATCTACTCGTTGTGTGACGAAGTGTTTCAGGTAACTTCCACTATTATGCCTTGCTTTCGAAGTGACTAACTCTTATTCTATCAAGATTCCATTCCTGCCATTTATGGCTTGGTCTTTGATTCATTCCGCGTGGATGCACTATGTCTTGGCGATAATCAATGCCCACGACTGGACCATGCGTTATGTGACGACATTTGCGACAGAGATATTCTCGCTTCTTAACAGCATCATTTATTTCCATAAAGCCATCCAAGAGCTTGAGAGAGCCCATGAAAGTCTCTCCTTTGCCGCCTTTCTCTACGCCGTGATTGGTGCCGTGGGCACAATGCTACTTGCCATCTTCCTTTCTACAGCCGAGAGCTGGAAACCTTTGTTTCATCGATATATTCGTCTCGGCCTCACGGAATATGCTGCCGCTATATCCATCATAATATTCATTGCTCTACCTCATGTTGGCGAGCTGGCCCACCTGGACAAAATGACGCTGGCTGTCAGCGACTCATTCCGGCCAACCTCCCCGGAACGAGAGATATTTTTCGTTGAGTTTTGGAAACTACCAACACAGTGGGTCTTTGCATCTCTTATCCCTGGTTTGATCATAACTGTCCTATTCTTCTTCGATCATGAAGTTAGTTCGATTATCTGCACGATTGATCGATATGGAACCCGCAAACCAGGCGGGTTTGCTTGGGATATCGTCCTACTGGGCACGACTACGGCGCTATGTGGCATTCTGGGCATTCCACCTTCAAATGGACTCCTCCCCCAGGCACCTCTACATTCAGAGTCCTTGATGCACACAGAGAAAGAAGAGAAAATTATCATCGTGGACGGCGAGGAAAAGATCGAAAGACGCGATGTGAAACGAGTATACGAGCAAAGGTGGTCCGCTTTTCTCCATTCTGGCGCTATTCTCTTGTTTATCAGTCCACCTTTCATGAAAGTCTTGGGCTTGACGCCTACCAGCGTTCTAGCAGGGTTATTCCTTTTCATGGGCGAGCAAAGTTTGTCGGTCAAGTAAGTTGAGCTCTCGGATCAATGATGGTATTAACTAGAATACTGCTGATATTGCTTACAGTCCAATCTTATATCGCACCTTCTACCTTCTGACTCCGCCATCTGAGCTTCCTCCACTTCCTCAGTCCTTGCAGAGAAGCACTCAGCCAAGATCCACTGATGACCAAGTGACCCCCACCAACCCGTCGTACCTCCCGATACATCTTTACACGATCCTACAAATTGTCACCACGGTAATCATTTTTATTGTCACACTCACTCGCGGGGCCCCTGCTTTCCCTGTCCTCATCATTGCTCTTGTGCCGTTTCGTCTTCTAGTTATGAAGCGATGGTGGCCTCGTGAAGCTCTCCGCTTCGTCGATGCATGGGCTTGTCGCGAGGGCACCCCAGAAGACGACGAGGATGCCCAATTAAAGAGAAATGAGCAGACACCTGAAGAGGGGTCGGCTTTGGGTGAAGACGGTGTTCTCGAGAATAAACTTTCGCCAAATACCGAAAGAAGGCCCAACTCGAACCGTGCTAGTGGATTTAGCGTTGATATTGGAGACCGGGGGGGTTTGGGGCATGACTGGCGAGGACGCAGATCACGAATGGATCGGGCTAGAGGACCGAGGCCTTCCTGATGAAGAGTTTGGTCGTCATTGATAGGTTTGGGCTTTCATTGGCTATCATGGATATTTGACGAATATACGCTAGTTGTCGGGCAGCATTTACGGTGGCCAAAACCTGTCAGTGGGACACAACGTGCTTTGGGGCTTTTTGATAGCAGTAATACTTGTACGATAGATGGCAGATAAGAAGTAGATACAAACTGGTCCGAAATATGTTTTATCCTGCGAACAGCTAAATATTGGCTGCCGTAGCACATTTGATCAATTGCACCGAGACACATTCCTCGCTGTTCTATCTGCAAGCAGCATTGCCGGGTATCCTCTCTTAAACGCTCATGCTGCGCCAGGTCTATGCGAAATAATAGAAAACCCAACCCTAACTCCCTGTAAAAGTAGATGAGACTCCAGAATAGACAATTCGCTATGCCCTCCATCCCTGCACAAAGTCATGAAGCCGATCAATCACAACGCCAAATATAGCGTTGACACTGTCACTGATAAGCTGCTCAAAATGGCGAATGGCTTCCTCTTCCGTCATCTCCAGATGGAAGCGTTCCTTGACTTTCAGCACAGCTTTGTCGGGTTCAACGCGGATATCGGGGATATTGGCATCCACCATCAAACTGAAAAGGTTGAGGATCAGGTTGGCGGACTTGCGAAGCGTGGTATATGCTGTGAAGCAGTACTGCTTGAATTGCATGTAGTGAGGGGAGGTGGTGCCTCCCATACCCTCGACCATCTCTTTGCAGAGTTTCATCATCGGTGCGAAGGGCTTAGGGTCTCGGCCCAGGATGAAGCCGAAGTCTGCGTGGAAGAAGTGACCATCAGGTGCCAGAAGCAGATTCTCCAGGTGGCGGTCACCGACACCGAGAAGGTATGTGATTACGCAGTACCCGGCACAAGATTTGATATAGGTATCCATGGCCTCCTTGCGAACACCTAGGGGTTCATTCTCGTCCGGGTTGTGCTCTTTCAGGTATGCGAGAATGGATTTGTACTTGGCGGATGCAGCAGAGAGGGAGGTCGAAGGAATAAACTGGACTGCGCCTGCCGTTGAGCTTGTGGCTAGAATACGGTATGGAGTCAATTTCAGATCCAGATTTTCTTTTTGCAGAAGACGATCCATGAGCATGATGATCTGAATGACCAGCTGATCCTGGCGGAGATCGTCACCGATCTTAAAGAGCAAGGGGTATCGCCGGCCATCGGTCGTCTTGAATGTGATTTGGAGAGGTGACAATGTGGATTTGAAGACATTGGATTCGTCAGGATAGCATCCGGTGAGCAAAACATCAGGATCCAATGGCAACGGCAGTGGGGGATCGATATGAATCAAGTCATTCTTCGGATCTCGAATCGACTTCTTCAGCTTTTCGATTTTCACAACCCTGTTCTCTCGGGAGAATCGAATATCTTTGGCGATCTTCGAGAGCACAGCGACTAACTCGCCCTGTCGCAGTAGAATCTTTCGGTGTTCAGCGTGGATCTTCTCTAGCTCCGTCATGAAATAGAACTCGACCCGGGCAAATAGTTCACGCTGTGAACCTGGGCCTGCGTCGTCGCATTCGACCATCAGGTACCAGTGTAGGTAGTTTCCGAGCTTGAAATTGTTGGCCGCCCGGGCGATCAGGAAGTTGGCTAGTGAGGAGTCATGGGCTGCCTCATCGGCATTGTTTTCTGCATTCTCTTCATACTTCAATGCTTGAACCAGTTGTAGGAGATAAAGAAGAAGTTCGTCGTCATCTGCCTTGCGTAGTCTTGCCACGGCATATGATCGTACCGCAGGATTGTCAAAAGTGGGACCTAGAAGCTCCAAGGCATCGTCAACATCGATGTCAGTCCACTTGGGCAGGATCTCCACGGCTTGTCGAGATTCTCCGTCGTCTCGCCAGTTGACAGATTTAACGAATTTGGTCAAAGCCCGCTTTTCACGAGTCAAATAGTATCTGAACCTCCATATCAAATCTTTCTCCTCGGCAGTCAAATCCTGTGTCGGTTCGTATGACACAATGATGTTCAACTCGTCGCGGTTCTTGGGGTTTGGCTTGAGGTCCCGATCCATGATCCCCGTTCGATGACTACGGATCAACCGTCGGTGTTTGTCTTCACACGGGTTTCCAGTCATTCCGACTTCCGGATCATATATCTTGATCACGCCCGCACCATCAGCACCCTCGATTCCGGGCCCAAACCGGACCTCTGGAACGGGCTTAAGTGCAGAGTTGGGGTGGGTCGGAACATTCTGATTGTAGCCGGAGATGGGCGGCGCAGGGTAGTGATGATCAGCCCAAACGATCGGGTGGTCGTATCGTGGGAGTTCCACGTAGAGGGTAAAGTTCTCATCGTCGATATCTTCGTCATCGGAGCTATCATCATCAGCCCCGCTAGTAGCCTTTGGCTTAGCAGCTGCCATGAGAATAGCTCTTTTCTTAGCCGCTTCTTCAGCTTGTAATTTGAGCTTCTCCAATTGGCGGAAGACCATCTGGTCCATCCAATCAATTCGAGCGATTTCACCCATCTCGTGCTTCTTGATCAGGACTTCAATCCGCTCCAGTTCCTCTTCCTCTGGCGAAGGACCCAGAGGGTCTCTGGCACCTTGTCTCCGTCGCTTGGGCGGAGGAGTTGATGGCGTGGTTGTCGACGAGAAGCCATCCGCAGCTTTATGGCGGTAGAACTTGCACTTCTGCCGTCCCATTTTCAGCTTGCCTTCACTGTCAAACAGCGGTATCGTTGTTCCTCCATATGGAACATAGTGACTCTTATCGCCTGCTAGTGGAGATATATCCCAGGCGGTAATTGCCAACTGTGAGTTTCGGGGCACGTCCTTGATCGGCATGGGCATGCGCAGCCATTCATTCCATGTTCGACTCGCTTTGAAGGCCTTGTAGGCAGTCTGCATGGGCACCCCGAGGGGCTTTGAGTCGGACCATAATTGAACCGTCACAAACAGATCAGAGACGGGGTTCTGAGTGGATCCGAGATATCGCAGCGCTGGGTCCTGGATAAGGCGCGAGAATGGTATCTGCTTCTGTTTGCCTTCAAGTGTGCCACTGTGGGATTGTTAGTCTGAACAGGTGGTGACTTGGATCGGAGCGCTTACATCTTGACCCACACAGGCAGATTCACCTGTGTGGATAGCGCAAAGGTGAAAGCCTCCATCCTCGCTGGACCATCATCGATGATGAAGCTGACTGGACCATCCCAATGCCAGCTCCGTCCGGGGGACGTGGGGACCGAGCTGGCTATCATCACGTGCCACGGTGGGTACCACATGGGCGAGAATTAGTAGTTAGTAGTATACGAGTAAGAGAACTTGAAATTCATAGTAAATCAGGACTTTATAAATGCTTTGTGCCCTTTATAAGGGCTTGAATGTTTGCGAATTGTGCACCTGGGCGTACTCATGAAGTCCACTTCCAAGGTGATCACCTAAAAGAAGGCTACTATTAACAAAATAGTATATACTACTGTAGAAGTCTAGAACAGAGTGCCAGATACAATATCGTATTAGTACTCGCTGAAAAGAAAGGCATAATAGAAGAATACCAACTTGAATGATCACTCAAGCCCTGCTAGTGAGTACCGACTACTACTGGTACTAGTATCTAAGTACAAGTAGTTACTTCTTCACTTCCTCTGTATACACTCCACTCCACTCCAGTGGCACCCCACTGTACTGTATCACGTGAGTTAGTCCGTGCCGGGGAACGCGACGCGACAACGGAGGGACAATTGCGGGAATGCGATCTCTCAACTTTCAACTTACGACGTGTCCATCGCAATCCTGGGCATAATTTATTGCAAACGACAGCGGACTACTTCGAAATACATGGTACAGAATCCATTCTTGCTCCACTTCTTTGTTTGCTTCTGCCTCATCTGGCGCCTGTTAGCGCCAATCAACCATGGCACCAATTGTTCACTCGCAGCTGGATGAACAATCTGCCCCCAACTCCAGTCCTCCTTCATCTCCTGGATCCTCCTCCGACAAGGAGAACCCTCGACGACGAACCATCAACAAAAGATCAAAAGCGCAAATGGCACCCCCAAGTCACGACAAACGGCGTCGCCTCACCGATCGCACTTCCAACATCCACTCGCAAATTCCCTCATCGCAACGCGTTGGGAAGAACAACAAGTTCTACGACCCTGATCAAGATATAAACGAGCGAAGAAAGGTTCGTCGGGATCTGAGAAATTTAACAAGAGAATTCAACGGTATGCTTCTCCTCCTCCACTCCTCTCCCCACCTACGCGCATTCGTCACGACGAGACCAGCGAGCCATCTAACAGACCCCAGACTCGCGAGGCGAGTTTCTCCAGTCCGGCAACGATGGAATCGTCAAGACCGTTACACAATTGAACCACCTCTACACGAAAGTCAAACAGACCTCAGATGCCACCCTCGACTCGCGACTCCTGGTCAACGCAGCCGACCTCTCCCATAAGAAAACCGCCCAGCTCGCGGTCGGCGAATCCGGTGCCGGTATTGACGTTGATGAGTTCGTTTCCAAGTGTATCTCTTATATGCGCCGGGGTCTTGAATCAACTATCACCCCAACCCAGCGCCGGCGCAACCGACAAAGCCAAAGAGACCCCAATGCCAGTGATGGCGAGGACGATGGCGATGCGATGAACTGGGACTGGCTTGGTCGTAAGGCTTGCCTACCTTTTAGTTCTCGCCCGGCCGTGTCAGGATTCTTGCTGGGCCCGCTCTCCGTGGAGAAGCGCACGCGACAGTTCACGCAGCGAAAAGCGACGGAGCGCTTCGATCCTTCCCAAGCTGTTCGGCCAAACGATCTAGTCCAAGAAGACCTTGGACAAGAGGACAACAACCTCACAGTGATGTGTTCCACCATCAACAAACTTTTGTCCGATACGCAAGCACAGCGCCAACAGCAAGTACAAGCGGAATTGGTGAACGAGTATGGGGATGATGCCCCGGAAGAAGCGGTTCAGGCCGCCATGGACAAGTACGACGTGTGCGATGATGGAGGTATCCCTCTGTTCAAATTCTGTATCAACCCGCGCTCTTTCGGGCAAAGTGTTGAAAATCTGTTTTATGTGAGCTTTGTGGCCCGTGATGGCTTTGCTGGCATCAGCACGGATAGTCGCCAGATTCCAACACTTCGTGAGTGAACCTGTTGTTTGACTTGTCCTCGTTATACGATAAACTGACTGTGCATTAGACTCTGCAAATCCATACCAGCCCAGTGAAGCTCAGCAAAAGGGCATTCAGAAACACCAGGCTATCTTCAGTCTGGACTTTGACACCTGGCGAGAAATTGTCGAAGTATTCGATATCAAGGAGTGCATCATTCCCCATCGCGAGGAAATTGAAGAAACCAGTGGAACCTGGCAATGATTGCCCGTTCATGCTTTAAGATTGTTCCTTGTTCTGCTTGAACTTATGATACCCCAAGTCCGTTACTGGGCCTGTCACCCGATTTGCACATAGACAAAACTACGATTTAATAAATTTCCAGAATCAGTCAATAATGGCAGAGTACTACATGTTAACAAGTACACCTAGTGTACCTAGCGCATATCTACTTTGTACGGAGTAACCGCTATAAGTCCGATCAAAACGGCGAACTCCAAATCAGACATCTTGCGGAATCGGCCACTCCTTGTCTTCGCCCTGGCCCTCTAGCCATGGTAAACAAGCCGTATAAAGAGCCCCGACTTGACCATTCCCCAAACCCATGCACCTCTCAAAAAGATCCTTATCAAAACGCTCAATAAAAGTCAACTGAGCAGCATATACCAAATCCGCATACCCAGGATTCTCACCCTCGAAGAATGGACCTTTCTTCCCATCCTTTCCTTTCAGCATGGCAATCAGCGTCGAAGACTCCGTCTCGATTATATCCCACAGCCGATCCAAGCTCCCCTTGTCCGTCGGCCGTACCTCGGACAACGGTTTTCCCAACGCCTTGGACCGCGTCTCGTGGAAGTAGACCTGTCCCCGAGGATCCAGGTGGTCTACGACGCGTGGTACGATCAATGGACGAAAACCAGTCTCGATCAGACTCATGATCTTGAATACGGCGATGAATAGTGTGTAGCTGGCGTCGCCAGATGGGAACAGTGGGGGCGAGGGAAATGTCTTGTCGATGTGCAGAGCGATCTGTAGTGAGTCCATCAGGGCCCCGTTTGGGTTTGATGTCACGGAGGATTTGTGGATGATTGCGGGCAGGGTATATGGCCTGCCTGTCTTGTTTGGCGGTAGGTCTAAGCTGGTTCCCAGGGCCTTGATATCTGGATATGAGATCCAGCTCTGAGTATACGGGATACCCTTAAAGTTGAGCACTGCTCGGGTCTTTAGTGTATTATGGGACCATGATTTGGAGATTCCTATAAATGACTGATCAATAAGGGGACACGGCTTTTATGAAGATTCGATCGCGGGTGTTGGGGAAGGTGAAGAAGGTACCTGGTAGGTCGGAAAACAAGTCAAAGAAATGGACGGGTTCTGAGGTGGTCATTCTGGGTGATTTTTCCTCTCTGTAAATAATCAAAACGTAAATTCAGATAAAATGCTTGAATATATCGATGGCTAGTTCTTATTTTATATGCGGGGCTTTCTTTGGAGTAGCCAGCTCGGCGATGACGGAGTTAAAGAATTGAGGGGAAGGTTCCCACCAAGTTCAGGAAACTGTAAATTCAAAAAGACTCACCGAAGTATGGGGCATAGACTATTTTACATTCTGGATCAACTAAATTAGAGATATTCCAACCAAATGAAAGGGTATCTCGATGTACAAGCAGTCTCGAATTCTACCCTCGCGACACTAATAACAAGAATCTCTTCGGGTTCCACCTCCATAAAACGACCCATCCCCCGATGAGTGAAGAGAGTCCCGTAAAGAGAATCAGAGGACCATAAGATGACCCAAAAGCGAAACGCTGACTAGCCGCGATGGTCCCAGCCTTGAGAAGTCCCATGCCAGCAATCCCTCCACTTGCATAACCGACACCTCTGACGCCATTTAGCAGACCATAAAGCATTCCAGGATCAACGGCTTCATTTCTCTCCGCAGACTCGCGCTCTATCTGCTTCAACATGCCTCCCCAAGTAGCACTATAGCCGCCGGAGAAGAATCCAAATGTCATGGAGAAGATTATGAGCAAGCCAATCGCGCCCTCCGACGTCAAGCCCCAGAAAAAGAAAGCCGAAAGAGCGCTGCAGATTGGGGGGATTGCGGATACAGCTTGGGCTGACAGGGGGAATTTCTTGTTGTCGCTCAGCCACCCGAAGAAAGCCGAAGCAATGATACCAGGCGCATTGAATAGAGCTAGCATCAGAGTTCCTGAAGTTTGGGATAACATGGCGACATCTCGGGCGTAAGTACTCAGATAAGTCTGCGGAATGCCATAGCCGGAACTTTGGAAAATAATCGCGATGCTGTAGAAGTAAATGGATCGGTGTTTGAGGAAATGCCACGGGATTTGCCGTGCCCGAGTCTGGTGAATCGACACTTTTGAAGGATGGGTTGGTATCATGAAAATGGCGATGATACTCGATCCCCCGACAATAGCGGTCCATACTTTCAGCGTCGTCTTGTAGCCGTATACATCAATCAGTGCTCGAATCATGAAGGGACAGCTGGTTCCGACGATGTTCTTGCAAGACAGAACAATCCCATATGCCAAAGCACGGTTGCTGGTGGTGTACCATTCGCCGAGGGAGAGGGTTGTCGGGCTGTAGATCAAGGCGCATCCAAGCGCGGATAGAATCCCCTGAGTAGCAAACAGGTGCCAGACGGTAGTGCTGTAGGCGGAAAGAAAGAAACTAATGCATGCAATTATCGTCCCGCATAGAGCGGCAGTTTGGCGCCAGCGAGCCCAGCGTCTAGTGAACAGTGCGAAGAGAAATGGCATGGATAGGTACATGACACCATTCGCGGTTGTGCCAATAATACCGGTAATGCTGCGGTCGCCTTCGAATATCCAGTTTTCCGAGTAGTATTCTTGGAAGATACCGTAGCTCATAGCAAAGCCTGTTGGTCGTGGTGCATCAGCAGCGCGGTATCTCATTCATGTGGCCAAGACGTACCCCATATAGGTAGTTGAATTATTCCAGATCCTATGAGAACAGATAATTTCGTCCTGCTAGACTCTGCCTGTCTCGAGTCGATCTGCTCGAGATCCATGATTCTTTGTTCGGCGTCTGAGGAGTCCTGCTCGCGAATCACCGAAGCTCGAGATTCCTGGAGGCGGATCTGATTGGCATCATCCATCCCGAAGCAGATAGTCTGTGAGATGGGCCAGGTTTATTTGACAATATGGACAATTTGAAGAGTTGTAAAAGGCATAGAAGAATGTATGGAAGATGACTCAGGTAACCGGGAAATCACGCCCCCCACGTGCGGGGAACGCCATAGCGATCTATACTATAAGTGGGCACCTCGTTTGAAGAAGTAGAGTTGCAAATCAAATGTCTCTTTATTATAGCGAATGACTATGACACGACACCAAAAACCAGGACCAAGGAATGATTTCCACCAAGGGTATCAACGTAAGTCGTAATTCGTCTACCTCATCATTGTGAGGAGAATGCGACGAGAAATTTCAAAACAGATTTCATGAAACGACCGTAATTCATTTGTGATGTTCAAAACTGCATCATTCGCACGAGGGAAAGCATTGCAGAACTGTCGAGCGTTGGATCGAGTAATCAAAGAATTTCTCCCTAGCTCCGTATTATTGTGAATTAAGCGGCATCGGCGCCACGCTTGCGGCCCCAACGACGACGGGTGGTGGTGCCCTCGGTGGAGTCGCGCTTGCGGAAAGTGAACCAAATACCCTGGGAAGTCATTAGCATATATTCTTGGGAATTTGTACTGGGAGGCGATGGCACATACAACGAGTGCGGAAACAAGCCAGACGATAGCAGACAGGAAGGCAAAGGCTTCGGCAGCCTTCCAGCGTCCGCATACATCGTTGCGGTGGCGGATAAAGTTCCAGTTCCAGATCCCTCCACAAGGAAGCTGATTGATTGTATTGACGAGAAGACCGAAAGCAGCGAACCAGGCGAAGGAGATGAGCACATCAACTGGATCATGTTAGAATGTTTATAGACTTCAAATGCTGTGCCATGGGAAACGTACGGGGCCAGGAAAAGAAGCCCGATGAGAATGGAATCAGCCATAGTAGACCAAAAAGTATAGAGATACCGGCCACGACCTCGGTGTAAATCCAGCGACCTTGTGGCCAAGGTTCGATCTCGCGGAACGAGTGTAGGTAATGGCCGATGATACCCGCGACAACCTAGGTCAAATTAGAATATGATTTGCGAGGTGGACCAGTTGACAAAAATCGCAGACATACCGCAGCGAAGGCGATCTCCGCGATACGGAGGGGAATAGAGGCGAGACGTGAAACGACGGGCATGATGAAGTATAGCCGAGTGGTAATTATTTCCAAGGTTGTCTTGATACTGGTAGAAAATGTGGATGGCAGAGCTAGCCCGAGGTTTAATAGGGTAGTAGAGCTGACTCGGAAATATTGAGGCTTGAAATAGAACTTGAAGTAGATGATTTGGAGGGAACAGAAAGAGGTATATAAATGGTCGGGTGATTGTCACACAGACAGGCAGATTCCGAGCGAACGAGGGAGAGACCCGCACTCCCAAGCAAGGGCCCACAAAACTACCAGCCCATGAGAAAGTATACCCAAAAATAAAATGTCTGAAAATTGAATAAATTAGAAATAAACATTAAAAAAAGGGCAGCGTCGAGAATGCACCAAGGTCAGACCCACACCCTGCAGAGAGTCAATCCGAGACCCAGCCCGATGTCGTCAGATGGTCTTCTCCAAGCAACTAGTGTAAGCCGGCATGGCATACGAAGTACAGAGCTCAAAAAAAAAACCCACGCGTTCAAGCAAGAGACAGACAGGTGCATGATTGGCCGCTATGCATACTTTTGCATTGGCGCCCAATCCTCTCCTCTTCAAAATTGTGTTCGAGAAGTAAAAAAAAAAAAACAAGAAGAGGAAAACTCAGGCTCCCCAAGATTCGGTTAGGCTACTTTTTTGGCCAACCCTGCGTGAGGACTGACCGCCGCTGATGCAGTGAACTGTGGCTTGAGCTTCTTCATCCGATCAGAGCAAGGAGCTTCTGACGCATGGTCCTGTCAGAATCCACTCCCAAGGAGAGGATGGGAGAGACTGTCTCGTTTCTGCCCGCCTCCCCGTAGTACATGTACTTCCAGGCTATCCCTGTTTACCTGTCCAATGACATTTGCCTTGACCCTAACAATGACCCTGTTCGAGTTTTCAGAGGACTTCCCCGGGGGATGTCCTAAGTGATGCGCTGGACGCGGAGATTAAGCACCAACCAAGGAAAAACCTCCCTTGAATAGGGCGTGTGTGGTGTGTGGCTGGTTGTTCCCGTGGCCGTTGTCGATCGTCTTGCGCTATTGACGGTGTCCTAGTTGACTGGCTGCTCCACTGGAGCCGATCACTGCAGCCTGGAGCTCAGGCCATCCCGAGGACATTTGTACATTGGATGCGCAGTTTGGATTGGCAAGTGATTCATTCCAACTTGCAAGGATGCCCACTTTTTGGGTCCTTTCAGTTCTTGGTCCAGGAACGGCCTGTGGCGGTAAATTTGTGTATGATGTCGAAAATCGAAAGTTCAGAGTAAGGTGAAGCGTTCCTTGCCTTCATTTGCTTTCAGCCCTATGACGTGGGGCGAGGGTGGAGTGTTGTACGATGACAGCAGCTGATGCTTTGGTAACTTTGATCTCGGCAATACGTGCCGTCTGTTCTGATTCACAGTGCAGGTGTCCCTCACAGTATCTTCTGCACGAGCGATCTCTCGTTTGGAAATCTCGCCTGCGAAGCCAATGTCGGGTATGTACTGGGATAGATAGACTAGGTCGCTTCAGTGGCTGAGGCGATGCGTAGTCACCCCCCACACATGATCGGGCGGTGCACCACTGTGCCTAGTACTGCAAGTACTAGGAATATAACGAAGTTGCCTATTTCTATATCTGTCTTGGATTTCTTGGAGTTTTTGTTTTGTTTTTGTTTGCCAGGAGGTAATATAGTATAGTCTTGGCTTCCATGATTACTGATACAAATGAGGCAAAGTCCACAACCTTCAACCCCTTGAAAAATTACATATACACACACCACGAGAGACTGCCCAGGCCATTAGAAGAGAGAACAGACAGGAAAGGATACTATAAGAAGAGAAACAGCATCACGTATTAGTTCAGCTCGGTCGTCCCCAGCATAACGCGCTGCCATCTCAGACATGCTTCTGATCCTCTTTCAAGAACCAAGCCATCACGTTCTGGAACACGGACCGGGCATTGGTCTCGATGACATCTCCATGGCACGGAATCATCCTGTCGAAATCCCACCGCATGATTCGGCGAACGGAGGTGGTGAAGGCGTCGCGGTCGTGAGGTGACAGGACGTACCAGGCAAAACATCGCTGGGCGGTAGCAGGATCGGCCTTTGTAGATAGGAAAGGCAGAACCATCTTGGTCGCAAGGTTAAGTGGCTCCCGATCCTCGGTCTTGGAGTATTGTTCCGTGGCGGGCAGGTTGAAGAGCATATCGGCCTCAATGACCGTGCGCGAAGGCTTGTGCAGGAAAACGAGCTCGCGCGAGCCATGGCCATGTACATATTCGGTTTCAAACTCAGCGTCCCACTCTGCCGAGATCGTCGGAGGTTCCGCATCCTTTTTCCACACGTGCTCGAACTGGGTGTCTCGGAAATCTGCGTTCGACTGGCGCTTCTCCCAAAGGCCCTCGGGTGCCAATATTTGTGCCGACGGGAAAGCCTTCTTCCATGCCGTGATGTGAAGGTGGTGTTGGAGATCGGGCGCGGCGATATACCGGACGTTGCCACCCAGAGAATCGACTTTTGCGCGCACCTCTGGTGTGAGGCTGACGGGGGAGAAGACGGCGAGGGAGCCCGTGGCTAACTTGACTGCGTCACGCAAGGTGTGTTAGCCCATGCTCGATTGAAATGGCCAAAGCTGAGTCAAACAGAAGGCAAAGGCCTCGAGGTGGCATGTGCCAGCTCTTTCATGCTGTAAGGGCCAACTTCACTTACCTAACGTTCCCCGACCACCGAATCGCATAATGCCGAATCGTGCGAATGGCAGGCTCATAGTGATAACGTTCGGTGTTACATTGCGGATAACCATCAGTTCCGAGGGGTTGGTAGGGAAGAGTTGAGGCATTTTGGCTAGTAGGAGCTCGTCCGGGCTCTCCCTGGCGTTGAATGTCTCAGCTGGCAGTTGCTGAAGGTCCGTAGAAGTAGGTTACTGGTTGAGTGAACGATCGCAGGAGGATAGGTAGAAGAGGCAGAGAATTAATAGATGAAGCGTGAGAAGTGTGAGAAGTAAAATAAGTAAAATAAAGTCAAGGGGGGAAAGGTAAGCAAAGCAGAAAAGCAAAAAGGCAGTCGCAACTTTTCAAATGAGAAGCTGCGATCGAGCTTGCGAAGGAATGACGTCAGCTGACAGCGGCCTAGCTCCACCTCCACTTTCTACTTTGTAAGCTCAGCTGGTAACTACGTTTAGTACATACGTGGGTAGATATACCAAGAAGAAGGGTTGATTTCGATTTTTTTTGCTACAAGGAGGATATTTTTGTTTGATGATATCTACTGGGGGCTCATTGGCCCTAAACACTGTGGTCAAGGCTCGCCTCAAGACAGACTTACCCTTTTGTCTCAGGAGGAGCTGGGTGAATTGGATAACCTTGTTTCGATGAAGATGCACACAAGGCAGTAGAAATATCTTGGATACATATCTGTCATACGATGAGTTCGTTGACCTTTAACCATGAAATTCATCTGCCAGTGGAAGTTATGGGTATCGAGATTATTGGGTTTCAAAAGACGATTCCACCGTCCCCACAACAGCGAAATGGAAGTCAATCTTATTACTTCTTTATTAATTTCCTTCTCCAAAATACCTCAGTGCGTGACATGTATCAATGAATCTCTAAATAGTATCAATGGTCAAATTATCGAATTGTACATTAAGATCATCGCCACCGTCTTTAGATGGTCTCGCGGCATAAACCCCAACCAAGCATTCTTCAGTCTCCGCACTTTGAAAGATCCAAGTAATTTCGCGCTGGGGAATCCTGCGAGTTCCATCAAGGAGATAGATCCATAGGGTATCGCCCTTTTCTCTGATCATCTCTAGCGTCACCGATTTGCAGCCAGGAGGCACGGCTTGAAAACACCAATCTGAGCCTCGGTCTTTCGAAACAGTGCTCAAATGAACGACGTCGTTCACAAGCTCAAGACCTGCTTTCACCCACTTGCGAGAGCCATCCTCTCCCTTGACGACCATGATAAGACCTCCCTGGTCATACTTCTGCGTCAGATCGGCGTGGATGGTGACCTGGGCTCGTTGGAAGGCTAGAAGGGGCATATCACGATGCAGAATTGGCGCATTAAATCTTTCGGTATGGGGTGGATTTGACCATGCATCCGTTGAAGGTTGTGCAGTGACTGTGAAAGTGTCTGGGAGTGATCCGTTCCCGGGAACGGCATTGGACGAATTGAGGAAGCTGAATTGCGACATGACGGTTGAGGATAGTATGTAGGCTTGGGGATATTCAGTGAAGACTAGATTACAAGAGAGAAATGGGATGTGAGGGGGTATTTCAATAGCTTTGATCTTAAAATCATTCAAATCTAGAGCAAGCCGGTGAACTCTAAAAAACCAACTTGAGTGGGCTGAACTTCCCAATTAGGAAGCCAAGGCAGCTCAGCTCAGGCACTCAGGCATGAAATTGGAAAATGTTACAGGGTAAATCTCTGCCAAAGTCATTGGACTGGATATTTGATTCAAAGAAAACCTCGAACCAATGATATTACGCACCCCGATGAGCATAAGCCCTGATTAAGGCGCATTGCCTAACCCCATCTCCGGTGGCAACCGACCACGGGGGCCTTCTAGCGCATTGTCTGGCCCCACGATCTTTCCACCAATGCACAGATCCTCCAGCAAGTCACAGCTCCGACAACGAAAAAAACCAAAGAGGACAGTTATTCCACTTGAGCAGGTCAGAAACGAACATGAAACATTCAATGCTTCACCAATTGCAACACCTCGTCGATCATCACGCCAGATGACTAAGGCGAAATACGGGCCCAGAAGATATTAGCAGCTTGGCATAATGGAGTCTCCACGTCGTCTCTTCACGATCACTTCTTTCACTTCGAAGTCGTGGTCGTGCCAAAATGCGACTGCAACTAGGACCCGCAGGCGAGCAACAAAGGGACGAGTCCCCATCTTCGCTCAGCCATTCCGACAACCCAATCACTGCGCCCGAGCGGCGGCTAAACACGCGATATCAGGATGCTGAGCCTGAGCCTGAATCTCAGGGCACGCGTGAGCCTCGCTTCAGCAACGATTCAATTGGCGATATAGAATTGGGCAATGTGCCCTTATTACCGGATGATTTTGATCGTGGTAATTCGTTTGAGTCCACACTCTCGGATTTGGATTACCAGCACCAGGATTTGCCTAGGTCAACCGCGACGGCTCGCGATCCGCCGTTTGATTGTTCGAGCTCTTGGCTCTTTTATCAATGGCTTCGTGGGCCAGTGCCTCCCAACATTTACCACATTGAGCCGTGGTTCCCACAGTGGCAGGCTGCGCCGGCGCGTCTGGTCGATCGGTGGGTGAAGCGGCCGACGGCCAAGATTGCGTTGTTGGTGAGCGTGCTGATAATTTGGATTGCTGTCTTTTTCTCTTTGGTCAAATCTTCTATCTCAGACCAAGAGATTTTGGGTTATGGACAACCGGTTAAATTGTCGTGTCACGCGCGCTTGTGGTACGTCAATCTCACCTTAACCGCCTTAAGATCGGGCTGGGGGTTTGAATCGGAACCGAATACTGATTCTTTTTTATTAGGAGCAATGCAACTGAATGCGGTCTGAATGGAGATCTTTGTCGTCCATTTGATGACCAGTCCTTCGCTTTTCGCTGTCCATCTGGCTGCTTGGCCGCCATCCTGCTAGAGCCCTACACTGTAGGCGCTGAAGAGTACAACTACCGCCCCCTTGTTGTCGGCGGTAGGACTTTTAAAAACAATGGCCCTATGAGCGGCCATTATCGTGGTGACTCGTCTATTTGCGCATCGGCTCTCCACGCAGGAGTTATCGATGATGCGACAGGTGGTTGCGGTATCCTTCATCGCACTGGTCTACAGGATAAATTTGAAAACGTGACAAAGAATGGAATCGGTAGTATCGATTTCCAGTCCAATTTCCCCATGTCCTTCAAGGTGACCCGACAAGCCAGCTCCTCGGGATCCAGCGAGGCCAAGCTCGTCGAGTGCTCCGACATCCGCTGGTCACTATTCGCATTTACTTTGGTCGTGACCATCATCCTATCCATGACCATCACCTCGCCACCGGCCTTTTATGCCTCGATCTTCTTCATAGTCTGGTTCCAGGTGGCCATGGCATCCGACCCACCATCCTCGTCGGGCTACTACAGCCTCGTCTCGACAGGACTGGGTCGGTTCCTGCCAGGTGCCTTCGTAGGGTTTGTTCTATACTACTTCTGCGTCTGGCGCACACTACAAAACCTGGACGCACATCTCGACAAAACAGTCCTCTGGCTGGGCGGCTGCTGGGTTGGCGCCCTAAACACAGATACCTTCGACCGCATCCCCATCTCCCGCCTCACACCCCACGACCTCGAACAACAACCTGGCGCGATCCCAGCTCTGATAATAATTATCAGCTGCCTGATTTTCATAACCTTCCTCCAAGCCTGGGGATTTCGCTGCGAGGGTCGCTTCTTCTCCCAACTCCGCGTATACGGCGCTCTCGTCCTGGGCGTCCTCATCCTCGTCGCCGTGCCAAACATGAATCTCCGCATCCACCACTATATTCTCTCCCTTCTCCTCCTACCAGGCACAACCCTCCAAACTCGACCTAGCCTTCTATTCCAAGGTATCCTGGTCGGTCTTTTCATCAACGGTATCGCGCGGTGGGGCTTCGACTCCATCCTCCAAACACCCGCTTCCCTACTAGACGGCGGGCGTCTAGGCACAATCCCTCCAAACATCGACCCGCCCCAAATTCCAGACCTGAACCACGTCATTTTCAACTTCCCCGACCTTCCTCCTTCCGTCGACGGTATTGGCGTCATCGTCAACGATGTCCTGCGCTACCAGGAGTTCAAGTCTAAGGACCAAAGCTCGATTCCTGCATTGGATTGGAAGCGAGAACATTCGGGCCAGGAGGAGTATTTCCGCTTTGGCTATGTGCATATCAATGCCCTTGGTGGCGTTTGGTATGAGGATTTCTCCGACGCGGCGACCTGGCGGGTTACTGGTCAGTATCTTATTCCCGGGTCCAATGCTACCTCGGGGTATAGCCCGGAATAATTGGATTTGGTTTAAGATCATGATAGACCGTGGTCTGTTTGGAAAGACATTTGTAGCATATATCGAGCGTTGGTTATATAGATCGGTAGGAGTTTAGATGTCGGAGTTCGCGCAGATAGAGTGTAAACCTATTTTCTCTTCCCTTTGGCCGTCTATCAAGATACCAGCCCTGGAGTAGTATGAACAGAGAGTAGCCAGCCTTGGACGTGTCTACTAGAGATTAGTATTGGCACCTGGGCAGTTTCGAGTCTAGATTACTTGTACTATGTTCTTGAGGGCAACCTTGGAATTGTGTTCAAATAGTATTCATGTTCAGGTATACTAGTATAGACAAAGTCAATATGACACACGCCACAAGATGCAGCAAAATAGAATATACCCGAGAAGCAAATCTCAAACACTCTGCATGGTGATTATGTATATACCATGAGCCGCTGGAACCAAACGCCAGCCCGTAGATGCAATAGTGAAGGGCTAAGACAATATCAAATCAAAAAAAGACACAAGAGGCTCTCTTCTTTTAGCCCTTTGAGTAATTACGGCATTTAACCTGGACGATGTTTTGCGTCCCATCATCTTCGATGACAAGCGCGGTCAATTTACCACCTTTCACACACCCAGAGTCGAGGCCCTTGGCATATGTGCGAATTTTGAGCGAGGTTTTGGCGTCGTGGCCGTAGATGACGGTCATAAGCCCGGAACGGGGGTCTTCACTTGATGACGAGAGACTCTTCTCCAAGTTCGACTGGTGTTTATTAAACATCTGGATCATATTAGCACGAGTTGCTCCTCAGCTTGGAATGGCATGTCTTTCTTACCTTGGCCCATTTCAGACCTTCACTCGATTCACTCGGCACATGTGTATCGACATCAATGGTTCGCATTGTCATCACAAGAGACGGATCTTGCCTCTCAAGCTCCACGCCCGGAACAATACCAGCATGAACAACAATGACCTGGCCCATAGTGGGAATCTGGCCGACATTCAAAATGACCGGACAAGTTCCCAACCACTCCGCCTGTTCATCGCTCAAAGCGCGAGCCAAAGCGCGTTCCTTCAACTGTTTCTCGGTATAAAGATTGATGCCCACATCTTGCTCCTCCGCAAAAGTCTGCGTATCCGCCATTTCCTTCCGCAAAAGTAAGACTCGGTCTTCGTGGTTTCCACGCACACACGATGCCGACAACTCTCGCGCCATGTCCACAACACCGTTACTATCGGGCCCCTTGTTGATCAAGTCGCCCGTGAAAATGAGATGGTCGCCCCCCTCGTTGGAGAAAGAGACTTTCTCTAGAAGCTCAGACACTGTACCACCATGTCAGTCAGCACTGTGCACTATCGTCCGCCGATTCGACAAAACCTACATTCATCCTTACACCCATGTACATCTCCGACAACAACCAAACGTTTCCGAGACCCTGCACCAAGAGTCTCCACGTCAACCGGACCACCGGGGAGGAATTTCGGGTCCAGGGTCTGAATGAGAGTCAAATCATCAAACCTCGGCAACGCATTTGTCCCGAACCACCCAGTCGTCCTTGAACTGGCGTCCAGAGCACGAGATATATCTGCGCGGTCCTGAAGATGCGGCGAAAGAACCAGTCCCCAGCCTGCCCAGCCAAGTAGGAAGAGCGTCAAGTATATGATCACGTATCGGCGGAATCGTGGCGCCGCAATGACTGACAGGGCCATTTGCACCCAGCGCGGGTGCTTGTCTTCGTTTGTGGAGGTGAGAGGGTGGTAGGCTGGGGAGGAGGATTGCCATGCATTGCGCACGGAGTTGATCAGGGGTTTGGAGAGGCGGGAGAACCCGTTGGTGGAGCGTTTTCGACCGTGGTGGTGGAAGGAGTCGGCATCGCGATTTGGACCTTCAAGTTCGTATTTGTCCTGTGAGGCCATGATCACGATTCCGGAAGATGAGTCGACATGGACTGAGATGTCAAGAAGAAGAAGAAGCACGGAAGAGGAGAAGGATTGGGGGTGTCAGCCACGATGCTTGGCAAAGACGCAGTTGTCAGTTGTCCTTGTTATCCTTGGCCGCATTGGACCGGGGAGTGTTGGCGGACTCGGATTCGGAACTGCCACGGGACCCGCTTGAGGCGTGTGGATCACCGCTGATCGACCCGCTCAGCCCATAAGGCTACCATATTTACTACTCAAGGTTGAATTGGAAATTCAAATTAAATGCTCTACCAGTCATTGGATCATGATATCTTATCCCATCTACACACATCACCGATACTGCTCTAGCTCATCTGCCTCCTGTCGCCGCAGGTTCACGCGTTGCAGCACTGTCTCGTCATAGAGCTCCTCGACCTTTTTATCCCCACGTAGAACCTCACGTTCGTGACGGGTAGCCTCATCCTTGGTCATGCAAACCAGATCCTTGAGATCGATAGGAATATACTTCTGTCCTTCTTTCGCCATATCTGCGTCCACGGCAAATCCACGCGCTGGGATTTCCCACGGCATCAGCACCAGGCGATTGTATAAGCCACTGATGGCACTTCTTCCCCGCCACACTTCCTCCGTCAAGTAGGCAATATCGTCCTTGCTGACTGGCAGGCGGAGACCGGTGGGGTCTTCACCAGCCATGTGTCGGTTCAGCTTCTCCATGGCACCTTGAAAGGAAGCCAGCATACCATCGTACAGCTTCTCCCGGCCTTTCGCACCTACAGTGTAGTCGATCGGGTATCCTGATACACTGCAGATGACATGGTTGGCGACAGTGTAGCCAAATACCGCAGGCATGGTTCCCAGAACCGGAAGAATGCGAACTCGGAAATCGGGGAGAACACCCAGCTCGCCAACTTTGCCCTTGGCGAATTCATCCTCGGGGAGAGGCAGTAGACTAGCCTTTCCAGGACCGGGCTTCTCGGTCGAGAATACTGTCGGGATTCCAGAGCTAACGCCCTTGGCCTTGAGTTTGCGGCGAGTGCTGCGCGAGAGAGGGTCATCCGTGCTGGCTGAAATATCGCCAACAACGACACGAGTTGGGTCTGACTTGCAGCCTGCCCCCATGGACGAGATGACAGGAAGCGAGTGGGTGTGACAGTAGTGTAGCAAGTCGACCTTCGACGTGATATTGTCGATGCAGTCGAGCACGTAGTCTGGTCGTCGTCCCTCTCCCTCGTGTGTCAGAGTCCAAGGTCCAAGGAGAGAATCGGCTGCCTCTTTGCCGAAAAGTTCGTTGCGGCAGTCGAACATGACCCATGGAGCGATTTGCTCCAATCTCCTCCGAATACAGTGTACCTTCGATGTTCCCACGTCAGCCAGTGTGGCCAGCGCATGGCGGTTGAGTGATGAAAGCGTGACTTGGTCGAAGTCGATGAGACGGATCTTGGCCACGCCTGAGCGAGCTAGTGCGGCAGCGGCATGCGATCCAACACCACCACAACCCACAACAACAATGTAAGAAGCTCGGAGCTTCGCAAGTCCGTCGTCGGTGAGGAAAACACGGTTCCGGGCTAGTTGTTCCAAGATCAGATCTATTCATCACGTCCCACTCGTTAGCTTCATTGCTTCGCCAGAGAGGTGTGAACAACAATACCATCGTCATAGTCGCCTTTCTGCGCCCGACGAGCTAGAGCTGCGCTACGCTCATCCTCCTTGCTCATTGGAATTCCATTGTCGGCGATACCAAATTCTGTGAGCTTTGATTATGGTCAGCATTCTTCCATCGCGAATTTGGCACCCTGCAATCCCCCACCAGAAGAGCTTGAAAGTCTTACCTTCTCCGCATGGTGCGCTTCGTCAAGGGTCGGGATAGAAGCCTTGAGGTCATGAACAGCCTCGGTCCGCTTATAGGCCTGATATCCAAAGATTGCACCGGCGACTGCAGCTCCGGAGAGCACGGCGGTTGTGGCAAGCTGATTATTGGACGAACCAGCCTGGCGATGCAACCACGAAGTCATATTTCCAAGTACGCCTTTCTCTTCCGGCTTTGGTGTATCTCGGTCTCCTTCTGCGTTTCCGTCGGGAGCTTCTCGGTCTTGGGGGAGCACTCGGTGGGGATTGCGCTCAGGCTGGGCAAATCTAGTATCCAAATCGTCAGAATCAAATCCATAGTCGAGATCACCTTCATCAGGTGCCTGCCACCACCTAGAGCCTGGGGGAGCCATAGTAGAATCTGACAGCGTCCAGATCTGGGCAGCACTCACCGTTCTTTAGGGCCGGGTAATTGGGCCTCTATTATAAGAATGCGCTTCTGCAGGCCATGTGCTCATCGGTTCCACCATTGGAGCGATTCGGTTGCAAAGCGGTGAGCCCGAAGCCGCGGCCCTTTTAACGCCAACGTCAAACCTGACGACGCGTTTCTTTTTCTCCGCAGCAATATCTGCATCGCAGGTGAGTCGTCGCAACAGCTGGTTGAAATTGGGGAGATGGTCGCAAACTGACATTTTCTGCGTAGATGTGGAAAATAAAGCATCACTGCTTTTTTCAGCCTCAATGACGATAACCATCACAAGAGCTTCTCACGACACGTCCAAGAAACTTGGATCAGGCGGCGGAGTACATCCCTCAATGGCCTCGCTGTTGCTCCTGTGGAAGTCACGTCTGCTTGTCTGTGGGTGACTGAGAACATGAACAGAAATCTAAGAGGCTTGCTCCAATCATCTCATGGTAGCTGCGAACCGGCCTGCCGAAATGCCCGGCACGTCCCGTGTTGACGTTGGACCTCGATGCCAATTGTACCTCTGATGAGCGTGTACATTCAGTATCTGATCGACAAAGACATTAATGAACGACTTACAATTTAGCATTAATCATCCCGACCTATTTCTCGTGCCAATCTACTCATACAATACATTCGAGTTCTTGGCAGGCGGTGCATCGCAAAATCCAGCCCTAACCACCAATTCTTCCCCAATTCGCAATCCCACCCAATGACGAGAATCCCCCGTCTAGCAACTACTCCGAGGCAATCCATTTTCATTGCTCCGTCTGTATACCCCACGAGGGCAACGGCGTTGAGCATGCCGGTGACGAGTGACAACCAAAAGGTAGTTTTCAATCCGAGGGTGCGGCATTCACATTCACTATCTGATCTATGGGAGGCTGGCGCTCTTGCAGCTTTCGATCTATCCAATCAATTCAATTCACCGTGTCATGTTTTCCATTGTCTTCCATTGTTCCTGTCGCTGTCGCTGGCGCCTGAAGTGTACGTCACTGCCAAACCAATTAAACTTGTTCCCCAGTGAATGTTTCTTCCAGAGTAAGAAGGCACGTCCAAAGTAGGAAGGCACGCAATGCCTCTATCCGGCCTCACTTCGGCCATGCAAACGACTGAAGGGGGGGTCACACGTAGTGAGGGCAAATAAATACCCTGCCCTGCCCTCAGATCTCTCTTCTTCTTTATTCCCTCCTCCACACCCTTGGTCCTCAGGCCGTCGAGCCGAGCTCACTCTCTTCCCTCTTCTCCTGCCCCTACCCCGTCTCACTTTCGACTGCCCTTGAGCTGGAGCTCCGGCCTATGACTGAGGCTATGGTTGCGCTAATCTTTCACAGTTCTTTTTCGTACACTTACTCGACTGGTGTACGACGACAATCGGGTTCCTCCTCCTCGACTGGAAGATCTCGACGCCAGAAGCAACGGGTGGTTGGGAGGTGCTTCTTCTTCGACTGGAACGACAGCCGCCCGGCTCCTCCTACTCGACTGGAAGCGACAGGAACCCGCAGACTCCTTCCTACGGCGTCTGGAAGGAGGGTAAGGAGGGTCAATCCATGGACAAGATCTATTGGATAACAGGTGTTGGACTCGGAGCTGCACCGGCAGGGCAAAGTGGGCGGAGGCTTCGGCCCTCCACGCTCTGACATGGTGTTTTCTTCGGTTTGATTCCTGACTACTTAGTGATGAAGTCAAGACACTCATGGAAAAGAGACCGCCTCACTCTTCGGAGTGGAATCGGATGGTCTTCGCTGACTTAGCTTTGCGCTTGAGAATCTGAGGGCAGTCGAGAATCTACAATTTTCCTTTCCTGTTTCCCTTCTTTCTGTATCAACTTCGAGTCGAGAATACAACTGTTGGTCTGAGATCGTTTCCATCTTGTAGTGCTTCCTTTCATTGTAGACTCGAGTAGCTTTTGGATCTCCTCATGTTCTCTAGTAACTGCTTCTGTCCCGAACTTCAACCTCTCTCTCCGCAGCACGCCAGTGACATGCACAATCCTCAACATAGACGACACGGTGCACGAGATGACTCGGTAATAGTGCGCGCTCGCACTCGGCCTACTCTGGAATCTACATGCGATTGAAGAGATCTTGGAGATGGGGAATGAATATTCAATTCATCTTCTATCAAAACACCTCCTTACTTGCGAATATGCCCATGAATCAACCATGCGCGGGTATCATCTGTTCGACAAAGCCACGAACGCTCAAAACGCCAGATGCAATGCTAACACTAACAAGCAAAAACAGACAGATCACGCCACACCAGCCTCAAGACGAAACACTCGAGGTGGTGTTGGAACTAGTATTCGTCGTGCTGTTCCCAGAAACCTCGAACTCGAGAGACGACAAGACGACCGTGCTGTTCACGGCTCGAATATCGATCGCCGAGGCATACATACATCTCCACCCATCACAATTCGCATGAAACACCATCTTCGTCCCATCCTTCGAGATTGTGGCGCCGCCGGGCGCTTCCAAACGGAAATCCGTCGTCTGCAGGAGTGGCCGCCCGGCTCTGGTATAGGGTCCCTTGACGGACTTGGCGTGGGCATACTTGACATTGTACCCGAGCGAGGTGAAACAATGCGACGAAAAGAAGAGGAAATACGTGCCATCAGCTGTGCGAATGATATCCGGAGCTTCGACCAGCGGTCCATCGGAATCGTTGATGTTGAGGATGGTCGTTGGCTCGCCTACTTTCGTGATGCCGTCACTTTTCAACTCTTGCAGCATTATAGGGACGGAGCTTCGTGGAAGACGGCTGTTGCCGCAGTATCCTCCGCTACCTACGCTGTTCCCGTCGGCTTTGTATACGACGTATAAGGTTCCGTCTGTGTCTTTGAAGGGTGATGGGTCGATTGCGCCGCCGTATTTGTGTGGGCAGGCGAGGGACTCGTTGAGAGGTATGTACGGACCAAGCGGGTCGGTGCCTTCTGATACGGCGGCTCCGATGCAGTGGTGTGTTTTGAAATCTTTTGTCTGACCTGCGTAGTAGATCACGAACTTTCCATCGTCCTGTGCGAATTGTCAGCTATATCGATCTCGGTGATTTGGACGATTTGTCCCTCTTACCCGCTGAATCGCATCTGGTGCCCAGTGGTTGACACTACGCTCCCAACCGCCGAGAGTTGGCATCGCGTCATAGTCGTGGTGCAGAGTCCAGTTGACAAAGTTGGTGGACGTGGCCACAGGGATGTGGATAGTGTTCGGATCATGCTTCTTGGGATTTGTTCCATAGGCATACCATGTGCCGTTGTGTTCGAGAAGACCGGGATCTGGGAAGTTATGGATGGCGAAGACGGGACGATTCTCCTTGATCTTGTAACTGGGGTCGTCATGATTCGAATGATACAGATGGTATGTATCTCCCAGGTCCGGTTTCTTCTTTCTCGTGAAAATGATCGGAAGAGCGATGATGATGGCGACTAACCCGAGTCCCACGAACAATAGTGCACTGAATATTCCAATTTGCCCTCGCGACCAGGGCCGCGCAAAGAGGCCCTTCTTTTCACCTTCGCCTTCGTCTTGGATATCCCCCGGCTGCTTCGATTCCAAGTCCGCTTTGCTTCCCTCGCTGTCTGACAATTGCCCTGCCGAGGCTTCGCGAGCATTGGGTTGCCCAATTGTGAAGGAATTCGGCATTGTGTCGCGCCGAATGAACCTCGACTGCGTTTTGCTTGAGAAGTCGGGTAAATTTTTGACTGAGATAACCGGCTGGCTATAAATAACTTGCACGGGGAAACACCGACTCGGACACTACCAGATGTGTGGCAGTGCGAAAGAACGAGTGAAATAGGAAAAGTGTACACAAGTTAGAACGATGCTGCCCATTGCAATCCGTTGTTTCCCCACCCCTTCTGAACTACCTGTGCTGATCCCGGGGTCCAGGGTCCAAAAAGGAAGAAATAAACTACATGGTACATGGATGGGCGAGCGACTTTTTTATAATAACCAGGGATGTCTAGAGCATGGGGGCGGCTCATGCGAGAATCAAATGTGAAACGGGGATTGATGGGCCGATCCTGTGACAGGATTGGCTTACAGCAAAAGATACCAATCTGGACCCCTCCGGCTGTAAGGTTTTAATGGGGGCGTGGGGGCAGATGCAGGGCCATTCAGACTGTGAAAAGTCTTGGAAAGAGGGGTCTTTCTTTTGATTGAGGCGCAGACGAAATCACACCAGTGTTGACGGCAATGAGACCATCAACCCCCAAGGGAAAATCCCTTGGGGGCCAGATAGGGCGGTTTTGGAGATACTCGTACCACTACGGAGTACAGCTGGGACACTCGCTGACTGTGTCGAAGAAGCTAAGGCGCAAGGAGAAATCGAGTCTTGGCTAAGCTTTTGTGGTCGGTCCATGAGGAGGCGACCGGGCCAATGGACACGACGAAAGATGATTCTGTCATCCATTCTTGCCGGTGGGCTTCAATCTAGTGCGGGCCCCTGTTGATCCACGCTTGGATCTCTCTCGTTGCTGTGTTCACGCTGTTCCGTCTGGATAGCTCAGATGCAGTCGAAGAGCAAGGTTTTTCTTTATTGAGAAAATCTTTGCATGGGCGAGATCATTCCGATTTACGACCTCTGGATTCAGTCACCCTTCGAGTATCTCCTGCGTCTGTTCTCTCAGTCTGCTCGTCCATTGGGGATAACTCAGGGCTCCCGGGAGTGTGGGGAATCGTGGCGTGTCTTCCACCACTGGCAAGCGCCGGGACCATCAGGCAGCATGATTGAATCGATCAACATACTCCGTACTCCGTTCGAATTACGGAGATGTTGAGAGAATTTACATTTGATGTGGTGATCTAGTTCTTGCTGGGCCAGAGTCGAAACTTCCGCGATGTCGAGCGTGATTGCGTTTTATCCTGGTCCTCCTGCATCATCATCATCATCATCATCATCATCATCATCATCATCATCATCATCATCCACCTCGACAAACCGTTTCTTTCAAGTCCCTATCTTTCTAGGTCTGATGTTGGGTAATCTGGATGGACAGTATTGGTGATAGACTCTTTCTAGACAATCCATGAGCCATAAAATGTGCAAGCAAAACGCTGTGACTATCGCCTGGTCAATGCTTCTGCGAATAGCTTGGAATTCTCGAGAGTTGCTCGCTCGAGAGTGCAAGCAACAATATTTGTGGCCGGCGAGTCTAGTGTGCATATTACTACGTAGTAGTATCGGCTTCTCCCTTGTCTATCTGTTCCATGTGACCGGTCCTCGGAGTAAACTTCGCATCCAAATGTCTTCGACCGCGCGAAATCGCGGAATCAGGGTCACCACAACAAAATCTTTAGGGTTGTCGCCCCTTTTGGCCTCGGCTCGAATCCATCCTAAGGAATATTAGTAACCGATAACATTGCTTCATGATTACTAGACTCTACTAGTAGATAGTAGTAGTATATATGTGTAGGTTTGTATAGAGAATCCTAGTGATTTGCGATATGTCTATTCCCAGATTTTGGAATTCTGACCGCTCGTCACTTAGAATCAAGGTATACGTCCAGTGGCGTCTATCGTTCACCGTACCTATTGTCAACCTTGGAAGTCAAAGCTTTGGTTTCTGTTGCCTCGTGCTAGCAGTGTGCGTGCGTAACCGGAGCTTGGCTGGCTTGGCAGTCCCAGCGCGCCGAAGCTTGTTTGACCAAAGTATTCGCAGTGGCCGGTTGCAGTTTCTGCAAATAAAGCAAGGCCGGCTCTTCTGCTAGTGCAGTATAATACAGGCTCGGGGCTAAATACAGCTTGTGAGTTCTATATAGTGCCCAGGTGTGGCACTAGGACCGGATACACAGCTCAGGTTCATCATCGGTGAAGAAGCCCCCTGGGATACTACTAGTAGTACTACCTGCTGGCTCCAACTCTGACACCTAGTGTACATGAAGTGTCTCCAGGGGGAAACCCAAGGGCGCAGATGAATGTTTCAAGTCTTCGAGAAAAGGCCGATCCCATACCTAAAGGGGCGTTGGACTACCAATACTGCGTAGTGACGACGCAACTATCCGACGCCAGTCACGCTAGCAGGCGCCTTCAAGAAGAGAACAGACCGAAGAAGACATCCATGGAGAAATGACAATCCCCGTGAAGTTGCACAGTTCAACTCCAATAGGAAGCTCAGGATCAGCTTATCAAACTGCTGTGTTGAGCCTCGTATCTGTCTCCAATTCGAGAGCGATCGCCCCCGGGGCCGCAATGGCGCAATCGTGGGGAACAACTTAAACTGGATTCAGATTGTCAGATATCACTACGAGTAGTTTAAACAGACTTGTTCACCAAAGGGTCACAATGAGGGAAACTTGAAGAAGAAAGATTGCCGAAAATAATTCCGTAGTCTCGGCGGCTGCAAGTGCGGGCCACGTGAAAGGGATCCACCAGCGAGATGAGATGTTGGCGTTGGCATACGCAATCTTCCCACGATTCGTCCACTTCCAACCCTGACCGTTACTGACTAGTGCGTTCACGAGTGAGAGGGAAACCATTCTGGCTTCTTTTCTCATTCGAACTCTTCTATTTTCCATTTTATATATTCCCTTGTGGTCGGGCCCAGGTTCCTGATCGATACTACCGTGTGGTACCTCCTATTTCTGTTTGCGGCGGGCGTCGCATTCTGGAAGACACTCTTACTAGCACGCTACACCAGCCCCAAGGAGAATACCGCCATGCCAATTCTCCGATCGCCTGAAGCTTAATCTCAGAACGCATACCTACGATCCTGCCCCGGCAACCTAATTGCCTCTCGGATCGCATCCCTCTTGAACCGAACCGAACCAAACCCGACTCGAATCGCCGAGCTTCGCGCCTTGCGCCTCGCCCTCCCACGCCACCCGCAGAGGTCCTGGTTAGCAGCCCGACTCAACGGTGCGCGTGGCTGTCGTTATCCTGACAGGGGGGGCTAGGAATTAGAACTGGTTGCACGGTCGCACAAAACCCCGCTGCCCACCATGCCGACGCTCCGAAAGGCCGTATTCGCCGTTATCTGCCTGGTCGCCTTTGTATTCATCATCCGCTCGACCCGGCCGGCCACTGACATTCCTGGGGTGCCAGGATATAAGCCCGTGCAAGATATCTTTGCAGAGGAACAGGAATTGCTGCTCAACCCGAAAAAGAAAGCCAAGTCCCGACAGCAACAGCTGTTCGGCCCGGCGCTAACAGCCCCGTTGCGCGATCGTCTACGCTACCAATTCCCTTACAATCTCGAGCCCCATTTCCCTGCATATATCTGGCAAACATGGAAGTACGCACCGTCCTCGAGTCGATTTGATCGAGACCTGCGCGAGGTCGAGGCGACATGGACGGAGATGAACCCATATTTCACCCACCAGGTGATTGGCGACGACACCCAGCGCCATCTTATCGAGTATCTATACGGATCGATGCCGGATGTTTTTGAGGCCTATGACTCCTTACCGCTGGCGGTGATGAAGGCGGATTTTTTCCGGTACCTCGTACTACTTGCTCGCGGTGGAGTCTATAGCGACATCGACACCCGAGCACTCAAGCCTGCTCATTACTGGTTACCAGAGGAACTCGACCGCTCAACAATCGGATTTATGGTCGGTATCGAGGCCGATCCCGATCGACCGGACTGGCATGATTGGTACTCACGTCGCATCCAGTTCTGTCAATGGACTATTGTCTCCAAACCGGGCCATCCGATCCTGCGCGATATGGTCGCTTATATTACAGAGGAAACGTTGCGCATGAAGAGAGCTGGGATTCTCAAGGTTGGCAAGATGGATAAGACTATCATGGAGTTTACGGGGCCCGGAGCCTGGACTGATGCGGTCTTCCGCTACTTCAATGACCCGAATTACTTCAATATCGTGTCCGGGGAGAAGAATGTCACCTATGAAGACTTCTCCGGTCAAACTACCCACCGCAAAGTCGGCGATGTGGTCGTCTTGCCAATTACGAGTTTCAGCCCTGGTGTTGGACAGATGAACGCGGGCGATACCGATCATCCAATGGCCTTTGTAAAGCACAATTTCGATGGTAGGTCATTTCCCCCCATTTCACATCTTTTGTTTAACCCGAAATCATAATCTAACGATTTTTCTTTCTCCAGGCACGTGGAAGACGGACCCATCTCTATGAGGCAAATTCTCAACACTGCTGTTACACCAAAAGTCCCATCTGTCGCCGCTTTGGATGCTTTGCTTTAACAATACCCTTGTCCTGCCTTTCCGACGAGATATCTGCCCTATGCCTGGCCAAACAAAGAAAGAAACCCCTTGTTTGAGCATCAGCCAACATATTGCCGAGTCGAAAACTGCGAGACTCTACCGGCCACCTTCCTCCCCCTTCCCTTCTCACCAACTGTGACCATTCTTGTCCTCCTGGATATCGAGCTGCAAGCAGCCTTTTTTTGGATACGTCCCAGGCATGGACAATGTATTTATCATGATGAGCGCGTCCATGTTTCACGATCCGTAGTACATATGATTCCCATACTTATTATGTTTTATAAACTACCCCTTTTTTGTTTGCTTCAAGCTTATTGCTCTTTCGACGTTCCAATGACTAGATAAAAGAACCTTCCAAGGCTTGAGAATATATTTTTATCCTTGATTGATGCTTGACTTCAAAAAATCTTCCAATTTTAGATACTACTATGATACTACTACCCAGTACTAGTAGTACCAGTAGTGGTGGTGACGGTGCGAAAATCTTCTTCAAGTTGGATCATGGACAGGGAAATAAAATTGGAGTATCTCCGAAACTGAAGTTGAAGTAGTAGTATATATATATACTTGTCGGTTTGTGCAATCATTCTAAGCATAAACCCAACAAAAAAGGTGAAAAAGAAAGAGAAAAAAAAAACACGCCACTTGATTATTGCGTCCCTATCTTCAGGCTTTGAAATGTCCAGGCATAGCTGTGGCATTTTTAGACAGACCGGTCGATGATAGATCAAAGCCGAAATAGAATCGCCAAGTTGGGGACTATTCGATAGACCAGGACTATAAGACTCGAGAGCAGGCTAGGCGGTGACTTCAAGGTAACGGCAGAGCTAGAAGGGAATCTCGTGCTCGTCAGATGACAAGCGTAAATTCCCTGATTTGAAAGTGAGAGAAGGTATAATCCAAAGAGATTACCCTGGGGGTATAAGGTATTGTGCGAGCGGGGGTATTGTAGGAGGATAGTCGCCATCCAAGGCGAAGGTAAGGGATATCGGGTCAAGGGTGAAGTTACAGACTTTCCAAGGTTGATAATAGCCCAACGAAAGAAAAACTGGAGGTGGTCACGCATTAACCGGCTTTAGAGACCCGGGATGATGCACGTTGCTGTGTCCAATAGCGACGGTGACGGCGACAGCCCGGTGGGTTGTGCGGTCTCAGCCCAACCCGTGTTGAAAATATATAGGTTGCCGAAACGAAGTATATGCACGAAGCAACACGGAAGAGAGAAGATGAGAGAAAGAGCCTCTCTTTTTATCAAAAGTCGCTGAAAAGAGGCTCAAACTTCTTCTTAAGGTCATCGGTGTAGAGGTTTTGATTTCGGTTGTCGGAGTCCGGGTATTCTTCAAAGTTACCCGTATCCGCAGGATGTGATACTCGGGGAATGATCGGGCCTTTGACGCGGTGATAGAAGAGGTCGTCCCAAGCAACACCTTGGAAGAAAGGGTGGGATTTGACTCGAGCCGAGCCCCCCCCGATATATAGCCCAAACGCTCCGACGGGTTCGTTTTACAGAGCAAAGAGACAATATTTTGCGCAGCGGGGGGGCATGTTCGGTGGAAAACGCAGGCGTCCCTCGACAATTTGTTCGTAAATACGCATTGGACTTTGGTCCCAAAATGGAGGTTGCCCTACAAGGAACTCGTAGATCAAGATTCCGAGAGCCCACCAATCAACAGCGAGTCCGTGGCCGCTGTTATGAATGACTTCCGGAGCCAAGTATTCCGGAGTACCACAGAGCGTGTAGGTTTCCCGGTTGTGTACTTGTTTTGCGAATCCGAAATCGACTAACTTGATATGGCCATTTGCGTCAAGTAGGATATTCTCCGGCTTTAGGTCGCGATAAGCCACCCCTTGTACGTCATGGAGGTATTCGATAGTCATGGTGATCTCGGCCGCATAGAACTTCGATGTTTCTTCGTTGAAACGTCGGGCGCGTCGGAGATAGCTGAATATCTCGCCTCCGGGGCAAAAATCCAACTGCTAGCGATTAGACTGCTGCAAGAACCCGTGGGGCCAGGAGTAAGACTAGGTAAGAGAGACCCAACGTACTAGCATATAAAGACATTGTTCATCCGAGAAAGATGCGACGAGGGTTGTGATGAAAGGGTGTCCGATTACTGCGGCGAGGGTTTTGCGCTCGTTGCGCACATGTTCAACCTGCTTCAGCTTGATCACTGTTTGGTGATAGATCGCATGGTCAGCGCTGATCGCATGCAGATTTGCGATAAGGACCATACTAACCATCAGCCTTGCGCAGAACCTTCAGCGCATACACCTTGTTCTTGTCCGGTTGATCTTTCAGTCTTGTGAGGGAAACTCGAGCGAATGTGCCTAGCATGTAGCCAAAGAACGACGGTGAGATTCTATAAAAGACGCATGCGGCTTGGGAGGGGAGGAAGGGAGTTCAAACCTGTGCCTAGGGTCTTCAAAAGGACAAAATCATTCAGATGCAGACTTCGCGACGAGATCGAGAGCTGTCTTTCCTCGCGGCGCTCAGTGACAAGAAACGGGTTTGCGGATCGCTGCGGAGGACGGCCCGACTGAACGAGGTGCTTGTCTCGCTGGTGGGTATCGCTTGGGCGCATTTCGTTGGATCTTGAGGCGATAGTACTGCCTTGTACATCACCTGGTGCCGAATGTTGGAGTGCTCCGGTGGCCATTGCAACAGCAGAGCATAGTAGTCTTCCCTCCGCGACTCGGACGGAAGATCAGGCAAAAGAAAAGAAAAGTATAGGAGCCCACCCGGTTAGCGCGCCACCAGTTTCGCGTCGGCAGCCAGCTTGATCCGGGGGCGATATTCAGACCAACACAAAGGTCATTTATAGAATAAGGATCCCCTGGGGTAAAAGCGCGGAGAAGAATGGGAGGGGCCTTTCGCAAGGATCGCGGGGCAGAAGAGATGGCAAAAGGAGAGTTCTGCCAGCTCTGACGTATTTCTATGGGGGCGGGGCTACGGTCTTTCCTAGTTCAGTCCCGAGGTGAGCGAGAACGACGGTGATAAATCGGAACTTGAATCTTAATTCTTCGGGCTTGGGCCCTGCTATTCGTCCCGAATTTAGTATATGCGAACATGTGGCCCCCTTATAATACATCCCGAAAAATAAAAAGAGGAATAAGAGAAGAGTTAAACAGCAATAGAGTCGTTGCGATTCCAGAGCCAGCCAGCCCGGATCGGGATTTAGGATCTGAATCTGGATCAGGGTCTGGGTCTTGATCCTGGTCTCGATCTTCTAGCGCGCAGGGCCCTCCTGTCGCCAATACGCTGGGTGTGGCCTAATGCGATCCACCTGTGGACGGGAATCATGCAAGTGCGCGAGAGGGGGAAGCGATCATAGAGAAGGCGTTTGCGAAATGATGAAAAGCGCGCGCTCAAGACTTCGAGTTCAGGATGAGACCAACAATCAAACTAGTATCGAGTTAGCATCATGGTATCACAAAGGACCTTGAAGACGGCTTATTCCCGGGCCTTCTCCTCGTTTTTCCTCTTCTCTAGCAGACATACCCATAAAGACCAAGAACTTCGCCGAAAATAAGAATCAAGATCATGCCCACGTAGACACGGGATTGTTGCATGTAAGCCCGAACACCCTAGTAATTTATTAGAACCAAAATATCTTGCGTTTGCGATCTCGGAGGGAAAGGAGGAGCACATACTGCATCACCAACAATTCCAATCGTGTAGCCGGCCGCGATACCGGTCAATCCGACCGACAGGCCAGCTGCGAGATGCATAAACGAACTATATCCTCTCCGTCAGCCACCAAGTCCTCCACTTCCAGGTTATTTCGTCAACCATACGTGTATAAGCTCAGGTTGTTTGACGGGCTCAGTGCTTGCGAGATAAGGACGGCGACGACAAGACCATAGACTGCAATGATACCGGACATGACAACGGGGATGAGAGACTGCAGGATCGATCGAGTTGGTCAGCTTGTGTTGCATCGGAACCGCCGAGAGGTGGATTTGCTTGCCTTCATGATCAAGTCAGATCGGAATGTGCCAACACCTGCAATACCAATTCCCGACTTCGCTGTGCCGTAAGCTGCTCCTGCCGCTGTGAAGCTGTCAGCTGCGTGTCCCCATCGCTCCCAATCAAGAATCGACAATTCCACTATCCACCAAGTTGAGAAGCCACATACATCCGAAGACCATCTTCACCGCCAGTCGTTAGCATTCATTTTATCGGGTCAGAATCGAGGAGTGTCGGAACTCACTGCAGCAGCAATGCCGGCCTAGAGTCGTCTGTTAGTATAGTTGCACGGAAGCTGGAGCTCATGGGAGACCACTCACAAAGGAGAAGAACGGGGCGAACTTAGGAGCGAGCTCGCTGTCCGCCATGATTGAAGATGTATCGATGTATGGGATGTTGTGAGGAAGCTTGAAGGAGAATAGAGAGAAGGGGGGGGGGGGAGGAAGTAGGGTTGAGAGGGAGGTGGGCTTGAAGGTAAGTAAGTTCAACGTAAGTCCCGACTTGTTGCTCCTGGCTGCTGCTGCGGTTGTTGCAGAGGGTCACTTGGCCCGCCCGTAGCGCATTGCCGCGCTTCTCTTCGGGTATGTGACAATACCATACCACCTCCCTCTCCGCCTTTATCATCCCCTTTGTATGCCGTATCGTGGGAAATAGTAATGGTTATACCACCCGTCAATACGTCTACCTCCTCTCCTGGCCGCTGCTGGTTTCCCCCCCCAATCTATCGCTGCATTTTCAACAATCACCTCCCCTCCTTCTCTCCTCCTCCCCCCCTCCGCCCCCCCACCATCCACCCACTTTTCAACTCTCTCTCCATTTCATCCTTTTATTCTCTGGGCTCAGGGGAATGCTGAGGGTATGAGATATCAGGGAGCCCTGACTTTGTTGTGCTCACGGCTCCTGGCACTCCTCGACCTTTAAATCCCGACAACCCCCCCGTTTACTCCGGAGGGAAGCTATTGACTTACTGAGGACCGACCTTACATAGAGACGACTCTCAAATACTCTCACTAGGCATCTTATACCTCAGTGAGATCGCCGTTATCGCCAGTCCCCTCCATTCCCGTTGTCTACGATCTTTGAACAGAACTCTTGCGACGCCCTGAACGCTCTCTACGATCGACCCGGATACTCTTTACTACATCTATTTCCCATCCTATCACCATACAACATAGACGTCGTCGCCCTACGAACTTAGAAATACACATATCTCTCGATTGATCGCTGGTGTGGTGAACATGGCGGATTTGGGGGGGTCAGCGTAACCGGAACTACCGGCCCTATGGCCCTGCCTCGAATACACAACGGGATGCCGCCTTCAACGATATCTTTGGGGGCGTACCTCAGGGAGGTCGCTCACAGACTATGAACTCGCAAACCCCACAGTTCTCCCAGGGTCGTGCTCACACAATGTCGTCGCACACCGTGCAGCCCCAATTCCAGAGGATGCCACCGCCGCCAACACGACAGGTCCCGAATGGATACGGACCGCCGCCATCTGCACCTCCAAATGGATATCCTCCACCGCCGCCTTCAGGGCAATACCAAGCATATAATCCTGCGGCTGGGTCCGGGGCCGCGACAATGTCGTCGCAACCACCACAGCAGCCGCGACCGTACCCGGGAGCGGGGGGACGTTTCGCTTATCCTCGACCCCAACGCTTGGATTCTAGACCAGGCCCGCCACCCCAATATGCGGATCCACGGGATCTGGGTCGGCCGATGCCCCCTCCAGCCCTGAATTCAGATGCGACGAGATCTCGATCGATGGCGAAACTCAATGGACCATCCTACCCAGCCGTCCCTCCTCCCGCCCCACCTAGCAATTTCAACCATACCTCCGCGGCTGCCTCGCGTCGCGAGCCTTACTACTCTGGATCGAGTATGACTCAATTGGGCCGGACGGTTCCAGAAAGACATGGCAACGAGCGAGCCATGTCTATGACCACCTATGCGACGGAACGAGAAAACCCTCACATCTCTTCTAGTGGAAGAGCGATCCCGTCTCGACGCCCACCGTCGGGTGGTCATGATCCATTATCTGCGACGGCTCCGGCCCCAGTCCCGGTCCCGGTTCCACAGCGCTTCGACTCCATGCCTGCCGATGTACCAGCCGTCGCCGATGGCTATGCCAAGCCTCGTCCGCCCAGCGATGCCTCAACTCGATCTCGCACGATGTCGATGGCGTCGACGATCATGCCGGACCGCACATTGAGCGTCCAGAGTGGAGCAACCCAGGGCTCGAATGGCCAAACAACCCTTGTTTCAAGCAATTCGCGTCGAAACAAGTTGCCTGTCGTTTATCCTGCTCTTCTCTCGCGTGTTGCCGATGTGTTTCGGGAGAAGGCCCCATTGGGTGAGCGACAGAAAAACGGCCTTTCGTACCAGAATGCTTTCTCCGGTACCGACGCCGTTGATCTGATTTCTCTCATCATCAGAACCAATGATCGCAACCTTGCTCTGCTCCTTGGCCGCGCATTGGATGCACAGAAGTTTTTCCATGACGTTACTTATGACCACCGCCTTCGAGATGCCCCCGGAGAAGTCTATCAATTCAAAGAGACCATAGGCGAGGATACTGTCAGCTCGGAAGTTAATGGAGTGTTCACCTTGTTGACTGAATGTTACTCTGCCACCTGCACACGCGACAGTCTATGCTACTCCATTGCTTGCCCCCGACGATTGGAACAGCAATCAAGACTGAACCTCAAGGTTCAGCCGGTTCTAGGAACAACTACCAAGGGCACCTTACCCATTGATGACGACGATGACAATGATAACCAAAAGTTGTGGATCAACATGGTTCCGAAGGAGGTATCCGACGCCATAGATGACAACGAGAAGAAGCGACAAGAGGTTATTTTTGAGATTATGTACACCGAACGCGACTTCGTCAAGGACTTGGAATACCTTCGAGATTTCTGGATGCGGCCCTTACGTGCCGCGGGCCCCGCGACAACTTCACCCATTCCAGAGCATCGACGGGAGAAGTTCATTCGAACTGTTTTCGGTAACTGCTTGGAGGTGCTCAAGGTCAATGGCGGCCTCGCTGAAGCTCTGAATTCCCGCCAAAAGGAAAGCCCTGTCGTCAAGTCTGTTGGTGATATCTTCCTCTCGCATGTGCCCAAATTCGACCCTTTTATTAAGTATGGTGCAAACCAACTCTACGGAAAATACGAATTCGAAAAGGAAAAGTCATCGAACGTAGGCTTCTCCAAATTCGTCGATGACACGGAGCGTTTGAAGGAGTCCCGCAAATTGGAACTGAACGGTTATCTCACCAAGCCAACCACTCGATTGGCCCGGTACCCCCTTCTTTTGGGATCGGTCCTGAAGTATACAGCCGACGATAGTCCCGATAAGGAGGACATTCCAAAGGCCATAACCTTGATCAAGAGCTTCCTGTCCCGTGTTAATACCGAGAGTGGAAAGGCCGAGAACCATTTCAACTTGGTGCAACTCAATGGCTCGCTCAAATTCAACCCGGGAGACTATGTGGACCTGAAGCTTACTGAAGAGAACCGACAAATGCTTACCAAGATGGCATTCAAGAAAACCACCGCTGAAAGCTCAGAGGTGACGGCATATCTCTTTGACCACGCAGTCCTTCTTGTTCGGATAAAAATGGTGAACAAGCGTGAAGAATTCCGAGTGTATAAGAAACCCATACCGCTTGAGCTTCTGGTCATCCCGCAGATGGACGAAGTCATCCCTAGGGTTGGAATTTCGAAAAGACCTTCCTCGAGCCTCTTGTCTAACAAAACGTCCCCGCTGCCTCCCCCTGCCAAGGACGGCCAGCTGCCAATCACCTTCCGTCACCTTGGTAAAGGTGGTTATGAGCAGACTGTTTACGCCACCTCCCCAACCCAAAGGAGGAAGTTCATTGAAATGGTCGAGGAACAGCAAAGGAAGCTTTGGGAGCGCAACAGCAACTTCTACAACAAGACAATTCTGAGCCAGAATTTCTTCTCTGCTGTTAATCGGGTGAATTGCTGTGTTCCAGTTGATGGTGGACGGAAGCTGGTTATTGGTACCGACAGTGGCATCTATATTTCTGATCGCTGGCCTAAAGACAAGGCGGCCAAGCCGAAGAAGGTTTTGGAGGCTAGCCAAGTTACGCAAATCGACACTCTGGAGGAATATCAGTTGCTGCTGGTTCTGGCAAACAAGACCCTCTCATCTTATCCCATGGATGCTCTTGAGCTAGGGGAGGACAACAAGAATGCCCTTGCCAAGCGCCCGAAGAAGATTCAAGGCCATGCCAATTTCTTCAAGGCGGGTATCGGTCTCGGACGTCATCTTGTCTGCTCGGTGAAGACTTCAGCTTTGTCCAGTACTATCAAGGTCTACGAGCCGATGGACAATCTGGCCAAGGGCAAGAAGAAGTCTGCTGTCAGTAAGATGTTCCAGAGTGGCCAAGATACTCTCAAGCCATTCAAGGAATATTATATCCCAGCCGAATCATCTTCGATTCACTTCTTGCGATCTACTTTGTGTGTTGGTTGTGCTCGTGGTTTCGAGGTCGTCAGTCTTGAAACCACCGACACTCAGTCCCTCCTGGATCAGGCCGATACATCTCTTGATTTCGTCGCACGCAAGGAGAACGTCAAGCCCATCCATATCGAGCGTATGAACGGAGAGTTCCTCCTCAACTACAGCGACTTCTCCTTCTTCGTCAACCGCAATGGATGGCGTGCTCGTCCAGACTGGAGAATTTCGTGGGAGGGTAACCCGACGGCATTTGCACTTTCATACCCTTATATTTTGGCCTTCGAGCCCAACTTCGTTGAGATCCGCAATGTGGAAACGAGCGAACTGATTCATATTATGACGGGAAGGAACATTCGCATGCTACACTCTTCCACTCGCGAGGTATGTTGGCCATATGGCTTCCCATCCTCATTCAACCATGTACTAACACAACTTCTTGCAGATCATCTATGCCTATGAAGACGAATCAGGCGAGGACATAGTTGCTAGCTTGGACTTCTGGAACAAACCCCAGAACCAAATATAACCTCGCTGAGCATCCTCCGTCTCGCCGCTTCCTCTCAGCCCACCCCCGCCGAGCTGCCAGGCCAGCCCTGTACTAGCCCGGTCCAACGGCTTCGTCTTTCCCTCTCACCTCTCCAATCCCCTTCACATCTTACCGAAGTCCAAAAGAATATCTCTGTCTGGAAGACTCATTTTCCATTTTGTTTTTGTTTGTACAATGGAGCGCAAATACCACTTCTTGCGTGTCTGCTTTGTCCTATTTTCCTCCCTCCTGCTGCGATCTGCGTTACCCTTTTTGTTCCATCGTTGCATTTTTCTTCTTTTCTCTCCAGATCCCTTTTTGCCTTCTCTTAAAATTTTATTGATTTCTTCCCCCCCCCAACATTGATTTTGCCTTCCCCCTCCTTTCCCCTCCGCATGGCCTGCGAATGTATTGACCATGTCTTGTTTTTTCCCCCCTTAGCTTTTTCCTTTAACCATTTTTTCTCTTTCTTTCCTGTACTGTTGAAATTTTTGAGGTATTCCATTACTTCCAATGCTATTGATGCGGAATGCTGTGCTTTGGACCGGTAGATCATCTGTGGTAGCTTGAAGATATCAAACACAATACATAATATGGATTTTGATTTCTAAAGCTGCAGTGGTGTGTCATGTTGGGGTGCATGCATGCATCGTACTAGTACCTACTATATATTGGATGTATCTATAGGGGCAGGAGTACCCACAGGCTTGCTACTAGTAGTGAGTAATAGCAAGCCCCGGGCTCGTGGCTACTACTCCTTTTTCTCTATCATATCCATGGATGTGACCAATCGAGCCGTGAAATTTAAAGGAGACTACGTACGGATACAGTATATGCACCTATGCAATACAGAAAGCCAAAGAATAGAGCAGATCCACGTGTCCAGAACAGAGCGAGACCAAAATACTTTTTCTTCCTCATTGAGCTATAGAACTTGAACTTGGTGGGAAGACCACGGGGGGGAAGGGGAGGCGGGGGATAAGTTGGACTTGGAGCCAAGAGCAACAAAAAGATACAAAAGAGGAGAAGAGGGAATCTTGGCTGCACTGCGGGACTTTGAACAAGGTGACACGGGGCAAAATAACGAGATTTCCTAGGACGGGTGGGGGTTGGTGTTAGACAGTATGCAGAATGATTAGTCCCCGGGTAAAGCGAACAAGGAAATGAGCAAGGAAGATGGAATGATCGTGCTTGTCTCTGTCCCAATCAAATACCACGTTGAAATGCGCAGCCTGGGAAGGTGGAAGATGTGGTGATTGTCCATGGCTTTGACCACTGAACGGCAGAGACAAGTGGGGAAATGGATCGCGAGGTCAAACAGCAAGATCATCACCGAGACATCTGTATAGTCTTTGTCTCTCCACTTGGAGAACGGAGAACATGAAGGAGTGGTTGTGCCCATCGTCGAAGCCGGAGCGTTGCATTCTATGTTGGGAATTTGTCCATCTCTCCACAGAGACACCAGAAACAAAGATAAGGAGAGCAAAAGAAGAAGCGAAAAAGAAAATAAAAAAAAGCTATTAACGTGAATAAACAGTCAATATTATCCCCATAAACAGAAACCAACTTCGTGCCACGAAGTCCATGATATTGGCACAAACGGTATCACATTGCGAACCGGCGCCCCGCTGAATGAGCCGCATTTTCGACGGGGTATATCTAAGCCTCTCCTCCAGGGGCCTCGCTGACATTGCTCTGGCTGGCCTCGCGTGCCATGCGAGCCTCGATCTCTCTGAGCTGGCTCTCGCGAGCCAGCAGCTCCTGCCGCTTCTCGGCAATCTCGCGCTGCACCTTGAGTTCGATCTCGCGCAGCTTCTCCTCCTCGCGGCGGAGTTGCTCCTCCTTGAGGCGGACGGACTGAGAGGCGAGGTCCTCGGGGTTCATGCTGGAGTCGCCACCTCTGTTTGTATTTGTTAGCGCGGGTTCATATACTGATATGTGAGTGGGTACGTACGGGGTAGCACCGTCCACGCTCTTGCTGAGCTTCTCGGTACGGTAGTTCTCGTAGAGGAAGTCGTGGGTGATCTCCTTGAGATCGGCAAGATGGCTGTGGAGCAGGGCACTGCGAATAGCGAGGAAGTCGGAGTGTCGGGGGTTCTCAACCTCGACCACGCCCCATGGGGTACTGGCGAGCGCGCACTTTCTTGTTATCGATCTCAACAAAGTCCTCGGAGCCAACAATGGCAAAGGGCATCAGTCCACGGAGCTCAGCATTCTCCTCAACGGTGTCCTCATCGTCCTCCTCAACATCGTAGGGGAAGTTGTAGACGGGGATGCGGTAGTGCTCAATATCTTCCATGATCAATTTCTTGGACTCAGCCAATTCGGCGGGGGTGAGTGAGTCGGCCTTTCCAATGACGGGGATGACGTTGACACGCGGAGACAGGCGCTTCATAAGTTCAATATCGAGTTCACGGAGACCGTGACCGGTAGGTGTGATGAAATAGAGGAGTACGTGGACACGGTTGTCTCTGAAGCGGGGGTTACGCTTGATTCGGGACTCCTCAGCAAGGATATCATCATATTGGCGCTCGAGGTAGCCGACAATCTCGCCGAAGCTGTGAAATGGAGCGTTAGTAAGGAGACTACAATTAATTTCATCGGGCAGGGGTAACCCGGTTCAGGGGACATGCCTGGCCTCATTGTCAATCTGGTCACCGAAACCGGGGGTATCAACGATAGTCAGGGAGATGCGGGTTCCCTCCTCATCCAGCTCAAGCTCTGTGATGCCGGGATGGTTAGCATTTGAATGATGGGTCGGCGCGGGGGGGGAATTGAGTCGATTTGACTTACCGACGGTGGCCGGCTTGATGCGCACACCCTCCTCTTCGTGGGCGTGCTCTGGATCATCAGCGTCCTTGCCCTCTAGCACTTGCTTTCCGCAGAGGGTGTTGACAAAAGTTGTGCGTCCTAAGTAGAGTTGACGGTCAGCGAACAATTCGGGAGAGGACACTTTCGGGGGTAAAAGAGAGAGATTCGTACCGGTTCCGCTGGCACCGCAGACCATCACACAGAACTGAATACCCTTCTTGACATTCTTCTTGCGACGGATCTTCATCTGCCCACAATGGGGACATCAGTTAGCTTAGAGAACTTTTTTTCATGGTTGAAGTATGGGGCAAACATTCGGGAGGAAATAAAAGGGGAACATACCGCGTTGAGGGCCGACGACATGGTGGGCTGTGTGTAAAGACGAAAAACTCGAAGAGAGATTGGAAGGGAGGAGAATTCCAAAGCAAGGAACCAACGGAAAGAAAAGATGAAGATGAAACTCTCCTGAGGATCTCGAATGGAGAGAGTAGGGGGGGTTGAGGGCGGAGGAAAGACAGTTCCTCGTCGGTGTTTCCCCCTTTCCCTTTACGGGCCAATCACGGGACGTCCTGCTCCCCAGCTCTCCACGACCAGAAGTATTTCAGTTTATGATCAATTGAATTTCGATATGGTATTCGTTTTACGAGGGTAGTCTTTGCATATAATAGAAAACAATAATTTAAATTAAACTAGGATAAACATTGCATACCCCTTTTTATTCATTACTCTCTACCCTGAACTTCGTGACTACAGTATGGGAGGTGTTATCAGTTGTTGACTGGTCGTACCTGCCCTTTGCACTCAGGGGGGCGTGGTGGGTCGCTCTTGCCTCGACTCGACTCGATCAGATATTATGTCAGCATTCTGATTCTGCCTCCCTCAATACACCGCCTTCCTAAGAGGAAGAGAGGCGGTCCAAGCTCCCCATCGTCCCCTCCTCCGCCGTTGCTTATCGCCGATCCACGGGGAGAGCTTAGGGTATCCCCATGACCACATACCATATCGAAGGGTTTGCTCAACACCACTTCCACTCCCCACTCCTTCCAACTTTCATGCTCCTTTGATAGGAAGCAAGTGACTCTTTGTTGCCCTATTGGCAATACTTATATCTCCAAGGGCATTCCCACTTCTGATTAACCTCCCAGCGCGCATTGTACTCACGTCATGCGGCGCGATCATGAATACCCGCCAGGTTATCGATGAGTCCGTCGGACCCTACTCCCTGTCGGCGACTTTCAACAATGACAGCAGTTGCTTCTCAGTCGGCTTGGAAACCGGATTTTGCGGTATGCTATCCGCCGTTGGTTCCCAGTCTGTCTAAATTGGTGGGATAAAAGAAATCAGGCTAAGACGTGCTTCTACTAGTGTTCAATTCGAATCCATGTGAACTCAAGGTTTCTAGAGGTGAGTGAGCCTCTTTTTCTGTCTTGATACAACATCATATGCTCATACAATCCTGGATTCGTGCGCTAGACTTCAATGCAGGCATCGGTCTCGCGGAAATGCTTGGCCAATCCAACTATCTAGCCATCGTTGGTGGGGGACGAAACCCTAAATTCCCTCAAAATAAGGTATGTCCTTTGGTATCTTAATACCACCCTGCCTAAATCACTTCTAAAAGGGAATACACACTGATCAATAATCTCTTCCATAGCTGGTCATCTGGGATGATGCCAAACAGAAAGCCGCCATCACTCTCGAATTTCAAACCTCCGTCTTGGGAATCGGTCTCTCCAAGTCCAGAATTGTCGTCGCGCTGTTGAACAGCATCCATGTCTTTGCCTTTGCAACTGAACCGAAGAAACTCTCCTTCTACGAAACATGTGATAACCCACTGGGACTAGTTTGTCTGGGAGACAAGGTCCTGGCCTTCCCTGGCAAGTCCGCTGGACAAGTACGCCTGGTCGAATTGAAGACTGGGAATATCAGCATCATCCCGGCCCATAGCTCTCCCCTACGCGCGATGGCTCTCAGCCGGGATGGGGAGATGCTGGCTACGGCGAGCGAAGCAGTACGCACTCCGCATTTATTCTTTGCGTTGTTTCTCGCGCATTGTCAATGGAACTAACAGTCACTCAGGGAACTTTGATTCGCATATTTTCTACAGGAAACTGCACGAAATTGGAGGAACTGCGACGCGGTGTTGATCACGCGGTGATTTTCTCTATCTCATTCTCACCCTCCAACTCTTTACTCGCGGTCACATCCGACAAAGGCACCCTTCATGTCTTCGATATACGCCGCCCGCCTCGCTCTGGACACAGCAGTCAATCCCCGGCCCCTTTACCTGAAGAAACCACGAGCCATAAATGGGGGTTACTGGGCAAATTCCCCATGCTGCCGCGAGTGTTTTCGGATACGTACTCTTTTGCCAGTGCGCACTTTGCGATGGATGGTGGGGCCTCACAAGAGCAATCATCGGCCCGGTCTTCGCCATCTAGCGGTCGACCACGGAAAGGGGTCATTGGCTGGTTGGATGACAATACAATCCTGACAATTGGCTCCGGTCGGGAAGGGCGATGGGAAAAGTTTATGCTTCGTTTTGGCGATGACGGGGAGCGGACTTTCAACCGGGAGGGCTGGAAACGATACCTGGGTGGGTGAGGTCGAGATGCAGTTGTCTCGGGCCCATCGGAGGCCCTTTGTCGTTTGTAGATAGATATCAGGCTTCCTGTGTTCCAAAACAGCATGCCAAATGTTCTGAATTTTCATGAAAACTGTACACATAGCCAATGGTTGATCGAGTTCGTAGTGCGAGCTCAAACTTCGGTATATTTATTTATACGAGAGCTTTTCAGCGGCGACGGTCGTCTCTGTCCCGATCACTGCGGTGTTTGCGAGATGGTGGTGAGCGAGATCTCCCTGGGGTGCGATCCCTCTCTCGTCTCGACTTGTCCTTGTCGTCCCTTTCCGTAGACCGGCGGCGCGGCCTTCTCTCGCGATCTCGGTCTGACGAACGATGGCGCCGGTGCCGCTCGGGGGTACGAGAGCGATGGCGACGGGAATGTCTGCTTGAACGCTCCCTGCTGTCATCGCGACGTCGAGAAGACCTTTTCTTCTCGCTCTGATACCTTTCAATGGCGAGCGCAACTTCTTCCTTCTTTTCCTTAATAAGGAATTCTTTCATCGGGTCTTCCTCATCATGGTTTTGGATGAGATCCTGCAGTTCCTTCTCCTCCTTGAGCATTGGGCGCTGTTCTTCCTTTTCATCTCCATGGCCTATCCGTTTCCGCCGACTGGACCGATCCTCGTCATCTTTCTTGTTCTCATCGATCGCCGCATCGCCCATGAGTTTAGCGACATTGTCGCCTTCCTCATCGTCGTCGCGTTTCTTGTATCGTGTATGGTCGACTCGTAGCATGCGGCCCATGACGGTTGCTCCGCCCATGTTATCGACGGCCAGATCTGTGCTGCGCTGGTCTTCATATTTCAGGAAGGCGAATCCCCGACTTTTGCCCGTTTCCTTGTCGCGGACTAGATTGATGTTGACTGGTTCACCGTACTGAGAGAAGATTGTTACGATGTCGCCCTCTGACAGGTCAAATGGTAGTCCGCCGATGTAGATATACGCGGTGTCTCGGTAGTCTGCGTGCCATGACGCTTCCGGAGGTCTAGAGAAGATGCGCAGACCGGGTTAGCTTTGGATACCGTGGTTGGGGGAGAAAACGAAATATAGTAGAAGAAGCTGGTACATACACTGCATTTTCCAGCTCGAGCTTATTGAGCTTCTGGACCTCGCGAATGGAGTTCATGATGGTGGCGTAGAGGAGAAACCGAGTCGGAGAAGAGAAAGAAAGTTGAAGTTGGGTGAGGTCGCGAAGGGTTCCACCCGGAGCATCTGCGGAACCGTAAAATCGTCAATTGTTTACTCGACTCCGGAAACCCCTGCTCCCCACCCCATCCTCCGTGACGTCGTTTGGCCTGCGACCACTACTGAATACTTCACTAGATTGATTGGATAGGCCTTCTCGTCCCTTGTGCTTGTGACTTTGTGCGAGCGAAGCTGTCCTCTCCCTCTCCCACCTCCGTCCCGCTTTCTCCAGATTCCCCTGACCGCGCAGCGCGCGCCTGGACGACACTTCTTTCACTACCCCCCTCCGCCGCCGCCACTCGGATTTGGTACTTTCTTGCTGCCTTGCGCCATTCCTGTTCGACCTTCGCTCTACGCTGCTGGTGCTTGGGAAAGGGTACATGCCACCACCTTGACGCATGGTGGGACTAGAGCAGACAATGTCTTCCAGCCCGACTCGCGGATCTAAAGCACCTGGTGCCAACAGTCGGCCCACGAGTAAGGATGGCTCAAAGAAAAATATTTGGTCGTCGCTTCTAGACGGTGTCGCCAATGGAAAGCGCCTACCGGAGAAGAACCTGTTGATCTTAGGTTCGTGGCTGGCCCCTCTGGAATACTCCATGCTGGATACACTACCAGTCCCCGCTTGGTATTTGGCTTGTCAATCAAAACTGAGGTACTGACTGTTGAACTATAGGTGGCACTCCAGAAAGCCAGCGAGAATTCCTGGAGACTTTCTCCGCAGATACCTCCGCAGACCCCAGCTTAGTGAACGACAAACGGAAGGGGAAGACCCCTCCCATCGCCAACCAGTTTGCTCTGGGATATACATATCGCGATGTCCTTGACGCCGACCGAGAAGACACACTGGCCCGCGTCTCGGCGTACCTTTTGGCTGAACCCTCTCCGTCATTCGCACCTCTTATCAAACCCCTCTTGACTCCTCAATCCGTCCCGGAGACCCTGGTTGTTATCCTTTTGGACTGGTCGGACCCCTGGACCTGGGTCCGGCGGCTGAGAGAATGGGTTCGCCTCTTGCGCTCCGTGCTTGTCTCTCTTGACGATGACACAAAGCTCGTTATGGAGGAAACTATGACCGAGTGGCGCGATCGCAAGAGAGGTATGGATGCTAGCTCTGCCGCAACGGGCGGCTTGTCAAGTTCTGGTGGCCCGGTCACAATACCGCTGGGACCTGGCGAATGGGATGAAGGGCTGGGTATCCCAATGTGTGTCGTTTGCCAAGGAGTATGTGAACCCCATACGGAATCAAAACCTCCATTGGAGGTAGAATATGCTAACATGCAAGCTCGTATAGGCGGACAAGATCGAAAAGCTGGAAAAGGACCACGGCTGGCACGAAGAGCAATTCGACTTCATCCTGCAATTTATGCGTACTCTCCTGCTGAAACGTGAGCTTCCCCGAGGCTATTTATTATCAAACTTTCAACTCGTCGCGATTCTGACCTTTCCCAGATGGCGCATCGCTCATTTATACCACACCTTTCCTTGCCAACTCTCTCCAAAGCTTGATTCATTCCTCGCTTGGTATACACTCTCTTCTGAAACGACAGTCATTAAAACACAACGTAATCGACCGGGACAAGATTCTGGTACCGGCCAACTGGGACTCCTGGGGTAAGATTCGGATTATCCGCGAAGGATTTGATATGGAAGGTGCATCAACCGCCTGGTCCATCGAGATTCAAGATGCCCCCGAGCCGCTTGACCAACCGGCAGCTCCGCAAGACGAGAACGCAGAGGCCGACGACGGCACGAGTGCGGTGACGGTCTTCGAACAGACCATCCAAGACCCTAAGAGGGACATGACGATCGCCCACTCCAGCACCACCAATGGCACAAAGGTTGAAGTCGAGACTTCCGACACGCAAGGATTCCTTACGAAGCAGGTCGAGGTTCTCGAACAGCTCAAGGCAGACGATGAGAAAGACCGCTCAACTCAGGAAACCCCTCAGCTGGAGATGTCTCCCATGGATGACCAGGGCAAGGTCAACGAGCATATCGGTCCGGTCCAGTTCAATATGGGCGGTATCCAGGTAGATGCGGATGACATGCTGAAAAAGCTTCGCGTAAGTACATGCCATGCCATCCATTCCATCCCAATCATGTATGGAAAACCCCTTTTCTAACACAACCTACCATGACCGCAGGACCGCGAAGCCAACCGGACTCAAAGAAAGGAAGGTCCTCCCGCAACCCCAGGCGACGAGAAAGCACATAACCAAGCATTGGCAAACTTCTTCGCGGGTCTCGTCAAGAAGCCCAGCAGCAGTCCTCGTGGCAGCCCATCTGCTTGATTTACCAATCTTCTTCTTCTTCTTCTTCTTCTTCTTCTTCTTCTTCTTCTTCTTCTTCTTCTTCTTCTTCTTCTTCTTCTTCTTCTTCTTTCGTTTCCCTCTCTTTCCCTCTCTCTCTCTCTCTCTCTCTCTATCCATACACTACTTCCTCTACTTGGGCTGTATTTTACTATTTTCATGAGCGTACATATTGTGGAGGGGGGGCGGTCTTATAATGGACCTGGTTTCTGATATAGGAAGTGGATTGAATGTGCAGGGCTGTGCATAGTTGTTTTCCTCCCCCGGGGATTCCGTGGACCTTTGCGGCGGGGTGCTAGATAATGATACCAATATGAGTCGTTTTTCTCCATATTTGTTTGATCCCGAGCTCGGGTTGATGTGACGGTGATATTTTTTTATCTAGAAAATTGTGAATGTAGTATACCTACTTTCCAAGGTTGATACTTTTACTTCAACAGCACTTGTGCACCTGGCATACCCTAAGAGGATGTGTCCGGTCGGGAACACGCTCTTTCAAAGCCGAACTCAGCCACTGTCTTCTACTCGTCAGTTGAAAGGCAATATTCGCATTCGCATTCGCGTTCGCATTCGTTTTGAGATCTTAACATGGTCACATGACCTTATTCCAGTCCTCTCGAGGATTTCCCTTCGTTTCCTCCGAGTCAGATACTAACACACCGTCTTCGCATGGAAGAACCCTATCGTCGACACCGTATCACTCGGGAGCAACGCTCTTCCAAAAGCTGGCTAACCTTCCATGAGTTGAAAGCAATATTCGGAACGAGTATGAATACATCCGTTCCAAAGTTTCAGGTCCCATGGGACTACCTTATTCTCAATCCAGCCTCTGTGACCCACAATGGCTATGCTGCAGGTCAAAATAAGCCTTCCGCAGTTTGCCCCATATGATCAGGTGGATCTTATCTGCCTGTTTCCACCACTCAAAGCCCCATATCCTTTTTCCAATTCCATCCTAGCAGCCATGCGAAACATACTGTTCGGTTGGCCAGGGCTCAGCAACGAATCCCTGTGGTCAAATGTGGTATTCAAGGCCAGGCATCGCTTTGAAATCAATGCCAGAATCCTCATTATCGCGGACAAGCTCGGATACCGAATCAGCCCTGGGGCAACTTACAGGATATGAGAATGGCAAGTTGGCCTCCCAATTTTCTTACCTGGTCGAAATGCTGAAGTTTATCAAGCTCGGATATCTCCACCTTCCTTACTCCTAATAGTTGGGTCGTGCTGAGTAGAGCTCGTCAATTAATTCAGTAAAATTTGTTTTCTCAGAGAAATTAGCGAAAGATCCTGTGCTTTGGCTTTCAAATCGCTGATCATCAAGTAATCCGCTTCGCCGTACATGCACGTATTGAAATAGGATGAATAACAATCAGCCAAGGGTGTCGACAATCCGCTCTGCGACACCACATTATTCGCTTGGGTCGTTTTCTAGAGGTACGTGAATGCTGGCCTTTCGCTCTTCGGTGATCCATCCGCAGCCCGACCATGAATTCTTCTGAGGCAGGCAGATCCAAAGATAACAAGAAGGTTCGTTATATTTTGCCGGAACTGGAATATGGGTTTTGACCACGTTAAAAATTCTCAACCCAAATGCCCAGGTGCGAATGCGAATGCGAATAATGCCTCTCGGCTTGGGTTGGGCCGGGTTCGGGAAGAGCGTGGCAGTGTACGCGAGGGATATACTTAGTAGTAGTCATGACCTTAGGCGCCATTTGACGTAATGTACTATCCAAGCACAGTACAATAAGTGCTGTTGAGATCAAAGTAATTATACTAGGTAACAGCTATTTCCCATATAAAAATATAGCAACACCCCCCTTCTGTCAACTGGTAGACTCATCTTGTCTCTGAAATACTCCATACATACTAGCTACGCTATTTGTCTCAACATCATTATCCTTACCATCATACCGGCCCAAATACGCCAAGCAGCAACACCAAACCTAAATAACCTTGAAATATGACAAGAGACAACAGCAATAGATATCGATTGCAGGTGACGGCAGGGCCTGAATATGATCCAGCATGTCATACTATTGTCCCTGTCAATCAGCAGGAGACTGTGACCTTTGAGAACGACCGGGCTTTCGTAAGCCTTTGTGTGAAGGTTCAGAATTATAGAGGTAAGTATCTATTATATTTTTCTTTTACTCCTACGATGGAGTACGCCAAGAGATCCATGACTAAGTTTATTATCCATCAACTGCATAGGTTACCCCGAAGGCTCTCCTAACACAAACGACTATTTTTCCTATCCTCTTCATAAGAATCAAAAATACTCCATCGCCTTCTCCTTCCAACCCAAAAAGGCCATTTCAGGCGATAGCCTAATCTTCGGCAATGATTTTGACAATCCAATCCGAGACCGTTTGCCTCCCGGGCTTAACACCGCTCTACGCATCGTAAGATGGATAATTGACCCAGGTGTTTATGGTGACGCATATGCCGATAGGCCATATCTATATGGTCCTGCACTTTCTAGTTTGAATTGCCTACGGATATGCGGAAAACCAGGTGCGTTCAAAACCGTCTATCATGAGAAGAACAGAAATAGGAATTTTTATAGCGAAAACTAAAGACTACCAATTAGGATCAAAAAATTGGCGAAAGGAGCTACACACTGAATTGATCGAGGAAGGTGGTGAGGCCGAAGGAGAAGTGTCCAGACGGGAATTGAACATTCCAGATCGGGCAGTTCAGAGGAGAAAACATTTCCTCCTAAGGGAAAACCGCCAGGATTTCTGGTTCGAACCTGGCATCGTTTATAAAGCAGACTTCGGAAACGGGTATATTGACTTTGAAAGTACGCCTTTTTCCATGAACTTCCCAACTTTCCGTTGCATCTTTAACGAATAAGATCAGATTTCTCCCTAAACCTCCCAGGTTTCACCATACCAGTCATACAATACGTTAATGACAAAACCCACAAGCTGAGATATGTATTGAAGGATAGGGACAGTGGAGAAGTTATTTTCGCACTCGTTTTCAAGCTGATCTTTGAGGGGTAAAGGGTGTAACGAATCTGGCTGTTACCTTGGTATCTTGTTGCCTGGTTGCATTGATCGGATGGGATCAATCCCGGCACCTACCTGTACCTAGTTCCTAGTATTCCCAAGTTGAGCCATTTAACATACCTATTCTTTGAAGTACACAAGCTACCCAGGCGAGGAAAGGTTTCGCGGATCGTGGAATTATATAAAAACAGCATTGGGACATCATTTATACTAATAATACAGGAAACATCACATTGACTGCATGCGAGCGAACCTTGGAAATATTCTATGAAATGACCGGCGAAATGCTCAAAGCAGACTAACAACAAGAACATGGAACGGTAAACTTCCCATCGAGACCGAATCACCAGTTCTCCCACACAGAATCAGGCATCACCTTCCGCATAATCGCCCAATGCTCCAGCGCACCACGGTCCTGATACTTATACAATCTCCCAACCTCATCATCAAGGAGAATCGATTTCCCATCCTTGGGAATAGTAGAGAATAGAGCAGGGCTCATCTCGTGCGTCGGAACAAGGTAGCTCTCGCGTGAGCGGCTGCGCAGGAAGTCTGCGGGCACGGCATCGCGGAATTCGACAGGGGTCTTGGAGCTTTTCTTGCAGAAGAGGACCATGTTGGTGAAGTCGGGGTTTTCGCTATCACGTTCGGCTGGATGCTCGCGGAAGATGCGGCAGGAGGGGAAGGCAGCAAGGATAGTGCGGACAACGAGGCCGGTTGGGTAGAGGTTGAGATCGCCGGCGTAATTCTTGAGTATGTGTTAGCTATTTTCATTTTTTTAATTACGGTGATGATCAGCCTTACGATAGCAATAGCGCCGTCTTCCTTGAGAAGGGACTTGAGGTTCTCCAAGAACTGGATGGTGAAGAGTTCCGCGGGCTCGGCACCGCCGGTGAAGACGTCGTGAACGATGTAGTCATACTGGGGGTGAGGAATCGTCTTTTGCTGGCGCGCGACGAACTTGGTTGCGTCCTCGATGGCTACATTGTGCTTGTCTTGGAGGTTGAAGTATTTGCTGGCGAACTTGTGGACGACAGGGTCAAGTTCCACGATAGTAGTATCGATGCCATGCTTCATCAAAGCAGCCGGGGTGGTACCAATTCCAAGACCACTATTTTGAAGATGGTTAGCCTATCAACTTTCTGCACGCTGTCCACAGTGCTCTTACATAACAAGTGCCTTGCTGTTAGCATCTACACGAGGGGTACCGTGATCAGGCTCAACTAGACGAACGGCCTCGAGCATGGCAAAGACGGCATAGATAGGGTCCTCGACTTCGGGGTTGTATCCAGAGACGGACTTAGTCCATTGACCTCCGAGGAGACTGTGGTCGCAACGCATGACACGGAAGCCATCGTTCTGGTTCTCCAGGACGGAGATGTATCCAGTGTATGATTCTTGACGCTCGAGGAGCTTATATCCCTCGTGGCGGATGGCATTGTTGACGCCGCTGATTCCACCCAGGTGAACATCCGAAGACAATGAGAAAAGAACTGACGGGATGGCCAGAAGAAGCATCTTGGACGGGATAACAGCTGCGTAAAGAGCCGCAATAATAAATTGCAGGCCAGCACGGGTAAATAGAACCGTGAAACCAATGGCAGAGGATAGAATAGCCTTAGCGATATGCTCGCTGGCGGAGTAGATGGCGTATGTGGCCAACAGAGGCACATGCTCGACCACCAGATCTCCCTGAGCTTCAAGGTGCAGGGCATATTGGATTTGCTTGCCGGCAATGGCCACAGTCAACGTAACCATAGGCAGGTAACCAAAAAGTTCAGTGATGATTGGGCCCGTCGGGTTGCCCAGCTTGGAGCTCTGCTGCATCAGGAAATACTGCAGAGTTGGGGTCCAGAAAGCCAGCACAGGAAGCATGTAGGCAGCGACACGACCGAATCGTTTCATAATGTGATCTTTGATGAACCATCCGGCAATACCAAAGACTCCGACGGCATAGCTGTGGAAGATGTGCGACGGCAGAGCGCCATAGACGGGCGACAGCACCAACAGCATCACCGGCGAGTAGAAGGCAGCCAGGAACAGCAATGCCACACCGGAGCCCAGCCGGGGCAGGTCGGCTTGTTGAATGAATTGTTCAATAGACATGATTTCCAAGCTATCGATCAGAGCTTGCCACTTTCAACGGCGAGTGACCAGTTTCCAGGTAGCTCAAGGGTGCATCTGCAAGATGTTGTATCAGCAAGACTCCACCTCAAGACAGCGAGGGGAAGGTTTTCCAATTTCAATCTTTCGGTTACTTGAAATCACAGACAACTTACACGTTCAGACTGACAGCATCTCTCAAACACAAGCCAGAGAAAAAAAGAAATCGCGGAGTGGCAGAAACGACGTCCTTTTGCCGCCGTCTTCCGCGTTCCCAACTCTCCTCCTCCTTTCCCCACAACCTCTCAACATCGTGCGACTCAACCTGAAACAAAGGAGACGAAGATGCCACTTTTCCCTATGGACACCGGATTCGAGTCCAGCGCGGGCGCGGGCGCAGATGCAGAGGTGCCCGATGAGAAACAACGCTCCGTCCAGATCAAGAACCGTCGCAAGCGGTATCTGGACCAGCACCCCGAGTACTTCTCGGCGGAGCTCGAGCTAGCCGGTCCGCTCGCTCTTTGAATACGTGATACAGCGGAGACGAAGAATATAAATCAAGCTAACTACTGAAAAACTTTCATCCATTCTAGACCCATTACTATACGACCGCCTCATCCGCCGATTCCAAACACCGCAGGAAAGAGAAGCGCAGGGCCGCGCGAAGGGATTCTCGGGCGTCTTAGAGGCAGATCTATTGCGCTCGGAGGCCAAGGTCGATGCGCTGGCGCACCCGGATCCTAACGCGATGCTGAGCTACACTCGTGGTCCGGATGGAGAGATTCTGGCCGAGGACCGTGATGATATCCCCGCCAGCAGGGAGGAAGGGGAGAAGTCATGGCAGTGGGAGATGGGGTTGCGGTTTATGAGAGGCGATGATCCGGACTTTGATTACAAGGCTGTAGACGAGAATGAGGAATACGATGATCTGTCCGAGGAGCTGGACAAATACTTCGAAGATGAGGAGCCGGAATGGGTGGTTGACGATACTCGTGGTGAGGATGCTAGAGAGAAGCTTCAGGGCGAGACAGGCGTTCAAGATTTCTGAGCCGAGTGAGTATATAAATCGTGGGAATCCACAACAAATATTCCACCATGACACTTGCTCGAGCGATTACGCGTGACGCCCGCCCGAAGACCTGAGAGAGCATCCGGGTGATAAACTGTCTAGCATCCGCGAGGGTGCATATTCAAACCCGCTGGGCTCCAGCTCATGGGTCTCGACGGCTATGAGAGCTTGTAGCGGCAAGCTACTTGGTCTGGCCGCGTTGCCATGCACCACTTCTGTTCTTCAAGACCCGGTTCCGCATTCTGCGTCTTTCGCCTTTCATTTCGTGACATTGGATAAGACCCGGAAAACGAATTCTCTCCTATCTGCGATCGATTGCAACCCCTGCTCCTTCCCTAAAGAGTCAAACCAGCTTCAAACCAGCTAAGGCTGCCCCGCTTCTTGAGCACAAGAGCTTTTACGATTTCCGACACCAGCATCTCCGTGCAAAAAGCACTCATGTCCATACTTCATGAAGACTCTACAAATGTGGGAATCTGCCTGATAGTTACACCTGCATATATTCATGTTGCCATCATTGATGATTCTATGCTATGCAGTATGTTTGATATTTGATAATCTATCATACCGAGAAAAATATCTCAAGCGCCAGCAATCAGCTTGATCGCCTGTTCCTTGAGCTTGAACTTCTGAATCTTTCCACTTGCCGTCTTCGGGAATGTTTCCGTGGGATCCAGAAAGAATACGTATTTAGGAGCTGTAGATCAACTTGAATATCAGTAATGTCCGAAATTACGTTCGAAAAAGAGTACGTACCAAGATGGTTGCTCAAATGCTCACGCACCCACTGCTGTATCTCCTCGGCAGTAACCATCTTAGAGCCTTGATCTCGGGCGGATATGAAGCTGGCGACAACCTCGCCATATCGCTCATCCGGTACACCGACAACAGAGACATCAATAACACCAGGGTGGGCCAAGAGACAATTCTCGATTTCAAGGGGATGTATGTTCTCTCCGCCTCGGATAATCAAATCCTTGATGCGGCCTGTTATAGAAACATATCCATCCTCAGAGATAGATGCCTCGTCTCCAGTCTATTATAGGGACGTTAGATCTCGCGCGATTTTGAGAATGCAAGAACACTGGCAACTTACATGCATCCACATCTTCCCAGTAGCATCTGCAATCATAACCTCTGCAGTCTTTACAGGGTCGCCCCAATACTCCTTCATGAGAAGGTAGCCACTAACCGCCAGCTCCCCACGGGTTCCAATTGGAAGGGTTTGTGTTTTGTCTACCGGGTCCACGATTTTAGCCTCAACATGTGGCATCAGTCTTCCAACGGTACTGATTCTCTTTGATATAGGATCGTCGGTGGCTGTCATTGCAGAGACAGGACTTGTCTCTGTCATTCCATAACAAATTGTCAGTTCGGTCAAGTTCAATACTTTATGAAGCTTTTTCATCAGTTCTGCGGGGATACTGCTCCCAGCCGCGATTCCAGTTCGCAATTGCTGAAAGCCATCCCCGGAAACCTCACCCGAGGCAATGAGACCAAGCTCCTCGAGGAACATCGTGGGCACCCCGTAAAGTGCCGTACATTTCTCTTCTTGCACTGCTTGCAATGCAGCACGAGCATTGAACGACTCGCTTGGGAATACAATGGAAGATCCGTGAGTTGCTGTCGCCATATACCCCAAGATAGAACCAAAGCAATGGAACATTGGTGGAGGGCAGCAGACAATGTCGTTCGGAGTAAGTAGCATACGATCACCGATTTGGGAACCGTTATTTAGAATAGAGTGGTGACTGAGGCAAGCCGCCTTTGGCATTGCGGTAGTTCCAGATGTGAATTGAATGTTGACAATATCTTGCGGGGAGAGGTTTTGCCCCGGCAATGGTCGGCAGTCTCCCGGTAATTGGGACATGACGGAGGAAAAGGGCGTTAGGCTTTTATATGACGATATATCTACTCGGCCGGAGGAGTTGTTGACCAGAATTATTCTCTCAAGAGAAGGAATGAGTGCGGACTGTAGTTTCGAGCTGAAAAGGTCTTCGACCATAAGCTCGAGAAGTTTGACGTTACTGCGAGGGTCTTTGCGAGGTAGGTTCGATTCGGCGCTGATGATCAGGTGGCTCGCCTCAAGGTGGCTCAGGGCAGAGACGACTTGCGTGGCATTAAAGGACGGATTGAGTGGTACCTACGGCCGTGTCAGGAGAGAAAAGGCTCATGGCGAGTCATCTTGGGAGTATCTTACCAGAATGGCGCCCAGCTTGAACAGCGCATATGTTGCCTGCGTTCCGTGAGCTTCTCCCCTCATTCAACCCTGCAGATTCTGGCCACATACAACGGAATATTCCATAGAATTTCCTAGCATAACACCCACTCTTTCGCCCCTCCTCACACCCACCGATTCTAATCCCCGAGCAAATGCATTGCTTCTGGCGTCAAGGGAGGCATACGTGACGCGATCGTTCTGGTGCTTCGAAACGACGCTTGAAGAGACAGTTAGTCTGGTTGACCAAAACGTCCATTGTTTTGATGGGGGCAAGAATGCTGACGCTGTTCGATCTCCATGTTCGGCCACTATTTTCGCGAAGTGGTCGCCAACGGTCAACTCAATCAAGGGCGGCTAGGAAGGAACGGCGGTGTCAGAGGGACGGGGATCTTCCATCTCATTTGGTGAGAAATCGAGCGGGATCTTCAGCAGAGAGACTTACATCCAATGGGCCACGCACATAGCTCTCGGTCAGCAGAGTTCGTCGATGCAAATGAACGGACTGCAGCTGTCGCACAAAGCGGAGACCTCCGAAGATCCCTCTTGAAACACGCATACTAGTAGCCTTCCAGGTTCCGATGGTATAAGTCACTGCAGATTCATAACATGGCTGAACAAAGTATAATGGGGGGGTTCTCGAGGGTTGAATATTGACCAGGAAGGGTTCCAGAGAAGAGAAAGTTAGTTCGGTGGGTGCCTCGAAGGAAGCTTCCCCGCACGAGTTGGAAATTGCGGGGTTGTTGACAAGTCCGAGGCTCTTTGGTTCTTTTGGTTCCTGGCGCCGTGTCACGTTCAACTTCACTTGGTCTACATTTACTTACTAGGACTTGGTATGAGCTTGCAGCTTATGATTTGTCTTATAGGTTATCTATGGTATGTATTTGGAAATCAATCACTAAAAACATTCCCACCTCTAGGATGAGAAACGCATCCCACTGCACCACAATTGCACTCTCGCCCGAGCCAATATCGCGGACCGTAAGTAATTGTCACCTCATCAAACACGGATATATTCTGATGTGTGATAAATCCGAGGAAAGCTTGGTCTCCCGCCACAGCCGGAACGGGCCTTGCGTTATACTGGTCGCAATGGTGGTTGGAATATCGAGTCCAACTACCCAGGCGCGTGGGGTCCACAATCAGTTCATTATAGCATTTGTAGGATGGTGTGCCATCCTTATCTCGTATCTGGACTGTCCATACCATACTCCATATATCACCCTCTCTTGGTGCCGGCTGTACCACCCCGTTGAACTCACCTAGACACATCCCCTTCGGGAAGTTGATCAATGCCCGGGTTCCCACCCCCTTGCCAGCATACTCTCGGAGTTCAATGAAGTCTGCTGGCACAAACATGGGTTTGCACTTGCAGGTGTTTTTCCGACAGAGAAAACATTCTCTAAAGTTCTCATTGCGTTTGCTTGCAACTGCAGTCTCATTGGGGAAGGAAGGATGGAGGAAATTTCCATGCATATTGGGTTGGAGTTCACCGTCTTCTGTCCATGGGAATACTGGCTGGCGGAGGCCACCATCCTCAGTCTGCACTATATGATGCGGGTGCCCTGTTGCTAGGTTAATATCAGGTGTCAATGCCTCTTGAAGTCCAGGCCACGGATCTCCCGCATAAGGAAGAAGGGGACCACGCCAATCCAAGTCGCGACTACGAGCAAAGGTCTCGATGCTGCGCTTCTCCTGAGAGATCAATGCAAGGATACTATCCCAGTCTGTACTATTCACGCTCTGTATTGCATTTCGGAATGCTTTCGAGTGTGCACAAATGGCAAATATTTTCCATTGAAGACGGTCAAGAGCGATATACATTCTGCCTGTACGGTTCTGTTGATCAAGGGACAGTTGGTGTCCGACCTGTGCAAAAGCTTCTGCAATGAAATTGGATGTGCATGCATTCATATTCTCGTACATTGTCCAGTCAATTTGCTCCGGCTTACCTTGAACAATCTTGGGGAAATAGCACGCATCTCTGAGATCATAGTAGATTGCGCTCATGACCTCGAGGGAAAGCACGCGTACTGGCGTTCGCAAAACTGTAACCATGATGTTTTCTGATGCTGATAAAATAAATATATATGTGGATTAGTCGTCTGTGAGTTGCTTGTCGTGAACACCGCTGTGATACTCTGAAGTACTAGTTAGTACTATCTAGGGGACTTGGTCTTTTATATAGTACAAGCTCTCTACCTCGAGCGAAATGAGGCTCACAACACTTAACTAACTCCTACACTAGTAGTAGTACTAGACATGGACAATGGCATTAGTGTGATAAAGACTGCAAAAACCATCATCGATGCTATTTTTGGGGCTTTGTTGATGTCAACCATTGTCCAGGACTCGATAAAACGGGCATACCATGATATGCAAGGGAAACTCACAATATAACACAGAGAACAAAGAGTAATTAAAATGCATTGTCGGGTATCAACAAAGTGCCTGTGATATCAGTCAATCAATCAACTGACTTTCTAATCGAGCAAGCTTGAACAAAGGGCACCAAGTTGACCCAGGACTATTTCACGGTATAGCGATGACAAGTTTCACGAAGGAGGCTCTGAGGCCCCTTCAGTTGGCATCAACCGCGGCTGTGGGCGTTCGGAGCCCGCGGGTCCCGGCGCAGAAAAATTGAAGAATACAAATGATACATCACAGTAGTAGGAGTTATTTAATTATTAATTATCAGCTATTTCCAGTAGGTTATCACCCGGAACTTTTCCTATCACCTGCTTGGTTCGTATTTATTTCAATCTTGATCTATCGTGAAGGATACGGTTGATGTGCAAGACGTTATGTTGCTGGTTAGGTAGGACTGGGATCTTGATTAGGAAGTAACTAGCTAGAAACTTGTAACTAGTCCTTATTGTATAGGTATGAGGATTATCCTATTTCCTGGACTCTACAATATCACAGTTGAGCCTTGGGTTTCTTGCTTTTCAGCAGTTCTTTCAGCTATCTCCGTAGAATCTTACCACTAGGACTTTTCGGGATCTGATCCAGCATATATATCCCACTACCTAGCCGCTTGTGGTTGCGATCTTCGGATTTAGCAAGAGTGAGTCTAACCTAGGACAGCACTGACCTCCTAGTTTTGGGCTTGAGCACTTAGCACCACAAATCCAACCAGCAGCTCGGTGGCCACGACCTTCAGGCTGCCTCCTCCTCCCGATCTCCCCGGGGATCGCCGGGTGCTTCGAGCGCCCGACCTCGCAGGAAACGGGCTAGGTGCTGAAGCCGGTGCCGGTGCTGCTGCTGATGTCAACCCCGAAGCCGATGGCCAAGGAGAGTTGCCCCGACTGCGCAGCAAGACCGTCAAACAGGAGAAGCGGAAGGACCGATAAATGTAAGTTTAATCGTAGACTGCTCATAGACTGCTTGATAGAAATCCTTGAGGAGAGTAAATAGATGCCTCGAGGTCCTATATTACCACCATTTGTACTGCCCAGACGGAGAACCCTTGAATTTGCCACTTTCTATACGTTCTTGATAATCCCAGAATGACTCCCGATGGTTGCTGACGTTTCACTTTCTAGGAATTGGATACTCCGACTTTTTTTTTTCCTTTTCTTTTTCTATTTCTTTCTCAAAGTCTGGACTTCGGTCCTACCTTTCGTAAATATATTTTATTCTTTGTTTTTGTTTTTTTTTTTTTGTTTTTATCCAAAGCAAGCCTGTACTACATGTATATTTACTCTATATTTATTAATTAATCTTGACGTGGCAAGATTGCGGTCACTCTGGGTCCATTTCTTCTCGTATCTTGGTAGCCAATACTGATTTTGTACTCCGAGTCGGGGTGAGTATGTTGGAGAATGAAGATAGACTCCAGGGCTCAACGAGAGACATAAAGGTGACTAGAGGTAGTGAATAGATTGTGCTGAAGAAGAAGACAAAGTGATGCTATGAAATCATAAAAGGCATAAGATTCTGAATGCCCGAGAAATGTCTGCCTCATCAACACCGAATTTTTTGGGTGATAGAAAGCTTTACTAGGATCTAGGGCACTTAATTAGTTCAGTAGTGATAGTACTGAATAATTCTAAGCGAAGGTTTTGCGATCTAGGTTACTGCTATCTCAATACAGATTCGTTTATTGTTGTGGTACAAGAACGAATTCAAACCATAGCATTCATAGCATTCAGAGCATAGCAACTTAAAGTCCGCCCCCTCTTAAACCTCACTTCCCGCACAGAAGCAACATGTACTAATCAGATTTTCTTTCCAGATATCCTAGCTATCATTCAGGCTCAAACCCCAAATAGCAGCAAGACAAACTCGGCGTCGATATGGATCCTCCTGAAGGTTGATAATACCAGACTTATTATCGAATGTGAATCGAGCCGCATAATACATTTTGCCTACACTATTCGGTTCAGAACTACGAGATTCCAAACAGCATCCACATTTCAGGGTGCAATGTCCAGCGCCTAGCACCCCCGCTGAACTATTCGCACGTTGATAATCAAGACAACATCCACAATCACGACCACAGCATCCTCCCCTAGCCTTGCAGTCTTCAACAAGATCTGGGTGCATATACCAAAAATGATTAGATCTCCATAACTCAAAGGCCCGTCCTAATGGCCCGGAAGTACCCATCATCCAACCACGGGTCCACCACCAGCCTCGTGTCTGCAACCAATTATCTTGGCAGAGTCTGCTCATTTCATCTTCAAAAGAAGGACTGTGTGTATTTGAATTCATATCTCCCTTCTCCTTTTGGCGTAAAACAATCTCCGTTTGACAATTCTTCCGTAGCTCGTCTTCGTAGTATAGAAGATCAAAAAGGGCATCATCGGACTTGGAGTTGATCTCTTTTTGGTAAAGATTGTATCGGAACACTTGAAGAGACCTGACACACCCTTCTCGCTCTAGACGTGCCTCTTCTGGTGTTTTGTCCCCGGCAAAGATAGCATGTTGGGGCCCGAAACATCGTCGCTCTCTTCAGAGCTGGGCAAGGTAGACGTGCTGTCCCAAGAGGACATAGTAACGCAAGGATTTCGGGTTTACAATAGAGAGATTTGAAATTTCAAGACTCTCATTTTTCCATCGATGAACACGGATAGTTTGTAGAATTGAAAGAAAAAGCGAAATGAGGAGGTGTCAGTTACGGAAACCGACAAATAGTTCGATCAACGCCTCATGATGATGCCGCGCAAATAGCGAGAACTCTATTTGAACAGTATTGCAACCTAACTAGTACTAGCAGTACAGTGAACCCCGGATTGAGAAGGAACTCCAAAAGTGACAATATTTCCCTGGGATCTTCGGCATCTGCGCCGTTCCGGTTTTAAAGATGACTATCATCATTCTTACCTTTACGTCGGATGTCCCGTTAGTCTGAGTGTCTACCATAATCCTTTAATCTATATTAAGCCAGACCCAGTTTCTTTTTCCTTCCAACCAAGCTTGGTTTGGCATCAGGGCTAAGGATTATACTTTTAATGGTGGGCCAAACATAACACTGGCTGAAAAACTCAAAGAATTTCTCCTATCTAAAGTGAGTACCCACCAAATAGTTCAGTATATAACACACTAAACCTGTCGAGAAAGAGAATCCTGCTAAGTAGCCTTTATTACCCTTTCAATCCATTCTAGGTTAGCGAAGCCAGAAATAGGAAAGACACCTTAAGAAACTCAAGCTCAGTAGACCATCAAAAAAGATTCCACTAAAACACTATTATAGGGCTAAGTGCCAATTTTAGCATAGGCTGGGTATAGGCTAGGTGCTCAATAAAGACCTCTGATCAGTCTCTTAAGTAATCACAGAGCAATCACTGATCACTCAGAGATGCTCAGAGCCTTACTAAATAACCACGTAACCTACTCTGAGCTGGTCAGTAAGTCTGATTCTAAGCACCCTCATTAAAGCGGCGGCACCTAGAATAGGAAAGCCCCACATTGCATAGGAAATATATTACTGTAGTGACCTAGGTATAGGGCTCCATGATAATGGAGGAGAGAGTGTTGAAACGGGAAAAAGGGGGTATTAAATTATGTAGCCGCGAAGAATCAATAGCTACAACTCTTAATCTCTTTAATTCCACAGGAAATAATTATAAAAAAGAAGGGATCAAATTATGTTTGGAGACGAGCGTCCGCCTGAAAGCCGCGGAGATCTTGACCAAAGAGGAAGCGGTGGGGCTTGGCGTCATGTGGTGGGGAAACAAGCTTGCGGATGCGACAACTTGCTCCCCACGCGTTTTGTTTCCTAGACTTTCGCTTCGGATCGGGCATGTTCGACCTTTAATCGCCTTCTTGAACTCGGCACAGACGCCCAAATTCTCGCCAACATGGCTTCTGATCCGCCGGAAGACGCCATTGCCAACTTCGTCAGCTTTACGAGCACCACCCGCGATCAAGCTATCAACTTCTTGAAGGTGAAAGATGCCTTGGTATTCTCCTGCCAGCCCAAAGGCTAACATTTTCAATATGACAGGCCAATAATCTCGACTCGCAAAAGGCTATCAATGCCTATTTCGAAGACCCGACAGGTCCCCATCCACAGGTGATAACTCGGAGCGCACGAGGGCTAGGCTAGGGACTGGACGCTGATTAGCCTTTGCTATGACAGAACACCGGCTTCTACAACGACAACAATAGTCCAGGTACATCTCCTCGTCTTTGTAATCGGCTCTTCATGGAACTAAAACCCCTCTCCAGGTTTCGGATACGGCCAGCAAGACCATGGTCCCCGAGTGCCAGCCACGGCTCCTCCCACTCGTCCCTCATCTCGAACGAACATGATCGATGCCTCGCAACCTCCGGATTATGAGAAAGCCACAACAGAACCTTCGCAGGGAAATACCGGTTCGGAGACCTCTTTTAGAAGTCATAACACGAATCATGCTGATAGTCTCGTTCTATAGGCAATGCAGGCTCGGACCAGAAGATGAGCTTGGCTCAGCGCGAAGAACGAGAACTACAACAAGCGGTGGCGATGTCCCTTAACCAGGGAATGTCAAAACAGGAGACTGGAGTTACAACGAGCAAAGAAGCGCACTTTGGTAAAGCGACGCGCGACGAATATGATACAAATTCATGGGCGATGACGTTATTCAATACGACCTCCGAAGAAGTCGTCTTGAGCCCGGACCCCGAGGACCGCAAGAGAATAGCAGGCGAACCGGCTTTCATCCGACCCTCTAACAACAACCTATACCTGGGAGGATTCCTCACCATCCTCCATGAGATCCCACTTGCAAGAGAGGCACTCATGCTTCGTAACAAGGTTCTCTTTGACTATGGACAGGAATCGCAAGAGTGGTGGAACGGCCAGCCAATCAATCTGCCCAAGATTGTGACCATCAACGAGGGCGACAATGCGGACAATGACTGGGATGATATAATTTATGAGACCCAGCGACTGATGGCCTTTCTTGATTCTACAAATCGGTCGTTCGGCAGCAGTGACGCCCTTGCCAGCCTTAGACATCTTCACGATTACTCTTCCGATTCAGAAGAGGCCATCACGAGGTTTTTGGAAACCTGGAATCGTGCAGCACTCAGAGCGGAACCTGAAAATCCACTATCAATGATCTTTCAGTCTAAGGCTTATAAGCGAACACCGTTTGATGATCCAGTAGATGAGGATGATCCCATCTCCCGAGAGCTTTTTATCTTCGAACCACAGGTCGAGCAGGATCACGGCCAAACTCTTTACGATGTTTTGGATACTGCGATCTGGAGCGATAGACCTGGAGAGAATATGGACGACGTTTGGCTTGAACATCTGGGCGAGCTTCTCATCATGAAATTGGACTCCTACGAGAATGCCAAGTCAGTGGATGTCAAGGTCCCGGCTGTATTTTATCCCGACCGCTACATGAGCAACTGTCGAGAGCTTGCGCTGGATTTCCGTACTAAAAGACGCGCGGTTATGGAAGAGATCCAAGAGCTAGAGAAGCTAATGGCTCAATTTACTGCTCCACGAACTGCCGTGGGCACGCTCACAGTGAAGGAAATACTCGAGAAAGCCGCGCAGGCAGTGCCTGTGGTTCTCTCAGAGAATTCGGCCCGGAGTGACGACTCGATGACCCCCGAAGTGAAGGCCGAAAAGGCATCGCGAATCACGCGTGACTTGCAAGAAATTGCCCATAAGGTCGAGGCCAAATTAAAAGGTACCTTCCCACATGCACAGAAGACGAGCTATGGTGGCTGACATCTCCAGATCTGGAATCCAAGAAACAGAAAGCATTGGAGACTATGCGCGCCTATTCCAAAACACTCACTGAACCCAGCGACTCTCCCAGCGAGCCACCTACACACAAGTATACTCTCCGTGGCGTCTGTACTGAGCCACATGTCACATATGTCCTGAGAAGTGATCGAGCAAACGACCCCAATGATCTGATGGAGTTAGATAACCAGAGTGACGCTCAAGATCAATGGTGGCGGATTAGCTATTCTGCGGAGGATGGGAAGACCCGCCAGGCCGAGAAACGAAATGCCCAGGGCAACCAGTCGGCCTCCCAACATGGCGATGTCATTGGCTATACGGCACGCAAAGTGCGAGAGATTGAAGTTCTCCGCGCTGCACGCGAAGAATGGAGAACGGTACTGCTGGTATATGCAAGTGATAATGCTATGAATGCGAAGGTTGAACCAGCACCAAGGCAACTTCAGGTGAGTTCATGGTGCTCTTGATGGGTGTGTGTATGTGTGTCCCAGACTAATCTTATCACAAAATAGGGCTTCGTGAGGAAAGACAACGAGGCATTCGCCACAGAATGCGAAGAAAGCACTGCCAATGCCCAAGATGCCCAGATGACTGATTCTTCAGGGAAGAATAATAGCACAAGTACCCAGTATGCTTCGTCACAAGAGCGAGAGAAAGAGCAAGGCAAAGAGCAAGACAAAAACCAACCCATCAACGTCTTTGACTACGAAGTTTCCGATTTCGACAGTGAACGCGGATCGGGAAAGGAGAAGACGATGCAGGAAAAGGAGATGCAGGAGAAGCCGCGGGCCAGTCTTCTTGGAAATAGCGCCAACTCGAGCAATCAAGCGAAGGTCTCTCAGGCGCTGGATGATGACTCGGAGTGGAACGTGGACGAAGACGAGGAGATGGTCGACCACGTGGAAACCGCGAAATCTTAAATAGCGGCTGTATGAGTGATGAATCAATGAACACTAGATCTAAGCGGCCAGCTCAAATGCGATCCGTGAGAAATTAGAGAAACGGACAATGTGCCCGGAATTATTGTAGTTATCACTGCTGTGTAGTTCCTTCAGTGTCGACAGTCCCCACATCCTAGGATGCACCGACCTCCACCGCCCAAGTCGCCGTACATCAACAAATCCACCCGCAACAGCACAAAGCTCAAGCTCCAATCCCATCACCTGCCCCTCACAAAGCCAAAATGACAGTCGAAAGCGACACCGTGGCCGGCGCCACAATCGAACTCCTGGAAGCACGCCTTCGTCGACTCTCCTATCTCCTAACCGGTAGCTCAGACTGGATAGGAGTCCCGAACACACCGTCAAAGCCAACCACACACGACGAAACAATCTCCCGACGCCTCGCCCGACTGGAAAAAGAACTAGAGAAACTAAGCAAATCCGTGCCCGCCGTCCGGGACATCATCCAACTCCGTTTGTGGTCCCATGCCTCTTCCTCTTCCTCTTTCTTCCTCCGCCCTACCGCCGCAATCCTTACCCCAACCCCAACCCCACGCGCACGCTCAATGGCTTCACAACCCCTGCAGGACCAAACAAAAGCTAACCCACCCAACAGAAGACCAAAACAAAACCCTCTTCCACCCAGAACCCACCACAGAAACAATCCCGGAAGGCCTAACCCCACAAACCCTAACCTCAATCATCCTCTCCTACGCCAGCGCCTTCCCCGAAACCTCCTCACGTCTAACATCACTAAACGACCTCCCGATCCCCGACGCGCAGAGCTCGGCCGCGCTAATCGAGCTCCAGCCCGCTCTCGACCGCGCTGCGGGAAAACAGGCTGAGCAGGCGGCGGCTATTTCGGAATTGAGGGTTCGCACGGCGCGGGTGCTGCAGCGGTGGTATGAGGTTGGGCTTGTTGGAAGTGGGGAGGCTTGGGCTGAGTGGGAGGGACGGCTTGAGGGGGTTGAGAGGGAGGTGCGTAGGAGGGAGGTTTTTAGGGAGAGGAGGGAGAATGAGATTTGATTTTGAGGTTTTGGTATACTTGTATTGGTATGCCGGGGTGGGGGGGATTGGGTAGTGCAGGTGTTGAGGGGGATTCCCGGGGTATTTGTTTATAGTACGATAGTTGGAGGGGAGATGCTGGGTTCCTGTGTGTTTACTTTTATGATATCCTCTTAGTCGGCGTTGAATTGAATTGGTAGCAAAAGTTGCGGTGACCAGACGTCACGGTATTAAGTACTTGCCGTGCCCAGGTGGGAACTACTACTAACTAGTATGCAGTAGCAGTAACTACTACGATAGTTTTGAATGCATCTTGAACCTGAGTTTGGTCTCATGGGTTTCTTGGTTCACCATTATCATTCACCTAGAGGGACTAAGGCAACCCAATCGACCGTGATTGCAGATCTTGACCACCAGCGATCAGTCACATTCCGATAGCTGCAATGAGATCATCAGACCCGATCAGATCGGATCAGATGCGCATTCCATTGAGGTCAATCGGAATTCTAGAGAGTATACCCCAGATTCCTGATGACAGGCGACCAGGCAGTCCGAAGCGAGCGGATTGAGTTTGGCGCGGCATTGGCAGTACGGTATTGAGTATAAAGCTGGTGGAGGGAGAAGTGGAAGTGCAGAGTAGAATTAACATTGATTTACGGAGTAATAGCCTGAGGCTTCCAGGTGGACGAATCCACCGCAGTACCAAAGGACGGAGTATAATTCACAGCATCATCAAGGGTCTAGAACGAAGCGAAAAGAGGAAAGAAAAAAGTACGATCCGATCGAGGTGGGGCGTGGAGACGAGACAATAGGCGAGACCCAGACCCTTCAGATTATGAGTACGGAGTATGGGAGTACTCATACACCTGGGCACCCTCGGTGAGGTTCTGCACTCTTGGTGTATTAGGATGGTACTTTTTTATGAACTCACTGGCTGTGACAATGGCTATGTGGCAGATGTTAGGAATAGGGGTCAGCCTAAGGCTAGACTGCATTGAAGGGTTACGCAAGCCCGGCAGAGGACGGTTGTACCTACCAGTAGGTCTTCAGTATGGCATTTGTGGTACAAAGTAGGGAGTCTTGCCGGGTTCTTAGTTATAGAAATACAGGCAGTACTAGTATCATGATCCTCTCCCAGATACATCCAGACTCCCGTACTCCGTACTCATATCATATGCCAATGTGTATTCATATCATCGGACACAAGTGTTGATGCGAGCCCGCGTCAGCCAAGCGGAGCCCGTGACTAAGCCGGATATTTATAGCACTGCCTACGTGGATTCATAGGAACATCAAGTTGACTTTGTTATGATGTTGGAGGGAGACACTGCACGAGAATTGAATGGGAATGACAATGACGATGACAATTGATTGAATAAGTTAGAGTATCCATATTCCTTGTCACTACTGTATTAGAATACTCAACCGTTGAAACCCGTAGTGGAGAGGGTTCATTTCCCGGATCCCACTTTGGTCTCGATTCCAGGGGGTGTCTGTGTGTTTGGGGGGGCCCACAAGTCAGTGGGTTGTGCCAGTGCCATTGCTAGTTCTCTCTTCTCTCACACTCTCTCTCGCAATCCGATTTCCTCCACCCTTTTTCCCTCGTTCAACCCTATTCATTCCTTTCTCCAGCCTGGTGCTGTTGTCTTCGCCCTTACGGCCCCCAGATTCTACTCTCGTTTTTGTCCCCTTCCACTCCCCCCCTCCCAAGGCCACCTTGCCCACATCCAAAACACCAACCACCACTACCGCCCAATACAACACCCCTTGACCGAACGGAACCCACGTCTTTGTCTCAAAGAAAAAAAGGTACGAACCACTGGAAACGCCGGCGCCTAACCTTCTTTTTCCTCCCCTTTCGTTTTCATGTTCTTTGCTCTTTCGCGCCCTGCTCTGTCCTTGCCCTTCCATTCGTTTGCGATCGAGTCCCTCAACCGTGTCCCTCGTTTTCGACCCCACGCGACCGTCCTTCGAATTCTCCCACTGACAAGGCGCAGTCTTCGTGCCTCAATCTTCGATTTCCATCGCCAGCCGACTCGAGTCCGACACTTGGTCCTGATTGTCAACGGCGACCTCCTTTATACGCCGTACACACTCGACTCGACTCCGCTTGCCTTTCCTTTTGACATTTCGTTTCGGGTGAACCTGCGTACTCTCTCCTTTTCACAATCCGAGTCTCAACGACAATATTCCCACAATGCCCAACTTCCGCCCCAGCAACATCCTGGGCGACCCCTTTGCGCTGGCCACGCTTTCCATCTCCATCCTGGCTTGGCTCATCGCCTTCATTTCATCCATCATCGCCGACATTCAAACCGACTACCCGAACCTGGATTGGTGGGCAATTGCCTACATGTTCTGTATCAACATTGGTCTGATCTTCACCTTCGGTACCGACACTGGCAATCTCTACGGCGTCGCTATTGTGGGATACTTGGGTGCCGCTCTCGTCCTGACCTCCATCAGCGCCAACAACACCGTCTACGGCTCGCAGGGCGCTGAACAGGCCGCCGGTGCTGGTTTCATTCTGCTGTCCATGGTCATCATCATCTGGATCTTCTACTTCGGTTCCACCCCTCAGGCTTCGCACCGTGGCTTCATCGACTCCTTCGCCCTGAACAAGGAACAGCCCGGTTCGTACCGTGGCAGCCGCCCCATGTCCAGCGCGTTCGGTGCTCGCCCAGAGACCATGGCTACCAGCAACACCCCGCAGATGTACACCTCCGCCCAATTGAGCGGCTTCGAGACCTCTTCTCCCGTCTCCGGATACCCCGGCGGACCCCCCCGGCGCCGAGCGCAATTCTGCCCAGCCTCCGAGTCGCTTCGGTGGCAGCAGCCCTGCCCCTGCACCCGCCCCCGGCCCCGGCCCGGCCCCTGCCATCAACCCTGATGGCAGTGAAGTCCCCCAACCAACCGAGTACCCGTACCGTGCGAAGGCCATCTACTCGTACGATGCGAACCCCGAAGATGCCAACGAGATCAGCTTCACCAAGCACGAGATTCTCGAAGTATCCGACGTCAGCGGTCGATGGTGGCAAGCTCGAAAATCGAGCGGAGAGACCGGCATTGCACCCTCGAACTATCTGATCCTCTTGTGAGATCGATAAGTCTCGTGTGTTTTGTGTTAATGCCCGTTTATTCCCTGTCTCTCTCTCTTTTTTGATTTTTGTCTGCCTTTTGAAGCTTGCTATATGCAAAACATTGTACCCCTTTGATACCCTTCGGATACTTCTCTCGACGTGTGTGTACTTTTGGTTTTCCACCCCTTCCCCTAACGTGATGTCTTGATGGCCTCCTCTCATTACCTTCGACGCAACTATTTCATTCTTCTCCCTCTTATTTCTCTCTATCTCTTTCATTTCATTTATTTTTCCTTTGGAACGCTGCTTTATCTTGATTTGGCTTGGTATTAGTCCTTTGGCGGGAGTTTCCCCGCTTTGTCTCGTGCGTTATGGTTAGGTGCTTTTGATCGTCAAGTCTGGGAACATGGGTCTGCTGGCCCTCGGCGAGAGTTTGTCGATTGTATGACCAGACCTCGACCTTGGCGAAGCCGATGTCCTCCTGTTTCCTCCTTTCTTCGCATGAAAAGTTTCGGCGGCCAGGAAGCGCATGAGTTGCGTCTCTGGTCCCGATGTATAAGAACTGAATGGCGAATGTAATCGATACCTCTGTCAACTTTCAAATTGTATTGATATACTCGTAGACAGGACTGTAGGCGCTGATGTGGCTACCGGTAGCACCGATGATATATGGTCATCACGCAATCAGCGATCCTTCCACATCGGGCATCTCCATCCAGGCGGGGTTACTTACACCCCTCAGCCCTCACTGACAGTCTAGACTCACTCCCGTCAAGCTGCCGCGAATCGCGAAAGTTCCATTCTTCAAGTGACTCTCGCTCTCACCTACCAAGCTTGATCCACCCTCCTACATACCCAAACTTGACTCATCTTGACCGTAACAAGCATTCCATGTCGTCCCACGTGCACGGACAATGACGATCGAGCACGTTGTACATCGTGAGTATGTACCTCCACAAACCATCAATTCTCCGAGTCCCCACTTCACCAATCAATCAATTCTATCAACCCCATAAACCGGCTCCCTAACCGTCTTGACAATAAAGAACATCATGATCAACACGAAAAATGTCAACAAGGTGTAGCTGATAACGAACAATACCCTACCTAGGTAGGAAAGAACTCCAAATCCATTCACGATTCCCATGAATGTTAAGCATTGTTCTCAAACTCCTCTTTCTCCGTATATTAGCCTGTCTGGTACTAGCTCCGCTCTCTGGCGCAGGGCCCCGCAGCACTGCAAAAAAAGGGCCTTCGATACTCGTACAGTTTGCTAAGGCGGGGTGATTGTGGATTTGGACTTGTATATGGACTAGAAGGTTACAAGAAAGGAATGGTATTGTGAAATAGTTCGTAGAAGAAACGGAGCGTATGAATATCGACCATTTAAAAAGGCAGATATAGTATACATACTACAAGCCTCCCATCTTATATTCTCAATCTGATTCTTGAGGGCATATACTAGTATACCGTAGATAAGGTGGCTTGAGTGGAGCAACCCACGAGAGGGAGTTCTTCCCCCTCCCCTAAATCGTAGTAACCGGCTTCTTAGCCGGACTTGCTGATCGGGGTCTGTCCGTTACGCTAGTTCGTTCAAATTCGCTGTTCAAAAAGTCACCGCTCCTCTCTTTCAAAATTGGTATCTTCTTCTCGTTGTATCTCATGCCTTCGCTGTAGGTATATTTCTCTGGAGCTCAACACCAGCACCAGCAACCGGGCCGATCGTCGCTTTCTCGGAGAGGAAGGAAGGAAGGGCAGAAGAAAAAGGAAAAGCCTTCCGATACCCATATTCATACTCATAACCGTGCCGATAATTCAAACAACATGTCGGACGGCAATGTGACAGTCGCATCCAATGTGCTCGGCACCATTGGCACGGTGCTCTGGTGCATCCAGTTAATTCCACAGATTTGGTATAACTGGCGGCGAAAGAATACAGATGGGTTTCCGGCTACAATGATGTTTCTCTGGGCTCTTTGTACGTACTACTACTACTGATATTATACCACTGTGTTCTGGGAGGAATTGGGCTGAGTGGTCCGGCCGGCTCTAACCATCATCCAGGCTCTATTCCGATGGGAGCATATCTTATTTTGCAGGTATGTGTTGTCCCATGGGCCAGCTTTCAAGCGTTACTTGCTAGATGTCCATTTGAAATCTAATTAAGTGATGTTCTTTTTCTCGCCTACTTGCTAGCAAGTCAATATCCCACTACAGATTCAACCGCAGATATTCGGATTTTTTGCGCTGGTTAGCTGGGCCCAGGTTTTGTACTATAGTCAGTGAGTTTTGGACGATTCGAGAATATCAAAGAGTTTCTGCTAAGGAAGTTGTCTTGCGATGGAAATAGTGGTTATAGCTGGTTGAAAGCTACGTTTGTTTGTGTGGCTATGGTTGTGTTATTTGGTGGGTTGGAGGCTCTTCTTATTCTTACATTGAGGGTTAGTAGATCTGTGCCAGTGGATATTTTGCGACTGTGAGAGGATGAATGGATGTGCTTACATCCTTACTACCTGCAGATACCATATGACAAAGGAATTACCTGGCCGGACTTGGTTGTTGGGGTTATTGCTGCTATTCTTCTCAGTGCTGGGTTGTTGCCTCCATATTTTGAATTGTGGAAGAGAGATGGTCGTGTGATTGGGTTTAGTAAGTGTTGTTTTGTCTCGAGTCATAGCCTTGGTGGTGACTCTGCGAGGGCAAGCGATTCAGAGGGCTGATAACTTGAATATAGACTGGGTTTTTCTCTCCATCGATACTTTTGGTGGTCTATTCTCCTTGTTCGCACTCGGTAGGTCCCCATCAAGCAGCAATGTATATGCCGGTATGCCGGTATGCCACTGACAATAGCTAGCTGCTCAAGGAACATTCGATGTTTTGGGGGGTATCATGTACATATTAGTGTGAGTACTAGTATAGAGTGGATCTTGTCAGTGCTAAAGAGGTATTCTCCAGGGTTGTTCTGGAAGCAGGGATCTACTTGAGCCATATCATCTGGCGCATTCGGTATCGCAAGCTGCGCAAAGAAGCCAAGGAAACCGGCAAGAGTATTGATGACTTGTTGGAATTGCGGAGACGGGATACAGAGGACAGCAGAGATCTAGAGGCAGGGGTCCTCGATCAAGATCAAGATCAGGATCAGGATCAGGATCAGGATCAAGAATCGAAACCGACAGGGGCAGAGACAGACACATGGACAGGGGCAGGGACAGGGCCTCCAATGGAGCGGTCAGAGATGAGTGAGAAATGATCATGTTAGGGTGGTTTCAGCCTAAAGGATACCTTATGCTCTAGATGAACCATGGATACCTAAGTATCAGTCCATGAATATACCATACGCCTCCGCGCAAGCATCACACAGCTCCAAGAAACTAGTACTATTTCAGTTTCACAGTTTCAAGTTTCAAGTTGGGCGGGAGATCAGCAGCTGCCAGTGCCAGTGCTTTGCTAGTTCGCTTCGCTGCGTGACTTGAGTTCCACGCGTTCCCCTCTCTCCAGTACAACTTCAATTTCTTCATCATCTTCTCCTTGACCTCTCCCTTAACCTTTCCATTAACCTTCTCCCTAATTTCCCCCCTATGATCCACGGTTCTCTGTGTTGAAACAAGCTGGAGCTACCTGGATGAGCTAGGCCCAACACACCAACCCCGTCTGGGCTAACTTGAACAAGCATCAACGGTGTCAACAGTGCCCGCTCCCCCTTGGTACCCAGCTTCCTCCTACTCCTCCTACTCCTCCGCCACCTCAACTATGCCTTCACTCTGAGCTTCCCCCGCAATCAATATGCCAGAGAGACGTCTATCGCGTCTTCTCAAGGCAAAGCTATTACGACGATCATCAACGCCTGCAGTACCCAAAGCGGGCAACGGGGCGGACCCGCCTGTCCCTGTTCCTGTCCACGTCCACCCAAATCCACCCGCGAATAACTCTCGCCCTTCACATCTCTTCGATTCCGCGAGCGAGAAGTCCCCCTACAGCGTCGTTTCTTCCGCTAACCACTCCTCGGACGAGATCGGCCCTACCTCCGATCCCGATCGGCACGAGGGGGACGCGCCCAAGTCCAAGTCCAACTCCCGGTCCCGGACCCGTCACGAGCGTCGCCACTGTAACTCATCCACTTCGCCATCCGCCGAACACGAACACCAGCACCGCCATCTTTCTCACGCACCAGAGCGATCTACATCATCCCCGCTTCCTACCGACCACGAAAACCCCCCTCTTATACACCCCTCTGACGGACGAACTGCCATCCCCCCTCGAGTCTCCACTCGCGACCCCCCCAGCATTCCGACGATACCTCCTTCCAGTCCGCGGTAGTCAGGGTTCGAACTCCGGCACCTACCGAGCTTCAATTGACCCCGACTCTTGATACTGTCGTTGAGCGCACTGCAGCTGATCGCCGGCCATCCTCATCCGCCTTCCCTCCTCAGTCCAGCAAGCGCCCGAGCATTGCCATCCGCCGGCAGTCTCTGCTTCCATCATCTCACCAACACTTGATCACCGGCCTTCTAGAACAAAGTCTCTTCTCAGGACTGAGCGACCCACAAACCGCCTACGCTCCTGTGGTAGCCGACGAGATGGTCCAGCGTCGGATCTGGGTGAAACGACCAGGTGGCTCCGCCACCCTGGTACCCTGCTTGGAGGATGCGGTGGTGGACGAACTGCGCGACCAGGTGATTATGAAATTCGCCAACTCATTAGGGAGGACATGGGATTCTCCGGATATCGTGATACGAATTGCCCCACGAGAGGGCACAAATCGCCAGACGACCTCGGAGCGCCTCCTCAGTCCCGAGGAATCTCTGTCCTCAATTCTGGACACATATTACCCCGGTGGTCAAAAGATAGAGGAGGCATTGTTGATTGACGCACCTACACGCCGCACTCCGAAGCCCTCCCCGCGCCACTCGGTCTATCATCATCATAACCCGGAGCCTGGTGAGCATGGCGAATACTTCCCGTTGATGCCCGCGAAAGTTCCCACCCCACCTACGCATCCTGCAGCCTCCGGGCCAAACACCGCTCCGGCGATGTCGATAATCAACAATGGGGTGGCTCCTCCGTTGCCTTCGCCAGGTAGGGGTGGGTCACGACATCACCGTCGGCCACCACTCCAACGGCACACAACCAATTCGCCAACGATTCTCGGCCAAGGTCCTATCGTTAGTGTTACAGGTATGTTTTCTACGTATACCCACGCGCCAAGCATATAGAAGCATAGATGACTGATTTTTAGCAGAGGCGGGCATATCTCCCCATTCTGTACCCGTACCACCAACGCAACCGAGCGTGCCCACACCCCCAGCACCAGCACCCGATTCTCCCCAAACCAAATCACATACTCCACCAGCACCGGTAGTATCGCCGCGGGTGTCACGCAAACCCAAGAGCTCTGCTTCACCTGGGGCAGTCTTTGGAGGATTAATTGATGGTACCGTTCCTCCGATCAATGTTCTGATCGTCGAGGACAACATTATCAACCAAAAACTCCTCGAGGCGTTTATGAAGCGATTAAGTGTCCGATGGAAATGCGCGGCAAATGGAGAGGAAGCGGTACGGAAATGGCGACAAGGCGGATTTCACTTGGTATTGATGGATATTCAGTTGCCCGTCATGAACGGGTTGGATGCCACCAAGGAAATTCGTCGCCTGGAACGACTTAACGGTATTGGCGTTTTCCCTAAGAATGCATCCGGTCGTTCGAGTGTTTCGAGTACAAGTGAGGATAGGAGGCCGGGTCTTAACCGCACCGTTAGCGAGGAAGATACTCTCACCGACTTGTCCTTATTCCGCAGCCCTGTCATCATTGTCGCTTTGACAGCAAGCAGTCTGCAAAGTGATCGTCACGAGGCATTGGCAGCTGGCTGCAACGACTTTCTGACCAAGCCTGTTGGTTTCCCATGGTTATCACAGAAGGTTACGGAATGGGGCTGCATGCAAGCACTGATTGACTTCGAGGGCTGGCGGAAGTGGCGTGGGTTTTTGGATACTCCACCGTCTTCCTCGCCCAGTTTAGATAGCGCTGCCAGCCCTATGCAAACCGGTCACCGCAACGACTTCGTCACATCAGCCGACGGATCTACCTCGCCGTCGACGACCCGCCATACGAAGAATAAGCCTTCTTCCAACGGTCTGCCAAGGCCTCACATACCAGATGCCGCTGAGCTCTTACGGGAAGACTCATGGGGTAGTGGCAGCGGTGACACAGGAGACTCCGGCCTCAGCCCTGACTTCAGCCCTGACGGCCTGCCTGTCGAGGCCGATGGGAAGGTGAAGAGCAATGCTGCACCCCCATCGAAGGAAGAATAAACTATTCTCCGATTTTGAAAACATTGATCATCATGATCTCCTCGCCCCTTTCACAACTTTTCCATATGTCTCGACCCTGTCTTTTCCATTGGATACCCATATAACAGCAACATCCTTTTTTGACTCGCGGCCATCTGCAGTAATTTCAAGCGTTCATGCTTTTCTCTTTCTCTCTCTTTCTTTTGCATTTCGACTTTGCCATGATCGCTTCGTGCATTGTGCACTTTTTATTTTGATCTCATGATATGGTATACATATACACAACATGGAAATACTCACATACACGAAGGAGTTGTTCTATCTATGGCCTATATTGATCCATTTTTCTTTGGCCTTTGTTCTATTCTTTTCTCCCCAGGTGAAGACTCTGTTCTTCCTTGGTATGTATTTATCAGATAACCGAATGGAGGTTTCCCATTATCATTAGATCAATCTGGCAACGAAGTTCCCAGTATCTCAGCGAATTCGAATTCGTATTGCCAACTTTATGAAGCACCTGGTGGGTGCCTAGACGGTTACAGTACCTTCCTCACAGCTCCACCACAATCTTCAAGCAACTGACCCCAGCCTTCAACTCATCCAAAGCCCCATTAACAGACCCCAGCCCACCTTTGATAACTTTGATATGGGGGCTAGCAACGACCTGCTTACCAGCAAGCTTCCCCTCCAACCAGTCCACAAAGATAGCCCGATTTCTCTCCTTCAACTCCGCCCGATCCTGCGGAGGATACACAAAAGCAGCCTCAACACCATCAGGAACCTTCAATTCGGGATCCAAGATTGGCGCAATCGCCAACTTCGACTTCTCCCCCTGTCCCTCACCCCTCAACGCATGCAGAACATCAGCCGCCAAGTGCTGGTCCCCGGTAGCATGGTATCCAATCCGAATCCTCACACCATCCGCACCCGCCGCCTGAACAATCTGACCCAACACATCCTCATCCTTATAATCAAATACCCGATCCGCCCCAAGACCCCGGATATAATCATGATGCCGTCCACTGGCAGTAGCATAGACAACAAACCCCATCAACTTCGCCTCCTGCACAGCCAAAGCTCCAATACTACTCGACGCACCCCAAACAAAAACCCCCTCCTCCGAAGCAGAAACTTGAACTTGACTGGTGGTAGCAGCAGGCATCAAACCAGCCCAAACCCACCCATTCCACGTCGTAACCGCCGCAAGAGGGAAAACTGCCCCCCTCAACAAAAGAATACCCATCCGGAAGAATCGCAACAGTCTCCTCCGGCACGAGAACTCGTCTCTGAAATGCGCCGTAATCAACACCGGCGTTAAAGAATGAACTTGCTAGTGCCGTAACGCGGGTCCCGGGTTTCATGGATTCTCGTGTCAGGGGTCCGGATGAGATGATAACGCCTGCGACGTCGGAGCCTAGGATTGCGGGATATTCTTGGATGAAGAATCCTGTGTCGCGTTGGTGGTAGTCTACTGGGTTTAGGGCTAGGGCGTGGACTTCGATTAGGAGTTCGGTTGGGCCGGGCGTTGGGGTTTGGCGGGTTGTTGTTTTTAATGCGGTGGCTTTTGAAGGGAGGGTTGCGGCTTGGTGGGTTTGGTTTTCGGTTGACATGGTGATGGTGATGGTGGTGATGGTTGGAAGTGAGGTGAGATGAGATGAGATCCTTGTGCTTGGTAATATCTGAATACTGGAATGGATTCAAGTTCTCATCTGCCTTATTCCATACTCGATTTTATAGGTATTTTGTTGGAACTTGACGCGGTCACGGCGATTATACCGGAGTTAACTGACTAGTTTATAGAAAGACGGGGTTTGCGTATCTCCACGGCCCCCAATTTATAAGTAACTTGAACACACGCGGTCTGTGATGTTATGATTGGGGGAGCAGGAGCAGGGCCGATAACTTGAAGGAGAGGGACCTGGATTAAATAGGATCAAGAAGCTTAGCTTATCCGTGTTCTTATATCATGTCATCTCATGACTGGGGGTGTCGACAATAGGTGGGTTGCAGTTGGACTTTGTACAGAGTATGTACGGGCACCTTCGCTATTGGAAGAATTCTCGTGGAACAGTGCCATGCGAAATGAAAGGATTCCCTGGGCAGTACATTTGACTGGTCGCTTCAAGTTGCTGACTGCAGCGCTTGGTATCCCCTAACTGGGACTTACCCATTGGACTCGCCATCTTTCGATTTCTTGAGTGCTGCACGATCCTAGCCTTTCTTTGGCTTGGCGCTTTGCTGTTGAGACAAAATGTGTCGGCGTGGAAGACATGGTTATCATTGCAGCAAGAGCTCTGAAGCTTTGGGTGATGAGCGACTGGAAATGCTCATTCTAGATGACAAATCTTGGAAATGGCGATCAGGGTCGAACACATGCGGAACGGGTCGACGCGTAAATGCAATGGAAAGTGGAATCTTGGCTAAGCCTTAAGCTTTAATTTTTTACTTCATTCATTCACATACGAAGTACTCCGTAGACACGGGCCATTTAGTCATGACAGGTGATCCACTCCAACAACTTGAAATTTCTAGTAGCACTGGTCAACAATCTTGTTGAACAGTCAGGTACTCGTACTCAGATGAGACCGGGGCTGCAAAATACTAGTAAGTTTTTGATCAGGGCCCTTCTGATAATCTAGTCGGCAAAACCGATCAAGGAGTCCAGCCTTGAAATATCAGCATTACCAATGCAACGCAACGTAAGTACAAATCGGGACGTCATTTAAAAGTGGCTATGATAAGCACCCACCAACTGCAAGAGGCTTGAACAACGCGATTGAAATGAGCGACATGCCAGCTTCCTAATAATTCGTGATCTACCCCAACTAAGTCTAGTTTGGGCGTGCCGTGTACTCCACAGCTACGACGATAGGCCGAACGGCTGCATTAGTGTCCCGCCATGCACACCCTGAGAGGCTCAAGTGTTCCGGCGGTGGCTTGAAGCCTCCGTCAACGGGGGCTTGAAGCCTCCGTCAACGGAAGTCACACTTAAATGATCCTTATTTTGGGTTCAAGAACGGGGATCAGGGGCCGGTTTGTAGGATATCAATCTGAGTGGGCTTCAGGGATAACCAAGGCAAAAGGCCAGAGGAGCTGAACGGTTGCCCGTCCATTGGCTATGAGTGACGTTCAGGGTGACTTCAGACCTCGCCAGATTGTGAACACTTGCAGATCGCAAAACTAAAGGTTCCTTGGCAAACCGCACGAGTAGCCTTGTCAGACCATGGCCCCGCTCCTAGGCGGTTGAGCTGAGGCGGTGTTGTTTTTCTCATATCCCTGAAGTCAACTCATCTCAACTTCCTCCATTAAGCTTACCTCGTGGAGGGAGCCAGTCTTTCGTTCAGGAACACCCTAGACAACAAACAATCATGCTTCAAGAAGACACGCGAACGTGCTATTTCCCGAACAGCGACACTGCCGGAGGCACTTATCCATGCACTTCTGATGAAACCACACATTGCTGTGGAGCTGGGAACATATGTCTCTCCAACGGATACTGTTTGGATGTGTCCCAACCATTCGTTCTTTCTCGAGGCGCTTGTACAAGCCAGAATTGGGGTGCCGGATGTCCGACCCACTGCCGTAAGTCCTTGGATCCTATCCCTTGTGGGGTTACCCCTTCCAAGGTTCGAATCCACATATGCCTATATCCCAAGCCGAGTGCTGACAAAATGGAAATAGAGGATACCTTCGAGAATATGGGGGCGTCTATAATTAATTTGAATTTTATAAATGGGACCTCTACCTATTGCTGCGGTACACCTATCATCGACGGGGAAGACATCGTCTGCCCTTTCGGAAAGGATAGCTTCGAAATTGACGATGGCGAAATTCTTACCGGACACACTGCCCTCGCCAATGTCACTTCACTGTCGGCCTCAACAAATTCCTCGTCCAATTCCTCTACATCTTGTCCACCGATACAAACAAATACTCCTTCATCAAGCGGGTCACACGATGTTGCCCTTGGAGCTGGGCTGGGCGTTCCACTGGGGGTCATTGCGCTGGGATCGTTGGTATGGGGATTTATGGAGAGAAAGAGGGCCAATAAATTGAGCAAATCAATGGCTAACTCCACTGACCCGGCCACGGGATTTATCGGTCACCCTGTGAACCCCGGGGTTCCTGCGAAGACTGTGAGTTCTGGGCCCTCGGAGCTCGACACCGGCCGACGCATGCCGGAGTTGGAAGCAAGGGATTGAGGGATAAAGTTGCGGCATATAGTTAGATGCCCAGTACATACTTGTACCTATGATAATTGTGAATAGTCGCATAATGTAATTGAAGGCTAATTCCGAGAGTGATACCCCTAATTACAGTATACCTAGGTATATTGATGTTTCTAATGGTGTCGCTGTAATACTCGAGCATAATCTAAGCGGCGGAGAACTATGCATCAATAATCTTAACGTAGCTTCCTACTCGATTGAGGTCATGCACCTATCTACTGGGATACATTTGTCACATAGAGTCTAGACCGAATGAGAGAGCGAGACTAACCTTGGCCACAAACATTCGCCAATGGTTAAGGCCCCGTGCTGGGCAGAATGTCCCGGGTATTCCGGGCTTGTCCTCGTGGCTGGAGGTCGCCCCTCGCGAGGGGAATCCTATGCATGTTACCCAGAGACTGAAAGGCTGGAATGCAACTGCTGCGATAGATTGAGGTCCAGGCTTATGGTAACTTCTATTAAATTGACGCGTAATCCTATCTCAAAATGATTTTAGTTCAGTATAGCTGTCACCCTCGTGCTTTATTCTCCTTAACGCGTGGATCCAAGTCGATCCCGCTGATCAATCGCCCTTGATCGCTTGGCTGTGCAGATCACCAACTTAATCAACACAAGCATGACTCGATTTTTGGGATGTCGCGGCAATAGCCTCAATGTTGTTGCCATTCTCGGCGTCCTGATGCCAGGAATCATGTCTGTTGGCTACAACGCAGCGTCCCTTGGGGGAGTATTGACCTTCAATACCTTTGAGGCTCAATTTCCTGATATCGATGTGACACATTCGGAAAACCCTTCACACACTTCGACTCTACAGGGGACGGTAGTCGCTGTTTACGCGATTGGCGGCTTCCTTGGTACCTTTTCCTGCATCTGGCTCGGCGACATTCTTGGGCGTCGACGTATGATTATGGCGGCTTCCGTTGTTCAGATCCTTGGAGCTACTCTGAATGCCACTGCCTATTCTCTGACCCAACTCATCGTCTCGCGGGTGATTATTGGTGTTGGAACAGGCGCAATTCTGGCCACAATTCCTCTCTGGCAGTCGGAGATCTCTCCTGCGCATAGACGCGGCGCACATGTTGTCACCAAGGGAGTATTTAGTGGAATTGGATGTGCTCTTGCATTGTTCCTGGAGTTTGGGATGTCGTTCAAGAAGGGAAGCATAACATGGAGGTTGCCATCTGCCTTTCCCATGTTTCTATCTTTCGTCATTCTGGGCTTTATGTTCTGTCTCCCAGAATCCCCTCGCTGGCTTCTTTGCCAAAATAGGGTCCTGGAAGCTCGTGAAATCTTGGCCGCCCTAGAGAACGCAAGTGCAGATAGTGATGTGGTTGAGAGCCGAATCAAAGAAGTACAGGTTTCTCTGGATTCAGCTGGAAACAAGACATCCCTGGGGCGACTGTATAATATGGGACCCCAACGAACATTCCATCGGGCAATTCTGGCGATGGGGGGTATGATTTTCGTCCAGCTGACAGGTTCAACTGTGACTACCTTCTACAGTAAGTGTTTTATTTACTCATTTTTTGAGGATACGTTTCGCTAACAAAAAGAATTTAGCCACCGAAATATTTGAGAAGGATCTTCTTCTCAGCGAATCTACGTCTCGACTCCTGGCAGGAGCGTATCAACTTGTGGGACCCCTCGGCGGCATAGTCTCGGTTCTTACAATTGAGGTTGTTGGCCGACGCAAGTTGATGATGCTCAGTGCAGCAGGAAACGCACTCTGCCTAGCAATGGTTGCTGGCCTTGGGTCACACGCCGCGAACATCACCTCCGCACATGCTGCTATCTTCTTTATATTCTTGTTCCACTTCAGCTACATCATCGGATTTGGAGGCATACCCTATCTCTACGCCACAGAACTTGCACCGCTTCACCTGCGTACGACGATTAACAGCATCAGCATCAGTATGTCCTGGGCTTTCAGCATTTTAATCGCCAATGTTACCCCGATCGCATTCAACAATATGGGACAGAAGTATTTCTATATCTTCGCAGCATTCAACGCATCAATCGTGCCGATTGTCTATTATCTGTTCCCGGAGACTTCGGGACGTGAGCTTGAGGAAATAGACGAGATTTTTACCAACACCAACAGCATGTTCGATGTTGTCAAGCGGGCCAAAGAGCTACCTAAACGTCAACCCAACGATGTGTTGATGGAAGAGAAGCTGAAATCTGGTCTCACTGTCTCAGCAGTCCCCGTGTGAGGGTGCTAAATTGTACTATATTTGGAAAATTCTGGCGTGATGGATAACATCATTAATATGTGGGGATAAAGTGCTAAGATACTCGTGACGATTTGTTTAATGATAAAAAATGAAAATGATAATGATCATATTTTAATGAATTCGATCTGAAGAACCTGTAGAGAAAATCCTTCGTAGTAAATCAAGAAAAATCCAATTGACAGTAATATTCAAGTGTCTTGGGTGTAGGGAGTCCCAAATGGCATTAGCCCAATGCAAATGCAATTCAAGCTCTACCCTTGAGGTCTTGATCAATTTGCTTCGCCATCTGCAAGCATTCTTCATCACGCATGTTGAGAGTAAATAGTTGAATAGAGCAGGGTGCACCATTGAGTACCTCAAAGTTGTCTGTGCATATCTATTAGTAAAAGTTTCCGGAAAGGTTCAAGTGCAGGTTTCACCCACATTCCGGACCAATTTGGTCCTCCTTCAGCTCATAAGTCCCAGTTGCATCTTCTGCGCCCACGTGCCCAAAGGGAAGAATGCACGACGGGAACTAGAACGATTCGGAGATTAAGTGTTAGAAATATCCCCGATTCAGTCGCGAAAGATAAAACTTACATCGAGAGCGTTCAAAAATGCCGTGTAGGGAGGCAATCCAAAAGTGTCGTGTCGAACTGCAGTACTCTGGGCAGGGGGTGCGATGCAAATATCAAGGTCGTTTGCGAGCCACAACTTTCTATAATCCTCGCGAATTTCTGCTTTATGGGTGTTCAGTGCAGCCAATTGGCCCATTCGATCCAATGCACTCCTATCCGGCAGAGACAATCCGGCATGTTGTTTAAGCCTCTCGCCCTGTTGACCAAGGTGAAGTAAGGCTGGCACCGGGGGGATCTCCGGATGATTCAAGGTGGTTCCTTGCGCCTGGGTCAAGAGCGAAGGTACCGAAAGCGACCTCGGTCGCCTCCATGACCCGACATTCCGCCGAGCTCAATGGAATGATCGTGTGGCCCTGTGCCTCTAATATGCGGGTTACATTTGCCAGCGTCCTTTTAACAGGAGGCTGCAGAGGAAAATTAGGGCTTTCGGGAACAACTCCGATTCTTAGCTTTTGCTTCGTGGAGACCTGTCTCCATGGAATGTCCAAGATAGTGGAATCATAAAGAGCGGGGCGGGCCTCAAAAAGTGTCTTGAAGAATGTCTCTATACCATCTAGATCCAAAGAAAGTGGGCCCGCACAAGACAGGACAAACTTCATTCCACTGGTGGTGCAGACTCGCATTCCTCCGTTCGGGACCCTTGCAGCACTAGGTCGGAATCCATATGTTCCGCAACATAGGGCTGGAATGCGGACGGAGCCTTGAGCTTATTATTAACACTGCGCTCAGCGTAGCTCTACCAGGGAGAAAACTCACCGCCAATATCTGTTCCAACGCCCAATGGCGAGCCCCTCAAAGCTATCAAAGCCCCTTCGCCGCCACTCGATCCACCAGGTCCCAATTGGGTGTTCCTTGGGTTGAGGGTGCGCCCAAAAACGTTATTGTGAGAGTCGGTCGTCTGATTAATCGTGTTAGGTACTTCAAATCGTGTAACATAGTATATGTCCGCTTACCATCATGGTTTGGGGCACATTGGTTTTAACATAGATAACCGCTCCAAGCTTTAACAAGATTTGTACAAGGGGCGAGCTTTCCGATGAAACCTCACCCATGAAAGATAGCATCCCAATGGTAGATTCAGTACCTTTGTGATGGAAATTGTCCTTGATGCTGATTGGGAGACCGTGAAGCGGACCAGCCAATTGACCCTGATCTCGCAAGCGGTCCAAATGTTCCGCTCTTTTCTGTGCTTCGTCGAACATAGTGTTCGTGAGACAATTGACCTATTCAAGCGCATTAGAATATGCCATGGGACCACAATACTCAAGCACCTCACTTACCAACTGTTGGGCGACTGCAGCACGCTTGCAATACGCCAATGTCACCTCTGCAGAGGTCAACTGACCATTCGCCAAGGCAGAAAGAAGACTAGAAACTGTATAGTTTTCAGTGATTTCGAGTTCACGGTCTGTGAGGATGCCAGACTTGCGAACGGCTTGTTCTTGGACTAGATCAGTTTTGTGTTCTTCTAAAGGTGTTTGGAAGTTGTCCCAGAAGGCATTGGGGATCCTCCATGATGACGGAATCTTTTCAAAATTTTCCTGTTGTTTTTTCGTTACTCTTTCTTGCCACGGGATATTCGTATCGGCAGACTCCATCTTCAAGTTGGCTTGAGTTTGAGCGTGAAGTAGCTTGAGGCTATGAAAAACTGTACTTGGGTTGTTGGATAACTTCAAAAGTCAGTCCTTAATGAAGGCGGGTCCTGTCAGATCCTATATGTAGTATGTTCAAATACGGGGTTTGAGGGGTAAATCCGCTCGGCAAATAATGGCGTCTTTTTGAACCAACTCTCTGAGCCGAATGTTACGTCCTCGCGATATAGCAAATCGCGACACTTGCCTCGGCTAGGAAGTGGGGATAAGCGGGGGTTTTCTTGTTTGATCGCCAACTAGGGTCATGCTCCAGAAATGTCAGACCCAGAGATCCATATGGTCAGGATATGATGACAATGGTCGTAATAGCGATCAAGGTACAAATTGCGTGGGTGAATAAATATTAGCCATATCCCGCTGTTTGGGTAGAATTCCCTAAGGGTCAGAAATAGGCAGAAGTTGGTCTTCAAAGTGGGGTTCCAAGGTTATCTCACTTGACCTCTTCGTATTGTACTATCCAAGACAAAACTTCTCATTTCCTCATATGATCGGTCTTCTCGAAACAAATCTGCGCTGCCTTCTGCTCCCCTTTTTCTACTATATCCATGACGGAATATTGCAAACGTGCATATAAAATAATTTTACCCCCTCAAGATTTGAAAAGCGTTGGCTCACAGCCGACTGCCCAACGAGCATTTAACTGTATACACTTCCTCCTCTTGGGGTATGTTGATGTCGCCATTCTGTTACGGACCTCATTTCTCACGTATTGATAGAGGAACTACGCTGTGGATTTGTCTTGAAATTATTCAATATGCCGCCTGGCATTGCCAATCTGGGACGGAGATGCCCGTTGTGCATTTCTTGGCCGCCCGTGTTGCCGATTTCGTGATCGTAATCTGGCCAGTGAGGAACTTTTTACTCTGGTTTACTAAGAGAGCAATCAGGCAACGATCTGTCTTATCTCAGTGACTTTTGGGGGCCGGAACGCGTTTGCTCTCTCGAACCGACAGCCGCCGGGAAAGACCGAGTCCCTCAATACAATCCACCAATACCAACTTGAGTAAATTTCGAGGCTACATAAATGTCGAATAGTACTTCCGTTGAGCTCTGACTACAGCCTCTTCGCTTATTAGAGATCTACTTCTCAAGGCTGGCCTCCACCCCATCTCAATGATCGGATTTCGGCATTCGTTTTTGACAACTCCGAGCCGACCGCGTAATCCTGCTTCTGCGGGGCGTGCACAAGACGTCCATTTAGTTTCCAGTCTACTCCAACCCTTTCAGCGGTCGTCTTCCTGGGTACATCTCATCTTGTTCTTGTATTCTTGCGAAGAGAAGGTGGAACTTCCAAATTGATCACCATGTCTTCACCCACTATCACTCGCTCAACCGAAAAAACATTCACTTCCTATAGTCAGAAACAAGGCAATGCTTATGCCCAAGCCCGCCCTGATTACCACCCTATTGTTTATGGTACCATTCTTGATCATCATAGAGCCAGTGGTGGCTTACTTGATACTATTCTTGATATTGGCTGTGGTCCAGGGAATGTCGCCCGGGGATTTAGCCCACACTTCAATCACGCCATCGGCCTAGATCCGTCAGATGGCATGATGGCCACTGCTCGCTCATTAGGTGGCAGCACCTCCATCTCCGAAGATATTCGATATGAAGTCTCCACGGCTGAAGATCTCGGGAGGAACCTCCAACAGCCTATCCAGGATGCCAGCGTGGACCTCGTCACTGCTGCAAACGCTGCCCACTGGTTTGACATGTCTAGTTTTTGGAAGAGTGCTGCTCGTGTACTAAAGCCTGGGGGCAGTGTTGCGCTGTGGACAAGTGGCAGGAATCGTATCCATCCATCAGTCCCAGGCGCTGAGGCTCTACAGAGCACTTTGGATGAACTTGAGGAGAAACATTTGAAGCCATTTTTTGAACCAGGAAATTTACTCACTCGGTCTCGGTATATTGACCTTCCACTTCCGTGGACATTGGAAAAGCCAGTCCCCGAATTTGACGAGAGTACGTTCTTTCGCAAGGATTGGGAGGCCGCTGAGAGTTTTTATTCCTTTCAGCCAGAATTGAATATGGATACGTTTGAGAAAATAACGGAGACTGCGAGTCCAGTTACTCGCTGGCGCCAGGCTCACCACGATGCCGTTGGTACGGAAGAGGATATCGTGAGGATGTTTCGGAGGGCCATTGAGCACCATTTGAATGAACAAGGGGTGGAAAGGGGCAAGGAGACCATAAAGGGGGCCATTCATGGGGTGTTACTGATTGTCAAAAAGAAGGCGTAACTCCTCATACTTACTCACCCCGACCACAAGTAAGAGAATCCAATATATTATTCGGCGTGTTATCATCATTTAAACCTTTGATGTAGGTGGCTCAAGAATAAGCCAGTAGAGCTTCGATAAGAAACGTGAAGCGCGAGATACCTGTCGCAACAGACTGCAACACATGGTACATAAGATTTATGGCACGCCTTGTCAACTGAAGTTAATATTTCACGTAACTGCCAGTGTCACTTGCCAAGCACATCTCGTACTAATTTCAAGTTTCTGGTTCGCAATTTATTCTCAAGATTGGGGAGTGGATAGTCATATACATTAAAGTGGGGATGGTTCGTGCTCGAAGTCGAAGCGAAGGGTCCACGTTGCTGCGGGGAGGCTGCATGAGCACTCAATTACTTCTCCGATCTGAAGACTTGGCGTTGGGGGCCGATTCAACTTGAACATCAGGGGCATCAGGGGGCTGGCACCAAATAATCTATCTGCAGAGCACGGGAAAGTTTGTGTTTTCAAGCTGGAGAGGTAGATAATTAATATTTCATTTGTCGTAGAACTTCATAAATTATGGTTGTACATAGTAGGGTGCTTTTTATTATATGTGTTCCTTCGCCATTCGATGTGATCCCTCCCCATCATCGGTACTACTATTAGTATCCGCAGTTGTGGTGACTTCGAATGTGCGGTGAACACCGACCTCCATTTTCCCCATCGTCGCCTTATCTGTAGTCAGCCTTTCCTCGCTGCTGCGGGGACTGGAAGGCTCCGGCCACGAAATTCCTACGTCTCTTTGGCTCTGAATATCTGTCACCACCACAGCCAGCTTATCCGGTCTCAGTTCGTTCCTCCCTTTTCCATCCAGAGAGCCTAATGGCAAGGGACGTTGTCCACTCGCTCCAACTCGACGTGAGCCCGATATTCTTGGGAAGCCAGATGAATACTCTGGGTCGGAATGAGAGCCCATAATTTTCCGAAGCAGGGGCCGAAGGGTTGCAAGGCTTCCAGCTGTGATTCCCAGGCCGGCTTCGATATTTGACCAAATGGCGATTTGGTAGGTAGAGTCTATAGTGCATTAGCAGACACGCTTTCAGGCTCCGGAAATCGTTGGCGCGGTTTACTTACAAAGGAATTCGTAATCGCCAAAAGTTTTAACGAATGGGAATCGAATAATCACAGCAGATGAAGCACTGAAAACAGTTAGTTACGTTGGCCAAAAAATAACTGCGAAAGGTGACGATAACACACATGCAAGCCATGCTGAGAATCCCGACGACGGCATATTTTGCCTCGCGCTTCATATGTAGCTTTCTCACGAGGAATATTGGCAATATTCCAACAGTAAAGTCACACAGTGCAGCGAACACGCTGTAGATATAAGTCATGGTAATGACGATGTTGATGCTAATGCAGTGGCCCTCAATAGAGGGGTCAAATGCCAAGCGAGTCCAGAAATAATTGAGCGGCTTGCATTGCAATAGCATCAAAAACATGAAGACCAGGCCGGCAAGAACCGTGAGCACCATCACGATGTACAGCGTCCAAATATGATGCCTTTTGACCGTGATCCGCATGAGGAAAACGCACACTGAGATTTTGCAGAAAATCGAAGCAAAGCAGTAAGCAATTTCGCAGAGCCACCAATACTGTGTACTTCGTTAGAAATTCTCGCGCCTAAACAATGAGCCCCGAGGAAACTCTTACCCTCATAGCTATGACTCGATGCTCCGGGCTTTCGCTGTCATACAGTTGGCCAGTACCGAACAAAGTGCCTCCGATCATGGACGCACAGAACATGATATAGAATGCCTACTTCAATTAGTTTGGGATCTTCAATCATCGCCTTTCAAATATCGGGAAGAAGAGCTAAATTACCATCGCAAGCACCATGGACCCGTCATCCCACCCAAATGCCTTCACCACCCATCCACGCACATAGCAGCGTAGCATAACAGTTATGCATGCTATCGGTAAAAATACGGCTGCGACTGACCTGACTGCCAGCACCCTTTGGTGCTCATCCTCAGTCATAATTGTGGTGACCGAAGCGACTTATTTCGGACAGAAAGACAATTGTGTGGGGAAAGACCGATTTTTAAGAATCACAGATGCCGCGAGGTGGGCACGGAAACTGGGAGGCGACAATCAGCCGGTAATCGAGAGCCTTCGGCGCGTCAGGGGCGATCTTAGCGCACCTCTAGCGCAACACAGGAAAGCCACGGAAGCTCCTAGGCGAATGGCAAACGGAGATCGACGATATGAGACCGGGACAAACAGCCCGCATGAGTTCCGCCTGCTTGGTTATGATTTCGACAGAAAGTTCGGCATGCGGGGGTTTCTGGCCTGCTGGGACAATGTTACTACTCTGCTCAGTTCCAAACCTGCAAGTAATGAATCCTTCGAGCACAGAAGCAGGGATTCTGAGCCAAAAGGAACATTAAGAGCGAACCTAGACTCCGCCCTTAAGCCGAATACGGCGAGAGATGTGGGTATCAAATCCACAACAACGCGGGTCGGTCATCCGAAATTGGTAACGATTCCGTTGACTGGTTAGCAAATTGTGAACTATTGCTGGGTAGCTTTGGCCATTGCAGAAATGTATCCGCCGTCTAGAACCTTGACAATGGCTTTGTGTGTTTGGCTAGCGAGAGGTGTGATGGGGCAACTCTTTGATGGTATTGACACTTGACAGCACGGTGACAGCACCCCTACCGAGCCTCTGGAACTTGGAAACCGTTTCTATCACTAGTCAGAATGGGACACCGAGGTTTCTCTGGCTTGTGATCCGATCGATCGGTAATCGTGATGATCCAAGTCGCTTCTCCGAAAAGTGGAAACGGGCAGCAGCCAAACAGCGTGTTTTGACCAGAGATTTATTTGAGACGTGAAGCACACCTGGGCAGCAACCTACAATCTTTTAACGTTGAAAACACCTGGACCCCCTTGATTCCGATGTGCAAACAAGCCCGGTGTTTCAGGCATCAAAGGTCGCGAAACACGGAAGTGTTTGATTTCTGAAAAACAAGAACTTCGTGGTCTGTGCACGAACAATTGCTCATTTTTTGGAAATTTTGTGAGATAAAGGTCGGTCGAAAAGGGGCTATGAGTATTGAAACACCTAATAAAACTAGGCGACACAAGCCTTTGATTTAATTTTTTTTTAACTATCTTTCTCTTTCAGCAAGATGCTCAACTGCTCCGCGAATTTCCTTGATAATCCCCAGTGGCCAATTCGATGCAGCAGGTCCACCAATCCACACAATGTGCTCGATTCTGATGTTTTCGGCTTAGTCGTTCGATAGCCGTTGGCTTCAAAAAGTAACACCTCGCTATTGAGTTTCAAGAAAGACATCTCTGGGAAATTTATGTCGGGTCTAGGAGAAATTTCCGGGAAGCTAGTGTCTTGATCCCCTCCGAATTCGGTATACACGTACCAAACGCTCGCTGCCCGATAAAGTGCCCTGGGCACATGGATTGCTGGTTCCACCCCTAGTGGCATGTTTTGCAGTTTTCGAAGAATTAATGCTCCATGTAGAGCACAACGGCGAGCTTCTTGAGAAGAAGACCACGTGTGCACATAATCGCGATGGAGAAGTGATTCCTCATATCCTTCTCTCCCAATTGCTAGCTCCAACCGAGAAATATCCACTAAAAGCGATATAAACACCGAATGCCATAAAACTTCCAGACAAAATGGGTCAAAATTGCCTTCGGGCTTAGAGCGAAAATGTCGGTCGAGGAAGTGGATTAGTTGAGGCTCAAACTGTTCGACAAGCTCCTGATTAGAAGCAGTACTCATAAATTTCTGCTCCATTAATCGAGCATTGATGCCTTCCAGCTCCGTATAACTATGAAAGCCATCAGTGGAGTCAAAGTCGAGTTGGATATTTCCGCTTGAGACTTCAGGGGGAGCTCTGCGGATCATAATATCCCTCCATTGGGTCGCATTTGGAGCTACCCAGAGCTCGTGGCGTGCAGTCAAAGGAAGTAGTGACTTATCGTGTCGCATAAGAGGGTGCGTTAAAACAAGCTCGGATATCTCGGTGTCAAGAATATGAAGACCCGCTGCGACCCTATTCAACGATAATCAAATCAGTATTTCCAGGCCCAAAATGGTGAAATTGAGTATCTCACCGGCTCCGTTCTTCAGCTTGGACCCATGTCCTCCATGCTTCCTCTGGGGTCCGCGTATCCAGGAATGTGCTCAAGTGGTCGGTTGTTCTCTTGGCCTCGAACATTTTATACAGGCGTGCCCACTTATTTAACGTGAGCTTAGGCTTCAAATAATCCATTTGATTACTCACCGTTGTTACTGTGCCATGGAAGGTCTGAAGGGTAAGGAGATCTCTCGGTTTCTATTAAATCAGTATAGGACCTTTTTACATGAACAAATGAAGACTCACCCCTGATAGCAACGCAAAGGTTTGTCCAATGAGAGACGCCTGGGTCATTGCGAGTGCCTCCGCTTTACCGCTCAGTAGATACTTCTCCCACTGAATAGGGTCAATATTTTCGCACACTTTATCGCTTAAAACCCCCCATCAAACGCAAGCGACCTCTGACTTACTGATGACAGGATGGCTTTGTTGAGTCTTTCGAATATTATTGACCCTTGGGTCACTGCATAATTTGAACCAACAAAAAGGCTGCCAATGGAGCATATTGACAAAAGAAGGAGAGAGCTTTTAGCCGACGGTCGAAATGTAGGAGCATGCACAATTGGAAAGACCGGGTTAAAACGAGTGAAGAACAACTGGATGCAAAGATTCTGTGATAAGGTCAGATCATCAAATTTTCGCTTCGGCTTCCATAAGAGGCGGTGCAATTGAGGTTCAATAACTCACTAAGAACTCGGTTGATGGCAATGGCTCGGTTGGAACCCGCTGCTGAAGCCGTTGAGATAGATTTTGCCGGTATTTTTCGTCAAGCTCCACATGATCTGTGGCAGTTTCAGGAGTCACATATCCATTGCTATGTGTTCCGACATAATTGAACCAATACTGGCGTACTTGGTCTTCCTTATGCCCATGGGAAGCCTCCATCGGTATCTGAAGTGTTATATCGGCATTGCTCTCGTTTGCGGTATGGGCGGGAGAGAAAAGTCCTAGAGCGCTTTCCATAACGGACGAATTCAAAGCATTGAGATCAAAATCCTCGTCGGCTAGCCAGACAGGGGCCTGTAAAAAGCGATCAAAATCTAGACTACTGTCCTCAACATGGTCAAAAAGCCCATTAGGTATCATTAAACCGGTCTGCGAGTGGGAGGACGAGTCGTGATGACCTGGCGGCAATAGATTGGTTGACGTTGTACCATGAGTATGAAATTGTGAGAATTCATCACTATGAGGCTCTAAAGAAGCTGAGGGAACACTGCTATGGTCGGTGACTGTTGGTGTATCTAGAGAGGGCATTGCTGGTCCGAATGTCTCCTCTTCTTGGTTTGATGCATCATGCGCTCTCATGTGTCGTAGAAGGGAGTCACTGAAAGAGCATAAGTAGAGGAAAGTGCTTTGTTTCTTCGTAGATCAGAACCTTACTGGCGAGAGAAAGACTTCCCACAGGAAGAGCAATTGAAAGGCTTTTCTTTGGTGTGCGAGCGGATGTGCCGCGAAAGATGCTCTTCTTTCGAAAATGACAAGAAACACCAGGGGCAGATCCGCTGCCGTTTAGTTCGAGCCCGGGTCTTTGGCATTGCTAATTTAGATCAAAATTATCCTCAAGGCGACGATATTAGTGCTGCGGGAGGTGAAGATGTCAAATCCTCGAGTCGGCGGGACCTCAAGGAGACCCCGCATTTTCTACCCCAGGTCCCACATCCGCTAGATCTGAACACGAGGAACGATACTAAACCCAGAAATTAGGTAACCCCGGGGGAGTCTGATCAGGTATTGGAGAATGATTCAAATAAGCTAGTAATTGGCTTGCTTCATTAGTGGGTGACATATCAAAAAGGGGCGAAATTGATGGATTGAAAATTTTGTTTGACGTTATAACTAGTATACTAATATAAGAACCCCGGGCCTAGAGCTTGCCAAAGTGGCAACTCGCCACTCCAATACCATCTCAGCTACCCAGAACAATCATTCGCCTTCTGGATTCATAAACGAATTTTGACTCAATTTGCGAAGTTTCTTGCCGAAGAAATAGATAGGGATGCCCAATAGCATCGGTCCAATCGTTAAGGAAAATTCAACCATTGTGGGGGTAATGAATCCCTTCTTTTCCGCCAATGTAGATACCCAATAGCTCATAACAAACCCACAGGTATTCTTAATCACGGTGGCAACGACCATAATTTCACCTGATATAGGCTTGTAGCAGTCGACCGCATAAGCGATGACAATAGTCGGCACCGCTGTAACACAGAGGCCACTCAATCCGAAGCCGACTACCAAGATTATGGGCCATTCCCACAAATTCTGATATCCGAGACCACCAATGACAATGCCAATAACAGTCGTGATAAAGTAGGGTATCAGGGCCGGTAATCGCATTTCGGCCTCGCGAATGCCGTTGTTGCGTCTGGTGGCTTTCATGGCTACCCAGTCGGAGAAAGGCCCTGCAGTAGCAAGCCCAACAAGACCTCCGATGGCGAACGCGAAATTGGTGTAACCAACTCCTGCCGGGGTGAAGTTATATGGCGGGGCACTGAAAAATGCGGACTCCGTCAGGTTCCAGTAAAGAAGAAGGTTGGCAGGCCCTGCCACGTTCAGGCCCGCCCAAAATATTATTGGAAAAAAGAAGAATTTGAAAGGTGAGATAATGTCGCGGACGATAAACTGCTTCCAGTGTTTTTCGAGCCCTTGCCACAACCGGAACTGAGATTTGGAAGGCCGACCAGTGCCCACCGTCACCAAGGCAGGCTCGAGGTTTTCTAAATGGCCCGTCCTATCCTTATCCAATGTAATTGAAGGCTGGGTACTATCAAGCTCCAAACTTCTGGTTTCGTCAATATTTCGGCGGTGAAATTTGGTTTCTGGGAAAAAGATGAGCAGCGTCAGAAAATTGAAACAAGACATGGCCAACGAAAGCCAGAAAAAGCTGCGCCAGCCGAATCTAGGTTAATCACGATTCAATGTCAGTACTATCGCATGATATATTACTTTCATTGATCAAGTCACACACCTTTCTGCAATATTCCCGGCAATCACTGGCCCGATAAACAACCCCATAAAATACCCAGTGCTAGGCAGAATATTAGTTCTCGGCTTAACAAACCAGGGGACAACATCGTATGGTATCCAACTCACAAATATACACCAGTCCACAGCCCTCGCTCGTGTAGAAAAAGCATATCGGCAATTACCTGGACCAATATAGTTTCACTTGTTGCAGTGGCAACGCCATTGACCACACGAGCACCAAGTAAGCTTGAATGGGACGTCGCAAGGGCCTGCCAGATACACGACCCTATTCCCAATGCACAGAATATCAAACTTGTCAGACGTCGTCCAAATATGTTCGAGAAAGGAACGATGATAAAGTTCGAGTAACCGAGTGCTAGCACACAGGCACCCGATAGGAGGCTTAGTTGGGTATCATTAAGATTGAACTCGGCCGCAAACAATGGAAACATTGGACCCATCGAGAGAGCTGATTCAACAGCAACGAACAGGAATAGGAATTGGGTGGTGATAATTATATCTGTAGACGTCTTTCTATCAGTCTCCTTGATATTTTTTCCGATACATCCTTGGTATCTCACACTTCCATGTTTTTGACCAATTTAATGGGTCGTTTGGGTCATTTGAAGGCTGTGGGATTAACCTTTTTTTGTTTCAGTGAGTCCCATCAAAGCGGGTTAAGTCACTACTTACGCAATGTTAGCCCCCCCTGTGACGAACTTCTTCCCAGTCACACATAATCTCCGTGCCCGGGACGGTATCATCGTCTGTCGATGCCTTATTTTGTGCCATCTTGTATCTCAAAAGACCAAGGCTGGTCTCTTTGAGTTGTAAAGTGAATCAATGTCGGACGGGTAGGTCGCTATCCTTGGATGTTTTGTCTTCTAGTGGTTTTTGATGTGTGGCCGTATCCCATGTGCTTAGCATAGTACAAGCAGATAGCTCAACTTTTTTCTTGCCAACTAGCTACTGCAAGAGCTAAGGACATTTTAAAGCCTTTGAAATCGGTCCCACGGGGTAATAAAATGCGGGGAAAGCATACTTCTCTGGCTGACTGGTATGCCCACGATATCTATTACGGTCCCGCCGCCTGCGAACCTAAATTTTGTTGATTATTTTTATTGCCTACCAATTCTGTTGTGGCACTAGCAAATGACAAAATCGACAAAGTCGTGGGCCAACCTTCATCTGCATTGATTATTCGCTAAAGGCTACTTGTGAATAAAGGGGCCAGCTACCGCCAGGGATCAAATCAGCTACGGGCTTGGCTCTCGTGAAATGAATTAAATTCTTTCATCAAGGCGGAGCTACTGGTATATTTCGGTTCAGCCTAGACCTAGCCATGCGGGCCACCTGCATTTTTCATTCCCCTGCTACCCCTGTGAATGATTTCGTTGTGCAGCATATCTCTTGTAAAGCTCTTTGCTGCCTACACCATTGGCTTATAGGATCTTTCAGCTAAGCCGACACATGTTGAAACGAGATCCTACTACAATTTCTCGCATCTTTGCGCAACCATCTCAGGCAAATAGGTGTTATGTATGATAAACACCCTTGCTTGTTTCCTGCCCGATCCGGCGCTGAGAAAAAGCAATGCAACGCAAGGCCACTCCGAATTCCGAGGCGACCGACGATCGCAGATCGCAGATTCCAGTGGACTTCCCACAATAGATCCCCTTCGACTGGACCAACATCTGAGCGCAAACTCAACTTGGCGGAATAGAGCCTTTCTACCTCTCCATCTGCAGTAGTTAGGCTCTCAGACCCTCTTCATCTGGCAAGCAAGATGTCAAAAGATGGCCCTCGCGAGCGACTTGATTCTGGAGCTCCGGCTATCCCTTGTTCTGAAGATGAGGGGTCTCAAAAGGTTACGCTGAAGATGATTCTCCTCTCAGTCTGGGTCTCTTGGGCAGCATGGATTGGGAGTTTCGACAATGGCTTCGCCGGTACTGTGCTTATCATGCCTTCTTTCCAGAAGGCCTTTGGCCATTGCGAGGTAACTCTTGATCCAGATACTGGAAACCGTATCGAACAGTGCAATCTGAGCACGCTACAACAATCCCTTATCAATGTTAGCATACTGTTCATGTGTGTCGGAAGTGTGATTTCCGGCGTTTGTGGCTCGAGGATTGGCCGAAGAACAACCATTCAAATTGCCTGTGTCTTTAATGTGGTCGGAGCTGCCGGTATGCTCGGCACATCCGGCAGTTTCTCCAGTTATATTGTTTGCAAATGCATAGGTGGAATTGGCATTGGGCAACTGTATGCTTCGAGCCTCGTCTATGGCTCAGAATGTGTCGTGGCAAGCAAACGTGGCCTCCTACTCGGTATCTATAACATTGGTCTCGCCATGGGCAATGTTACTGTATCAGCAGTATGCGCCGGCTCAGCAAAACTCGAATCAAATAATGATTGGCAGTGGAAAACGCCGATCGCCTGTCAAATTCCTCTTGCCTTGAGTCTTGCCTTGGGCATGTTTATGTTTCCCGAATCACCGCGGTGGCTTCTCTTGAAAGGCAAAGAGGAATTGGCGCGGGACTCTTTTGCTGCGTTTCAGTCTCGAGGACCAAACTCAGTTGAAGTGACCAAGCAAGTGGATGAAGTGCTACAGCACTTAGAGATCGAAAGAAGAAATGAAAAATCAGCTTCATGGTCAGAAATTTATCGTGGAACGAACCTACGTCGAACTGCAGTTTCTGTCCTGGTACTGGTTAGTCTTCCGCTGACAGGTATCCAATTTGTCGCGCCCTACGCAGCTTTCTTCCTCGAGGGTGTCGGAATTGAGAATCCATACTTGATCAATGCCATTGTTGCGTTATGTATTTTTGGTGGAGCCTTTATTGGTCCATTTGTCCTCGATTATGGAGGGAGAAGATTTGCCATGCTTGCTGGGTACGGCCTTATGGCTATCTCGATGCTCATCTTTTCCTCTGTGAGCACAGCCCTTGGAGCAGATGATCCGACCGCCCAGAGCGTTGTGGTCGCATTTCTTTGCATCTGGGCCTTTATATTCGGCGGGTTCATCGGTCCTAGTGTGTGGCTTTCCTCGGCAGAAATGCACAGCATTAGACATCGCACCTATGGCCAAGCGAACACGACTTTTATCTATAATATCTTCGCCTTTGGGGCCTCTTTCTGGACGCCATACATGCTGAATCCTGCATATGGAAATATGGGCGCTAATGTTGGCTATTTTTATTTCGGAGTGACTGTTGCATTTGTGATTCTGGTGTTTTTCTTCGTTCCTGAAACATCGAGGTTGACGCTGGAGCAGATTGATGACTATTTTATGTCTGGACGAAGGGCTTGGAGTACATCGACCAAAAAGAACATCGCTCTTGTTCGGACTGGCATACCTAGCGAGCCAAAATCAGGCTACAGCATCGGGCAATCTGAAGCTGCCAACAGTTCATCTTTGACGAGCTGAAAGGAGTTTGTTCTTCTGGCATTTAGTTGTATACCAATTCGAGTGAGATTGGATCATAAAGGTGTAAAGACCTTAGGGGAGCCTGGCCTTAACTTTTCGGGACAATTGGTTCAATCAAAGAAGCCAAGAATTAACAAGTTCTTGGGGCATTGGAATTTCGATTCATTACTGCTACTGGCCTACTCTGTAATAAACCAGGGTCCCGCCGAGGTCCCGCAAATGTCCCGCTTAGGTCCCACTGACAGGTCCCGCTCATCTGGAGAGAGCGACATGGAGACAAATCATGGGGAAGCCTTCAAATATTACTAGCTATGCTGCCAGAATATGACCCTATACGGTTCGCAGAGTCTCCGTATGTGTGTCTTGAAAAACAAACAACCCAAAACATTAGAACCATCCGTTCTCTATGTCTACGATACCGCTCGCTACGCATAAAATATCTTATTCATAAAATGGCAAATGAAATTTCTCTATTTTATTAAATTCAAATATCATGTCACATCAAATATTCTTCCCAAGACCAGGTATACTTAGCTCACAAATTTAACAAGCACTGCGAGGAAGAAACAAGGCATGCAGTTTTATTAGAAGCAGCCAATAGGATTGGAATATTCGATGCGGTGGGGCCGTCGACCAATTGGATTTTGACTGACTAATCGTTTATTTTGAGTTGATTGCTTGGCAACAAATCTCTGTTGAAGGCGAAACATCATAAAACGATACAAATTTTGTCTACGGTGACTGGTATCAAGCTGCTATCTAAAACTAATGTAATGTGAATTAAGAATTATCTGTTTCTTATCATTGAAAAAAATCCAATGACAAATGAAAAAAAAATGAAATGACCAAGAAAAAAAAACTCTTTGCCAGGCACCAGGTCACGTGCTTAAATTTTCCTCCAACAGTGAAATGAACTTACTCTCCTTCAACGTGAAAACACAAAAGCACATACATGATGGAAGGTCTCAAAATCGACGATGGTGCCCAGCCATATTCTTCTATGGCTGGAAAGCTGGATTCCAAGCTCCTGCAGGCTCTCGACGTGATGGGCTTCGCGACCATGACCCCCGTCCAACGTCGTGTTTTGACCGAACTTCCCAATTGGCGCAGTGATTGCCTCGTCCAGGCCAAGACTGGAACTGGAAAAACTCTCGCTTTCCTACTCCCGGCTTTGCACTGTCTTCTTCAAGGCAACTCAGTGCCAAGGGGCCAGGTCGCTATCTTGATCATCACCCCGACCAGAGAGCTTGCACAACAAATTGCCAAATCATGCGATCAACTCACATCACAACTCGCAAGGCCGCTGGAGTGCCATATCGCAGTTGGTGGTACTGCTCGTGCATCGGCTCATTCGCGCTTCATGAAGGGCGCCCCATCTGTTCTGGTGGCGACCCCTGGACGTCTCAAGGATTATCTTTCTGACGAGTCGACAGCTGAGAAGATGGCCAACATCCAAACTTTGGTTCTGGATGAAGCGGACACCATGCTTGAGTCTGGATTTATCGCCGATGTGAAGCGGATTCTTCAGCTCATTCCTCACAAGAGCACCGGCTGGCAGGGCATGTGTTTCTCGGCCACTGTTCCACCCAAGGTCAAGGACGTGATCAGTATTGTGTTGAAGCAAGGCTATAGCAACATTTCAACAATCGAGAAGAACGAAACACCTACCCACGAGAGAGTTCCCCAATACCACGTTCTAATCTCCGGTGTGGCGCAGACCTTTACCTCTCTTGCCGCGCTCCTGAACCTCGAAATTAAGAAGTGCTCCAAAATCATTGTTTTCGGAGTCACTGCCAACATGGTTGCTCTTTTTGCCCGAGTTTTCTCCCAGGGCTTGACTCCTCTGAAGGTCTTCGAGATTCACTCCAGACTTAATCAGAATGCTCGCACAAGAACCACCGCCCAGTTCAAGGAAGCGGATTCGGGTGTTATGTTTGCCTCGGATGTCATCGGTCGTGGAATGGACTTCCCCAACGTCGATCTAGTCATCCAGGTTGGCTTGCCATCGAACGGCGAGCAATATGTCCACCGTGTCGGTCGTACAGCTCGCGCCGGCAACGACGGCCGCGCTATCATCCTCCTCACTCAAGCCGAGTCTTTCTTTATGAAAATGAACCGCCACCTACCCATCAAACCTCACCCTGACTCTGACAAGGTCAACGAGGACGCGCTCGCGTGTGCTAATGGTGTCACCCAGGCCATGTATGCCGTTGATGAGGAAACCAAGCAACGCGCTTATTCTTCCTACATCGGCTTCTTCGCTGGATCCGGTCTTCTGAAGCAAGTTCGTCTCGACAAAGCCGGCCTTGTTCAACTCGCAAACGACTTAGCCATCAACGGTATGGCCTGCCCCGAGCCCTCCCCAATGGACAAGAAGGTCGTCGGTAAGATGGGCCTGAAGGGTGTCCCCGGATTCAACTACGCAAGCGGAGCTGATCTGAGAGGAGGCAATTCCTCCCGGTCGCGCCCACGTGAACGTTCTAAGAGCAACGGTCGCGATGCGCTGAGCCCCGGGGCTGGTCGCAAGGACCAAAGAGGCGCTATCAATAAGCGTGAAGGTCAAAATGGCAGCGGTCGTGGAGGTGGCCGTGGAGGTGGTCGTGGACGGGGAGGACGTCGCGGTGGACGTGGTGGCGCGCAGTAGATGACCTCATAAACTTGAAGACTCTATGAGTCGCATGTTTTCATTGCATCTGACTGAACTCGAAGGATTAAAAAACGGATCTGGCTATTGGTGTTCTGTTCGGCACTGGTTGGTTTTATCGCACTGCTTATAGAATTTCATCGATTATTTAAGACAACCCTGTTAGGGAATATCCAACTAGAAACATTCCAAAATAATGTAATGGCGAAAAAAGAAATAGATACTAAATCAATGACCTAAGAACTTGAAGATCATAAAACGTCAAACAACTTGAACCAGCAGGGCTGCTCGTATTCGGATTCTCTTTGATTTCAGCATCAGCGCTAATGACATTTCTCTGCTTAACAAACCCTGGCACTGCGAAACAACCATCGGGTTTAGGTTATGCAGTGGCTGAAGCTCGGGCATCTACTAGTACACTCAGAATATACCCCATACCCCTGGGTCCGGATCAGGCACCAGATGCTGAGAAGATGTGCGTACCTGCAGGGAGTGGACTCGGCCCGAGATTCTGTATCGGGCAGGGAAGGCCGACTTTGTCGGAGATATAGTCAAGAACCACGCGAGGACTCTTCAGCATACGCGGCCCCTTTTGGCTCGGGTTTAGTATACTAATTGGGGGCCGATCTTCAGGAATCTCCACTTCTTTCGGGCTGTGGATGTACTCGTACTTAATGATTGTTCTTGGCAGTCAATGAAGTTGCCAACTTCGCTCATTGTTGCTAGACTTTGATAGATCCGATGAGACTTACTTTCCAGTTCAGCACCTCTAAGATTGAATTGAAGAGGAACCCTCTAGAAGATGAAGAGGAAAAAATTGCAATAAATTTAGTTAGCTACAGGCCTACATATACAAGTCTGAATGTGAGTTCAATTAAAAGTACTCGTATGGACCACATTCGTCATCTAAATAGTACCCGAGTCCCCACACCTTCTGATCCGCAGTCTTGCAACTTCGGGGGTTCGGGAACGGCGTATCAAGTTCAAACGTTGAACATGGATGTGGGACGTTTACTCCGTGGATCGAGCCACTTGGAGCCAGGCCTACATGTGCACGACCCGGGTATTTAACTTGAGCATCGCCAGCCCATCTAACCAGCACATTTCCCTTTCCAATCGAGAGACCATTCTTACTTCAAGCTTATTCTTGAAGTGAATCCAACAAAATGGTTTCCTTTACCACCAAGGGGCTTTTCTCCCTAGCGATAGGTGCAGCAGTCACCCAAGCTCAGCTATGGGATAAAGTCATTGAGACATCCTACGGACCAGTCGAGGGTTACCAGTATTTCAACCAGTCAACTCTTGAGAAATACTTTGGGACCTCCGAGTCGAATGTGACAGCCTTCCTGGGCATTCCCTTCGCTGCTGATACTGGATACCAGAATCGTTGGAAGGCCCCTCAGCCCCGTGAGCGCTGGAACAAGACATTGAAGGCCACAAGTTTTGGCCCTGCTTGTCCGAGCCAGGGTACGTTCGACATCAGTGAGGACTGTCTAAGCCTCAACATCTGGACCAATGCTGGCACCAAGGATGCAAATCTGCCTGTGATGGTATGGAATCAGGGCTCTGATGAGACTAGTAACGATGCCTGGTGGTATGGTGGAGGTATGGCTCTGAAGGATGTCATTCTCATTACCTTCAACCGTCGCGACGATGCCTTTGGTTACCTTGCCCACCCGGAGCTTAATGCTGAGGGATACAAGGTTACAGGACACCAAACCTCCGGCAACTACGGTATCCTTGATCAGCTGGAGGTTTTGAAATGGGTGCAGAAGAACATCGCTCGTTTCGGAGGTGATCCAGATCGCGTTACCGTTGCTGGGCAGTCTTTTGGTTCATCCCAAGTCTACCATGCCGTCAACAGCCCTCTTTTCAAGGGCTATTTCCATGGTGGAATTTCTGAGTCTGGAATCAGATATCCCTACGATACCATGCTGGCCGGTCTTGCTACTTCCTACGTCAACATGTCCACTGGTATCGAACACAGCAAGAGCTACATCAAAGCTCACAATGTCTCGACCATTGCTGAGATGCGCACTCTCTCCATGGAATCCCTCCTAACCGGCTCTCAGGACCGTGTCGGTAACGAGTCTATCTGGTGGGTGACTGCTATCTCCGCAGGGTATCCATTGATCTTCAAGCCCGTTCTCGACGGCTACGTCCTGCCTGAGAAGTACATCGAGACCCTTCTCAACGGACCAGCCAACGACGTCCCTGTGATAACTGGCAACACGAAGGATGAATCCGGCGCCAGCCCCACAAATGACTATACCGTCGAGGAATATGAGTCCTGGTGTACTCTCAAGTATGGCAATCTTTCCAGCCAATACTTCCGCCTGTACCCTTCGCACAACAACCAAACCATCGCCAATCAAGCCTGGAATGCCGCCGCTCGCGATACCTCTCTGGTTGGCTCTTGGGCCTACGCAACGGAGTGGTATAAGGCCGCTTCCTCCAATTTCTACACCTATTACTGGACTCACGCTCCTCCCGGCCAGAACCAGGGTGCATTCCACCAGTCAGAAATCATGTACGCCCTGAATGCGCTATACGCCAATGCCGACACCTACCCCTTCACCGCGAAGGATTACGAGATCCAGGAGCAGATGTCGGCATACTGGGCCAACTTCGCAAAGACGTTGGACCCTAACCAGGGTGGCTCGTATACCGGCAAGGGTTCATTGTCTCGTTGGAGTCCCAACAGTGCCAAGGGTACGCAGAAGGTTATGGAGCTTGGAAACTCTTTCGGTGATGTGCCTATCGCAAAGCCGGAGCAGATCAAGCTCATCATGAACTACTTCCACCAGCAGACGCCTTACTAGGTGATTTCTGCGACGTGTACGGGCTACAATCCGAGACGATCTTGAGGGGTCTACCTACTATGTATAGTATTGTATGCAGCTGAATAAGTCTCTCATCAACCTTTTTTTTGGTTCCAGTGTTCCACCTTAGCCCCGCAACCTTTGTAAGATCTACGATCCTCGATCTTGATACTCCGTACTATAAGACATTTCGCTCCTACCCCAGCGTAGATCAATTAGTCTTCCGGCGCCTATGTACACCGGAGTATTCATGTGCAAAATTGTGTCATATGCCCTTTGACCAGACCTGCATTCGCCTCTCTTGCCCAATGCCAGTGCCAGGTCTTAAACCTTTCAAGTAAATCTGTCATGTCCTACCCAGGGAAAGGCTAGACTAAGGTCAGTGCGTCCCCATACATAGCGAGGATTAATACGAAAGTACTAGGTTTCGACTGAATCACAGAGGGAAAAGACGACAGTCTGATTTCAAGTTCCTTTGTTTCTCTCTATCTCCTGGCGTGATATTTCTCCTTGCTTGGCTCCAGTTTTCCCTCCCTGTGGGCCAGGATCAATATATCTTCTTCTTCTACTACTACTATTATTACCACTACTATTACTACTACTATTATTACTACTACTAGCGTCACAGCATAAGTGAGAACTCCAAAAAGTAATCTATTACTTTGTTCACCACGGCGACGGGTGTATTCCCGCCACCTGTCGATCATGAACATAATCAAACTCTATACATATAATCCACTTTAGGTGCGGTAGTCCCCGTTGATAGTCACATACTCGTGGCTGAAATCACAGAACCAATACACCGCATCCTCACCTCCACAGCCAGCCTCAGCCTTCTCACCACCACCAAGGTCGATCTCGATCTCCAAATCCTCGTTCTGCAGGATAGCACTAGCGCGCTCCTCATCGACAGTCTCAGGCTCACCATTCACCAGCAACTTCAGGATCGGGCTGCCGTCAACAGGGCGGAAGCTCACAGAGGTACGTTCGGGAACAACAACGCCATCACGGACACCCTGGGTGTAACCAACGGCGCACAGGATGCGGCCCCAGTTAGCATCACGGCCGTAGAGAGCAGTCTTGACCAAAGGAGAGCGGGCAATAGTGGAAGCGATCAGGCGAGCGGACTCGTAATCAGAGGAGTTACGCACGCGGACAGTGACGAACTTAGTCGCGCCCTCGCCGTCGCGAACGACGAGCTGCGAGAGCTCCTGCGCAAAGTCGGTCAGGACGGTCTGCAGCGCTTGATAGTCTTCATGGGTTTCGGAAGCAGGAACGACGTTGCCGCCGGCGGCACCGTTGGCAAGTACAGCGATGGTGTCGTTGGTGCTGGTGTCGCCATCAATAGAGATAGAGTTGAAAGAGCGGGAGACGGCGTGCTTGAGAATGGATTGCAGAGCGGCGGGCTCAACGGCGGCATCGGTGCACAGAACGCCCAGTAGAGTGGCCATGTTGGGGTGGATCATGCCGGCGCCCTTGGTCATACCGGCGAGGCGGTAGGTCTGGCCGGGGAAGAGGGTAGTGTGAATTCGCGGGAGAGGAGCTTGGGAAAGGTATCGGTTGTGCAGATGGCACGGGCAGTGGTCAGCCATGCTTCGTGCGAGGAAGCAAGGTTGTTGTGCGCGGTGGGAATGCGGTCGAGAATCTTGCTGATAGGCAGGCTGTTGGTAGAATTCATAAGTATACTATATTGATTATTTGGATCTTTGAGTCTTTGAAAAGCAAGACTTACCGCTGTCCAATGACACCGGTGCTCATCACCAGAGAGCTATCCTTCTCAACTCCATTGCACTGGTCCACGGTACGGCCCATCTGGACCGCATCCTCTAGACCACCCTTTCCAGTCACGGCATTGGCGCAGCCCGAGTTGATCACAACAGAACGAATGCCTTGGCCGTTGCGAGTACGCAAGGTCTCCCTGCTCACCTGGACCGGCGCAGCCTGGAACTTGTTCGTGGTGAAGACGGCGGCGGCGGAGCATGGAGTCTCGGAAGCGATGAGGGCTAGGTCAGGGAATCGAGTGTTGGAGGCCTTGACGCCGACGTGAGTACCGGAGACTAGGAAACCCTTGGGGTAGGAGCCGGAGGTGGGGATATAGCGCTGCTTGGAGGGCGGAATGGCCATGTCCAGCGGTGCGGAGTATGATCGGACCTGGCCCTTGAGCATGCGGGCAAAGGAGCTAACCGCCATTGTGGCGGATGGCGAGTTGGAAGCCATGTGTTGGAAGTGGATATGAGACCAAGCCTGACTGTAAGACGTGGTGAGCACTGGCACTGGGCAGGTTCAAGGGAGAAGTGAAGCTCCGAGTGAACTTTTGGAGACAGTGAGTCAATGGGGAAAGTTCCGCGATAAGAAAAAGCTCGCCGATCTCGGGATTGATAGGCGCGGTGTGAGCCCACTGTGCGCAAGTTGCTTTGAGCAGCAGGGATTTTAACTTGAATAGAACTAGAATAAAAGCTGAAGTCAAAGCTGAAGGTGTAATAAACCTTAGTTTTTAACTTTTCTGAGTCTCTCTGCAGGACTACTACTAGTATTTGCTGATTTGCCAGTACTTAATATTGGTGCACATGACCTATATTGAACCAAGGTTGATGGGCGATTTGAGCCAAGTATGAACATAGATATATAAGTACATATTTATACTATATACCTAGATAGTAAACAGAGGTAATACCTAGGTATACTACTAGATTATAAATGGCGCATCTTGAACTATAGGAGGATAGGAGAACAAATGCCTCGTAGCCGCGCGCTTTCCCGAGCCGAAGAGGAACCCCCAAAAACCCACTCGGCGCTATCTTTGGTTTTGGTCCCATCACTCCATACCCACTTCAACTTTCCTCGATTTTCCATTTCTCACATTCACATTCACATCCATTGGCTTAGAGAACTACCCTCTGCATGACACTCTGAAACAACCCCTCGATCAACTTGAACCTCTCCCCTGTCAAGCCCCCTTCCCCTTGCGTCGCGTCCCTGTATACATTCCTCGGATCTGATGGTACTAGTAAGTTGGTTCCCTTCCCCTTCTGCCTCTCCGTTCTCGACCCTTCCTCTAACATTGCCCGTCATGAAGCGCAAGCTGTCAGATTCCGGCCTGGAAAATGAGCATCCGGCCGTCTCAACCCCGAAGAGACCCCGCGTGCAGCCCAAAGGCGTCCTAAAAAACGGTCACGCGCCGAACCATCCACCTCCCGCCGACGATGCTACCTACGAACTTCCTTCCGCCCCAAATGGCCAATCAACTCCTAAAAAGGCCAATGGGATCACCGCCACCCCGTTGAAGGAATCGGGATTGAAGACACCGACTCATAGATCGAAAGCACGAAACCTGTTCGCAACCCCGACGAAGCCCAAGTCCGCGACCGCCGCGGCGACCCCGTCCCGCCTAAAGAATGCAGATCGATCGGCGAAGAAGAAGAGTGCCCGTGTCTTGTTTGAACAAAATGAAGATCGCGAATGGGATGGATCCGAACAGTTGGCCGCGGAGATCCTCCAGGATGATGAGCCTCAAGTCGACAAGGCTGGTGACACGGTCATGGAGACCGTGGAGGAGGGAGAGACGACAAAGCCGGCAGGGAAGGACCCAAAGCCAGCGAAGCGTCGCGCTGGTAGGCCAAAGGGTGCAGCGAACAAGCGTTCACCTACACCAGAGGGCGAGTTACCCGCACATGAACGATATTTCTTCCAGAATCGCGCGGGAACGGCCAAGACATCCAACAAGAATTTGAACAAGGTGTCTTTGTTGACACACGAAGAGTACTTTGAGAAATTGGGACAATATGTCGATCCTTGCAAGGATGAAAAGGAGTATCTGCTATCACTACATCACCGATCTTTCCCACAGTGGTTCTTTGAATTCGAGGAAGGATTCAATATCTGCTTGTTTGGATATGGCTCGAAGCGAAGACTTGTACAACAGTTTGCAGATTGGATTTATACTCGATCCATGTCCGGATCCGCATCCGCGAACCCCCCAGCCATCATCATCGTGAATGGTTATGCACCCGGTATCTCCATTCGTTCGATCTTCGCGACCATTGCCTCGGCGATCCTTGGTGACGAGTTGCCCTCGAAGCTAGGTTCACAACCAACCGAAGTGCTCGAACTTTTACAATCAGCACTCAAGTCGCGCCCGGAGCACGACCCAATTACTGTTCTGATTAACTCCGTCGATGCCCCGTCTCTCCGTCGTGCTGCTAACCAAGCACTTCTCGGTCGACTCGCTGCGACACCGCGAATTCGCCTTCTCCTCACAGCCGACACCCCAAACTTCCCTGTGATGTGGGATATCAGTCTACGAGATCAATTCAATTTGGTATTCCACGATAGCACGACATTCTTTCCCCTTTGCCGTCGAGTCGGATATCGTGGAAGAAGTCCACGAACTTCTCGGCCGGAAGGGTCGTCGTGTTGGCGGAAAGGAAGGTGTAGGATTCGTGCTGAAGAGTCTTCCCGAGAATGCCCGGAACCTGTACCGTCTCTTGTTGACAGAAGTGATAACCGTGATGGACGATGGCCATCAATCCGACGACGAAGCCGCTGACGGTGGTTCTGGCGACAGAACTAGCGAGAATAACGGCATCGAGTTCCGCTTGCTGTACCAAAAGGCCACGGAGGAATTCATTGCATCTTCCGAGATGATGTTCCGCACCCTGTTGAAGGAATTCCACGATCATCAAATGATCACCTCGCGCATGGATCCCAGCGGGATGGAAATCCTCGGCGTGCCTCTATCCCGCGATGAAATGGAGGGCGTGCTGGAGGATCTGGTGTTGGGATAATATAATACTACTTCTATCTCTAGCAAGACTAGGTGTGAAACAGAACTCAAGATACCCCTGTACGAAATACTATCAACCAATCTGCATTGGCAGTGCATTTAAGCACCGATGAAAGGAGTCCCAGTGTCATTGACCCAAAACCTCTCTAGTAAATTCTATATACATGTAATAGCCCAGCTGGATTCTTTTCTTCTCGCGCCTCTCAGAAGTGCGCAAATGCCGCCAGCGCCATCGTTGCGCCGAAACTCATCTTGAATGGACGGTGCTCGGACATGGCCTGGCGCAGGTCAACGTTCTTCACATACTTCTGCAACCGATCGAGAGGCAGAATATTGTAGCCCTTGGATGCAGCGTACTGTTTCAATTGATTAGCATCGACCAGCCAGTTCCCCAAGAGAGAGTGTGTGTGCGTGGTGTGTGGGAATAGCATACCTCAACAAGAACAACCCCCATACCCAAAATCACAACCAAAGCCTTCGAAAACGCTCTCAATCCCACCCCAGCAACAAGTCCCAACACACTACCTAGACTAACCTGACGCATATTCTCCTTCGTCAAGAATCCCCCACGCGCCTGGGTTAAACCCGTCGTCCGTCCCTGTTTCTGCAGGATAGATTCCTCCTGCTTGACCGCCCAAGGTGTGTCGGCATTGCTCTGCGAGAAGGGCGCGTTATATTGGCACTGCATTGGGGCGGCGCGGAAGGGTGAGAGGGGGGTGTAGGGTTGCGGCGGAGATGCCGAGGCCTACACCCAGGCCGAGGCGGAGGATTGAAGGAGGTGAGAAGAGTGGGAATGCCATTTTGTGTGATATGATGCTGTGCAGTCGATTGGGATTGGGGTTGTGTCAGACTTGTAAAGTATTTGAAGATGGGGAGATACTATGGACAAGGAGAGGAGCTTCAGATGCCGAGCTTGGGAAGCTGTTTGGTGCATTGGATCCCGTATGATGTCATGGGCGGTCACCTGGTATGAAGGGATCCTCTGATTGGTTGGATCTATACACTGTTTTGAACTTGGGTTCATCCCAATTGAATTAATTGTATAGATACTGGTAGGATTTTATGTTTACTTTATTCAAGAGACTCCAAGAGTCGTAATATAGCCGGAATACCTAGGTACAGAAGTACTACTACATTCCTGCAGAATGAATGGGTGCGAGCCAACACTCTATAATCTGTAGTATGATTCTGTATACCCAAAATCTGGATAAAAACTATATTACGCTTCAACTTTAGAACAGTAAATATTTAGTTTAGATCCATGCAGGCGTATATCCTCGGCTCACTCAGCTGGGTTCACCAAACTTGAAGGCTTCAACAATTTCCACAAAATCCATCAAGCGGAACCGAGTAAGGAGAACTCTAACGTGAAGAACCAACACTTAGAGGTCACACTGTAGATACAAAGACCTCTACTAAACAATGCAAGTCCTGAAATCCACCCAACTTTCACAAGTCAATACTAGCCGATTCCACACTCCCCTCATGCTCTTTCTCCGCGATGATCAAAACACACTTGCAGCAAACACTCCAAATCCACCAATCACGGCCCGATCACCAACTCATGGACGCAATCGACCGATGCTCATTGTGTACTAATCAGTGCCGAAGAGTCATACTCTGCAAGTCCATGCCACTCTGCACCCCGTGAAGAAGTAGAATATTTCACCGACCGCCGACCTTCTCCCAAACCATGCCGTTTCGGCGAGCTGCTTCGCCAAACAATCTGCTGCGCCTCTTTGAGGAGATGATGGTCGCCATCCGGCAGTGGAGAAAAAGCGATATCCTTGCATAATGCCGCAAATCGAGTCGCGAGATCGAGAACACCTTGAGTAGCGGCTTTGGTGCCTCCGGCCAATGTGGAGGGGTAGTAGAATCGCGGATCCAGGTAGAATAGAACACTTTCCCAGCGAGGAAGTTTCTCCGCGAGAAGTTTGCCAGCGTGTTCATATTCCGTCATTGTGCGCTTGGGTACGTCTGCTTCGGCGTGCACGAAGAAGAAGACTTCGAATCCGACGCTGCGAACTTGATCCCGTGCGGTACTGCTCAGGGTATCGAGGAAATGCCCTATTCGATCGAGGTCGAATGAATTGCGGAAGAATAATGTGTGCTTTGAATAGAGGAAATCTTCGGCCTCGTCGTGGATTTGGTGATTCAGGCCTAGTAGTTTGCGCGCTGTGCCGTCGTTTCCTTCCCAGCTTGGACATATTGACATTGCTCTATATCTGCCTCGCGTTGTGAAGACATTGCCGCGGTTTTGAATGACGATCATTGGTTTGTCCGTGTAATCGTTTGGAGAAACGAGTGCTTCTTCGTAGATCTTTAAACGGAGCTCTGGTGGTAGATGTAAGAATGATGTTCTCATAGAGAAATTTCTGGTTCGTTTTTGTTCCATTTTCGATTGGCTGTGGAAAGAAAGAGCAGCCTTGGTGCCACTGAATTGGAAAAACACAGCCTGAGATTATAGTATTAACTCCAGCCGAGGAGCGTCGGGGGCGTTTTTTAAGCCGGCACTACTAGTAGTAGATGGAGCCAGAAATAATCAGGAGAGGCAGAATAGCTGCTTTTTATAACACCCTTGTCGATATGTTCCCGGATCTGTGTAATGCAGACTCAAAAGAGATGAAGATCTGCAAGTATGTCGATTAATCATAAGCCCCTTTATTCGTCGGGTTTTGGTAGTATCAGACGCCTAACAGGGGATATTTTCTTGTGCGGAGATGACTATCTCGATAGCGATGTTTTTAAGAGTGTCACGATCTCCTCACAGAGCTTAGGGTATTCTCAAAACCCAATGCTATCGCATTAGATGATCCATTTATCTTTCCGGCAAGCCGACGGGAACTTCCCATAAAGTCGTGGGCTGACATTGCCCCCGGGGCCAAGACACTAGAACCGTTAAAAATACAAAGAAGTACCGGTCTGGTAGTAAAAGCATCTGGTCGACCAAACCCCTTTCCACCCTATAAAGACAGTCTCACGGTGGCAACTACTGCTCGTCAGAGCACTGTCTTTCATCATGCTTGATCGCGTTTTAGGGAATCGGCAATGGGAGTTCAGATGCATTCGTCGCAGTGAGGCATTACTAAAAGGGCAAGCGTACATACGGAGATTTATTCCCAGGATGTTAACCAACCGCGTTGTACTAAGACCGCTTCAATCCTCCTGACAAGGTAAATCGGTCCCGGATCGGGGTAGATAGGGCGAAATGGAGGGTTGAACAGCAATCGGGGTAGAAAGACCCGGCTGTTTGGGTTGATGGATAAACTTGCATCTCACCTACTTTCAACATGCCAGGGTATAGATGATCGGCACATGGCAAATATTCTTCAGGGTATCTAATGCAAACTTAACCATTCTGCAGGCGGCCCGAACCCTCGAGCGATGGTCTATTTACTTACATGATGTCGTAGTATTACGACTAGGTATGCGAGTTAGGGTTGCACAGTTTCGTCATCACAACTATAATGACAGAAGACTGAACATTTGATGAAGTTCTGTAGGGAATGACCTCAGAATGTCTCAATACTATGGAGCTCTTTCTACGTGGCAAGGCTCCTTTGATCGGAGAAATCGAAGAAGAACAGGCGATCATCGGCATCTGGGCTGATCCTGGTGGTTCCACTTCCTGCGATGATTTCCCGAGCCAAGCCCGGCTCTTGGGCTGTCGGGCCAAGGATACCCAAGTCAATGAAGAATAAATGCTATACGAGTGTGGACTATATCGTAGAAAACCCCTTTGGATGAGTACCCATCTGATAGTTATTGATATGTACATGCTTGTGTGCCTAGACAAGCAACCGAGGTTCCCAATCAGGCGGGTATACACGATCACAAGGACCTAGGGTATTGTCCTTGAAACCACGCAATGGGCTAAGCAAGCCCTATTTGGAAACGAGACCGGAACGCCCCCCAAAAAAACTCACAAACGTGCAATGGCGACATGATGTCGCGGGTAGACTGGACAGCGCGGCCCGATGTTTCAGATTTCACTTCTGTCTATACACGCCAAGGGACCAAGCAGCTCGTAAGACAGCCAAGCCCCAAGCCATACCAATACTGTCATAGATGACATTCAGCTTGCTACCCATCACTTCCCTCCACCCAACTGGCACTTCGGCCACGGGGATGTGAGCGAATTCAGCTAGCATGAGCATTTCAACATCGAAGATCCAGCCTTCGGAATGCATGTATGGCACGATATAAGGTAGCGCAGTGCGGGAGAAGAGTTTGAATCCGCACTGCGTATCTTTAACAGTAGCGGTCTTGGGCGGAGTCATAAGCCACAGAATCAAGTGGAACGAATGCATGAGGAAATTGCGCAACTTGGATCGCTGTATTGGCATTTGTTAGTATTTTACAACTCCATCCATACCCAGCTCATGTGGGCTCCTTTCTTTCCACTCACCTTGACAACAGCCTCGCTGCCCACCATGTGCGCTCGCGACCCAACAGCTACACCCCGACCCTCCGAGTCCTCAATTTCCTGACAAGCAGTAACAAGTTTTCCAAGATCGCCAAATTTGCTCGCCCCATCCGCATCGGCAAATACCACATAACGGCCCCGAGCATGGCGCATACCATGCGTCACAGCGCCACCCTTTCCACGATTGTGAGTCAAGTTTACGACACGGATAGTACCCGGCGGGATATGCACGCCCTCTTGTACCTGAGGCGTCCAGGGCCCCGCTGTTCCTTTCGGATGTAGGGAGAGCTGGTGATCTTTCGCAAATCGAAAGGCCACGTCTTCGGTCCGATCAGTCGAGCCATCCGAGACAATGAGGATCTCCCATCCTCGGTTCGATCCTGAATCCGTAGTGTGGCCGTTCGCCACGTCTGTGTTCGGCTTGCGCTTTCGTATCGACCGGGTTTCCACTGCTGAGGTTCCATCGTTGCTTAATGTGCCGTACATATGTTCCAGATAATCAACCGCTTCCTCCAGCATGCCCGAGAGTCGATCCTCCTCGTTGTAGGCGGGCACTACGACCGACATGAATAGCTCGGCCGGTTCGATGGAAGTGTGCTTTTCATTTGGGTGAGCTTGCTTTTTGGATTCGAGCGCGTCGTACCAGCATGGGAGCTGTTCGGGGGCTGTAGTGGTTCCGTCTTTCGATAGAGTCCTATACTTCTTTTCTTCGGGTAAGGGTTTCCGCGGGACCGGCGCGACAAATGAGAGGAAGAGGTAGAACTAATATATGGGAGGTTGAGGGTTAAAGATTGTTGGATCATGGGGGCGAGGCTTCAATGGCAGGTAATATGGCCAGCCCTCTGTTTGCGCAGGTCGCAGCTACGAAACCAGAAGGGAGGAGAGAGAAGCTACTCACCAGAACAAACACGCCGAGGGAAGTTGCGAGGAAAGAACCGAGCAAGATATAAGCTGGAACTTCAGCTACTGTGCTCACGCATTGGCGACAGATATCGCTCCATGAATCTGCCATGGTGGAGGCTGGCGAGTTGGAAGTCGGAGATAGGTGACAAGCAACGGGGAGAAATGCGAGCCAGGAGACGCGAGGCGAGGGATACCCTGGAATTGGCGAAAGCGATCACTTGGCCATGCGATGGGAAATTCCAGGAAAGTCAACGCATGCGAAAACGAACAGTCGAGGTGGGGGAGGGCCTCGGAGGCTAGGGAGAAGTTGGAAAAGAAGAGGAGATGTTGTCGCAAGTCGCCAGCTTGGCCTTTCGGGCAACGCGCAAGCTGGCCGCGCCGCAAATCAACTCCGCTGCGGGGAATGTCACCACAATCTGCTGTAGGTAATTTCATTTCCTTCACAGTTTATGTTACCAATTGAATGGTGCATTTTTGAAATAATTTGTTTTTACTTAATTTGGCATGTTCTGCACAATTTCGGGCGAGTTAAAGCAGTTCTCCAGGTGAGCTCGATATTTAGTACTGCTAGTACTTACAATTATACTTTGGTATAGCCTTGTTTTCGGTTACTACCCATGTCGTCGGGCAATTATTTTGATTGATTCGTGTCTATGGCAGTGAATCTATCGAGTTGGGCCTTAATCGTAGTAAACTAAAACCCGAAAAATAGGATACGTCGCCAGGTGATCAAGCTTAAAATCAAATCCGTCTCGTTTGACAGGTTCCGTATAACAGACAATTCGGCAAGTTATTCTACTACTAGTAATATAGGGAGGAATTCTCATCAAAGGCTCGAATAGCTTCGGGCATATCAATAGAAACCTTGGAGCCCGGCTAATTTATACCCATCCGTTACTCTGTAGAACTAGTTGAATAATGAAACTGAGCGCAGAACTTTCTCCATGGCACTCGCTTTACCTCCGCGTGATATTCCCACGCGTGATAAAAACCATGTTCGTGAAGACAGCTACTCAGGTGAACTTTGTACATATAGAAGGTTGCTACTATTCGCTGCACTCATTGTTTGCTGATCCGATAAAGTACGATATCCATGATCGATGGAGACAAACCTTTCAGATTTCAGACTCGGGTACCGAGATTCTGTTTTGAGGCAGGCAGATATTCCGAAAAGTGCTGATGGGTATTCGAGCTTCAACTGCAATCGGCATTCGTCGCAAGGGCTGACAGGATCGTTCTATACTTACGGTCTTACTTTTCAAATCAAAGGGGGAGTGCAAAGTGTGCAGGTGGATCAGTTGATGGTTCCCTCACATACCTCAATGGTTTCCGCACTGCTGAAGAGTGGTATACTCTTTCTTGAATGTGGAAATCTTTCGTGGTTAGACGGTATACAAAGTAGGATATCTCAAATGCAATGGCCAACGTAGCTTAAACAACAGCAAAAGGAAGAAAAAGAAATCAACCAATCAAAACCAAAACAAAACAATCGCTTCGAACGCAGGCCATTCTATCACTAAATTTGTCATATCTCTTGCTAGCTTTCTTGATCGTCAGTATGCTGCCTCATTTTACATCCACTGAGGGGGCATCGTTACCTGCTCGCAATGCCCACACCAGCCCAGTCTTGATACCTGCACGTCCAAGACGAGCACCTCCAAGGCAATGGCAGTGGTGAGAGGCCCAAGCGATCAGGCAGACCATTCTGGAAGACAGAAAGTCCAAATTGAAAGTTCTGGACCAACCTAAGGCCGGACCTATGGGCTTAATGGTCCTGGGTATCCAAGTAGGCATCATATCCAAAGCGGGCCTGCAAAGGAGGCCGGCCGGCCTGGACTTGCGTGGGACCTCACGAAGTTTGCAGTAATCACCCGGAGGGAGAAAATCCTGGTTCGGAGATGTATTATTCCTGGAGCTGGGGATCCATCCGTGTGGTCATAGACTCTGTTTGTCTGATCTGTCGAGTAGTCGGTTGACTGATCCATTGAAAGAGTCCGTGTATATAAGGAAATATCACAAAAGAAAGGTCCGCGGTCCTATGATGTTGCCAGGGTTGCTGAGTCTAAGAAACCCATCCGGGCGAACGAAAGTCCTCCAGCAGCTACCCCCCACCGATGAACAGCATTCGCTGTCCCTTTGCTCTTTCGGAGAACACATTTGTTGTGTCCGAGTCTGTTTTTCTCTTCCTTTTCCCCCTTCACGCTCCCCCCATTTCAAAATCCATGTCAGAGAATTTATCAGCTGTTTCCTTGGGAAACTTCCCAGTCTCCATTTGTGGAGGGCTGCTGTCGAGTCCGCCACACGTTTCCGCGAATGGCGCATATCCCTTTGTGAGCGGCGTGGCTTCAAAAACGTCAGGCCTAAAACGGTCATACGTGATCCAACGATTAAACTATATGATCAAGATTTATCAGCTCATTGTTGACCTTTGATCATCAGATAGTGAGTATAGAGAATTGCGACAAACCGTTGATAGTCGGACGCCTAGCCAAAGGCATCGATGCTGTCTTACGAGTCCCAGCAGCTGTGGTTCAACGAAAGATCTGTCATGCTCTAAAGGTCCTTCCTCAAAAAATTCCTCGGAATAATATGATTCACTCCACACCTGACCGCGGATTAAGAAATCCTCAGGCAGGTGATTTGGAATCTCTGGCTCCAATTTTTCATCCTGTTTCTCACTACCTTTCTCAGTTATCCTCTCCCTCCTCTCCCTCTCCATCCTAGTACTATTTCGTAACCTTATGTTCTCGTTTTCCCTAGAAAATCTGGGATGGGTTGGTCCTTCAATCATTTCAAAATTTGTCTCCAGACGGAGTAGCGTGTTCAGAAATCTGATGATTTTTAGCCACGGAATCATTGGTTCAAGCTTTTCCATTGCAAGTGGATGAATGGCTAAAGACCAAACAAACGATAGGCCAGTGTGAATGCCTGCGTAAGAATTGGGATCTCCTAAGTGATCCAGAAAGACAGCCATAGTATGGAAAGTGAGAGCGCTTCCATTGAAAGCAACTGGTGAGGATATCTTGGACGTGACTTCGACCGGGTTGGGTATCAATTCGGAGCTAGTGTCGTCAGAAGAGACGGGAGTGGTCCATCGAAGCGCCAATTGATATGCTTCCTCGGCTGTGGCTTGAGTCTTCTGCTGTGGGAATTCTAACGCTAGGTCATTTTCCGGTTCGCCGTATTGAAAGACTGCCGCAAAGTTACTGGACATCACAAATGCGCCTCCCTGTCCCTGTTTATCAATCTGAGGAATCTCCTTTCGCAGAAGAGACAAATAGTTGTTTGCGAGGACAGTGAATTCTGCAGAAGCTCTTTTATGGAATAGAACACCATGTGTAGCGATCAGGGCCGCAGGCATTGATTCCTGTCGTTGTTGCTCGCGGATGGAATTGAAGAGAAGGGCGATACTTTCACGAGCATTGTGAAATGGGCGACGACAGAGTAAAGCCTTGGTGTAGTAGAAAAGTTGCGCCAGAGCATCAGGACGAGCAAGCACCGCAAGATGATGTTGAACGCGCCCAACATCATGACTTAAGTCTGCTTCTTGATTGTACCAATATTGTGAAACTGTTGCCCAGACCTCCCGATCCCTCATGTCCGATTCTTCGATAGCCATACGATACCGCGCTAAGTCCCCGAGGCATTCAATCCATGTCTCCCTGAAATATGGTATGTTCTCCAATAACAAGGTGACCATGCTATAGGCGATGTATATGAAATGTAGCATGTATTCCAAAGACCCAGGGAGCTTATGCCGTAGTAATTCGAGTAGAGAGTGGATTCCATATCGCCACATGCGAGCTGGCATTGAGTATTTTTCGGCGAGTTCCGTAAGTTCACTTTTAGCGACAGGGTGTTGCGAGGAGAGAAAAAAATCGTGATGCTCATGAAGTAACGTGCTATGTATAGAGATCAGAGCCTGCCATTGAACCGGCGTCAGATCCTCCTTTGACTCGGATTGCTCCTTGTCCAATTTGATGCACTTTTCCTCGACCATTGCAAGGCCTCTATAGATACCCCGCACCTCAGGGACCAATTGCTCATGGGTAATTGGGTTAGTCTTCAACTGTTTCACCATGTCATAATGCGTCTCACCCTTCGGCTGGCTCTCCTTTAATTGATTCGGTTCAGGAAATCCATACTCCAAAGAAAGCCTTTTTTCATCCACTAATGGTAGAAACTCATTTAAGACCATGTTGACATCACCATGCGACCTCCCATTCGGGCTCGGTAACACCACCGGACTCGAATGGATTCTCTTCAATTCTATCCGCGGGCTTCCAAGGCTGTGTGAATAATTTGGTTCCCCTGATATTGAAAAGCCTGCTGATTCTTCATAGTGAACTAGTTGACTTGACGGTGTCCGCCGACCCCGCGGCGTTTGAGAATGATGTTTGCGGCGCAGTCTGTCCGTGCGCGTAACACTTGCGCGAGGCGACGATGGTTTGGTCACTCGCCCACCACGACTGCTGATAGTATCAAGAGTACCCTCATCAAGATTCCCCGATTGTGGCCGGCCACTGGGGAAATTGAGGTTTGTCGATGCATGCACGGGATTGGCCATTGACAACTCCGAGATGTAATCACCAGGAAGGACACGACTGCCAGTGATCGGTCGCCTAAAATAGTATGTGAGAAGTGGAGAGGAGGAGGGGGCAAGGTTCAGGTATCGAACCGACTCACCCTGACGAATTGTAATAAAATGTCGCCTTTGCAGCTTTCAACCAAGTGTGACCCGATCGGGGCTCGTTTTTCATGCACCCTGACTGCTGTAAGGAGGGCGGTCGTGCCATAGTCACAGCAGTACTTTATTGGTTGGACATGATCTGGGATTTTGTGGTTGAGTATTAGCTAATAAACTTCTTCTCTCTGATCGTATTTTTGTGATTTTCACAAAAGAGGTCTAGAAAGGGGGGGCATAATGCGAGAGTTTCGAGAGGGGGGGGGGGTGGCGAAGTGAATCTGGGCGCGATCGATTGCGCCGATGTGGGGAAGACCAACTTGTGAAAACATGAAATAGCAGCAAATGGGGACTTGGAAAAGTGAGAAGTACTGACGTTCAAGTTCACTGGTAAACTACTTAAGCGTCCGGGGATCCGGAGGTTTCTTCGACTAGTGCCCAGGTGGGAACTGGACTATCCTCGGGACTGGGCCCAAGGGGTTTATATCGTTTGTTTCAAGTGATTATCTACCATTCAAAATACTCCCACTTAACTGGTTCCAAGGCACCGAGCTGGCTGCACACTACGTTAGCTCGTAGCGTAGCAAAAAAGCAAAGTGTGGAGGCCACTAAAATGGGTCCGCGCAAGGATCACTCTTGAATCGAATCGCGTGTCGTGTTGTTAGCGGTTGCCTGCAGCCCAGAATTCACCTAGGCGACTGCAGCTTGGCTCATACCATGCGCCAACCCGCCGATCCTAGTCGATAACTGAACGCTAGATTACTAGTACCCGGTTTATTCCATTTGATTATAGACATGATAGACCATTCTTCAACCTCATTTTTGCTCCCATCGCCATCGCCCTTGCCCAGGGCTATAATTTCTTTTTGGTGATGGTTGTTATGATGGCTGTTGTTGTTGTTGTTGTTGTTGAACTCTATGCTAACCCGTTCGCATGCCCCAGCAGGGCTGCCCGAGGGGCTGGGAAGAGGCGAACTGAAACAAATGGAGTCGCACTTCCAAGGTTGGAGTGCTACAGGCAACCAATTTCAAGACGATGGATCAGTCTTTCTTCTGATTAGATTTGGACCTGAAGAGATGCCCTATTCACGCCTTACTCTCGATGCATACAGCATGATGGATCTCAAGGCGCGTTGCATATGCGTGGAAGAATCGGGGAACCAAGTTGCTGGGGAAGCCCCAGCCATGTATACCTACATCGCATTTGCAGTGGGCAGCAGTTCCAGGGTTAAACCACCCAGCAACTTTCAGCGGCCAAACTTCATCTCCAATCTCCCCGAGCGTCTGTCAGAGCCTCGAGAATTTGAGGTATTTCGTCAGTACTCCGTACGCCCTTGCGTTCTAATGACCTCCGATCTGTCACCGCTTCGCGCTTAATCCCGTTGGGAGCAGAGGTAAGTCTTCACCGACTTTCAACGGAACGTTTTCCCACTGCACTGACCACAATACTGGGCCCCAAAGCACTGGAAGTCCAACGAAACCAAGGTAATCAGGCTGCGACTCGGGCGTTGCTCCTCTTTCTCCGGGTTACTTCCCCCCGATGAAGGTGAATGAGCGTGCTCAAATCCCGCATTTGATTTAATTACTCAAATTCGGGTTCTGAAATAGAGACCCAAAGTTCATCGGGCCCCATTTTCGGGGCTGGGGTTCCCTAACCATTCCCTCGGTCAACCCCAAGTCATCTAACCATAGATGGTCTGATCATCGTATCCGACGCCCAAGGATTTCTCTAACGATGTCATTATTTGGGTCCAATATACTGTCTGATGATCCCGTCTAATGAGTGTATCGAACCCCAATATTGTGAGAACACATGGCTTTCTAGCATGCCGAATGCGAGAGCGCATGAACACGTCGGCATGCTCTTATGATGCCTTGGCTTTGAGTATCTTTGACTACGCCTCGGGATACCATAAACCCATTTGCAGTCACTCCGCAAAATCACACATGCTGATTCGCACTTCCGCACGGGGCTTATTGTAGGTCCGGTCAAATCATGCTTTTTGCTCGTACTTCTAGTTCTGAGTCTGCCATAACAAGCTAGCTTTATGTTGGACATAGGCTACAGCTCCCTCTTTCCATGCGTCAGCCTGGTGACCTCTTGGCCGGGATTTGATTGTATTACAATCGTCGTCCCGGCTAAGGTTCAATGGAAGGAGGGGGTCGCCTCGGCGCCCCAGAATCTCGAAATTAGCTCCTTAATGTATAGTAGCACGTAAATTGGACTGGGAATATTCGATTATATTTACCATAGCGGAATAGCTAGGCTGTAGAAGTCTCCAGTCAAGAAACTTCAATTATAGAATTTCCTGTCTATGGTTATGCATCATGCGACAGGATAGATTTACTTGTAAATGCTATGGCGCAGCTTGCTTTCCATGACACCCTACAATCTGGGATAGTTTCCGGGCAACGTCCAAGCAGAATTCTTATGTGGAAACTAGAAAGTTTTATGAAAACGAATTAGAAGATCGTCGGAAAATAATATCCAATACGAAACATCAAAATATGCTACGCTAGCCATATTTGAGCCATCGTTTTCATCACCATCCCACCGGTTGTCCATAGCACTTTCAAATCTAAATTCGTCCTGTGGTTCGCAAAAGGCAACCAACAGGTTGATAACCCCTTCCCCCAGGGTTGTAACTCGCCGAGATACCCCTGCGTTGAATCATTTTCTCGGCTATGACAAGTAAGGAAGACAGGGATGAAGGAAACAGAATGATGTGGTGGTACCATGGTTTTTTTTTTTTTGTTTTTGTTTGTTCTCGCCCGGGTGAAGACTAGGCCAAATATGTGACAGGCACTATCTCCCGGCCCTCAAACTAAAGAAAATTAGCCATGATTCGCCGACAGGTGCTTCTTCTAAGACGATCACCGTGATAATCTCATCAGCCATGGGAAGTGGAATAGTAAAAAAGTACGGCGGAGTTGGGGGCGAAATCCTGTTCTGTGCGGAGAAAGGGGGCCGAAGGATCGAGCTTATTCCTCGTGGTTCACCCGGGTTAATGTGGGTTGGCCACTAGCGCGGATTCTAGACGACAACGAGAATAATCCGTACAGCTGTGCTCATGCATATGCAGACTAGTAGCTGCCCGCTAGCTTCAGAAGATTCTCATTGGCCATCCTTGTGACTACTCTTTATTCCAACCGATCCTGTTTCTAGGGTACAGCGGCAGAGCCAGGCATCTGATAGCTCCTTTCTATCACAGATGAGGGGATGGGTTTCATTTAGAGAGCTAGGAGTCTCGCAGCCGAGCGACGCGCATGATCACGGAACGATAGGGCCATTTGACACGGTCAGATGGATGAGGAGCCCTGAGGCTGGGAGCGGGGCTGTATGCCTCTAGGCTCTAGCCCTCGTAGCCTTATGCCTATCGTGAGATTTTTCAAGTTGCATCCGTGTGGATTCGACTAAGCTGACCGGAATGACCATCGGGAATTCGTTTGCCTCCCTTTATTGGGAATGAAAGAAAATTCCAAGCCGAACATGAGTCAAAGCAAACCCCGAGCTTCAACTTCAAGTTAATAGTCTAAGAACTAGTCCCCCTTGTTGATATGTGTATAGTCGTAAGCCCTGGAGTAAAGCTATAGTTCAGGTAGTAAAATGTACAACTTGCAAGGCTGAATTTGAACCTTTGACACCGGGCATACCAACCTTGTGATAATCTTTTTTTTTAAAAAAAAAATAAAAAATAACAAAGTAGCAAAATAGCAAAATAGTAGAATAGTAAAGAATTGTATTCATTAAACAATTATTCATGTCATTAATATTTCAAAAAAGATAATATCGACAGCTGGTGAGGCTGGCTTCATGCAATCGCGGCCGCGAAAATCACCACGTCATAACGGGGGCCGAGCAAGCAAGCACCCCCAAGTTCCACGCCAACCACCTCTCATCAACCTCAGACCACATATCCACACCCACACCCGCTCCAACCGACCACCTCAAAATAAAATTTCCCGATTCAAAGGCGTGCCTCGCAAGATCATCATATTCCCCCAAAAAACAAATACAGAAATCAAAAGAAAAGAAAGTCGCCAGGACTCACCGCCTGAGATCAACCATTCCAAACTCAACAGATCCATGCCCGGATACTGGAGACTGCAAGCTACCGCCAAACACACGAACCTCCACCTGTCAGTACTAGCAAGACTACTACTGGGCCCGACTAAATCGGGACAAATATCATCTCGATTCAGCAGCACACCAATCCGTACCATGTCTTCATTCACCTTACCCGGGTCCCCCAGTACGCGTGTGAACGTGAACTCCACGCCTGATCTCTCCCAGGACGACCTGCTGTCGTTTCCTGCATTCGATACCTGGATATCGACGCTGCAGGCCTCTTTGGCGCAACAAAAGAATCCGGGACACGAATTTCATCATGATCCGTATATCCTGCGTCGGATTGATGTTCAGTCTGTTGACCGATTTGGCGGGAGTCGGTTGGGGTTCGTCAAGTTGAAGGCTGATGTATCGAATGGTGCTGGTGAGCATTTACCCGGTAGTGTATTCTTACGTGGTGGCAGTGTTGGTATGCTTGTAAGTTGTCACTTTTCACCTAATTTTTTTTCTTCTTTTCTTTTTATAGCTACGCAGCTCGGGAACTCTCATCTGACCACTTATCATTCTTTTCTAGCTCATCCTTCAGCCTGATGATATTCCTGCTTCACAAGAGCAAGGCAAACAAGCAATACTCACTATTCAACCTCGAATCCCGGCCGGATCCTTAGCTTTTGCCGAGATCCCCGCGGGAATGCTCGATGATAGCGGGACCTTTGCTGGGGGTGCGGCTAAAGAGATTCAAGAAGAGACTGGTTTATCTGTTCAGCAGGATGAGCTGATTGACTTGACCTCGCTGGCTCTAGGCTCTACTCAGGAAAAATCGGGAGAGACTTTGCAGAAAGCGGTGTATCCGTCCGCTGGGGGAAGTGATGAGTTTATTCCCCTTTTCTTATGCCAGAAGCGTATACCTCGCAGGGAGATTGAGGAGTTACAAGGAAAATTGACCGGTCTACGGGACCATGGAGAGAAAATTACGCTCAAGGTGGTGCCCCTTGAGAATCTGTGGAAGGAGGGACTAAGAGATGGCAAGACTCTGGCTGCCTGGGCTCTCTATAAAGGGTTAAAAGAGGAAGGGAAACTTTAAGCTGAGGGGCCATGAATAAAAGTCGCATAGACAAATTTCTAGACAAGGACCGTTTAAGTTCTTATTTGAACTGATCTCGCCAGTGTGTATCCAGCGGCGATGAATTTTGATTTACAGTGTATATTCTTCTTGAGAAACTGTTCACATATGCCCTTGCTGAAGTGTCGCAAGGTTACAGCTTCAGCTTCTTCGCCAACTCGATACCCTCAGCAAGTGTACCAACCCGAGCATCAATAGCATAGCCCTCCTTCTCAAGTCTTTGTGTCTCCGCGAAAAGGGAAACCATAGGAACAGAAAAGCATTCAATGAACTCATTGTCTTCGAGCTCCGGCTTCGGATTTTGGTTCTCAGGCAGCGTCATATCAACGCGCACGTGGACCATATTGAGATTAGTATTACAAAATCCAGGATCTGGAAAGAAAGAAAAAAAATGAGCCATTTAGCCCTAGCTCCGTTGCCTTGAGATACTCCATAAAAGTCTATACATGGGGGGGTTGACATACCATTGTACATGATCGGGCTAGTCTGCTCAGCCACACCGACGTAGCCGGTCTCCTCTTTGAGCTCACGGACGGCGCATTGCTCGGGAGTCTCGCCAGCGTCAATGAGGCCAGCGGGTATCTCAATAACGACCTTGTCAATAGGGGGCCTGTATTGCTTTTGCAGGAGCAGCTCAGGCCCAGTGGATTTGGTGAGGATGGTAACGATGCCTACACCATCGATTTCGCAATTGGCCGGGCGGGTCTAGCAAATATCCAGTCAAAAGAAAGGTTCAAAGAAGGCGAAGGTGACGTCGACGACCACTGCTCTGATCCAGAATATGGGAGGGACATCAAATGAGACAAGGGAGATTAGGGGTCATGAAACGGTCTCATGTCAGATTTGAGGCCACCAATTATGACAGTGGAGAACAAACGGGGCCCCCACTGATACGACAACATGCGAGATCAGTTCCACTTGTAAGCTTATGCCCAAGGGGAGCCAGTCCATTGATCATGGAAACACCTGTCACAAGGCACGCCTCACGATGCGGCTGAACCCATGTAGACATAAAGTGTAAGGGCGCCAGCTCGGGGTCTCAAAAACAAGAGAAGATATTCAGAGAGGAGAAGGAAAAAAGAAGTATCAATCATGTTCTCTTGGGGCGGTGCAGTGAGCCATTCGGCACAGGGCAGCAATCACGACGCAGAATGCAGAATGCAGAATGTACAGAACGAAAAATAAACGGATGGCAAGGGCTTACCTGTCGCTCTCCCGATTCCCATGTTCTCTCAACTCCGAGCGGATCAGTGTATGTAGTCTTGACCAATCTTGTCCATCGTGCTTCCGCCGGGTCCTGTCAATCGTACATACATCGTCAGATAAAATGAATGAATGCATGGTCCAGATGGGGAGAGGGGAAGTCCCCCGGGATGGGCATCTTTGCTTGCTTCACCCGCTGTGATTGCACTACTGCACTGCCTTCCCCAGGGTGAAGTTTCAAGAAGATCAGAACCAAACGGATCAAAGAAAACATACCAGTGGACCCCGTGAAATAATGGTGGATTTGGCTTGCGTGGGCGACGGCATGGTATCGTCAAATTGTGAAGGAGTGTGTGTATGCAGGTGGACGGATAAGAGGTACGTTTGCGCTTTTTCGAAGCTTCTAGACTCGAGGTCGAGTACGCCTAGAAGAATGCCTTGGGCCGCAAAGGTAAATTCAAAGCTAGGTACTCCCAAAATGTTGCAGAAGTGGAGGGGGGAGAGGGGCACGAAGCCCGGGTTCGTGGGGCTACGAGCAACTACTGCTGGTGGGGTCTACCCTGGGACCTTATCTAATCATTTACCACGATGGAAGGCTACCTAGGGTAAAACCTGGGTTCTTTGAGAATATCGTCTCATATTCATTCAATGTTTGTTATGAATACGAAGCACGGACTACAGGCGAGGTGACTGCCGGGATTTGATCTTGGTGTTTGGCGTGAGGATGAGAATGGGAATGTTACGAGGGAATGCCTCGGGATCTAAACATGGGAACAACTTGAACTACTAATCCATACAACATTCAATTCCGTGAGTTTTGAAACAAAGGAATATTTTCTTCATGCGAGTGCGGGATTTGCTGGAATCCCCAATCATTTCCGAATAAAATTCTATACTGGAGCCAGGGAGCGTACTTGTTCAACATTTCGTTGTCCTATGAAACCTGTCTATGCGAAGATTCACGATACTACCTAGCGATACAAAGAGAAAAGAGTCGGCCATAGCTGGGCCAGGCAGGCCGGGTGATGTTCCCAGAGTTTCAGGTGCCACCATCTTTATAGCGTTGTAATGAGCAATTAAAGCTTATCGTTGCGATGGCAGGATAATTAAATGCAGGACAGACGACGCCATCTAGGTCCATGCAGAATACAGGTAAACCCAACAAAAGAAAAAAAGAAAAGCTCCAGAACGACCATTCGCTTGCTGTCATGATTCATGCGCGTGAGAAACATTGGCTAGGGTCGATCACAGGCTGGACTGAGGAACCTCGGCGGGGGAGTTCTCGATGAATTCGAGGCATTTGTCGAACTCGGCCCAGTCGTACATGACGACCTTTGCTCCGAGATCAGTCAGGACTTTGGCCATTTCGTCTTGTGTCTCCTTGCCATTATAGCTTCCGACATAGGCAATGGTATGAATACCGGCACGGATTGCGGAGAGTGCACCAGACTTGCTATCCTCGATGGTGACCGTCTCCGCGGCAGTCTTGCCGACTTGCTGGAGGGCGTAGAGATAGATAGCCGGGTCAGGTTTGGAGGTAGGCTTTGGCAGAGAGGTAGCCGCGCTGTATACCTTATCCGCGTCAAAGTATTTGTCCTGGCCGACCTTCTTGATGGAGGCGACGACGCGACGGAGGGCCGACGAGGAGACGACGGCGAAACCGTACTTCTTGGCGGCATAGAGTCGCTCTAGGACCTCGCTGGCGCCGACACATGGTTTGGCCTTGGCCTCGAGCTTCGCAATGACCTTGTCCTCCTCTTTCTTGACGTAAGCCTCCAACTCATCCTTTTCCAGCTCGAAATTGAACTTGGACTGCAAGGAGACCATCATGCCGCGGAAGTTCTGGCCGACAAAGTCCTTGATAAGCTGATCGCCGGTATAGCGGACATCGATGTTGCGTGATTCGAGGATCTCATTGGCCAGGTCGGCGCAGGCCTCGAAGGCCAACTCTTCCGAGAGGACAAGAGTATTGTCACAATCAAAGAAGATCTCGGTGATCTGCAGGTCATCGGTTAGCGTCGGTGGGGTCAGCGGGCGAGGGGTAATGGGATCACCGGACTTTAGGCATGGTGGGGAAGCAGGAGAAAATGTCCGAGAACGGATTCCAAACTTGGGGTAGGAATTGAGGGAGAGAGTTATGCGGTAGTTGGGTTGGGAGTTGGTAGGAAGAGAGTTGGGGGGGAGAGTTGGGAAGAAAGAAGAGAGAGTGAAGAATAAAAGGTAGAGCGGGGTACGCGGAGTACAGCAACAACAAATACAAATGCAACAAATACAAACCAGGAAGGAAGCAAGGAAGGACGTGCCCGGATGCTTTTAAACAGCAGCCACGACCCTCTCGTACAACCAACGACCAACGGTGACGCCCGTTGAGGAAGGAACCGGATGAGGTCATGCCGAAAGTACTGGTACTTCTATTTGTATGGTATCTAATATACCATATTTAGTACCCATTTGTACCCGGTACTTCATTTGCCCCCACCAGCCAAGTTCCCACCAATCAAATCGCCCACCTTGAGTCTATTCGCGGCTTAGCGCTCGCCCTGGCACTCATGGAAAGTCGCAGAAGGTCACTGGTTTCACAGCGCCGAGCGCCGACCATCAAGACAGGGGAAGATATTTTAAACATCTCCTAATGGGCGTATCTACTTGTATACCCTGTCGTTTCTTTTACTCAAGCTCCTTTCACGTGGTTGAAGGTTTCATGTCCGTGTTCTATACGGGATAGGGCGACAATGTGACAACTCTGCAGTCGAGGAACGTGCATTCATTCACTTTCTTACTGGCTCTGCTGTTTAAGTCCCAAGGCCCGTTCTCACCTCGTTCGGACATTCGTCTTGGCTTTGATCTCTCTGGCCCGCTGGGTTTCGATATCACCCGGTCTGCACTACAGGGCACATACCAGTACTATAGAAGGAATACAGGGATGGGAACCGTCGACTACTAGCCTATGTATTGGCTCTTTTAATCTCGTAAGAAATAACCATTCTATTGTAATTTAAATATTTGGTAGTCTTCTAAGGTTGCATTGAAAACTGATAAATCCCGATGATCGAATATATTGGATTGCTGGTCAATACTTGTACACTCTGCTTTGGACCAAATTCGTCGGGTATTGGAATTGCCCATAACTAGTAAATACAAAATGATATGTGAGATGATATCCATGATTGATCATGTTTGCCATTTGTCAGAATGCTGCAGTCCTTTGACTACGCCTTCTATATAATACCTCACTTTCCCATGTATCCTTCATTCCTGCTATCCAACCATCAATTTCAAGTCATCTTCATCTCCGCCCGCCTCAACCTTGGAGTACGTAGCATCCCTACGTATAGATATCCAAGGCTATCGTTGAAGCCCATAAGACATTGTTTATAATTCTATAAATCTTGCAGAGAGTCACTGTCGGTTCTCAGGTTATCTTTCCTAGCGGAAGAAAGAGAATTGAAAGTGCTTTCCCGCATTTATATATGACGATAACCAAGACGTCAGCTCGGCCATGGATACATAGCAGCGCACTATACCAGTAATTGTAAAACATTCATCAGAGATAGAATAGTACAATTGTCTATCTACTAGTAGTACTAGGTAAGCATCAGAATAGTATCTAGTATTCAAGTTTCATTTGAGCTAAATTACTAGTATGCTACTACTATATAACCAGTAGTATATCGATGAATATGGAGGGGGTTTGAGCTTGCCCGGGTAGACAAACTTCAATATATATCACCGATAAAGAGCCGAGAAAAACCCATCAAATCAAATCACATCTAAATCGCTCATTCAGATCTACATTCGGTTCTTTCCAGCGCAGCCGACAATAACCCGGTGAACTGACCATGGAAGGTGCGCCCCCACAGCACCCGAAAGCCCACCGCCCGATTGGCGGGACATCATCACCAACGCATCCAATCTGCATTTCGCAATCGACAGATTTTCTTCAGCAGCTATACTATTCGCAACACCCCTGCATGAGACGGTATATTCTACAGCCACATACAAGTCCGCCCAGTACCGCCCTAATCTCAACGCAGCCAAAGATATCACTGTCTATCAACATCACCGCGGGGCCAATTCCGGGCACGGTCTTAACTCCCATCTGGGCTACTGCTACTGCTACAGCTACAGCAGCGCGACGCCCTTTTCAAGTTCACCCTATATATTACCAAGTCCAAGTATATTATAAATCCCGGCAAGTATAATGGCCAACCAAGAATCGGCAGAGACGCCAGGCGCATTTCCGACGCTGGACTCTCTTCTTTTCCCGTCCGCACAAACCTCCATTTCACAGACTCTCGCTTCCTTGCGTAGGTCTGCACTGTCTGTTTCCAATCGGCTGAAGTCCATTGAAACAGATGCGGAATTTGTGCGCGAGGTCGCAGAACATTATGGACTGCCGCTTGTTGCGAATGAACGCTGTGGGAGCTGGTATATTGACCCCGAGACCAAGAGTGGTAGTGCTTATTTTAAGAGCACGGATGGTCACAGTGGACAGTGGGATTTTAGCTTTCGTAGGCTGAATTTGCAGCTTCTTCCTCTGGCTAGAGAAAATGGGGGGTTAGTTCCGTTCTTCTTTTCAAGGGGGTGATTGTTGTTGTTCTTGTGGTTACTTTGACGTATGGTCCTGCTCTGGTTTCTATGGGTTGGCTTTCATCCATAGTCATACTCACGACCATGCTTTGTGCCAACTATTGAAGATTTCTTGTCTTGTCTATGTATAAAATCACCCAAGCTAACAGCTAAACTTCCAATGACAGATGTGTTATCGTTGACTCGACCCGCCGAGGAAAATGTACGTGAGAGTTGAGCATCCTGACCCAAGCCACCAACCATTCAGTCACAAAATCAGGACTTTCTTTGTCCGGAGTTCCAGAGAAGAGGCATACCGCTAACCAACTATATCCAAAGTGATGCCAGACGCATTATCCAAAACAATCCCTATCTGGGCCGCCGTCGTGAACCGCACACTCTTCCCCACCGAAACAGCATATCACCCCGTCCACCTCCCACCAAATTACCTCGGCGCATCAGAAGAAGCCCAGATCAAATCCCGCATCGATAGCTTCGTCGCCTCACTCAAGGTAAGCATCCATCCAATAGTTAGCAAGCGACCCAAAAAAAAGTGTCAGCACCCTACTCTAGCCCCTCCTTCACCCGGGTGAGAGCAACGACGAGGGTCGGGCACCAGACCAGACCAGACCAGACACACATACAGTACAACAACTCGAAACTAACCCAAACCAGAACCTAAAGCTCGATCTTAATCATCTACGCGAACAATTAGGCAAACCGATCCGCATAGCATGGGCCAATCGCAGCTACTTCCACCCAACCGATCTACACAAGGGCGATGGATATAACCTGCTCGTGTTGTGCTCCGCGTCGCGGCGCGTGCAGGGCGCAGAGATGTCTGAGGGTGGATATATCCAGGGTGCAGGTGATGATGCGGAGGGCTGGGCTCATGGGCTGACGCCGCCGGTCTTTTGGGAGCATCGTGCGCGATTGAAGGGGACTTCTGAGGAGGAGTTGCCTGCGCTTATTGGGGAGTTGATTGCTTCTTCTGGACCGGGTCAGGGTGAGGGTCAGGGTCAGGGTAATGTGGCGCGTATCGCGCCGACGAGGAATTTGTTTATTGGTGTTAGTTCTGGTGGGATGGGGGAGGCGGGTTCGTATGATCTTGTCATTGATTGTAATGATAATGGCACGGGCGAGGGCGAAGAAGGGGGTTCCAAGCCCAGTTGCAAGAAGTTGAATCTGGGCTGTGCTTCCGGGAAGCTGGGGAGTCGAGATCTACGGAAGTCGTTGGATCGAGTGCGGGAGTTTGTTGCGAGGGAGTTTGCGGAAGACTCTTCGCGGTCTTTGTTGGTGACTTGTGAGAATGGGAAGGATCTTTCGGCAGGGACTCTGCTTGCGATTATTTGTCTTTTTTACAATGATCAAGGTATGTATTTGCATTGTATGCAGTCAAGAATCCCGGGTGATGGATTGCTGGATAGATTTCAATCGCTAGATGGGAACGGGAAAAGAGGGAATCAAAAGACAGAAACCAAAGAGAGACTAACTAGTGTGTTCTAGGGGAATTTGACATCTCACAGGGCGAGCGCAGTGTCGGCAAACAATACATCCGACAGCGTCTTGCCTGGATTGTGTCATCGAAGCACGACGTGAACCCGTCCCGCTCAACGCTTCAATCGGTCAACGCGTTTCTCATGTCATGATGTGGATGTGGATGCGGATTTCCGAATAGAAGAGACCGCATCTTCAGGGTGGGGGTCTGGGACTGGCAGAGTGGCCAGTATTTCTACTTGAGGAATCAGGATGATGCACGTCCAAGCGCTCACTCGTTCTCAACAGCCTCGACAATAGCCCCTGCGCTTCCCTGATCAAGCGAGTCCAGCAGATCCAGATCGTCGGCACTGAGAACAAAGTCGAAAACGTCGGCGTTGGCGGCGATCCGCTCGGGGTTGTCTGTCTTGGGCAATGGCACCCAATCCTTCTGCAGTGCATATCGGATCAGAACCTGTTGTGTGGACTTGTTGTATCTCTGAGCCACTTCGACGAGTGTGGGATCGTTGGCTTTGTAGTTGCGCACGATGGGGGAGTAGGCTTCGACGACGATGCCGTTCTGCTTGCAGTATGCGTCGATCGTCCGCTGCTGACACCAGGGGTGGAGCTGAGAGCATGTTAATATTCAAATTCGAGTATAGAAAGGTGCCTTTCCTTGCGAAAGGCGAAAGGCACATAAAAGAAATGTAAATTTACCTCAATCTGATTCACATGTGGCGGCCACACCTTGGCGAAGGAGCGCAGTTCCTCGATATGCTTCACGCCAAAGTTACTCACGCCGATGCTCTTCGCATGGCCCTCCTGGTGCAAGCGCTCTAGTGCTTGCCAGAGCTGCTTGCGCCCCGAAGGACCAGAGCTGGAGCTGTGAATGAGGAACAGATCCACGTATCCATCAGGGCCGCCGATCTTCTCCACGCTGTCCAGCAGCTTCCTGTAGGTTGCGTCGGTCGAACCGGCGGGGCTGAGGATTTTGGTGGTGACGAAGACCTGATCGCGGGGTAGACCTGAGGAGCGCAGAGCTTGACCGACTTCAGCCTCATTGGCGTAGAATTGCGCGGTGTCGATGTGACGATATCCCACGTCCAAAGCCTTGAGGCAGGACTGGACGCATTGGTCTTGCGGGGAGCGATAGACGCCGAAGCCGAGGCGCGGGACGCGCTGGGAGTTGGGGAGGGGGGAGGGTGTCGGTGATGCTGTTGATCGGCATGATGTATATTATCTCCTATACGAGGAACTGGGGAGGGAGTCGAGGGAGAAGGTGGTGAGAAGGGGGGAGGGAAGAGTAAGAACTTGAAGAAGAGAGAAATCGAAGAGGCACAGCTCGATGAATCCCCTCGCGCCCCGCTTCTTGCCGGCCCACGCCATTGGAGAGGGATGATATCATTCGATTACTCACTTTTTTCTGCTTCTTTTTGCTTCTTTTACAAGATTAGTTGGAATTTTTCTATTTCTTGCCCTAGCAGAGGGGATTGCGAATAAGCTAATTTGGGATTAGGCGATCACATCATCGTGGTGTGGATTATAGTAGTAATAAGAAAAGCATTGTGAGGTACGAGTATGGTCTGACCAGCTAGCCAGCTAGATCAGCCAGATCAGACTAAGCCATTCAGCTATACTCAGCTACAATAGTACTATACCAGCTGTATACTCAGCTCAGCTCACTGTGTACCAAGAATCGGTGGTTGCTGGGGTGATCGGCGGCAAAGACCATCCCCGCTCCCCCCTTGACTTACTCGATTCAACTGGACTCGATCGACCGGGATTTTATTGCCAAACGCACCTCCTTTGTCCCTCTGACTTAGTCTCTCTCCTCTGGAAATTAGTCGCTGATCTTTTATTGCTCCCCCCTCCCCGCTCAAATTGCAATCTTCTGCCGCCCTTCCCCTCCCCCACCGCTATCTTTCGTCCCAATCAGCCCTGAATGTCGTCAACATGTTGACCGTCGAAAAGCAATGGATTAACGTGCAACAAAAGACCTTTACAAAATGGTTGATATTCCTATCCGGCTCCCTTCCCCTGCATGTGGCGCGGGAACTGTCGAGAGACAGCCTCGAACTTGAACTGACCGCGTGATGATCTAGGCTAAATGATAAGATCAAGTCCCGGGCCTTGGCCATCGAGGACCTGGTCACCGATCTCTCCGATGGAGTGAGTTACCTTACCGTCATGGCAAAGCCAGCCACATCTTGCGATGTGACGAATACTGATCCATGATGCCTATAGGTTATGCTCATTCACCTCCTCGAGATCCTGGGCAACGAGTCCCTCGGTCGATACGCCTCGAAACCCAAGCTGCGAGTCCAACGATTCGAAAATGTGAATAAGAGTCTCGATTTTATCAAAGGGAGGAAGATTCAGATGACCAATATCGGAGCGGAGGATATCGTCGATGGCAATCGGAAGATCATCTTGGGTCTCATCTGGACCCTTATTCTGCGATTCACCATTAGCGACATCAACGAGGCGGGTATGTCGGCCAAGGAAGGATTACTGCTATGGTGTCAACGCAAGACCGCCTGCTACGAGGATGTAGAAGTCCGCGACTTCTCATCCAGCTGGAACAACGGACTAGGCTTTTGCGCTTTACTCGATATCCACCGCCCGGATCTGATCGACTACGACTCCTTGGACAAGAGCGACCATCGGGGGAACATGAAGCTGGCATTTGATATTGCTTCGAATGAGATTGGAATCCCCGACTTGCTAGATGTGGACGACGTGTGTGATGTGCCTCGACCCGATGAGCGCTCCCTGATGACTTACATCGCCTACTGGTTCCACGCCTTCTCGCAATTGGAAAGGGTCGAGAACGCCGGTCGCCGTGTCGAGAAGTTTGTCAACAATATGCATGGGGCGTGGGATATGCAGTCGGGTTACGAGCGCCGGATGAAAGCACTACTTGCGACGATCCGCTCCCAGCGCGATTCATGGCAGAATTCCTCTTTCGAAGGGACGTACAAGGATGTCAAGGAGCAGGCGCACCAATTCTCTTTGTATAAACGGAATCAAAAGCGTGAATGGGTTGCCGAGAAATCAGATCTGGCTGCCCTCCTTGGAAACATTAAAACAAAGCTTGGCACATATCGACTACGTTCCTACGATCCACCAAAGGAACTCAGCCTGGAGACATGTGACTTGGAGTGGGAGTTGCTGACGCGAGATGAGCACCAGCGCAGTCAACTGATTAACGAGACGATTCGTGATATCAAGAACTCACTGCGTCGATCATTCGCTGATAAAGCTAACGACTTTGCTTTAACGCTCAAGACCTTGTCACTAGCCATCTCTGGCCTGGATGGCGATGTTGAAGATCAATTGGATCACGTTAAAAAGCTCAACGACAACCTGCCTCCTCTTGACGCTTTCCTAGATACCATTGCCGAACTTGACGAGCAATGTGCCGAAGCCAATATTGAAGAAAACGACTTTACAACCTACACCCTTGACGAGCTCTCCTATGAGCTGAGCCTGGTCAAATCCAGCATCTCCAAGAAGCTGGCCTTCTTGGAGAACCAGATGGTGGCTCGCAATATGACCAACCTGACCCCTATCCAACTGGAAGAATTCGAATCCGTCTTCCGCCACTTCGATCGCGATGCTTCAAATACCTTGCACGAATTAGAGTTTTCGGCGGCGTTGGCTAGTTTAGGACTGGTGTATGATGAAGACGAAATGCACCAGGTCTACGTGGAAGTCTGTGGACCCAACCGACTGGCCCAAAATGCGGGTGTTAGCTTTGAGCAGTTCATTCGCTTTATGGTCAGTGTGACGGAGGATCAGAACACAGCCGAACAAGTCTTCCAAAGTTTCAAGGAAGTTGCTGATGGCAAAGTATGTTTCTTTCTTTCTTTCTTTTCCCTCTTTGAATCACCGGCTGTGTTCTCATACTGACGATCAATATAGCCGTATGTCACCGAGCTCGATCTCCGACACTCACTCATCCCAGATGAAGTCATCGAGCACCTTGTCAAGACCATGCCCCAGCATGAAGGTCCTGACATGCTCGAAGACCGGGATCTCGCCAAGTTTGACTATATCAGCTTCATGGAGAAGATGATAGAGGAGAACAAAAGGAACGGAAAGGAGTGAAGAGTGAAGAGTGAAAACAGTATGGATTTAGTTGTCTCTTGCACAGCGTCGCCGGTCATGGTCATACTGGGAGGTCTTGCTTTGATTAGGTGTTGTGATTTCTGGTGTTCCTTGTAGCCTTTGGCTTCTCTGTTTTTGTTCACCTTTATTTTTTCTCACTTTTTTTTGCCTTTCATATTCATCCTGCATCGCTGGGGTTAGGTGGTATTCCCTCTTACATCGTATTTGTTGTGTTCTGTTTGTAACAATTCAGATATCATTGAATGACATCAAAAATATCTAAAGCAAACAACTTCCTTTTACTATTCTATATATCCAAAACGTTAAATCAATTCAAGTTGCTGCTTTGAATCTGATGATTTGAACAGGACGCAAGTGAATGTTGCCCGTTGATATACTCACGTGATTGTGCCCCATCTTGGTCGCGCGTTCCTCGGAGGTGGCGATCATTCCGACCTCGTCCTTTTTCCAAGCGCCCGCAGACCATTAATCGACTGGTCCCTGTCGCAAACTCAAGTTTCATCCTATTCTATTCTCTCTCCGACTACCTCTCAACTACCCGTCCTCCCTACCCCTCACACATACACGATGGATCGAAGCCTAGACGAGATCATCGCCGAAGACACCGTAAGCTTCCAGCTGAACCCGGCACCCCAATGGTGATATCCAACAATTGACACGTTTGATTTACTCAGCGCAAGCCTACTCGTCCCTCGGGTGGCCGGCGCAGCCAAGGCCAAGGCCAAGGCCGTCGCGGCGAACGCGATGGCGTCAGAAAGGTATCTATCAACCAGCTCGGTTCCAATGGAATTGAACAGCAATTGCTGTCGCTCGGCTACAGAACTTCATTAGCTAAACCCAGGCTCTCTATCTAGGTCCGCCCTCCTATTCCTCAGTCGAATCATGTTGCGCCGTGACACAATCGTTGCCAGTCTTCTGGAAGCTCGGAGACTCGCCAACGAGGAGGCCGCGGCGAAGACTCAGAAAAAGCACTGTGTGCATACTTCCTCACCTTACTTGGAGCTAACTCTCTCTCTTCTTGCAATCGCAACAGCCATACCAGCAAGATCGCGTCGACCTAAACCTGTGAGTTGAGAGAGACCTCAGACATCAGATTGTTTGGACTGAATGTGACGTTAACAAAACTCAGCGACTGGGTACACGACAAATTCAATGACAACGACAGAGACTGTATGTTAGTCCTCATCGAGTATGAGAGATCCTTCTCCTGACAATTTACCAGCACGCCCCCGCGGACCCCGCCGTCGCCATTCCCCCGACCGGTATGTGATATGTCTTGTGCTAGATGGAGTCAAGCTTCAATAATATATACTAACATGACCTTAGTAGCGGCTCCGCCCTCACAAAGGTTCGCGTTGAAAACCTTCACTACGATATTACTGAGAGTGATCTTGAAGTACGAACACCTTCAACTTAATTGACTTGGTTTCCTCCTAACAAACCGTAACCAGGACCTCTTCGGCAAAATCGGCCCCGTCTCTACCCTCACCCTCGCTTACGACCGCGCTGGACGCTCCGAGGGAGTTGCCTACATCACATACGCCCATCTTAAGGACGCACACACCTCGATCCAAGAGTTCGACGGCGCCAACGCCAAGGGTCAACCCATCCGCCTGTCTCTCATCCCCGGCCGCCGCGGCGGTGATCGTGGAGGCGATCGTTCTGGTGGCAGTTCTCTTTTCGACCGTGTGGAGCGTCCCGCACGCAATGCTCGCAGCTTGAGCCCTACCAGTGACAACGAGGGAGACAGATCTCGCCGCCGTCGCGGTGGACCTGCTCGTGCTCGGCGCAGCGACGTTACCGGGCCCGCCCCCGATGGCATTGACCGATACGTTCCTGGACAACGCTCTTCCAACCAACGCGGAGAAGCACGACGCGGAGGACGTGACAACAAGCCCCGCAATGCCGAGAATGGCGGTCGCCGTTCCAATGCCCGTCCCCGCAAAACACAGGAGGAACTGGATCAAGAGATGGAGGACTATTGGGGCGGTAACGGTAACGATGCCTCTGCCGAGACTGCCGCAGCACAGCCTGAACAAGCGGTGGCTCAGTCTGCTCCTGCTGAGACTGCTCCTGCGCCTGCTGCTGCTGCGCCCGCACATGCGGATGACGATATCGACATGATCGAATAAACGAAGCTTCTGGTTGAAGGGACGTGCAGGGGATTGGGGGTTTCTAGTTGTGCGTGCCGCATGACCGTGTCTGGTTCAAGCTCGTGAAAGGGTTGGCTAGGCATGCCTCCTAGGATAGAGCATAGTGGATGCGAAATGTACCAATACCATGAAATTGCCGTTCGGTTGGTTTCTAGGGGCTTTCTTATTTGTCATTTAAACCAAATATCAATGGAATGGGCGAATCACTTTACACCTGCACCTGCTCCGACTAGTGTGCGATGCCAGAGCGGTGAGAATCCGATTATTGGGGCATTTATGTATTCGAAAACAACAAGTTCCCCAGTAGATACACGCTTTGTTTCTCGACCGATATTTGAGACTTCAAGTCCCCTCTGTATTACGCAAGTCGTAAGCCCTCCTTTTGCCTTTCAACCTCCCAGGCAAGGATCATCACTCTACCAACCACCGACACGAACTTTCTCGAATATTGCCAGTAGGGAGCCAAAGGGGTTCTACCCAGCTTGGCACTAAGACTGTTACATTCAAAGCCATACTTCATTCGTGATATAGTCCGAGACTAGAGATTCAATGGCCTTGACAAAACTCAACTTCATTACTGGAAACAAAAATAAGCTCGCCGAAGTCCGGTCTATCCTCGGTGACGTTATTGAGGTAGACAGCCAGACAGCCGATATCTCTGAGATCCAGGGAACAGTCGAGGAGATCGCTGAAGAAAAAGCCAGGCGGGCAGCTGAAGTGGTAAGTTTCTCCCCAATTATCCCTGTAATTGGTAATTAACTCTCGATGGAATAGATAAATGGACCTGTCCTAGTGGAAGACAGTGCGCTCGAATTCAGTGCCCTTAAGGGTTTCCCTGGACCCTATATGTATGTCTTCTAGTAGATATACTTCCCTCTGATCCAAATTAGTCCTAACGAATGGCAAGAAAATATTTCCTCGATGCTTTAGGCCTCGAGGGCTTAAATAAGATGCTCGATGGATTTGAGGATAGGACAGCCGAGGCTGTATGTACGTTTGCGTTCTGCCAGGGACCCGGGGCCACGCCTATCCTATTTCAAGGAAGAACAAAGGTGAGAATCACACGGCACGGTCTTCTTAGCTCGAGTCTGATTTGCCTTTATCCAGGGTACAATTGTCCGGCCACGAGGTCAAATTAACTTTGGTAAGTTGATATCTAACCTTTCCTTACAGTCGGGTCGAGATTTACAACTTATGATCCCTCCTAGGTTGGGACCCTATCTTTGAGTATGATGGAAAAGCTACGTTTGCTGAGATGAAGCAAGAGGAGAAGGTAAGATTCTTGTACCCTGGCTGGTTCCTGTCTTTACAGGTAACATCGCAGACAGTCGTAAACTAATAGATACTAATCAGAACTTGGTCTCCCATGGGCACAAGGCGCTAGTAAAGCTGCAGCAGTGGCTGGCTCACGGCCAAGAACAACTGACCTAGAGATATAGGGGTATGGAGGTGGTGTCGGATAAAATAGGTTTTCAAGCGAATAAATGCTGTCATGCCGTGGGTTCTTCAACAGAACCTCCTATTTGATCTTTTGTCTTTGAATCAATTATTCCGATCGAAGTGTAACAAAATTGGTGTTCAGTACAGATTAGTGCATTTCATGTTAGGCTCCGGGGACAAATTCGTATGTGCACAGAGAGAAATCTCACGCTTTTTCGAATTCGACTCTACACTAAAGACGTTCCAATGCTAACACATAGACAGGGTATCCTCTCGGTATATTCGCGTGCATCACTGTATTGAATCCTTACGCTGCATGGTCATAAAATAAGCCAGTCGCACCGTTTCAACCATCAACAATCATCTCGAACTACTATGACACTTTTTCTCTCCATTATCTAGCTCTTTCTCCCTTTCTCAAGAATTTCTGAGGCTCTATAACCTGAAGTTCCTTTACAGTTTCCTACTCCATGGTCTTTGCACGATCTATTGTAGACGGTTTCTTCTATTTCTATCTTTCTTGCCTTTGATTCTCCCGGGGTGTCCCAAAAGGTTCAATTGATTTATACTGATAGTTCCAATCAATGAAGCCATTCTTCTGAATCCGCTTATCTAGTGGCCAACCATGGCTTGGTGGGCGGCACTATACCTGTGCCCATGTGGCTTGGCAGCATCAATTATGCGACGCATATCTTGTGCTTCTTCCTCTGTAAATTCAATATCTCGAGACTTCCAGTTTTCTTCAAGGCGTCTTGGTTTTGTGGTTCCAGGGATCGGAATCAACCCCTGGCTAACAACCCAAGCAATTGCAATTTGGCTGATCTTGCACCCCTTGCGAGTTGCGAGCTTCTTGATCTCCTCGACAATTTTCTGGTTCTTGTAGAAATTCTCGCCTTGGAACTTGGGAGCTATCGAAAAGATTAATACTCCCGAAGACAAAAAATGGTTAAGTAAAGCATCACTCACAGCTACGACGGAAATCATCGGGGGCAAAGTCATCGGGTGACTTATAATCGAAGTCGTCTACGAGCCAGCCGTGTCCTAGCGGGCTATAGGCAACATATGCGACACCCAGCTCTTTAGCCGTATCGATAAGCCCGTCTGTCTCATGCAGTGTTTCAAATGCCGAATACTCGGCTTGGACTGCATCGATTTTCGCGACTAATAGGCGTTAGCAGGTATTCCACAAAGCACAAAGTTGGACGGAAGCTCACTTTTATTAGCCTCGCGCAGTGTTTCAGCTGAACACTCCGAGAGCCCAATATACTTGGTCTTTCCGGCCTTGCGAATCTCATCTAGCGCTGGAATAGACTCCGTAAGAGGCGTATCTATTCAAAGTAAGCAACCATGTCCCAGAAAAAGAAAAGAAAAAATAGCCGACTCACTCGGGTCAATTCGATGCAAGTAGTATAGGTCGGGGGCGAAGCCGAGTCGCTCTATGGTACCCTCAATGTACTCCTTGATATGCGAAGCAGAGTTTGTGACAGCGAAACCCTGTCCAAAGACGTCAAAGCCACACTTTGACGCGACTGTAAAGTACAATAATTAGCGTCATGGAAGCTTGCTCACCGAGTCGCAAAGACTTACTAAACACCTTATCGCGAACATTGTGCTTTTTGATGAATTCACCGAGAAGCTGCTCATTGATACCAGCTGCATAGACAACCTGTGATTATCATTAGATAATGTAGCAATTTTTGAAGATCGGCTATTTCGACTTACAGCAGTGTCCCAGAATGTACATCCTAGCTCAATTGCTTTCAGCAGAACTGGTTCGGCTTCTTCCAAACTAAGCTTACTGCCCAAGCCAAAGCTAAGGCCCATTGCACCAAATCCGGGTGTAGGGACCTGAATATCGCCGAAGGGAAGTGTTTTGACCATATTTCCGATTGTAGACTTTGCTTTTGCGTGCTATGGAAACAGTAAGTTGTGGGAAGAAGCGGACTTTAAGTAGGATATCTCGAGGTATGTATGCCCGGAATATCCGGAGTTAACTCTTCGGCGTTTTGTCACCTAACTCAAACGCCTGAAAGCATCCACGGATCTGCATAGATTGCGATCTATAGATCCAATTTCATAGTCATCAGGCTGTTTCCCGTGGAGAAAAAGGTATAGGCTATAATTTTGATAGAGATATTAGTAGCCATTGAGTTAATCCTGTGCTATATTTCAAGACCGTATGATTGCTATTACTTCCTGCCGAGCATCTAATTGCGAAAGGCACTGTGTGTTCATTGAAGCTCTTAACTCCGCAAGAGTGGGGCTTGATGACAGTGGGGCGTCATCAAGTCTGGATCGTTAGTGAAGAATAGGTGGGTCACATAGCGCTGAGGGGTGTGACGAGCTCAGGCTCAAGCGAGGGGAAGTGCTAGAAAGCATAATGTTGTACACGAATGGGTGGTGGTGATGGGAGACAGACAGACAGATGTATAGATGGGGAAGAAAGCTAAGGCTTTCTCCGGGCACGAGCTGGCTCCCTGGGGCCTGGGGCCTCATCTTCATCACATAGAAGTAAAGAACTACAGATTTTCTAAACCAGAGACCGAGAGACGCGTAAACAAGCCTGCTGCGATAGGTTGTCGGGATTTCCTGGTATCTCGCGAAAAAGAATTGATGCATCTTGAGATACTGTGTCGCATCTATGTATACTACCTTGATCGTTTTTTGGGGCCGACTCGGATAAGTATGCTGGACGACTTGACACAAATTCTTCCTTTACATGGGCATTTAACCCCATGAATACACTAATCCATTGTGAGAGTTCTATTTACAGCCTTTTAAAGCAAAATGAAGAGGCTCTAATGATGAAATGGTCTTCGAAACATCTCCTTTCTATTTTTTGCACTAGTTCGAGTCTCGATCATAATAAATGAAGATAGGATAACTGGAAATACTGTATACCTTGGCATCTTTGCCAAAAGCCAGTGACTTGGGGCGAGGCGGGGCGAGGCGATCGCCTGTGGAAGTCACTGTTCACCCCATGCATCGCGAAATCTGGCCTTTCAAATAACATTGTTATTTCCGGGAGACACCCTGTTCTCGAAACAGGTGAAAACTTGGAGCACGAAACAAAGTCTCATTTCTACCTATATGTCGCCATTTGCTCACATGTTTAATATTGCCTTCGTGAAAATGCCCGATGCGGCCTTTATTCTTTTTGATGTATGCCAAAAATCGACCTTGGAGCATGTTCCATGGTGGGCGCGTAAGTTTATCATTTCAGTTGATTCCTCTTATTCTTTAGCTTATTTCATTTGGCTTGCTACTGAAACATTGCAGAGCAGCTACTTTTGGCTCCCTTCGATTCTTTGCCTATTGTGTTTTATGGTATAAAGCCGACAAAATCAAAGGGGGCCACTACAGCAAATCAAGCATAATCCAGGAGAAGTACTACGATATATCGGTCTTGAATAAATTGAACTTCGAAGAGCCATGGTTTTACTTATTTCGACAACTGTTGAAGGATTCGAGCCTCGTATAGTTTACTCCGTTGAGACTGTTATGATATGCAGACAATGGTTCCAGAAAGAGAGTTCAGTGAGGTTTTGCTTCCCATATCGTGAAGTTGACAGGGCACAGGAGATCTACCGGCGGGAAGAAATGGAAAGAGCCGCGATAGTGCCTCTTCCTGATGTCGATGAAGACCCCAATCTGTGATGGTGATTATCTCACGGGATGGATAGGGAATGAGCCTCTATTGATACTAGCCAAGGACCAGGGAGATATCTTTTCCCCGCTACACACTATTTACCAGACGAGGACGATAATCGTCGAGGCTTTTCTGCGGAAGCATGATGCCTTGTTATAACTAGTAAAATATTGAAAGTTGCTTACTACTAGTAGTATGTCGTCCATAGATTGAATGTATTAATAATGGGCAAGTATCATTATCTTGCAATTGATTGACCTAACATCCATATTTCTCGTGGATATCATTTTAGACCAAATATTATCCAATACTAGTATTATCGATGTAATAGCTGCCATGTTTACTCGAAGCAAACATTATCTCACAAGAAGTATATTCCCAAGAACAAACTTATGATCCAACCGAGTCCACCCGAGAGCCTGGTGGCTGCGGCAGGGGCCGCGGGTATGCTGGAACTCGGGCTCGCACCCATGGATGAGGATGAAGACGATGATGCGAGAGAGGTGGTGCTAGCGGTTGAAGTCTGCATGGAGGGCTCCGTAGCAGTCTCTGCAGCAACTGAGGATTCAGATGCCAGTTGATCAGATGATGTCGGAATTGTCACCGGGATGGTGGCCACAAATGAGCCAGATGATTCAGTCAGAGTCACCGCCACGCCAGTAGCAGTGGATTGCGATATCGTAGATGCGGTGGTCTCATCGGGAGTGGTAGTTTCGGTAGCAGGTGCAATTGTGGTTGTAGTCTGGGGCGCGGGCTCCAAAGTGGTGGTAGTCATTGGCACCAGTCCTCCAGTAAGGGGAGCAACGGCATATGGAGGATCAAACAATCCGAAGTTCTGACACGCGCCGCAAGGGGAAGCCCATGATTTGACCTTCTTTGGGGCTGCAAGAATTGGGTCGCAAGGGCCACCCGGCACTTTTGTTGCGATAACAGAAGCTTCCTCTGTTTGTGGGCAGTCGGTGTGAAGATCGTTGAGCGTAAGTTGATGGGTCGCTGAGATGTTGGGCACAATGGTCGATACTTCATCGAGGTCAAGTGGAAAAATCACGCTGGTGCCAGAGGGCCCGACTATGTCACCAGCGGTGTTTGTGCCATAAATTCTGTCGACAATCATGTAGACCGATGGGGAAGTACTATTTATCGTAGAAATAATGAGTCAGCGAAATATGAGAGCAGGTTCAGGGTAGGTCTTACAAGGTATAATCGAGGTGCTCATCGAAGTATGTTGTTGGGTAGTCGTATGGCTGATTCGTTGGCCAGTAGAACAAATTGACCGTGCCAGCCGAGCTGTGAAGACAGTCAGCATTGCGTGCGTCAGTGAATCATATGGGCTATATATCCAGCTAGCTTACACTTTGCATGATGTTGGACACGGATTAGGAGGGGGAGATGTTGTGATAGATGACTGCTCATAGGTCAAAGTTGTTGAGTAGGTCGTCGTGCTTGTAAGTTTCCAGGAGATTGTCGAAACATCAGAGGCGATTACTGTGCTGTTTCCAGGCGATGGGGGACAAATTGTAGTCGCGTGCGTGACCGTGGTGTCCGTATACCAAACCCTAGTCGAGGGCGAAAAGGATGTCCGTTCCGATTCCCAGGTATAAGCATGGGTCTTTGGGTCGCCAGACCAGAAACTAGGACTGTGGATTCCTTCGCTGTGTTCACCCCGGTCCAGTTTCGCACCTGAGCCAGGAGCAGCGCTGACTGAGTTTATTTCAGTACTCAGCAGCCCGAGAAAAGACCAGAATTTGAATGATCGCATGGCTCTGACTCTGTAACAACGCACTTGAACTTGAGTATGGCAACTTGAATTGAGAAACCGCTGACTCGAACTAGATCAGGTAGATTCAAGGCTATGTGACGCGCGAACGAAGAGGAAGACGGCAAACAAATAGAATATATTTCGCCCTGCTAGAAGTTTTGAATGTTTACTCCTGAACAACAAGATTAAGATGCGCAGAAAACTAATCACATAAGATGACGTGTTTAGAATAACTTGCACCTTGTTGCCAACGAGCAATTACCTTTCGATGTGGTCATGATAGCTGAGCTAGCCGGAAGATTTTCTCAGAAAGGCAATGACAGACAACGGCTTACCCAGGAACAGTAAGGACCAAGAGTAACGTGGTCGCTTAGATCTGCATAAATCCCGGTCGCGGTCTCTGATTTGATCGAGTGCTTGCAGTGGAGCAGGATTTTGAACGGCAGTCAACAGGTTTTTGTTTATGTCTTGTCCGTGCGAGAGCGAGAGCGAATATGCTTCCACCGGCATTTGTGACCTGGCAGCGATCGCATCGAGTCAATTGCTATTGAATTTCTCCCAAAAATACCCACAAGGGACCTGCAGGATTATGACGAATTTTTTGTCTTGTTTTCCCGGAAAAAAGGTGCACGAGGGCCCCCTATCTCCATTCACTAGCCACATACTCACTGCCTGCGGAATCGAAACAACTTTTTCAACGTATCTTTCCGCAGCTGGCCAACATGTATTCGATCATTTCGGTCGCTCTGCTGGCTTTGATACTTTCTTGGGCACCGCAACGCTGGGCATCGCCTCTTTCCGCACGCTCCTCGTCTCCTATCGTCGTTTCTCCCAGTCAATATTTGTAATTCTTCACCCAAAGCTCTACAGTGGCTGTGCTATTTACTGATTTTATGTCTAGTGAGGGCAATGACGGACCATGGAGTAGTTTCTTTCTTCGAGTAGGTACTCCAGAGCAATATGTTAGAGTTTTAGTATCGACGGCCTCTCCGGAGTCCATGGTGGTGTTATCTGAATATGGCTGCTCTGACTCGGTTTTCGCCAATGCACCATCTAATTGCGCATCCTCAAGAGGCGATCTGTTTAACTTGAGCAAATCGTCTAGTTGGAATGAGCTGGGCAACTTCAGCATCAACAACAACGGCGTTGGTCTGGAGGCCAACCTGGGATATTCTCAAAGATCGGAGTTCGGGACAGATGATATAGGTCTCAGCTTAAATGGACCAAAGCTCGAGAATCAGACTTTTGCCGGGATCGCAACTCCTGAGCCCTTCTATCTGTAATCATCGCCTTGAATCCCGATTCGGATGGAGTTTTGCTAACAGTGCCTTATCGCAGGGGAATATTCGGTCTCAATCCTCAACAAGTCAACCTCAGCACCCTAGGAAATGCTTCTTCGCCTTCGTACTTCACGACTCTCAAGGATCAAGGCAAAATCCCAAGCTTGAGTTGGAGCTACACCGCGGGCGCTAAATATCGTGAGCATCCTTGGCAGATTTATAGCTAAAATACGAACCTTTTGACTGATGTATTGGATTTCTTCTTTTAGGGCTCAAGCAGGTGTATGGCCAACTCATTTTCTCTGGCTATGACCAATCGCGATTTACCTCGAACTCTGTCTCATTTACCATGGCGGATGACATCACGCGCGACCTCGTCGTTTACTTACAGTCAATCAGCTACAGCGGATCCACCTCTTCGATATTACTATCCAAGCCAATTGACATATTCATTGATTCAACCGACCCGAATCTCTGGCTACCCGATAGCGTGTGCGATGAATTCGAGAAGGCGTTTGGTTTAACTATGGATAACGACTCCGGTTTATATCTGGTGAATGACACGCAGAATACCGAATTGCTCAACACAGAAGCTGAAGTGACCTTTCGGTTATCTGATGTGGGATCTGGGGGAGATGCGGTCGCAATCACTCTCCCATACGAAGCGTTTGCTCTAACTGCGAAGCCTCCGTTGGTCGATAATAGCAGCTACTACTTCCCATTAAAGCGGGCGGCCAACTCGACTCAGTACACTTTGGGTCGTGTATTTTTGCAAGAAGCGTGAGTGAACATTTCTCATCGTAAGACACATTCGCTAAGTGCATATCTAGGTATTTGTCGACCGATTATGAGCGCGGTGTCTTCAATGTATCAGCTTGCTCCTGGGAAGAGGATTCCGAAGAGGATATTGTTGCAATAATATCCAAAGATGCCAGTTCTTCCAGCTGCTCTGGAAGCGAATGTTCTTCTGGTGGCAGCAGCTCTGGAAGCTCTTCAAACCTGAGTCGAGGGGCCGTTGCCGGTATTGCAGTTGGTGCAGTAGTTGGATTCTTCCTTCTTCTGGGTATAATATTCTTCTACAGTCGCCGGCAGCGACAGAAATCCAAAAATAAGGCTATCGATCCTAGGCCAAACGTATCTGTCCTGTCTGGGCCTGTACATAACGGTGGCCCTCCCGAGTCTTCCTTGCATGATGAACACAGCTCTCTCCCACAATCCACATTCTGGTCTCCAGACACGCTCAATGGCAGCAGTGGTATGGCTACGAGTGGTAACAATGGGAGCAGTGGTGACAGTGGGCGCCATGAGAATAGCTCTGGTGAGAATGAGCTGGACGGCCACAATACTCAGATCAAACCAGTCTATCATGAATTGCCTGGCTCTAAAGTGCCAGATGTATTATATTAATTTAAGGCAGTGCATCAATTGAGGACTTCTATTTGCTAAAGTATAGAAATAGAGATCGCAACTCACTAGTGCATGAAAAACTTTGTCGGTCTCGCTGTAGATCCTCTCTCAGCAACAGCACCTGACGCCCGAAGTCAAATGGCCCCTCTGCCTGCCTATGTTCAACACGATAGAGGACTCTATGATTTCGGTATTAAGTGTGTCCTCGAATCCATGGGTGTTGTCCCTCGGCTCCAGATTGAGCTTCTCCTTCAAGTGAAGCGTATGGGTTTTTCCTGGGCAGTGCTTTTGCAGCGCCGCGGAGTTATTTAGCCTGACTTGGAAAATGTTCGCTGTTTCCTAGGGGAGTTGGGGGATTGTTCACTGTGAAGTGATGCTGTAAATTTGGTCAGTATGTGACTGCTATTCGTCAACCTGTGTCAACAAATGTAAAGCAGCACGCTGCTCATGCGAAGCGGGCAAAGCGAAGTGATATACTCGTATGTACCCATTGGAAACTGGGAAGAAAAAGGGGAAGCCATGTGTACAGACGCCAATATCATTGGCTAATAAGCTTCTTGGGGCTCCATTTAATCAGAAGCAGCCGGGATATCTTGAAGGCTCGTCTTAATCCGGGGGTCCGCAGTCAATACTATCTCAAGGGCCCGGCGGAACTTCTCATCCGGAACAAAATCAAAGAGCTCCTTGTTTTGAGAGAGATTTCGGAACTTCTTCCCTATTACATTCAACATAGCCGGCAGAGTGAAGAATATAAGAGCGTCCGCCCCTCGGCCTAGTGACCAGTGGCACTCCCAGCCCCTAATATCGAAATATTCTTTGTATTTGAGGGGATCTTGGGACATCTCCACCGCTGCATTCCCTGCTATATTCGCCACAAGCAGCCGAAACAAGCCTGGGGGTGATTCAAGCGCCTGTTTTAGAGCGGCCTCTTTTTGTCGTTGTGACCGCAAGTAGCGGGAACTGAACACAGAAAGGTCGACCAAAATACCGATTAATGCCGTGGCTAGCGCTGCTAGAATGAAAATAGCGAGATTCCTGAAAATAAAAACAAGTGACATCGTGCAAAGATTGGATTCCAGGATGATCCTATGTTGGTTAATAGAAGTTGACGGTGTCTACGAGAGAGAAAGAAAAAGAAATAATAAAGATGGTGGTCATGAACATCGTCGCGGACAGTTTGGGCCTGGAGCAAACTGTGTTCCAGGGTTTAGATCGCAAAAGCAAAGGTTTGGGAAAAAGCTAACAAAGTCGTGATGTTTATGACATAACCGCACGAATCCATGGCATGGGGAATTTCCGGTCGATTAGGTTCTAGTGATACTAGTACAGTAGTACTAGAACGATCTTGGACTTTGGCTTGTTTCAAGGATATAGTAGTATGGAGTCTTCGAGTCCATGCATACTTGCCTGGCAAGGTAGACTCACAGTTGCTCTGCGGGGCTGGTTGGCAATCATGCTATGCATTTTGTCGAATCACAAGACAGCCAAAAGTCAGCAAAGGTCATCCTTGCAGGACAGGAACAGATCGAACAAGCTCAGCCAGTGAAAGGCGGCGCATTTGCACAGCCAAACCGGTAAGAGTCACATGACCCCACTTGACTGAGTAGCAGTTGACCAATCAGCGATCGCCCATTGGCAATCATGCCACTCGCGGTGACGCAGACGGACGAACACCTTGGGCTATAAGACCAAATGCTTTGCTCGAGATATTTTTCTTTTTCCATCCTCATCTTGCATTCCAAACAGTCTTCTCCGAACACTTTATAACACGCAAAACTACTCTTCTATCTCGTCGATTTACAATCTTGACCTGCAAGCTTCTCCGATCTACATCTCTACATCTCCACCAACCAAACAACCAACCACAAATCACCCACCAATCTTCAAAATGGTCCACCCCGCTTCCACCTGCTGCAAGGCCACCGCCGGCGCTGGCTGCGTCTGCGCCGCCCAGGCCAAGTGCTCCTGCGGCAAGGAGAGCGCTCTCCACTGCTCTTGCAACAAGTCTGCCACTGAGAACGCCATCGCCGGTCCCCGCTGCTCATGCCGTATGTCTTGACTCTTAACATCCAAAATGAACATAGTCAATATGGAATCAAAACTAACATAATTAACAGGCTCTCGCCCTGCTGGCCAGTGCACCTGCGAGCGCTCCGTCACCGAAAACTCGCCCGTCCAGGGTGATGCTTGCGCCTGTGGCAGCCGTCCCTCTGGTAAGTCGAACACCCATCTACTCGAGTTCATTCAGCAGAATTCAAAACTAACAATCTTTTTTAGCTTCCTGCACCTGCGAGAAGGCCGAGGGTATCGAGTCTGCCCTGGAGGTTGACTTTACCACCCGCTCTTAAATCGTTGATTCCATCCTATGATTTGCTTTGATGGTTATGCATTTCCCATTTGAACACACTTTGCTGTTATAGTTCATGGGCGGCGTTGGAGAGACTGGAGACTGATTGCTTTTTTGTATACTATTCATCCCACTTGCCAACTTTGAAGTTGCGATTGTGGTAATTGATAACGAGACATGAGATATCATTACTTTTAAATTATCCTGTACGTCGGGTACGACCTAGTAGTACGTCCACGGGTGGAAAGAAGGCGTAAATAAAAATAGTAGCATATTATTTGTAGAAATAATGGTGAAGAGCCGAGGAGCTGGTAAGAACCGGAAGTGATGTAGATATACTGACTCCCCCTACGATAAACCAACCCTGCCATACCGTGCCCAGGTGAATGCAGGACCTCGGTCGGATCTGGTAAAAATGAAGCGAGACACACTTTGAATGTACAATCGAGAGATCCGTGAATCCTCGCTGATATTGGCTAGAAGTTAAGATATACATGCATAATCATCGCCATCGGATTATTTAATCATATGAAGGTCCATCCGCAGCCGTTCCCTGGGACATCTTTTGCTCCATCTGCTTGACCAATGCCTGTGGGACACCTTCCTGCGTAGCACGTACGGTAACGCGATACATCTATATGGCACATTAGCACGGAACTTGAACTTATGCCCAGACAGTAAGTGGGTATTGAAAGGGGGACATACCGATTTCTCGTAGTTAGGCTCCAACCGCATAAGGCACCCTGTTTTACCAGCCTCGAATTGAAATACTGCACAGCCAACAATATTCTTTGCGTTGGGGTCGACGCCGTCAAGGATCTTCCATCCAAATCCTTCCACAGTTCGTCGGGTGAAACCTTCAGTGGCGGTCTTGTTCTTAGCAGTCACGCCGAACGTCTTCTGGCCCTCCAGCGCGTCGCCGCCGATTTGTCGCCAGCGCTTGAAGAAGTCTTCGGCCGACAATGACGATGGCTCCATGTAACGGTGCATCATGACAGGTAGTTGAAGAGTGTATGCCTGAAGCGCACCGGCCAAATAGGAGATTCGAATGGTAGGGGCATCGCTGAATGGCCCGTGGACGGCACAGAATAGTGTTTGCTGGGTTTGGGCGGCTGCATTGACTGTGGAGTCAGGGAGGTTCTTGGTGTCGATCTTGAGATTTGGCGTGGCTGGGTTGTCGACGGTTGTTGTCAAAGAGGTAATTGGGTAAGAGGACTTGTTAGAAATGTAGAGCTTGACAACACCCATGTGGCTACGGTACTCCGATCGCAAGCCAACCTGGATCTGTGCATCTTCGAAAAGAACGCCTTCCGACGTGTAATAAAGACGATTGAAGCCGATATCCCAGTCTGGGGTCAGGTGAGCTGCGCTAGCCAGGTTCGGAGCAGGCAGTGCTGGCCCACTGGAGAAGTCAAGACCTGCCAAGTCACCTGAGGCGCTTGTAGCACTGGTCGGGGTCGGAGTTCCATTCGATCCCGTTCGAGTGCCATTAACAATCGTTGTGAAGGAACGCTTAAGACCGGTCGTCTGGGCCATGAGGACCTCTTTCTTATCTGCGTTGGCATCCTTTCCACCAACCACCCATGTCTTTCGTTCAGTCGTGCCAGCTGTCTTTTGGTGCAGGCGCGACAACAGAATCGAGGTTCGCTCCGAGAAAGGAGGCATTTCATCGCAGACAGTTCGGATAAGATCATCTGACGGGAGTGTTGCCAGGGACAGATATTCAAAGGCTCGCTGTTGCAACTCGGAATCGGGGGAGTGACTGTAGAGCCGGAAGATCTGCAAGAGCTGGGGCTTGATCTCGGGGAACAAGTTAACAAACTTGACAAACGAGGATAGGATCATAGCTCGGGCGTTATCAGATCCTGTGAACATCTTGGCTTGTAGTGCTAGGAATTGTTCAATGGGACTGGACCCTGGATTGTCTGCAATCAGATGGCCAAACTCGCCCAGAACATAACAGCCAATCTTGACCAAGCTCTCGTGGCAGTCATTCTTCATATACCCAAGAAGGGTGTGGGCCGCATATGCCTGCAATTCCTCATTGTTTGTCACGATTTGAATAACTCGTTGCCACACTTCGTCGTTGACATGATCACCGGCCAAAGAAAGTAGCTTCAAGGTCATGTCGATATACCATTGGGCATCGGTGGCGTACTTCTCTGTAAGAATGGCAACCTTGAGTACCATTTCTTCACGAATTGCGTAGTCCGCTGTCTGTAGATAACGCAGAAGTTCGTTCACGATTGGCCCCGCGTTCGTTGTATCGCACATACTATAGAGTAGGTCCAGTCCCTTGCGGCGAACACTGATATCACGATCTCGGAGTGAGCCCAGAATGATATTTTGGTGTTTCTTGATCGGGTCGAGGGTTTCGGCTCGGGCGGCGAAATGCGTCAGTGCATCAAGGCCAAGGTAACGGACATTAGTCTCGCGGGATTGGATGTATTTGCCCAGGCGGGAGGAGATTTGAAGCATTAGGTTGTGCTCTGAATCGAGATGAATGAGGAGGTTAATGGCTTCAAAGAGAATGGCGTTTTGGGCGTTGTTCTGTTGAACGTTCTTCGGGGTCTCCATAGCAGATGCCATCATCTGGGCAAGGGATTCACGGATGATTTGGCGTACATGGCTATCTTCAGAAGGTGGGTAGTACTGCAACAGACGAAGCAGCTTGACCTGGATCCATGGGCATGGTACACGGTAGTAAAGGTAGTCCGGCGCGATATCGTTGTCCACCACAATCTTCTTCAGGCGTTGGGCGGCCTTCACATAGCTGCCCTTGTATTCTTCGGGCATGTCTTGTGCCAGTGCCATAACCAACGAAGTCACCGAGAGGGCGACGCCCATGTCGGGATCGTCCATGATCGAGATAATTCGCTCGGCCCATTCTCTGCGAACGATGCCAGGGTATTTGCGGTAAAGACGGAGGAGGGTCAGGGCGGCTTTCTTCTTCACGAAGGCCTTAGATGTACTGTACAAAATTAGATTTGTAGGTTCCTCGGCCGAGTAGGTGTATAGGGGTATACTAACGGGGAGATCAATAGCCGGTGGACTTCAGTGGCAAGCGCTTCGCCGAGCTCCCGACCACCAACATTAGCCACGGCGTGTAGGGCCAAACAATTATTCAACTCATTATGATCAAGCAGATCCTTCCGGATACTGTTCACAACCAGGTGTAACAACTCGTGCTCCTCGTGTAGGAACAGGGTGACGGCCAGATAACCGATCTGCTTCTCAGAGTATTTGCTGGAAGAGATAAGATTCACCGCCTCGAGATGGCCGAAATCGACATCATAACCTTGTATATAAACGTATAGCAGCTTGCAGACGTATTTTTTCTTCTGGTAACCGTTGAGACTGCCGCCCTTAAACTTCTGTCGGATATTGGCCAACTCCTTATTGACGCGCTTCTCTTCTAGCTCTCGCGCTCGCGCGTTTCGCAGGTCCGCGATAAACTGGACCAGTCCACGCATGGAGGACATGATGAAGGTTGTGTGCAACGACGACTCGGTAATGTTTCGATCTCACGCGCAAGGGAGGTGTTGGGTCAACGGGGGTTGTCGGCTGTGGGGTTCTGAAGTTCAGGGTCTCTCATGCGGAGAACACCTCAGTGGATTGCAATCGATTACACAACCATATCCCTGATCGGTTGAAGACGAATGTGCAATGGCCAGCCAAAGACGACGGGGGGGGAGGAATTAACGTTTGGAAGCAGGGCCAGGAGATGCTGATGCTTGGTCTTCGGGTCTTGGCTTTGGCCTGAGGCCACTTACGCTGTCGATCGCCCGCGTTCCGCTGTGGCGGTGCTGGATTATCTTTGATCCGCTGTGGCGGTGTGGCGCTGCTATACTACTAGCTACTAGCTACTGTAGTAGGCTGTATATATAGCCATCAACGTAGCTCAAGGCAAGGTAACAAGACAGTAAATACCAAGCATCCAAGATAGCAATCTCTGCAGTGCTGCTACTAGTAGTCTACCATCTTTCGGGGAAATTCTTGTTGGGTATCCATAATTTCGGAGAGTATAAGGGGCACATGTATAGGATCAGCCTCGAAGTATGAGTTAGCGCTGTTGAATTCCTTGATAGTTTTGTCAAACTGAGCACATTCAGAGCTTGCTGTCTTCTATGGGCTGCAGCTGGCTATGGTGAAAGTAAAGAACGGATGGGGATAGGCGTTTGCGCCTGCCCCCAACGACTGTCCCCATCGTCGTTGCCCACTGGCAGGTGCTTCTCTCACTTCTCACTTTGCCAGGCAGAAAATTTGCCCTTTACACCCACCAGCTTCACCTTCGATGTGGCTATCCCAACTTGAACTTCCAACGCCGACTCAATTCGCTTGAGGATACTATCCGAGACTCTGGTGCTTCCCCGGTCCCCAAGGGGCTCAACACTGCCTCTGAAGTGGCATTGAAGCAGTGGCTGATTTCCTACCTCAATACACGCTTCGAGCGATTTGAGCAGAACATCCTTGCACGCATGACCCGTAACCGCTTTTATTTTCACGACTTTCATCTCTTTTCTATCTCTGTTTCATATGAACCTCAGCGATTCTGGCTCTTTAACGGCCATTTTGTCAGTTTGATTACTACTTCCTCTTCCTATTATGCCGTCGCTCCAGAGCCTTCCACCGGAAATTCTTCTTACTATAGGTGATCATCTGGAAGAAAGGGATATCTACACTCTGCTTTTCGTTAATCGCCGCTTTGCAAGCATGTTTTTGAATTACCTTTACCGTCATAACCGTATCCACCAAGACTCCCCTGCCCTCCTCTGGGGCATGAATGATGAGAACGAGGGCGTGGCGAGGCGTGCTCTCGCTCAGAATCCTAGCTGGTGCCCCGAGTCAGAGCGGGCGCATTACTTTCGGTTTCTCTCCCATCTCTGTGTCAGCCGTGGGCAGCATAGAATTGTTCCCAGCTTACTGAGGCACCAGGTCTGCCGCTGTTTACAGCCTTGCCTCGAAGACACAGAGTCCCTGGCCAACGACCTTGGATATTATGATCTTGCCGACGAGATGATGCACTGCCGTTTCGATAACAATCAGCGTGATTGCTGCTCTTAATGTCGTCAGCCTGTGAAATGAAACCGACATCTTCCCCTTATGGCAACAAATTTCGCAACAACGGTATGGTGGGTAGCTTTCTTTTTTCATGTGTAATATGTTCCCTTTGTGCGCATTCGGAGTTCAACATTATGGTCGGATCTTCGTTTCTCTCGTCGCTTTATGGGAGGTGTTATGTCGAAGAACTGCAGGCGTATGCGACCTAGACACTATGCTGAGACCGGTATACCTCGGGCAAACAGGATGTTGTGTCCTTTGTCGAGATAGCTCCTCCCGTGTCTTCTTTCTTGTTCGAGACTGGGGCCCTCACGTCTTAATCATTCCACAGCACACCACCCAGTAGTAGATAGCACCACTAGATAGCTTCATCCGATCATCCATCTATTGCACCATCACATTCATCCCATGGTAGCGCGCGTAGCCTCCCAGCATCTCTTCGCCTATCACTACAATTGTAACACGTTACATACCTTAGGCATTCGTGCGGGAGTATTTAGGTACTTCCTTTGTCCTTTTTCCTTCCCATCTCTCCTCATACTTTGTATTTCGTTTGAATGCTATATTTTGAGGCTTGACCATCTTCATTATTATGACATCTTACAACAACCATCTATCAATATCCATCTACACTTCCATGCATCTCTATCCCCCTCACCCCTCAATACAGTCCTTGGCCACATGAAGAATGACGAATGTCTGCCACGAGAACCTAGTATAGACCAAATTTTATGCTCTAGACAAATTTAGCCATCTAATGGTCTCTTTTCTCATCTCCTCTCCTCTTCTAGCCATTACAAATATCCCATGATTTCTTGTCTCGGGAGGCATTGAATGCTAAAACGGCTATAGAAATACTGTAATTTTATCAAAAATTGTAGAATCATACTGCGTGGTAAATATTGATTGAGATACTAGTAGGACTAGTACTACTAGGTACTAAGTAGTGTGGTTGTGGGGACGGTTCAACCTTGGATGTTTTCAACTTTGGAATTCCTGGTATTCCAGATTTAGATTTCGGTGCCATGGCTCTTCAATTACTTAGATTTATACTAGTATCCAACCCTACCAGGCCGCTCGTAACAACTTCAAATTGGAGTCTTTCTTTTTTCCTCTGCTCTAACTTGTTTCTTGATTGGGTACCCTTCTTTCTTTCTAAGCTTCTTCTTATTATGCTCGACCTTTATCCCAACAACGAACCTGCTATCTTTCAAACAACCTTCGCCTCATTCTTAGGCGGCCGATCCCCAAAAATAGTAGTTCCAACCCGAACCTGATCACTGCCAAGAGCAATCGCCCCCTCAAAATCCGAAGACATCCCCATACTAAGCTCCAACTTAGCATCCTCCCCTTCGAGACCTAACTCAGTCACAATCCGATCCCTCGCCTCACGCAACGCCACAAAATCCTCATTCTCATTCTCAGCAGTCGTAGCCCGAGACCGCGCAATCGCTCCAATTGTCATAACACCCTGAAGCTTGAGTTGGAGACATTTTTCACGAATATATCGGGCCAGCGCGGGCGCTTGCTCCGGCGCGATGCCAGATTTGTTTTCTTCGCCGGAGGTGTTGACTTGCACGTAAATGCGCAGTCTCGCATCGCCAGCTTCGTCGTCTTCGTTTGCTCTCGCCTTGCTGGCGGAAATTTCCTCCTCGGAGCGTTCCCCCCACCCCGATCTAACAACGAAGCCTTCTTCTCCGAATCCACGCTCTCAACGGCCCAGAGACCACGTACATCCCGCGCCAGTGTGACGCATTTATTTGACTGCAGTCCGCCGATGAAGTGCCATTTAATTGACCTTGGCAATAGCCGGGACTTTTCGAGGAGTTCTTGGAGGTAGTTTTCGCCGAAGTGCGTGTGTGCGGCGGGGGATGTGTGGAGGGCTAAGGCGTCGGAAGCGGGCTTTAGTTTTGATACGGCGATGAGGCGGACGTTTTTCTTTGCGGCGCTCTGAGCTGAGGCATTGGCGATGCGTGCTGTTACAGCGTTTAGGTTTGCTAGTAGGGTTGAAGCTCGCGCGGGGGTGGCGGTCATGTTGGGTTCTGTCATTGCAGGTTGCTCTGGGGAGTGTGCAAATGGGCGATGGTGGTGGTAGGGGGAGTGCTGTGACAGCTTCGGCGTGGAGGAGGAGCCGGATCAGTAAGTATGCCGAGTCAATTGGTGTGGCAAAATGAGTGAAGCTCCAATTGTTCATGGAACTTTGATGGCCGCGGTGATAAGATAGCTGCCTCAGGCATCACACCGCATTCCGCGGAGATTCCCGCATCATGTGACCTGTCAGTGACGGGATCGACACGTGATACTCAGGCACCCAGGCCACAAGGCTGCCAGGCACTGATTTATCCCTTGCGCCCCAACCTCCAAAGAACGTCCAATGGATCGATAATCATCCATCAGGCCGTTTGCGTCCATGATCGACGATCCCTGCGAGCCACTCTTTCTTCCATGCGACGCTAGGAATGTATCTCCATCCCTCTAGACCTACCTCCGGCGCCAACTGACACACCAACCCGGCGTCACCGGGTCCTGGCGGCAACCCAGACACGATCTCCATCCAATGGGACGGAGCTGTCAACCGAACCTGAACTAGCTCACAACCCCGGGCGACTGCGGATCACCGTTCATCCCTACACCGTTGTTCGATCTGACTACCGTTGAGTTTCGGCCTGCGATTCAGATTCAGCCTATTTTTAACCTTACCGTAGGCGCTGAAAGCTAACAATGGGCTGACGGGCGAGTTTTCTTTGTTTAACGACCTTCCATTCACTAATTCTATTATTGTCTACTAGTCAATGGACTGCCCAGGACTACCCAGGACCGGCGAACTCCATTTGTGGCGGCTGGGCAAAACCCGGACCAGGACCAGAACCACAGAACTGCAATCCCAACCTGCTGCGAAGATGTAACCGCCGGACGGATGGGGTAGGCCAACTACCCTAATTCTCCACTGCGAACCAGCAACGCCGAGGATTTTATCTGCCTGACCGGCCGTAGAGGGGTATTGCGCGTCCAGCTCGGCCGTTTCTGCTGTGTCTTTGACGTCAGACCGGCTTGGTTTTCCTTGTATTCACTGCCCCTCTTGGGAGTAGATCTAGAACCTGCTGCCCAGCTTCTTCTTTCACCTCCACCCTCCTCCCTCTTCCAACCTCCAACCTCCTGCTCAGCTGGTCTGACTATTTCTCTTCTTTCCACTTCATCCACCTCCTGAATATCTCAAAATATTCTACAACCCCTTTTATCCTCCTATTCTCTTGTTCGTGCCGACCCACATCCGGCCCATCCGCATACTTCCCTCTCGGCACCGAAGCTCCGATTCCACCGGAAGCTCGCGCAATTGAAAAAAAAAGGAGACCAAATAAAAGGAGAAGAAAGGCCTCATTCTGTGTTGACCACATTTGCTCCAATTTCTGTGTGCTCCAGCTTGCGTGTTCAAACCTGCGTTGCTATCCAAGAGACAAAACTCATCATACCGCGATTGATCGGCATCAGCCAGCTCTTCTCCACTGACATCACCGCGACGATCCTCTGTGAAATCATATTTTGTGGCAACTCACACCAATTACACCTTCCACCATGTGTCGCCAACATTTTACCGTCTATGAATGGTGCCACTGTGAATCCGATGCTGGCTACAGCGTTTGCGGTGGTGCTCGTCGCGATAGCTGCCCTGGTGTAAGCATCGAGACCGTCCACATGCACTGCTTCTGCAACTCGCATGCCTCTCGTGGCTTCAAGACCGAGAAGAAGAGTCTCAAGCAAGAAGACAAATGGCGCCGCCGGTCGCAGCAGTCTCAGGCCTCCTCTTCATCTGGATCTTTGGACGAGAAGTCGTCGCTCGGTCGTCGATTCTCTCAATGGTATCAATGGCGGGGTTTGCGGTCGCGCTAGATAACGATCATTGACTTCTACTCCTTCTTCTTCTCTTTTTTTCCCGTGATCAATTCTTTCTATGTGTCATTCTTTCATTTTTCTTTCTTCTGTCATATTCTTCTCCTTTTTTTCCTTGTTGAAATATTTCCAGCTTCGGCGTTCTTGGGTGGGATAGGCGTTTCCAAGATGGATTCAAGTTTACGGGTTTGCGCTGGAGTTTATGGGGTTATGTTGATGTCTCATGCCTGTCGCCTCTAGAAGCTAGAGCAAGTTTTAAAATAGAAAGATCGAATCTACTATTTATTCTAAGCTATACGATACTAGTATACTATAGATGAACACAACATGTTCTAGTGAAACACGGCACGAATCAAAGATGAAGAATGCCCTGCGGAATGATCGACTGGCCCCTTCCCCCATTCAAGACTTGACTTTCTCTTCATCCCGCAACTTCAAACTCCTTTTCCCTTTCTCAAGTTTACTGCTCAACACCTGGGCACTATTACTTTGTTTCCTTTTTTCTCCGCAATTCTCTTTCACTGTCCTGCTGCTATCCGGCTTGCATGTTCCCCTATGATCCTGCATGATGGAGCCCTTCAACTTGCAGGATGATGCGCGTCCGCGATCTATTGATCGCCTAGGACGCCCGCGCGATCTGACCAACATAGACCACTCCCATAATGATCTGACAGACTCCTTAAACCGTCTATCACTCGTCAATGCTACCGCGACTCCTCTCCCTGCGTCTCCAGCTCTCCTCTCCCCCCGCGATCCCGCATCGCGCTCTCCAGTGCCCAACCAGCGCACCCCTCGGCGCAGTCCCAGTTCCAACTCTCTACGCGACGAACGCCGCAAGTCCACACCAGTCAAGTCTACGCCAGTCCTGCAGAAACGCACATCAACCGCCTCACTACGCTCCGTCTCAAACCACACAGGCTCTTCTTCCCCGCTCCCCGATTCGCGCCGCTCCTCTGCCAACTTGGCGGGGTCCCCGACCACCGCCGCGTCGCCCGCAATGTTGCCACCGCGCCTCCTTCCCCAGGGCCCCACAGCAGCTTCGATCGCGGCGGAGCATTTCCAGAAAGAAGTTGATCTACACCAAATGGAGGATCTACAGTCCAAGACGGTCGTTATTGTTCATGATGCCTGCTACGGTCACCGGTTCTCGCGCCCCAGAACAACTAGAAACCACCTCGCCGCTATAGTCGAGAGACCAGAACGCATGCGTGCCTGTGTTGTCGGTATCGCTGCGGCGTATGTTCGGCTCGGCCGTCGTCATGCCGGGGGACCATATGCGCCGCATCCTCATCTGGATATCCTTTCTCTGCCGCCACCATTCCAAATCCGCAAGACGGGCCGGACCCTCTTGCTTTCAGATACTGCTGTTGCTAACGTTCATGGTACGCAATGGATGTCTGATTTGAATAGGATGTGTGATGTTGCAGAGTCTCGCCTCGCCTTGACAGGAAAGGAACTGGTTCGATCTCCCAATGCGGGTGGGGATGGAGTGTCTGATCAGAAACCCCCTCCTCCTCTTCACGAAGGAGACCTGTACCTCTGCTCCGAATCATTGAATGCGTTCCAAGGTGCTCTGGGTGGGGTTTGTGACGGGATTGATACCGTTCTCGGTCCCGGCCCAACGACACGGGCTTTCGTCTGTATTCGACCACCTGGCCACCACTGTTCATCCGATTTCCCTTCTGGCTTTTGTTGGATCAACAACGTCCATGTTGGAATCTCGTACGCGGCCACACACCATGGACTCACGCATGCCGCTATCCTCGACTTCGATCTACACCACGGCGACGGCTCGCAGGAGATTGCATTCGACCATAACCACAAAGCATTGACGCCGTCACGAAACCAGTCTGCGTACGAGAAAACAGCTATTGGGTACTACAGTCTGCACGATATCAACTCTTACCCCTGCGAAGACGGTAATCCGGAGAAAGTGCGTAATGCGAGTGTGTGTGTTGATGGAGCTCATAATCAGTCTATCTGGAACGTGCATCTACAGACATGGGTGACCGAGGCCGAATTTTGGAACTTGTACGAAACACAATACATGACCTTGATACACAAGGCACGGGGATTCCTTCGTGCCCATACCCAGCGCCTTTCTGAAATTCCCTATGGACCCCCGCCCAAGGCGGCTATCTTCATTTCTGCGGGTTTCGATGCGAGCGAATGGGAAGGGTCGGGCATGCAGCGGCACAAAGTCAATGTACCGACAGAGTTTTATGCACGATTTACTGCTGACGTCGTGCGTATGTCCGAAGAGGAAGGCCTTGGAGTTGACGGGCGTGTGATCAGTGTTCTAGAAGGAGGTTACAGTGACCGCGCCTTGAGCAGTGGTGTCCTCAGCCATATATCTGGACTAGGAAGTGCGACACATGGGCTGCAGTCTCAATACGTCAAGTCTGAAAGACCTAGCGAGGATGTTCTGTCGGCTCTCGATCAGCTTTCTGTTCAAGAGGGATACGACACAGAGTGGTGGTCTCCAAGCATGCTTAGTGAGCTAGAAATGCTAAACCCGCCACCAGCCAAGGAGGAAAGGGAGAAGGGTTATTGGAAGGATACTCGGTCATTTTCTGCGAAGAAAGTTTCTAACGCGCGCAAATCTTTTGGATCATCCACGGCCATTGAACCCCAGTTGCCTCCTCTCCCAGAAGTCGGATGGGCAACAGCAGCCCATGAGCTGTCGAAGGTCCTGATTCCTGAGAATCGACAAACGACCAGCTATCGAGCTGAAGAGCTCAATGCCGAGGCATCCCGACAGCGACGTGACCGTCAAATTGCGCTGGACGGCGGTGTCAATCCTGCTATTGTTCCACCGCCGCCTCCAGCACCCATTGATGAAAAGCGCCAGCTGCGTGTACGAAAAACCAAATCCCCGACTCCCTACTCACCCCGCCCTGCCACCCCTCGCCAACAAGCCATGCGGAAGAATCGACGAACAACAATCGATGGCAACGACCTACCCAGTCCTTCGGGAGAGTCACCATCCGTGGATGCGAGCCGCAGGAAGAGTGTCAGTGGGGTGGCGCCTATCGAGATAGGCAATCTGGAGAGCTCTGCAAATCCAACCAGGAGAGCATCATCAGCTGCATCAATGAAATCCTCCACAGGAACGGTCACCGGCCTTCGAAAATCAAACAGCACCCGACCCGCAACACCCAAACGCTCTACGAGCCCTCGCAAGGCTCCACCTGTTCCCAAGGTCCCAACTGCGTTCCTCCCATCCAAGCTGTCGGACGAGGTACCATCCGATGATGTGGAGAATCTTACATCGGGTCTTCGGAAGATAAAGCTAGTCATGCCCTCGCCAGAAGAACAAGCAGCCCGCGAAAAGAAGGCCGCTGCAGAAGGCAAATTGTCCCGTGGAAGTCGCACCCCTAAATCTCCACGCTCCCCCCGAAAGAGTAGCAGCACCAGGACGGCACGTGGTAGAGGTGCCCGCACTGAACCTTCATCCAGCATGTCACCGCCACCTCTCCCAATTCCAACGATCGGGCTAGGTATGCAAGACAATATCGTAACGACCAGCGCGGCGCTCGTCAGTGTCGGGGCTGTCGGCGCGGGGGCTGTTGGGGTAGGGGCTGTTGGGATAGGGGAATCGAGACCTCATCCATTGCGGGCAGTCTCATCGCCATGGGAAGGAGCAAAAATGGAAGCAGAAACAAGCATCGCAGACCCAATCTTCCCAGCCTCGAAACCAACAGAAGTTCTAACTCCCTCAATGCGACCCACATCCATGCCCGCCGCAGAATCAAACTTCATCCCAGCTGGCATGCCGTCACCACACACGCCAGAATTCGCAATGATCCCACCAGGCTCTTCGGGTAAAAAGTCGGTCTCACATGCAAGATCCATTTCGCACGGAAGATCGGTCTCGAATACATTCTCTCCGGCAACAACGACGGCCGTACAGACGAAGCAGGGACTACCTGTTTTCACGTCAACGAGTCCTATCCCCTTTGCAGCGGAGTTTTCTCAAACTCAAACTCAAAATCAGCTACAGCAGCAAGCTGCTCATAATGCTAATGCTAAAGCCAAAGCCCAGGCTCAAGCTCATGCTTTGCAGACATCACACCCGCGCCATGATCCTAATCAGCATATCGTCAGTGATGAGGATAGTCCCCTCGGACCACCGCCTATTCCTCATAATTTCCAACAGAGTCGGCGGTTTTATTCGCAGTGATTTCGGTTGATCCCCAGATCTTTGTAGGGGGTTTCGTCTAATAAATCCACTTCTAATATGGTTGGGAGTTGTTAATTCTGGCGGGGCCGTGGCCCTTTTTTTCTTTTCGTTCTTTTCTGTTTTTTTTCTTGTCAATATACCCCTTATGTATGGAACGGTCTGGTATGGGGTGTTATTCTGGGTAGTATCATTTTGTTCGATTTACAATTATATTTCATATTAGAAAGAACATGGTTCATGCGAGGACATCCGCTAATATGAAGACTTGTATGATCCATTTTCTGAGACTAGATGCCTCAGGTTACACGAGGCTGTCAGTGCACATCGCTAACTATGCCTAACTAGTTTTGAGCCTCAGCTAGCCTTTCATGCTACACACATCTCTTCATTATCGTCTCTCTTGTCCTCCACCAGTTGATTCTGTTTCAGTCCTGACATCGCCACTAGTATCTTAAGAATTCAAATTATGAACCTACAGTCAGTGTTATGCTCCGCCTAAAAAATAGAGTTGAGCCGTCAGATATCGGGCCGCACCCCTCAAGGTCCACTGGGACCCCACCCCAAAGGTGATATCACAGTGGCTTATTCGTTCGCTGAGCAAGTCCAGCTGCGGGGGCGGCTCAACTTGAAGCTGAAGGGGCCAGAATCCTCGACATAAACCCCGCACACGAAATCTACTTGGACCACAAGGAGTATCCATTGTGGGATACTTCGTATTCTGATTGCTATCACATAGCACATCCATGCAGGTCACTAACCCACTTTCTTGACCCCAGAAGAAGCAAAGATGGCGTGGGACGACTCCGTGTGGGACTAGTTCTTCTGTGTGGGACTCGTTCGTGTTTTACTGTAGTGATGATGTGCAAACAACGCATTAGCCATGCGACGTAAGGTGCGGGGCTCCGCCGATCAGTAAAGGGTTTGAAAATAAATGAATAATAACTGGCTGGAGGAGTCACGTTCGCTCGGGCGAATACAAATAGGGCGATATTACAAGGGGGCCCATGCAATATCGCCCTTCATATAAATACAAAGCCCACTGGTTGTAGCTAGGACCATTGCTTTCTCGTCCGCTTCTCGATTCCCTGGGAGATACATTACACTTCTGGCAGGAAAAGCCGCTGATTTCAATCATGGCCCTGACATTTGGCAATGAAGAGCTCGCTTGGACAACGAAGCTCTGCTTGTTACTTGTGTCGTCTGGTGTCGGAATTCTTGCTGCGCTCGTCATCGCAATCACTCCATATTCCTGGGCCAGCTTCCGGCCGAAGAACTTCCCACCAGGTCCCAAACCAGTTCCCTTTCTTGGAAACCTGAATCTGATTCCTGCTTCAAAGTCATTTGCACTGTAAGGTATCAGCTTTCGTTCCTGATACTCACTTATCGCTGTCCCATGCGACTAATGATGTATTGAATACAGCTTTCACCAGTGGACACAGAAGTACGGCCCTATAATTGGTCTCAAATTCGGGCCAGCAAATGTTGTAGTTTTGAATCATTGGAAGGATGCTCAGGAGTAAGTCGAGTCTCCCTTTGTGTTGGGTTTAATACTAACATCGACACTGGCTTATAGACTTCTCGAGAAGCGAAGCGCAATCTACTCATCGCGACCTCCGAACTACATTGCCAACGAGCTCATCTGCAAAAGACAAACACACATCCTCTTCACTCCCTACGGAAGTGAATTCAAAGCTCTCCGCAAATCTACACAGGGCCTTTTCGCGCCTCGTGAGCTCGCAGCTGTACTCCCGGTTCAACAGGCAGAGGCTGCCCAGACAACATACGACATTCTCCGCGAATCGGGCCAATATTACGAGCACATCCAGCGATATACCACTGCAGTGATTCTAGCATCTGTTTATGGTCAAAGAGGGGAGACTTTCGATTCCCCAAACATTCAAGCTCTCTACGATGTCCAGAATCGATTCACGGCGCTTTTGGAGCCTGGTGCTGCCCCGCCTGTTGACGGAATTACTTTTTTAAAGCATATTCCGGAGTTCCTGGCTCCGTGGAAACAAAAGGCTAGGAAGATAAGACGTGATCAACGCGAAATATACTTCAGACTCTACAACGGAACCAAAGAGCGAATGGGTCGAGGGATTAGAGTCGGTTGTTTCATGGAAAGACTCATCGACGACCAGGTGAAGAACAACATGGATGATGAACATACGGCATACCTTGGCGGAGTTTTTATGGAAGCTGGCTCGGATACGACGTCATCTACGCTCTTGTCGTTCCTCCTTGGTGTGGTTGAGAATCCAGTCGCACTGAAACGTGCCCAGGAAGATGTGGATCGGGTTTGCGGCATGGAACGTTCCCCCACTTTAGATGATCTGGAAAGACTACCGTATATTGAAAGTTGCATGCATGAGGTAAGCACTTTTTGCTCTGGATTTAGAATCTCGATACTGACTGGGAATCCTAGATTCTTCGCTGGAGACCCGTTGCAGCAGGTGGAATACCACACATGCTCACGCAAGAAGACTCCTATAAAGGCTATCACTTCCCCGCAGGAACCATTTTCTTCGCTAATACCTGGGCCATTCACCATGACGAAAACGAATATGACGACCCGGGTACTTTCAATCCCGATCGCTGGCTCGGAGGCAACACATACGGAACTAAAGACAGCATCAAGATGGCACCAAATGAACAGCGTAAAACGGCTTATGGCTGGGGCGCCGGACGAAGAATTTGCCCTGGCCAGAAACTTGCGGAGACTTCGTTGAAAATCAATATTGCAAAGCTGGTCTGGGCATTTGATATCGAGCGAGATGTATCTGCCAGTTCGCCAGACATATCTGTCGACTCGGGTTATGAGGGAGGATTCTTGATTTGTCCTAAGAAATTCCCTCTCAGAATCACGGCAAGGAGTGAGGCTCATGCAGCTATCATTCAGCGTGAATTTGAAGGGATGAAGGACTTTTATGCGCGCTTGGCTACTTAAGAACAATGTGCTAGTCTTGTCAAACTAATGCTTAACGACAAGCCTGATTGAATTCGAACATTGGAGTCCCCAAATTTCATGCAGACCAATCAATATACTTCGTGCCGTTTAGGGTCAAATATAATGCACTCAAATTATCTTAGGTCCCCAGGGTCCCGAGTGTTTGTGGATTAAGCATAAATTCAAGCGGGGCAAGCATTGATGATCTCCCAACCTTGACTGGCTTGAGCTACCTAGATGACATGAAAATAAGTCTAAAATACTCCGTATAGAGGATCTTTTCCAGCTAGTCGATAGATATAGATTACCTGATCCAATTGAAATGCCGACGATAAGCAATTTTCCCCGCTGCGGCCTCGGAGTTGCGCCGACCAATCATCACGCACTTTTCCCGGAGATTCCCCGCACGGCGAGGCCCGAACTTCGGTCCAAGGCGACTTCAATTCACGCGGCGAACCCCGGGAAACTGGAGAGGCAACCTTTATCTTCTCCCTCAATTCACTCCTTTCCTTTCACTCCTCTTACTTACCCCTCCAATTCCCCCGATAAGTCCAATTGGCCCAATTCAGATCCTTGACCTTGATATCTCCACCATGGTCAACAACAGCAAGGCCGTTGGCGCCTACTATGCGCCAAAGGGCGGTCTGCCCTCGCAATCGGAGCTTCTGACCGACCGGGCTATGTTCACGGAGGCCTACACTGTTATCCCCAAAGGAACTTTCCGTGACATTGTGACATCCTTCCTGCCATTCTGGGAGCAGACCCGCCTGTGGGTCATCGCCCGACCTCTCTCCGGATTCGCCGAGACATTCTCGCAATATATTATGGAGGTGCAACCGGGCGGTGGAAGCGACAAGGCCGAGCTCGACGCCGGTGCTGAGGGTGTCCTCTTCGTCGTCGAGGGCGAAGTCACCGTTACCGTCGCCGGAACCGAACACAAGCTCACAGAGGGCGGATATGCGTTCCTCCCGCCAGCCTGCGGATGGACCCTTCGCAACAAGGGTACCTCCACTGCCCGCTTCCACTGGATTCGCAAGGCCTATGAGGCTGTCGAGGGACTGGATGCCCCCGAACCACTTTTCCTGAACGATAAGGATGTTACCCCCACCGAGATGCCCGATTGCAATGGTGCTTGGGCCACGACCCGATTCGTGGATCCTAATGATCTGCGCCACGATATGCACGTTACCGTTGTTACTTTCGAGCCCGGTGGCACAATCCCCTTCGCCGAGACACACGTTATGGAGCATGGTCTCTACGTTCTGGAGGGTAAGGCTGTCTATCGCCTTAATCAGGACTGGGTTGAGGTTGAGGCTGGTGATTTCATGTGGCTGCGCGCTTTCTGTCCTCAGGCTTGCTACGCCGGTGGCCCTGGAAGGTTCAGATACTTGCTATACAAGGATGTTAACCGTCACATGAAGCTTTCATCGCGCCTGTAAGGGTGTGCGGCGCTCAGCGGTGCAGTGGGAGGATAGACAAATCAGGGCAATATAGGTGAATGGCGCACCATTTCTGGCCTTCTCCGATGTTCTCTACTCTTCTCGACATAGGGAAGACAGATCGGGACACTTCATAATCGACATTGTGTGTCGAAACAACCGGCCCCAGATTCCATGGACGACCTTTTCGTTCTCTGGCGAGTTGGGAAAATTTACAAATCGGCTATGAGCTGATTGACAAGATTGAACGAACGTTGCTATTCGATGTACTAAATATACCATGTTCAAATCCAATTTCAATTTAAATCTTCAAATTTTGAATTTCATAATCCCAGCAGACGCACAGATCTCTATGGGTCGTATCAAAGTCATGGCCAATGCCTAACACGCAAATTTGGGTTTCAATTTAGGTATATAGTAGTGCTTCTGAGTAACTGGCCGAAGCTTGGTCAACATAATGATGTCAACTTTTAGCATGGTAAATGGATCGCATTCTAAAAACAGACTAGGCACCACCCAGATCTAACACTGAGGCCTTTTTCAATGGCTCCCTTTCTTCTTACCCGCCACTTTTGGTTTATTATCAGCTATTTGTGAAAGAAGGCCCCTGTCAAAACATATATCGAGAAATTTCGGAAACAACTCCAACGTGAACTCAGGAACGTCCTTCATAAGCTTCGGGGTGAGAAGTGGGAGGTCCGCGGTCACACCTGCTCCTTTCCAGAAAAACGTCATGTTCTGCACCATAAACTTGATGACTTCATCCTTGAGCTCAGTATAGTTGGTGTTGATGGCGTATATTGCCTCGATTGTTTTGGAGAAGGACTTTGGATCTGGGTCATCCATGAATGCCTTCATGAAGTGGGCTTTCGCTTTCACCTTGAGGTCGTGGACCTTCCACCAGCCTGCTTCGATGTACATCCGTGCGTGGAAATAGCATGGGTGGCATTCCTCAAGGAAGGTGTCGTCGTCGTGGAGTATATTCCCTTCAACTTCTTTTTCCATTTCTTCTTCCGGTGATACATCCACCAACTCATTGCCGAGCTGCTCGAACTCCTCAAGGCTTTCTTTTTCTTCCGTTTCTTCGAACGCTGGCTCGGTAGATTGAGCGGCCGTGGTTTTATCCGCATCAATCTTGGCCAGCTGTGCTTTCCTGAAGGTTCGGCCGCCAGAAGGGGTGGCGGGCTCGATGCTAGGCTTGCTGGGAACGGTGTAGTCGGATTTGTATAGGAATTCTAATACCTTTTCGAATAAAATCGGTTCCCGAGTACTAAACAGTGGCTTGGATGGGTCCTATATGCCATTCATACATTAGTCTCTCTATACCATCTCCCTCTGCGTATGGATGGTACGCTACCTGTGATTTCTCCAGGTCTTCGCAAAGACTAGCCAAATACTCTGAGCGCTGACAAAGAACAATCTTGTGCGCTTCAAATTGCCGGTCGCATTTGCGGCCTTTGCAAATAATTGTGAGGTCGCTGTACTCACATTGAAGATGCATGCTAGCTCGTTATTAGACTTTGTTTAGGGATGTAGAACAGTTATCTGATGGAGATTGCTCGCTTGCATTACTTACCTCGCAATAAGTTTATAGATCGTATCTCGGCCTGTTTGTTGAGAGTCTTGAAGTGGAGCGGAATCGGACTTGGATAGCGCAGGCGCCCTCTTGGGTACTTTCGATGGCATCGCTGATAACGAGAATATGAGTCCCGGGCTTGCGAAAACTCAAGCTCAAAATCGGAAGTGCAGACACAGCTGGAGAATATTGAGAAGATGGGGGGGATTTATTGCTCTTGTTAAATAAAAAGAAGCTTGTCTGTTTCCAAGAGAGGCACTGGCAGTGGTGAAATCACATGTTTTATTTGAACTTCAAGCTCTTTTTGACGGGACTGGTGTGTACACATTATGTGAACTGTTCCACCGGATAAGTCATTGATGAGCCCCATAATCCTCTTTGGCTCTCGCGTTTCTGGAGTAATTGAGCTTGCGGGAGTTCATTATTAATCTTGACTTTGTGCATCACACAATGTCTCGCTCTTTCAGATCGTATTATGACACTGACTCGGGAGGTGGCATTGACAGGGTCGCCACCCGTGGGATATCATTGAAAAGGTCTAGGGCCAAGGCCAGCCCTTGGAGACATTTCAGAAATCAAGGCACAACGGCCCAATTCACTAGACCTCTACCTGATTTGCCCAAGTCTAAACTAAACTCTATGGTAAGGCGTATAGTTCGGGTGGCGTAACTCCGATCGCCGACGATGAGCTAAGCCACTCCTGTGGCACTGGAAGCTTCTCCGCATTAGTCAACAGCCTTCTACTCTCTTCGCTCTTCGCTGTTCACGATCTCTTATTTCTCCTCTGAATTTCTAGTCGCATTCCATTTTGCATTCTAAGACACCCTTTCACACACTCTCTATTATCTGCCACGCCCATGCCCCCCATCAGCATGTCCAAAAACAACCACTCCGGACAACCAGAGTCCTTCACCCAAATGGGCGACACAGATCTCGAAACAATCGGCCGCCACTGCCAATTAGAATACTGCGGTCAACTAGATTTCCTCCCATTCCGATGTGAATCCTGCCGTAGCACCTTCTGTCTCGACCACCGCAGCGAAACAGCCCACAAATGCACCCACGCAGGCGAATGGGCGCGACGGCGCAATGGCAACACCTCTACCCAACAAGAGAACCGCACCGCACCCGAGAAACCCAACATCTACAACACCGATCAATGTGCCCACGTCGCTTGCAAAACTCTCATTAATACTCTCAAAGACCCTGCCGTCCGTTGTCCCAACTGCAACCGCCAATATTGCCTCAAACACCGCCTGCGCGAAGAACACGATTGCGCCAAGCTTACCCCGCTGGGCGCACGCCAAGGCAACAATGCCTCGCCGCAGGATACAATCAAGTCGATGTTCGCGAAGGTCCGCGGTTGGGGAAAAGAGAAACAAACCGCCACTGCCAATCTCATCCCCAAGCCTAAGGTTAAGCCGAATAGCCCTGCTGCGCGTATGGCGAGTGTGAATGCGATGAAGCGCTCCGCTAAAGGAGAGGCCAGCGTTCCGGCTGATAGAAGGGTATACCTGCATACAGTTGGAACGGCAGATACACAGGCTGCGGAGCCACCAGCTGGAGATTTCTTCTTCGATTCTAAGTGGAAGGTTGGGCGGGTGCTGGACGATGCGGCGCGAAGACTGGCTGTGGTGAATAAGAATAATCAGGTTGGAGGGGAGGAGGCGCGACTGCGGATCTTCCATGTGGAATCCCGGGACTTTTTGGAGTTCTCGGAATCCATTGGAGATGGGAAGATCAAATCGGGTGATACGATTGTCTTGCTTCGCGGTGCTGGGGTGGTGCTGGCCAATTCATGATACACCTACACCTACATATCTGCATTTGCATTTGCATATTTCTTCGATTATAGCTTTTTGAAGCCACTTAGATACCTTGAAGCGTTTCTGTCATCAATGATACCTAATGGAATACAGTAATGAATGCAAGTATCCACAGTGACAATCGTTTGATGGTCTATCTTAGTACTGGTATCTTCTAAAAACTATCAAAAACATTACAACGCAGGGCATGATTCAATAAACTCGGCTCAATCCGTGACAAATCAAGCACTCATCTTCATCTTGATGATCTTGTGCGGCTTGTATCCAATGACTTCAAACTCATCTTCCTTCCACCCGTCAACGACAGCACTGCCACGGTCGTCACGCTTGATACGGAGTTCCGGGAACTCAGTAGGCTCGCGGGTCAATTGCTCATTCAGAGCATCAATATGATCCAGGTAAATATGGGCATCGCCCATAGTGTGAACCAGCTGTCCAGGGTTAAGATCGGCAGCGTGGGCGAGAATATGAGTGAGGAGAGCGTAAGATGCGATGTTGAAGGGGACACCCAGACCCATATCACAGGAGCGCTGGTAAAGAAGGCATGACAGTGTTCCCTTCTGGTCCGGGCGGCCGGTCTTCTCGTCAATCTTCATTGTTGGTGGGAAGGAAACGTAGAACTGCGCGAACATGTGACACGGCGGGAGAGCCATCTTGCGGAGATCCGCAGGGTTCCATGCAGACATGATAATGCGGCGATCAAAGGGCGAGTTCATGATCTTGTTCACGACCTCCTTCAACTGATCTACACCCTGGCCTGTATAATCCGTCTTCGCATCAACATACTCGGCGCCAAAGTGCCGCCACTGGAATCCATACACGGGACCCAGGTCACCTTCCTCGCGATGACCCAGTCCGACCTTGTCGAGGAACTCGCGGCTTCCATTGCCGTCCCAGATTTTGATACCGGCCTCGGAAAGGGGTAGGGATGATGTGCAGCCGGAGATGAACCACAGAAGCTCGGCGACCACAGCGCGTAGAAAAACTCGCTTTGTCGTCAGGAGGGGCAGAACGGGGATCGGGGCACCACCTTCGGGGTTTGGTTTGGAGAGAGAAACGCAATTGGTTTGGGAAAGCGATGGCCCTTGTGCCGGTTCCAGTTCGATCAGGACGAAATTCGCCCTCAGCTAGAATCGTGCGGATCAAGTTGAGATATTGGTGCTCCTCGTGTGTTGGGTTGGGGGCTGCTGGGGCAGCGGGGGCGACTTGTTCTTGGGTCATTGTGGCGGTAATGAAGGAGACAGATTTTTGTTCCTTTTATTTGAGGATTGAAGTTGTAACACTTGCAAGCTGGAAAGAGTCTCCCCGTCGATGCGGGCCGGCCATCGCGTCGACGCGACACGGTATCACGTGAATCCATCTAACCCCTCTAGCCAATCAGAGATCGAACCCCAGTTGGGTACCATCGGAGGCAATATACGATAATCAGAATTCATTGACCGATGTCTAGTTTGATATTTTTCACTATTTGCCTATTGAAGATGCCCTTAAGGATATTCAGTAGCGGGCTCTTATAGGTTGCATTATACTCTCCTAATGTGTTGGAACCTTGACACTACTACGCCATTCTCCGGCGCCCTCGGCTAGGTGCCATGGAATACGTGAAATCGAATATATTGCAATGGGATGTGTATTGAGATAATACCCTAGGCCACAAATCTTTGATTTCAAGCAAATACTACTGAGCAGGCTGCCGCTATGAAGCGCCGTATTATGCTATACTAGAATATCAATTTTTCTTTAATGCGAAGGTGTGAAAAATATCAAGATTGATAGAACTTGAATGCCCAGGTGAGCTTAGAGTCCAAGTTCGCGGCATCTTACGACGAAGATCTATTTTATGGATATAGTAGTGTTCTAGCAGCTAATGTGAAACGTCGTAGAACAGCATTTCCAAACCGTGGAAGGCACCAGTCTCTATCCGCCTCTAAATAAAAGGCAAAATAACAGAACTGGGATACTCCTCGCTGCAATAAATCGTGTGGGCCCCACGGTTTAATTCGTGCTCGGGTCTCGGACGGGAAAAGGTCTTGTATTCCGCAATGCTGGGGTATTGGCCACCGATCTATGAATTTCAAACGAATTAGTAAAAGACCCTGGTCAGGGAGGTTGTTGCAGCTTACCTTCACGCTGATGGATTCGCCTTCTTCAAAGTCCACTCCCATTGCCCAAATACCAATCTCTAGCTTCACAATTGTGCCCGGTGCGACCTTGTCCTGCCGTTTGTGTGGATGGAAGGGAAATTGAGGGTGAATGCTCTTGGAAGAGTCAATTTCGCGATGCGAGGCACGCAGGATTCCAACTGATCCTAGATGTAGATTGAGACTTGCTTGCTGAGCCTCCGGGATCTCATCAATGGAATTGACTGGGGTTGCATCAAATGGGAAATTAAGATGCATTAACTCTTTGCCATTCTTATCCTTCTTGCGGAGGATAACAAAGGCCGTGAAGTCATCACGCTCTTTGCAAGACATGTATAGCACTGCCTTAGGCAACCCAATAAGACGTCCCTTCTTCTCGAATGTGTAGTTAAATTCAGCAACACTGTGGCGATCCTCGGAGTCATAAGAAATATTAAATGCCTTTGATGGAACGCTTGCTGACAGCTGCTTGTTATCGTTGAGGAAGAACTCTCGGTATTCAGTTGAAGGAGCAGGGAAGTCCTCGAGGACGATATCATCGATTGCCTCTCGGTCACCAAATTGAAGGGCTGACCAACGGACCTTGGGTGTCTTTTCCCAGTCATTCTCCTTGCCCCTGAGATACCGATCAAAGAATAACCCTAACTCTTCATTAGACTCGGGAACACTATATAGCTCATACCATTCCTGCTTGCTTCCCCATTGAATCCATTTGTTATCGTGAGGGACCTCCAACCAACCACGGATAGAGCCCATAGTGTGAATAGAGCTCACATCTGATCCTCGGATATACACAGGGCACTGAACCCGCGTGATGTCGGCTCTCTTATCTTCCCAGAAGGCACTGGAAACATTGGAGCGTCGGTACATCTCTTCAAAGTCCTCGAGACCGGACTTTTCGGTTCCGCGGACGATGGCATTGGCGATAAGGTCAAAGTTGCTCATAGAGAACCAACCACCGCGGCAGAACTGCTCTCGATAGATATCACCGGAGCCCTCCCACGGCGCAATGGCTTTCAGTGAAGGAGGTTGTTGGGCAGCGATGAACCATTGTGAAATAGCAAGAGCAGAATTTCCTGCCATACCAATGTTTCCATTGCACCAGTCCATCTTCGCAATGGCCTCGACAACGTCGTAACCATCCTCCGCATCTTGCGTTCCCATAACACATATTTGTCCATCGCTGTGCCCAGCACCACGAGTATCAACGCTGACGATTGCATATCCACGCGGACACCAAGCTTGCGGGTCTAGACCTTCGAACTTTTCCAACCCACTCAGGTCAGAACGCCCGACGCAGCAATTCCAAACACACATAGGAAGCATGTCAAGTGCGCTATACTTTTTCCCATAGAATGACCAGCTCAGCACAGCGGGGACCTTCTCGGTTGAATTTGCTGGTCGATAAACGTCGGCGTAAAGGCGAACACCATCGCGAACCACGATCTCGACATCGTGGTCAATCTGAATGTCGCTTTGCAAGGGCTTCGCGTTGAACCCTTTCCAGCCCTTAGGTAGAACTTCGGATTTCCCAGACTGGCATGGTTTATACCCATTCTCATCGGCGACGGGTTGAGCAACGCGCTTGTACGCTGATTGGACTGGAGGAGGCATAGTTGGAAATCGGTTGGTGAATGGAAATAAAATGATGACCTTTGGGAGATGAAAGGATTGTCTGTGCTGCCAATGGTCATGAATCTGGACGTTTGCACAGTTATAGCTCCGAGCTTCAACTCCAATAAAGCCCCAATAAACAGTACCGCGGCATCTTTTTTTCGCCCACATCACCTTCTCTCTGCATCGTCCACCCACTTCCCGCCGCTTTTCCGATGGGCATCGATCATCTGGACCAAGACCCCCCCGCACAACCTTCCCCACCCCCATGAATCCGGGGAAGTGGGGAACACGGCTGGCACTCAACTGTGACCCTGCTGCGAGGCTGGTAACCACTTCGCCCACTTGATGGATCCGCCGAGTGGAGGCGGGGGATATCTGGTGCAATGTAGCGTTGCAGGATCACTCGCATGGTCTCCAGAGGAAGAGAAACACATTGGGGAGCCGTTAAGTCATATTTATTGCTCCCAGAAATTGGTCCTTTTTATTGAGAATTATTTTCGCAGAGTAAAAGAGTACGATCATCACTCCCACAACAAGTTACTATGATGTCCACCACCGAAGTCACGAAAGCTGAAGAAGCCCAAGCTCCAGACTTCAGCTGTCCCGACCTCATCACATTCATTCCCCGACACTATGGTGACTGGCGCGACGAGTTCCACAAGAACGGTTGTGTGGTGATCAAAAATGTTATCAGCCCGGAGCGTGCGAAATACTACCAAGAGAAGCAGATCCAGTGGCTTAAGAACTTTGAGCTCGGATTTGACGAAAATGATGAGAGCACTTGGACTGCGGATCACTTGCCCGTTAGCTTCAAGGGAGGGTGAGTTAACCCGATCCCCAGATCCCCAGACGTGCGTTAATTTGAAGTAGAATGTACTTTGCATATGGCTCGCCTCATGAGAAGATGTCATGGGAGGCTCGCACTGAGCCTACCGTCATCGACATCTTTGAAACACTTTGGGAGACCAAAGAGCTTATCTGCTCGTTCGATGGAATGAACATCTCCATGCCGCGACGAAAGGATGTTCGCTGGAGCCCATGGCCTCACTGCGATCAGAACCCCGAACGTAAAGGGTGATATCTCAAACCACTATTCTCGGTTTATTGAATTAGGCTGACCGTCAAAAGAATGCAAGCAGTCCAAGGTCTTCTCAACTATGCCCCCAATGGTCCTAAGGACGGTGGTCTCATGTTGATGAAAGGATCCGCCAAACTCTTCGACGAGTTCTTTGCCTACAAGCGCGAATCTTTCGACCATGAGGATGCGCCACCCCTGAGATCAAATTTATGGACCTTTTCTTGTTCAGCGAGAAGGACGTCAAATGGTTCCAAGAGCGCGGCTGTGAGTTGGTCAAAATTAACATGGAACCTGGTGATTTTGTCCTCTGGGACTCGCGCACTATGCACTATGCCTGCCTACCAGAGGGTGACCAGATCCGCCATGTACAGTACATCTGCATGACTCCGCGACGATTTGCGACCCCCGAGACGCTAGAGCTGAAGAAGGAGTGTTTCGAGAACTTTACTGGTACCACACACTGGCCTCACTGGTAAGCTTCCGCAAACATTTGACGGTTTGAAAAGAATGCTAATTATCTTCCACAGCAATGTGCGCCCGGCTAAGGAGAAGCCTATGCGCGATGGAAATGTTTGCCCGAAGGATCGCAATGAGCCGTTCGAGAAGCCCGAACTTACAGATACTGTTCTGAAATTGGCCGGTGTCAAGGATTATTAGGCTTCAAACGAGAGAGTGATATTTCCACATAGATGCCATTTAGCTGAATGAACAAGTGACTTTTTTTCAATATTCATTTCCAGTGACACTACGAACTTAGGATTCGTACAGTAAAAGACAATCCACCGGAGTCATTCTCTTCGTCTTGATATCCATGAGCGTTGCTCTATGTCGCGATATCTTGGGCACAAATCAAAAATCAATGGGGAAATAGGAAAGGAACTTGGATTAGAGACACGGCACCTCGAACAGAAAGACAGGTAGCGAAGCATGGAAAGCTCTGACGGGTGAAACTTGGGTGAACTAGAAACTAAAAATTATGCGGGCGTGGACTCTCAAACTTCGACATTTTCGTTTTCATCTACACATTTGTTGAGAGGTCTTTTCCATAGGTATCCATCCTTAATTCGATCAAATGAAAAATCATGGGTTGGTATTCGTGCTGGCATTTCCCGATCTCCGACGGGCTAATTGCCGACCAACGCTAATTGCCATTTTCCAGATTTTTGCGACAAGATAGATATTCACGCCCACTTGCTATCTTTGGGATTGACATCTCTTCCCGGTGGGCAGGCGAAAGCAACTGCCGGCACACCCCCGCTCGGCTCCTTTTTAACTCTCTTGCCAGCCACCATCCACAAGATTCCGAATCTAAATTACGAATCCAGTCCTGGACAAATCTGGGGAAGCGGGGTATCACTGTGGATCCCTATCACCGGGCTTTATTCGAGCGTGCTTTCTAAACGGACCCCCATAACTGGTTAGTGTCAAGATGTAGAATAATAAGTTGCAGTAGTAGCCGAGAGCTGTCGGGCCAAGTGGCTAGACTTCCTGGGTTTGTGGGGGTGACAGCTAGAGTGGTCCCGACGATCACCCAGTCTTCCTGGTTGGATAGCGATAATAAACTTGATCTATTAAATGGTCGGGGCTGCTGTGGTTTTCTGGCCCTTTTCCCTCTGAACTCCAGGACACACTGCATCATCCAGCTCAAGAGCCAAGAACGCATCTTGAGTCGTCCTCCTTCTTTGCAAACATGAAAGATACTGAAAAGGGAACTGGCCAACATGTTGAGATGGTACACGATGAACTATCCGAGTCACCAAGACTTGAGGGCGAAGCGGTTAGGGCAATGGGAACGGTCAAGTTGACCGAGGGTTCAATTATCTATATCCCAACTCCAACAGCAGACCCACAAGGTATGATGTCGCAATCGCAATTGCTCCCGGAAAGGACGAAAAATATTAATGGAACTGAAAAGATCCTCTTAACATGCCCCTTTGGCAGAAGATAGTCGTGCTGATCGTTATATCTACTTGTGAGTTCATCGACTTAAACTTACAATCACGATTTTCTGCAGTCTCATATTTTGACTTTCTACTACTAGTTTCAACTATTGGCATGTCTCTTGTCTCCGGATTTGGAGGGTTATTGACCTTCTATATACCGGAATACGCGGCAGTAGGCAAGGATTATGCAGATATAACGGCACTGATGACATACCCAACTTTGTTCATGTAATTTTCTCTCATTGGGACTGAGTGGACTGGTATACTGACCAGATCTTGTCGATCTAATAGGGGAATCGGAAATCTTGTCGGCATGCCTTTGGCCATTGCCGTTGGTCGTCGAAGCGTCCTCCTCCTATTTACTCTGATCCTTATACTTGGTGCTGTTCTCTGTGCTGTGGCCCAGACATACGAGTGGCATTTAGCAGCTCGTATGGTTCTTGGGTTGAGTGCGGGACAAAGTGAAGCATTAGTTCCGATGATCACACAGGTAAATAATCTGATTCATCAGGCCCATTCATTCTCGAAATCATACTAACAGAATTTCCGTCAATAGGAAATCTTTTTTCTCCACGAAAGGGGCAAATGTCTCATGGTCCAACAAGCCATTCAGGTGCTGTTGACGACCATATGGGTCCTTTTCGCTAGCCCCATTGCAGGCGCCATTACACCACAAGGCTGGTATTATCTTGGAGCTGGAATGGCTGCACTTCAATTTGTTGTGGCTTTACTTTGGCTCCCAGAGACTAAATACGATCGAAAACTATCTGCATATCAGCAAGATGTCTCAAGCGATGCTTCCACAGATGCAGTCGATCTTGAGGCCGATATCCCTGACAAGACCAAAGTCACACTTTGCAAAGAAAGGCCGCCTCTTGATTTTGTCAACTATGCGCCACGAACCTGGAGATCGGATATGCGTCTTTGGGTAGGCAAGCCTGAGTGGTACAAAGCCATCGAGGTTCTCAGGGTATGTCCACAGTCATCTTCCTTTTTCGTACAAGACCCAGCTCACACTCACACTTCGTAAAGCAAACTGTGGAGCTTCTTTTCTTCCCTAACGTCCTTTGGGCACTATGTCTCAATGGGCTCACTATCGGCGTCAATATTGCTATTGGAACGACATATGGCTCAATTCTTACCGGAGCTCCGTACCACTGGCCTGACTCAAGCGCCAGCTACGTGAACTGTGGGCAGATCATTGTCGCCCTCGCTGCACTTCCACTTTTAGGAACCGGTTCTGATAAACTAATACGCTGGTGTGCTCGACGCAATGGTGGCATGCACGAACCTGAGACACGACTCTGGCCTCTAATATTACCGGTTATTGTTGGAACCTTTACGTCTGTTCTTTATGGGCAGGGTGCAGCCTTCCCGGAAAAGTATCACTGGTTTGTGTATGTGTATGTTGTCGCGGCCTACTACTTTTGCTTCGTGGGGGCCAATATTGTGGCTATCACATACCTACTAGATAGTTACCCAGCCCGCACAGGGCCATTACTCGTGATTATCTGTGCTTTCCGGGGATTTATTTCTTTTGGTACGAGCTATGGTACATCAGCATTTGTGGCAAGTCATGGGTATGATGGCGCCTTCGGTATATTCGGGGGGGCTAACAGGTGCTCTCGGCCTCTTGGGTGTACCGGTTTATATCTGGGGCAAGCAGATCCGGCAGTTCACCGGACGATTTGCAAAGAGCAAGACAGATTAAGTAGCAGGGCGTCAATTCACCTTGTCAGAATGTGACATTCCAACAAATCAGTTCTAGTATCTTCACGATCCTTTCTAAGATGGAATAAAGCCCTAAAAAATAAATTCAAGACCTCATAAATTGAATTCAAACTTGTAAACACAAAGTGGTATATCACTTCGCTGCTAAACCTTAATCTTAGACCGTCAGGTAGCAAGACGGCCCAAAGTCGGTTAAATAATGCCACTGAGTGGAGCATGCTGGGTCGGAGAATGGCCGACCTGGTCAGTGCGGGCTCGGGAATGCGGGGACAATCCCGGGGGCATTAGCTCAATGCCGAGTGAGAAAAAAAAAAGCAAACTAAAAAGGGGGGCCAAGAGTTCTCAGATTCTGCTCTCCTGACAGATTTGTGTGCGTTGTCGGATCGCCAGTCCCCCCTAGAATATGATGGAAGAGAAGAGGGCGCAAGACATCGAAAATGTCTCGGGCGTGAGTTTCCCTTTTATTCGATTCAAATTTTATGACCACTAATAATAGCGGGGAAAGTATCCAGGTCCCGACACCGACACTGATTCACCAGTCCTGGACGGTGATGCCGATGAGAAAGCTTTGGTCTGGAAGCAGGATCTACGGATCGTGCCGCTTTGCGCTGCTATCTATCTTTTGTGTTATCTAGATCGATCTAATATCGGTATGTTGACTATGTCCCTCTGACAGGGTCCTTGGTTACACTGACCCCATGTAGGAAATGCCAAAATTCTTAATCAGGATACTCACAATGACCTTCTTTCTGAGACGAATATGACCTCCTTCCAGTTCACGTGAGTAAACCAGCCAATCTATTATTTTATCAGTCTGGTACTAAGAACAGCAGAATTGCGCTTATGGTTTTTTTGATTGCATATGCACTTTTTGAAGTGCCATCTAATTACTTTTTGAAAAAGTTGAGACCAAGTGTACTTCTTCCCCATCAATACAAAAAGAAACCGAAATTCGACTGACAGCCTTCTAGAGATGGATTGCTTTTCTTATGCTTTCGTGGGGTGCAACTACTATGGGTCTTGGGGGAGTTCACAACTATGCCCAAGTGACTGGCCTACGCTTTCTACTTGGTGTCATGGAAGCAGGGCTTTTCCCAGGTTTTGTCTACTATCTAACCTTTTGGTATCGAAACTCTGAGCGTTCGATGCGCGTAGCTTTGATTCTAGCGTCAGCAACTCTGGCGGGTGCCTTTGGTGGTGCTATTGCATTTGGAGTTGGTCACATGAATGGTGCGCATGGCTTATCTGCTTGGAGATGGCTATTCATAATTGAAGGAGCACCTTCTTGTGCCTCGGCAGTTCTTGTCTGGTTTTTTCTGCCTGACTACCCAGAGTCGGCTCATTGGCTTTCCGCCGAGGAGAAAGATTTCGCAGCGCGACGTTTAGCAACTGAGGGCTCAAAGGGATCTTCCCATGCCATGTCATGGGAGGACGCCAAAGCCGTACTTGTGGACTGGCGGTTGTATGCCCATTATGCGGTTTGTTTGGTTTTAAAATCCCCTTGCACAGACGGACTTCTGACAAGTTGATAGGTCTACTTTGGCATTTCTACCCCTTTCTCTAGTCTCTCTCTCTTCACGCCTGCCATCACTGCGGGTCTTGGGTACTCTAATCTTCGGGCTCAGTTGATGACAGTGCCTCCTTATGCCGTTGCGTATGTTGTGACAGTTGCTGTGGCCTGGTCCGCGGATCACTTTAATAGGTAATTTGAAGACTATATCGATGTTTGAAATTAGCTAACTCGCCCAGCCGTGGACTTCATTCCGCCATATTTTCCTTTGTCGGCGCTATGGGATTTTTAGCATCGGCCGTCCTTCCTGCTGAGGCCTACCTGGTAAGCTTTTGTATTAATTTCTACCGCGCTAATTGACAGAAAATAATACTAAGAAATTAGCATCGATATGGCTGTCTCATTGTCGCGACAAGTGGGGCCTTTGCTTGTATCCCTCCACTCCTAGGATGGCTTTCTTCAAACCTCCACTCGACGGCAGGGGCGGGACTGGCCATCGCATTGAATGTGTCGTTTGGAGCACCAGGCCAGATTGTTGGTGTTTGGATCTATAAGAGCGACGAGGCAAAAAGGGGCTATCCGACGGGCCATTGGACAAATGCCGCGTTACTTCTGTTCGTAACGACGGGATGTATTTTGCTGAGATTCTACTATGTGTGGATGAACAAACGACGTAATGGTGATGGGAGTGGGAAGATGTTTGCATATTAGGTAGCTCACATCGTACTACTACTGGTGGGTCAGTTGATACATAGAGAAGCCGGACCTCGGAACTGTCCATATATAGTTATGACCTATATGATCCGGCCCGGAACGCAGGGGATGCTTGCAAATGATTGCGTTTCATCTCCTTGGAGGAAACCATGTTACAGACCTGTCCATCTAAGCGTTTTATGGGGGCTTTCTATCCGCAATCGTTATCTCCAACAGTCAATATAAGCGACTTAGAATGACTTGAGCGGGTTTCTGCGAGTTTCATATGGGGGGAAATGTTCTCATATTGAGCTTATATCTCCCAGTATGATAAAAGCTGCGACGCATTTTACACCTGGGCAGTTAGCAAGAATGATACATGGGAAATTGGGAATTCCACCGTTATAAAAACATCGAATCTTGTTTTTTCATGGTTTTTGATAAGAATTGCTAGTAAGAATTTTCTAACATTTGGCACCACTGCTACTAACTGATTCGAAGCTACATAGATTGACACGTGATTCTAACCCGGAGAACCTGTCAAGTACCACTAAGCTTGAGATTGAGAGAGGATGATCTAAGGCACTAATGTTTGCCTAGGCCCTCCTAACAACCTTGGAACTTTTGTTCAATGCGAGACGGCGTTCCTTCTCGGCTCGAATTTGAAATAAAAATATAGGAGCCACGATTTAGGGATTGATCATTGAAGCATTATCGAAAAAAAAAAGATTTAAGAGAATTTTGGATTTCTGGTTTTGTGATATTCTGTCGATAAGTCTTATGCCAAAGAGAGGTCAAAACAGTCTGAAAAAAAAAAAAGGTCCCAATCCAACCCCAGTCCCAGTAATCATCAGAGAATAAAAGAAAGTCACCACTATAACGACCTGTTCCAATCCTATTCCATTCCCATAACCCCATTTGATACCCATACCAAAAAAAAGAAAAAAGAAAAAAGGAAACTCCCGTATCAAAACTCTTCTCATGAGGTAAAGAAACGAGTACAAAGAGATAGCAAAAAATGGAAAAAAGAAATGTCCCCATGCCCGCCCGAAGATAAGGGAGAACCCTGTATTTCCTCGCACACATTGACCGCTGCTTGTTGTCGAACTCTGCCCTGGTCCTGTGGGAAATTTAGGTTTAGACTGCCGGGCCGTTCCTGGTAACACAGGAACGTCGACAGGCCCCCAGTTCCAAGACAAGAGGCAATCACAATGCCGGCCAGAGCCCGACTGCGGTGTCTCTTTCGGATGCGCACTGTAGCAGTACCCAGTATGTACACCATCAGAAGGTACAACTTATGTCACAGGGCATTGAGTAAGGTCCTGACCAGATGCTGATCATCCCGAATGCACCAATCCGTGTAGTATAGGAGAGTACAGCCAAAGCTGTCTCGGAAGATCGTGCATATATGCAATAACAAGTAGACCAAAGGAGAAACGCCCCACCCAAACTTCACCGATTCCCCGCAGAGACAAGGCAATGTCTGAAATCACAGAGGCGGTTAAATGAAGATATTTTCATCTCGCAAAACGAGTCGCGTCGTTGATTTGATGTATAGGCGCAAAGAGTAAAATTTGCCACAGTATTTCTCTCCCATGCCAGCAATTTTAAAAGATCTTTTTATGCTTGTTTTCGCCACTCATGAGAGCCGGAAAATTAGGAAAGCGCCGTTCCTGGAGCTGCTGAAAGGGTTGGGTATCACGATGGCTGTTGACGGGTCACACAGAGACCAATTCCCAAGTAAAAGGTAGTGACGGATCTTCAAAAGCAGTATTGACGGATAGTCACTCCGAAAAAAGTGCAGTTCTCGAAATCCCGTACACTTCCCTGCACCTTGTTCTGAGCCACCTCATCCCACGCGGCAACACGGTTAAGGCACCCCTACAACGTGTTTGAAAGTATGTGCTGTCAAGATTTCACCGGCCGGGGAGAATGAAGTGTGCGTTCCGGATCTTCGAGGAGGAAGGCGAGTGGACGACGATGTGACGCGGAAGGTATGTAGAGCAGTGCGTGGATGGATATTTTTTTCCTGCAGACGCAGAAATAACAAATGAGAGCAACAGCAAGGACGTGTGAGTTGAGTTGCAGTGGGTCCGCGAGAGGGAGACACATGCAGAAAAAGAGATAGAGAAAGACAGAAAAAAGGAGATAACACTTCCCTCTTTTACGCTTCCCTTTCTTTTTCATATCCACTCCACGTGCACATGCAGGTGAAGAGGGAATAAAACACAGAAAAATAAAGAAGATTGCCACCCACACAAAAGAAAATAGTTAATCCATATAGAGATAGAGAGTATCAGACTCCGCCAGCACCACGGCCATAGCCTGTGGTCTGTCGCGAATCAATCTGACCCGGATAGATGGTCGAGGCACGCGGCTGTTGATTGAGGAGCTTCAGGGCGACTTCGGCAGCATCCTCTTTGGCATTGTTGATGTACTGACCATCATACCAGTAGCGGGCGGAAAAGTTCTGGGCATTGATGCTGACGGTGCTTGACCAAGCGGTACGACCTCCTACATTTCCGACGCAAGGGCAATTAGTATCCCGCTGTCAAGCTCCGGACTAAAAGTCGGTGTACACGGTTCTTTCTGCAGCTCCACACCTGCAATTCGGAGACACACAGCGTGTTGTAGGCAAGGCAAGGCAAGGCAAGGCAAGGCAAGGCGCGTGAACTGGAAGAAAAGCACGGGGAATGGAAACAGGGTATTTTTAGGAGGGGTAAAAAGACGGTGGAGGGTAAAGGGTGTGAAGGAGAAAAATAGCGGAATCGGGTAGGTACCTCGTCGATCGGAGACAATGTTAAAGACCGGAGTTGGTAGCTTTGTGCGTCTACAGTGCTCTTCGTAATGTCAGTGAAAGATTTCGAGGGGGGATTGAGGAGGGTTGCAAAACGTCTAGCGTGACAATCGTGCCCCAATGGCTTGCTTACCTGAAAGCTGATCTTGCCAACTAGGCCGGCTTGCGGCGGTGCTTCCTTGAGGGCTATTGGGCAGTGACATTGTCGGTCGTGAAAAAGGTAAATTTCTGAGTAATTGAATGGTTTTTCTGGGGCTCAATTGCGAAACAGAGTAAAGGTAGAAAAGGTTGTCGATAGGGTGTGATGTGGCAACGTTGGCGTGTGGGGGAGAGAAGAAACTTTTGGGACGAGTTGAAGGGAAAAAGGCTCCGGGGCAATCAAGTGAATATAAAGTAGAAGAAGAATTCACTAGATCTCAATGGATTCAGAAAACTTGCGTGACCCTTTTTAAAGTCACGAACGGTGATTAACATGGGAAGCGGGGAGTCCTATATACAGTGGGCCATATCGTCAAGGACCCGAAGAAAAATATTATTATTAAAAAATTATGAAAATAGAAAATCCCCCAAAAAATAAAAACCAAAAAAGACCTAAAAAGACCAAACAGCAAGAAACCGTTCTCGGGAGGGGAGGGGGGTCATGATGAAATTTTTTTTTCTCTGTACTATTTCTCCTGGCGGGGACAAGCAGACGGAGCCTAACGTCTTGTCTGAACCCAATGGACGACCAAAATGGACGAGCTTATGCAGGCAAGTGGACAGACCCAGCGTCAGCAAAATTCCCCCTCCCTTCCTGCCTGATCCGCCAGTGAAGGATGGGTGCGGGAGATATGCGGATCATTCGTGAGGCTGCAAGCTGGAACGGCCCGGCGCACGCCGACCAGAGCAAAAAAACCTTTGAAGAAACGCTAGATGGGGTAGAGCCGTAAGGGCTAAGGGGTGGCGGTTGAAGGTCCCACTATCGAACCTCCCAGATGTGACAGGCACAACTTTTCCACTAGGCAAGGGGAAGCGAAAATACAATTAGAACATCTCTTTCTTTTTGGCACCCGGGGAGAGCTTCCGAAGAATATTGATTAATGCAAGTAATAATCATACAAAATGTCCCTTTTCCCCCCTCTCTTCTCCCATCCCCCCTTAAATTAATATCGGCGCATAAAGCGAGAAAAAAAAAGAAATTAAAAATACAAAATAACGTCGGGGCCACTAGGGTCGCGGATTAGATGGAAAAAAGAACAACTCACAATGCTCCACGTCGATAACTGAGGAGCGCCCTGGCCCTGCCTCATCCACCAGGCATATCAACCGCTAGTGCGCATAGACTCGAACCAAATCGGCGGGACCCCTTCCAGAATAAACCTCAAGGTATGAATTGCATGCGTGGCCGAGACAGGAACGTCGTCTACGTTGTGAGTGATGAGATGGATGGTTGCCCAAATTGCCCAAAAGTGGAGCTACTGGGGAGGGCGTCATAGCTCCGACCCTAGACACGACGAGGGCCGATGCCCAAAAGTACTTGATGCGACGACAAAAAATAGTATTATCAAAGCATCACCAACGAAATCGAACGGCTCGGGTTGGGCTGCTAGGTAGGGAAAAAAAAGAAAAGAGTTGAGAGGAAGAGGCCAGCGTGCCAGCACATCAAGTCCAAGTGGATGAGATCATAATTGTCCCAAAAGCTATATTGCACATTCCTATCCGAGGTTCTACGTTGACCCTGGTCAACTTCCTGCAGTGTCGACAATAACTGAGACTACAGATAGTAATTTCAGATGGATCGTTCATCGCTGCCTGTGATTGTGGTTGGAGTAACTTACCCCGACCATGCTCGGACAGGCCGGGCCGAACTGCAGGAACTCATACTGGGATTTGAATACTCATCTGGATGAGTTCGAGGCTTGTCAATAAACAACAATGGTCTTCAGTACGATGCATGAGATATTGCCCGCATGGCTCAGGAACTACATACCTCTCCGCCCTGGCCCTACACACTGTATCTTCGCCTCATACTCGAGCTAAACGCCTCATGGTTTCGCGTAAAGCTCGCTTCATGAAGCCCAGGGGGAAATGACAAATGAATGAATCTCAATCGAACGAAACTGGCGTGATTCGCCGCCTTGTTCATTGGGTATTCATGCATTTGCATTCATTCTTGTTCCATGGATCCATGGTTCTCATCAATGCATGCGGCTTAACCGATGGAAAAGGCGGGCAAAAGCTATAGCCACGGGGATGTCTATGCTCATGTCCATGCCCTACCGAAGCCGGGGCCGGGGTTGGGGCCGGGTTGGGGCTGGGCTAGGAAGATCTGGGCCTCAGCCGTAAGCGCCTTGGGCCCCGCACTGGATTAAGGCAGCAAGGCATGATCTAAGTGGTTCTTGGGCCCAATAGAAAATTATTTTAAAAGATATTAAATCTAAAAAGATTCATTCGTAGCCAATCAATTTGTATCTCCGTCATGACTGGCATATAGAGATGTGTTATTCTTCACTGTGACACCCGCTAGCGGGGTTCATGCTCAGGTTCATGCTCGTGCTGATAGTGTCGATCGGCATTCCTAACCTTTTAGTCTGCCCTACCAAAATACTAGTACAGGATAGTTTAACCCATGAATAGAGTCGGTGTGTACTCCATTATGAGTGGGTATCTTCCGTACATTGCACGCGATGCAAATACCGGGAAGATGAATAGGAAGCTCGTAGAATGAAGCAGCGGTCAGATCGTTGAATAGTGAAATATGCATCGACAACATAGCAACGCAGGACGAGGTAACCATGTACACGCAGGTCCTTGAATGAAGCTGAAAAGAAGCAAAGAAGACAACAGAGTAGTTAGAAGCAAAAAGCAAGTACTCGCAGATACGCTGTGTAGATACCCATATCCTGTCCAATCCTCGAATGCAAATGAAACGCCAAACCGCCCCCGAGCCTCAGAAGCTTTCGTGTCCAATCGTTCAGCTCGGACAACGTCGGGTAGATCGCCGATGTGCGCTCAACCCAGCATGAACACACGCCACATAAGTGGAGAGCTTCCAAATATAACACAAACTAGCCAGCAATGATGGTAACAGAAAACGGAGGCTAAAAAGGAAGCAAGAAAATAAAAATAAAAAGCTGTAAAGTTCATCGCCAGGTCATAAATCATGGGCATCGGCACAATCCATGCATCCAGAACAGGCGAAGGAAATGCAAGATGCAGGTGATTCTCCACGCCAACGCATGGGTCTCATGATGTTCTCCTCAAATATGATCCTCTTCTCGAGTTGTCCTCTCGGGTCACAGATACTAGTCTCCGCGGAACCAAGGTACCCTTGTCATGGCAACTAAGCAGAACCCCTCCGTTGAAGTACCTCGCCGATCAATCTGCGTGGGCCCATGAGTTCGAGCCCTCTAGTCAAGGAGCGTGCGGGGGAGGGACCATGTAGGTCGATGCTCTTGGTGCCAGCGACGGCGTATGCAATCATCCACGAGAGCCACTAGTCCTGTCGCGACAATCACACTAATCACCGTTAGTCTTGCTCGTCTATGCACGCAAGTAACGAAACACGCAATAAGGGAAATGAAGCAAAAGCAAAAAGCAAAAATTATGAGGAAAAGAGGAAGGAGAAGGACGAAAGGTGACAACAAATCATCAAACTAACTCATGCCAGGGCAGGGCAGCAAACCGCCCAACGCATGAGCGCCTCGCAAACGCAGATCAAAACAGAAAAAAGGGGAGCGGACTTACTCGGCAACATCAGGCATTCTCTCATAAATCGAAGAATCGTTAATCCACATCGAACAAGGCGGCACCCAACCACCCTTACTCTCCTCCTCAACAGCCTCAAGTGGTGTCATGATTTCCGGAACCATATGTGCAATCGTCTTCGACGAACGCATATCAACAAGATAGTATGAAACTTCCCGAAGATCTCCTTCTCTCCTGTATTCCCGGCGCCACTGATACTTCGTCGACCAGTACTCATATTCGTATTTCTTCGTCGCGCCCGTCCCACGCCGTCTAAGCTCGACATGCGCGTAATTAGAGAATTCCAACAGAATCGTCTCGGTAAGTGGTGGTTGTCCTCCACGACCATGCCCATGCCCATTCTCCACGCCATGGTCATAACCGGGATCGTCCAGATCAAATGAATCCATCCCAGCCTCGTACCCCGAATCCTGCCGCTTCAAATCTTGGGGCGAGTTTGCCGAGTGATGACCTCCGTTCGAGCTCGAGCCGGGACGGAGACTGGCGAGGACACTACTCAGCGAGCGACGACGACGCTGGTGATCGGCGTGGTGTGAGACGGCTTCTTTGCGCGCGGAGTGGCATACCTCGCGGCCAGAATCGCGACAATATCTGCGGAAGGAAAACTTGCGCGAGAAGAGGTCGTACATGCGCAGATGAAAGAGGATGACGTCCTGCTGATAGCCGGCGCGACAAGGCACAACCGTGTCGACGCGCAGATTCATATTTCCATCTATCGTTGCGTCGTCATGGCGAATGAGTAGTCTTCTTGAAGAAGGGAAGAGGCCTGCGAAGGAGGAGGGCGTTGAGGCTAGGGCATCTGTTGGGAAATTTTCTTGTCTGTCGTCGACTTCGTAAAGTTGTTCTTCTGTTTTGATTTGTTGCTGTTGCTGTTGTTCTGCTTCTTCTTGGAGCTCTGCTGTTGAGCGGGTCGTGGAGGCATATGTTGATACTGAGGCGTTGGGGGGTGGGTTCATGGTCATGGCCGTCGTGTTGTTCTTTTGGTTCGATGAGTCGAACTTCGATTTCATCTTCGTCGAATGCGGGCCAGTCTGTTTTAGCTCGATCCTTTGGTGTTGGTCTGTCGCTGATTATTGTAGGTACAGTGCTTTTTGAATGATCCGAGGCATCGGTTTCTGTGGAGCTGCAACTACCTCCATTTCCGGGTGCTTGTGATGACTTGTACGAACCCATCTTAGGAACCGGCATAAGATTTGGGGAAAGTATATGTCGAAAGCTGGAAAAAATAAGGGATGGGAAGAATTTTGGTGAGTGGTTCTGTCGTATGCTTTTCTTCTGTTCAGCCTTGTGGAGAAGGAAGGTATCAAGTCGATATATGTGAGTTAATAGAGTTGAGCTGAGTTCACGAGATCGGAAAGTAAGATATCCAACAGTGTGGATAAAATAGTAATAGGAACAGATTTTGAAAGTGTAGTGAAATGAAGTAGCCAAGTCAAATTCCCATGACGCAGTGTGAAAGTGGCCCTAAATCATCCGGCATGAAGGAGAATAGAAGGAGCAAGCATCCGACAAGGGATCAACCCAAATCTCGAGAATCTCCCGATCAAATCTTCGGCTCCGCACTTTTACCGCGTGCCCCTGCGTAGTAAATTTCTGTTCTCACCACGCAATTTCCGAACGCACCAGGGGTATATCGGAGAGATTAGGCCGGGGTAGGGTCCGATCGAGAATCATATGATGGGGCGTCGGCAGCCAGGGTTCGAGGGAATTCCCGCTTTCAGATTGTAGAGGTACAAGAAGAATAATACTCAAGGTATTTCTGGAAGAGAGAATGGTGGTATTGGCACAGGTGATAGTGATATCAGAGAGAAATAAAATCAGGGATTCCCAAAATTTGCTATAATCCAGGAGGGAAGGGGGGTGTTCGTTTGGTGATTCCCAGGCGTTCGTTTTGTTCCCCAAGGAGGGGTTAGGTTAGGTTAGGTCGTTGGGCAAACTCCCAAGAATGGGAGAGGGAAAATAAAAGTGGAGAGTGAACAACAAAATAGAGGGGCAGTGCCCAAAACCCCTAGACGAAGAAAAGAAAAACCAAGAGATAGAGCAAAATTCCGAAGCCAAAGCTAGGGAGGGGTGAAGCAAGAGAAGAAAAAGAAAAGAAATGCACCGAGTAAAATGAGAAATGGTGCGAATCGGACTGGCACAGGCGCCGTGCTGCTGGCTCAGGGTGTAATTAGAATTAAAAGCAGTCGAGAATGTAGGTATGAATGTAAATAGAACTTGAGATGGGAAAATGCTAGGTCGTACTCCGTCATCGATTCGATGGGAGCAGCAAAGTCTCAGCTGTAGCTAGCAGCAGTCGAGTCTAATAAAATCAAATTCAACCTGGAATACGATTTCAACTGCCTCGCCAAGCTCACGAAACAAAACGGAACAGTCAAATGGTGAGGCGTGCAGCTCCGTTTCAATGCTATCCACCCACCAACAGCAGCAGCATTTAATCTCCCATTCCCCCTTCCACGGGGAAAGCCATCGGCATAGAGTTCACACAGCCGTCGTACAACACAGAGCTTCAGGCCGCGACCCGGCCAAACCATCGAATCAGGTAGGTACCACCTCCTCCTCCACCTTCTAAGCCCCTCGCCTTATCCAGTAGGTCCTACAAACGGAGAACAAGTATCTAGTGACAAGCTAGAGGCTTAGGTGAGCCCTTCTATCACGTCTCAAACACGGACGAACCACACCACCCAGATACAGGACATACTTATGGCACTGTAGCCTCGGATGTAGAAGTGAGGAGCGTGATGTGTTCTGCACGTCCGTGTCGAACGGCCATTCGTCGCCAAACCACCAGCCCACAGACCCACCAACCCACCCACCTGGTGCAACTTCCATCTAGTAAAATGGGATTGCGACCCCCCCCTCCAATCCGTGACACCGGTCTGACTGGCCAGAGTGGGGCGAGGGGCTGCATAGAAGAGTCTGGCCATGGGGGCTTGTGCGCTCTAGCTTCGACTATCACGGTCACGGTCGCGGGTGATATAGGACTTGGGCCTGGTGAGAAACGATGTCATTGTGTTCAGGTCATGGCTTTAGGTCTGATCGCCATTGTCGCCAGAGCCAAGGACATTCAGCGATCTTGATATCGGTACCAGCCCTGGAGTAGTATAGCTATTGTTTGTCGTTGGGGGGTCCCGAGTCTGTACATTCGAGTTGTCTTCACTTCAATCAGATATATATGTTTCACTCTGGAGGTTCAATCAACGTCATAATGGAGACAGTGGGGGGGGCGGACCGATCCGGTTCCAATCTTCTGTTCTGCGCCCTCGCAGTTTTTATTTAGTACTACATTATCAGGGCTGGACATACTGCAAGTACTGCAATTGGAACTGGAACCCAACGGAGTAAAGTCATCCGGTTTGTCATGCCCATACTAAAACTAGTATAACATGGGTTCCAAGGTTATAATACACCGCGTGCCTGGCCCATCCATGCGGTTCTGGCAGGGGGCTCAGTTCGCATGATGCGAATGCGACCGCGAACACTCGGGTGGAGACGCAACGGGCCCTGACAACGCATCGTGAAGTGTTTGAGGATCGAGTGTTTTCCTCTACCACATAGTACGTCATAGAAGTTGAATTAAGATGTATAAGGGGAAAGACGATGTGATGCTGATCCAATCCGATCCGATCCGATCTAACCTTGACATCAGAGCTAGCTTCAAACATTGCAAGGTGGCTGGGGCCTGGCTCGACTCGGAGTTTCCCACTGTGCGATCTTGCTGATTATTGATTATTGATTTAAGATCCAACCTGAAGGGACTACTAGTAAGTTGTAGCCATTGGCTTCTATAGAAACTAGTAGTAAAGCTCAAGAATACACCGGTACTAGAGTGGTGACAATATTCCTACTAGTTATCGCCAGATAAAGATTACTAACTATAGACCAAGGTAGTACCAAAGTAAGAACTATTTCGCTAGGCCAAATTATTCATGTTGATGATGGAATAGTTACAGGTGGTACATCCTCGCGTGAGAAGACCATGGCTTTTCATAATTCTATATTCAGTACACCGCGCACTAGAGGGCTAAATCTGATGCAAGAGAGAGAGAGTTGCATTGTACCCTGCTTGCCAGCTCCGTAAAGGGCTTTTCCAGAGTCGCCGATGACCGCCAAAACTTCGCCGCTGAGGTGTTGTATACATGAATTGCCTTCAAAATTGCCTTCCAAGCTCCCCACTCCCCAGTAGCCCATAATTTGTCTTCCCACCCGTTTTCAGTCCAGTTGCCCACATAAAAGCCACCATTTGTATTGACATTGCTGCACGCTGCGCTGTCACTGCCGATGAGTGCTCCTCCTCCTTTCCCTTGTGCGGTTCGCGCGGCGGTAGAGGCCCTGCTGGCTGCCGGACATCGGTTTCTCAGTATTGGCTACTCATCGGGGTCTTGTAGTGTTCGGGGACGGGGCGGGTGTGGCGTGAACGGGGTCTCTGTGGCCTCGGTTCGATTCTTCGGGGGTTTCGTCGTAGCAGCTTTCATCAGCATTTCAAGTCGGTGAAACGCGTGGTTACCCAGGTTATACTGGTAGGCTAGGCTTCCCGTGAAGTCGGAATGGAGATCAAGAGAGGAGGGGGAGGCTCGGTTGGAGTGCGAAAAAGTTGTCGTTTGCGCGATATCACCAATTGCTTGTTAGTTGCTCTACACCATCGCTAGGAAGAGACGTTGTATCATTTAACACGCCGCTGTAGATTGCTGTCTCTTGGCAGCCCTCCTCTTCGCTGTATGATTCGACATCAGATTCGATCTCTGGAGCGGGCATGGGGGACTGAAGCCGTGCCGCTGAGTGCCTGTTCGAGGTCCTTTGATGCCGATTGCAGGTCTCGCTACGCCAATTGCCGGAGATATTATTACAGCGGACAGAGAAGGATAGTATATGCGGCGGTCTCGTTGGCTTGCACACGGACAGAGAGGTGAATCCAAATCCGACATCCCCATGATTTGGTGTATACTGTCATGAGGGAAATCGTCCAAACCCTGGCGAACTACCGCACACACCGTATAGAGACAATGAAAGGAAACAGGGCATCAATCCCACTTCCGGCCGTAATTATTCATATTTACACTTGCCTCGCACTTCATACAGTTGAGGCGTGGCGCCGCAGAGGCACTAAGGCATCCCAGCCGCCAAGTGGGTCGTCCTTCCGTCTGTAGATAGCTTCAAATATCACCAACTTCCGTTCTTCCCATATTTTCATCAATTCCTTCCCCTAGTAAGTCAGAAACCTAAATTAAGCATTCCTACTACTGACACTACTCGTACTACCAATTTGTTTCCTGAAATCCTTATAGATTGCAGTAAATGTGTCCAAGTCCGCGTCCAAATCCAACCGGATGCCGGAACATTCACTGAGAGAACCACGTCGTCGCCATTTTAGGAAAGTGCGAAGGGCCGCTGCTGTCTTGGGGATCGGTGACTCACACCTTCCCCTCTCTCCTCCGCCCTCTTCCTTTTCCTCTCTCTCCTTCTTCTCCCTCTCTCTCTCTCTCTCTCTCTCCTCCAAGCAACTCACTCCCATGCACCAAAATTGGCAGGCACGATGTTGAGGGCTTCTCTGGTACGTCTCTTTCTTCCATTCTACGGTCGTTGAATCGAGAGCTTCGATATCGAGTCATCTCTCGAGTCTTCGAACTGATTCCAGCAACCGGCCTTCCTCTCACTTTCATCCCCATCCCAATCATCGTCGAGACTTCCCAATACTGACCACTTTGTACAGGTTCCGCACAGAGACAAAGGAAAATAGATTCCGGACTGAGCCCCTTGGGTGCAAAATGTCGACTTGTACCATTTCCTGGGTGAAAACCGCGTCGTTCAGGATCCACCATGCCACGCTTCGGCAAGATGCAGTGACAACGCCAACTACGCAACGTCCTGATAAAACATCTACTTTGGTGATTTCCCCGGCGTATGGAGTCTATCATGCATGGTGCGTAGTTCAGTAACTCGGGCATGCCCGAGTCTGGACTAAACATTGGCATGGACCCCACGTCTCTGTGGTCTGCCCGTTTGACCAGCTTTTCCTTGATCGCCCCTGCGACCCAAATCGTTCGGGCCTTCAAACCCACTTTTTTGAACTTCCGGTGCTGCGACCTAGTCGCCGGCCTCCATCAAACCATTCTTTGAACCCACTCCCGCCCCTTTGACCTCTATCTCTTGGGTGGGAGCCAGCAGTATTGCATGAGCCTCTTCGTGGCACTGCTGACTAGTAATTCGTTGATTCGAATGAAGCCAGTCAAGCACATTCCCTCCAAGTTAGATCTCTTCCAATGTCATTTCAGTTTCCAATACCTTGAGCATTTCTTCCTTTCTCTCCTTTCTTCTCGTAATGCACACCATGTATGAAGATCCCGGCCTCTGGCGATGAGGACACTATTCTCCTACAAAGCTCCGAACTTGGGGATCAGTGCCGATTACGCGGAAGGGGGGGGAAATTCGCCTGTGGGACTTGGACTTCTTCGAGCTGTCTTTCATCATAGATCTGCGATTGAGAACTACTGCTAGTACCTTCAAGTTCTGATATGGCGGTCTGTTCATGCACTACTAGTATATACTCCACAATCCACCCGGTCATGGATATCATCGGGCACTGGCAGGTCAAGGACGCGGCTGATGAATTCCTGGACCCATGCATGGTTCTCGAGCTCTTCGATGCCGATGCCATTTCAGTCTGGTACTCCTCGATGCCGATGCCGTTTTGAGTCTAGTAATCTACATCATAGAGCAGGTCTCCGGGGCCCCCTTCGTCACAGTTACACTAGTCAAGGTTAGTTTTGGATTAGCTGCATATGGCGAGGAGGGGGGGGAACAGGGGTTTGTGCGATCTATAGTGTCGACTGTTCGGGCTGAAAGGGACTTGCTTGGACTTGGGGCTGGGTTCGAATAATCTCTAAATACTTCTTGTAGTAGGCGAGATGGCTTGATCATCGCCTGGTTTGAATTAGTGAGATCGGGTCAGATGGGACTGACTTGGCTTGCTCCGATTCGGTTTCTGGATATGCTCTGCCTCCATGGCTTGCTTCGTCTCGGCGATGCTTGGAAACTGCCAGTGCGTTCCCTTTCCAAGGCTTATAGTCTCCAGTTCATCACCAGTCTAAAAGAATTGCTAGAACTCTAAGCGTACTGACGACGTACATATGTCACAGTGCACTGGAATTCCAAGGTAGGAGCTGCAGGCCAAGAACTAGAAACTGTCTGGACTTGGCCGAAATATTCTCATCCACGGTGGTCGTGAAATGACGACATAGTGCAGGGCTGGAATGGGGTATGTACAGTATTCCGGGGAGTTGGGGAATTCCCCAGTCAAGCGAATGGTCTCCGCCTCAAGGGATGAAATGGCTATTCAAGCCGATGACCTGGAATTCTGGCCCGCCGCGATATGTAACTCTTACTAGACACTACCCATCCAATGGAGAACCAAGTAGGACCATGGTTCGCATAGCACGGAGGGCTACTCCAAAGAAACTTTGAAGGAATGGCAGAAGTCAACCTTGGAATCTTCTATATATGCCCTTAGGTCCTTAGGCCCATTTCGGGGACTCAAAATGAAATGCAGACATCTGGTAATTTAACCGCATGAACGAACAGAACAATCAAAGGAAATGTATCTTGCCCTTTGCTTTACAACCGAAATCAAACGTATTAACTCCGCCGCCTCAGCCTATATCCAATCTGGCAGTCTAATAGGCAAGCAGATAAGGTGTGTATGTGTATCTCTACTAGTCATTTAGACCTGCGCATAGAGCGGCCGCGGGAGGTCCTCGCCCAACTGGATCTCATCATCGGCGCGGCAGGTTGGATGATTGACCAGTCCAGCGCGAGTCCCGGGGACCGGCGGACGGAATCCGACATAAGCCTCGCGACGAGCAGGCTCACCCACGGTGACGGACCAGGTGTGCAGGCCATAGTACGAAGCGATAGAATGCACGAGCCAGCGACTTTATACGATGTCAGCCTCAGTGCAAGCTATTAGTCGCAGGGGAGGGGGGAGGATGGAGGGGGTGCGATCTCCCCCGCAGGTAGAATATGAATCTCTGAGAAACTTACCCAAAGCCCGCAGCACGGTCATCAACCAGACTCTCAAAAACCATCTTCTCCCCATCCCGCTCATTATGAAGACTCAACTCATCGCGCAGCCGTTGCAATGCCTCTTTCCGTTCAGGCGAATCGTGCATCTGTCCATTCCGCCCAACGAAAACAATCTCGTCCTCCGAGTCACTGGGTGCATCCTGTAACCCATCACTACGAAGCAGCGTCTGCTTCTCATTCCACTTCCGTATAAAGAGCCGGATATCATCTTCCAGGTCCTGCAGCATGCCTCGCGCCGCACGCGCGTGCTTCAGTCTCAATCGCAACTCCTTCGGCACTCGGTGTTTCTCTTCGACGGGGGCGTTCTTCCGGGCGTGGGTATCTGCCATATGAGCATAGTGCACATCCCACAGCGGGGCGAGGTAGTACGGCATGGGGTCATGGCGGGTGTATGTCGGGCGGATTTCCCAGTCTTTGGACGAGGGCGGTTCAGCCCATGGGTTGTGCAACAGGCGATCTTTGAACACGGTCAGCTTTCAGCTTCTTTGGCCTTTTTGCTTTTTTTCTGGGCTCGGTCATTGGTTTGGGGTATGGTGCATACCGTTCTCCCAGCGCTGGCGCCGACGACTCCCGTCCTTTCCTTTGAGGAGGGCCTCTCGGCTCTTAAAACTGTCTCGGCTCAGTGGTTCGCGACGACGGAAACTGACTGTTGGTGGGCGGGATTCTTCAGAGGCGATCTTCACTCTCGGGGCAGGGGCCGGAGGTTGATCGTCCAGCGGGATGGACAGGGTCGTGGTGGTTCCGCGCAAGGTGGAGCGGGCTGGGGTGGGCGACTGGGATGCGGCATCTGGGGTTGATTCGGAGAGGGAGAGGTCCTGCAGGGAGGAGGCGGCTTGTTCGGTCCATGCGGAGATGGCGAGGGTTTGCTGGGGGGGATAGACTGGCTTGGGAACCCTGCGGGCGGAGTCTTGGATGAATGGCCATTGTGAGGTGGAAGGGATCAGATAAGAATATAGGGGAAGTAAAGATATCACGTAGGAGATATAGATGGGTGTGAGGGGGAAGGGAGTTGAAGTGAGGACCCTCAGTATAAGAGTGAGGCAGTGAGGCGGGCGCACTGCGGAGATAGCCAGATAAAGACGCCAGTCACGTCGGCACGGGATTCGCGCGCGTCGATGATTGGGAGAGTCAAGGTGAGTCATCAACCCTAACCCTTCTTTCCTTTTTGGGAATACGAGGGAAGTGCCTTGGGAGAACCCTGGAAGGATACTGGGGATCCTTACAAGCACGGAATACGGTACTATACACTACGAGCATACATTATGCACTAGACTATACTCGCACTGGCACCATACTCTGTACTCTGTACTCTATACTGCGGCTGTGTCTGTCCCAGGCTCCGCAAGGCTGTGAGTCACTTCCGAACAGCCGGAAAGTGGGTACTCTGTATGTACTGGAACCTCGGGTCTCCGCTTGCCCCCGCGCAGAGAAGATGAATCGAGATGTTGATCATGCATCCAGGGAGGTATGCACCCAAGTAGGTTCTAAATTACTATAGTCAAAATGTGGACAAGTAGCTACTTACCATGTGAAGCTGAGCTCATAAATAAAAACATACCCATCACATACTTAGCATGACTGCCTATTAATAACAACCTGCTAACAGTTAGCGCGGGGTCCAAAATAGGCTTGGCAACCCTGCCAAGGGCGCGTGATTGAGCCTTGATTTGCCTGGCCCAAAACCCTGCGCCTGTTCCTGGCAACCTACAAAACCCGACGCTTCCGCCTGACGAGACCCTTCTCGTATTCCTATATATTTTTCTTTTTTTTTCTCCGATTTCAATTCCTGTGTCGGTTGAACTCCCACCATGAAGTTCCTCTTTGCGCTCAGCGCAACCGCCTCGGTAGCCCTTGCGGCTGTCATTCCCCAACAGGAACCGCTTGCTCAGACAATCCCCTCAATTGTGCAGAATACTCAGACCACCCGGTGGCTGATCGAACTGAGCCCGTACCAAACTCGCTGGGTCACCGAAGAAGAGAAGTGGGCTTTGAAATTGGTATGCTTTATCTCCTCTCATTTCCTCATTTCCTGATTCCCTGTTTCCCTGTTTCCCCGCTTTTCCATATCCCTTGCTAACGGCGATCAGGACGGCGTCAACTTTATCGATGTCACAGACGAGTACAAGGCCGGTGAATATGGAACTCTCCACACCAAGCGCGTCGTCCATTATCCAGGACAGATGAAGCATGAAGAGGAGATCACTCCGTTGGCCACCGACTTGTCCAAATCCAACATGCGAGAGAACCTGGAGCACTTCACCTCCTTCCACACCCGGTATTACAAATCACAGTACGGCATCGAGTCTGCCGAATGGCTCTACGGCCAAGTCTCCGACGTGGTCCACGAGTCTGGCGCCAGCAAGTACGGCGCAACCGTCGAACGCTTCGACCACGCCTGGGGCCAGTTCAGCATCATTGCGCGCATTCCGGGCCAAACCAACAACACCGTCGTTCTGGGTGCTCACCAGGACAGCATCAACCTTTTCCTTCCCTCTCTTCTGGCTGCGCCTGGCGCGGACGATGATGGAAGTGGAACAGTCACTATTCTCGAGACTCTCCGGGCCCTGCTGCGGTCGGAGACTATCTCCCAGGGTCAGGCAGAGAACACGATCGAGTTCCACTGGTACTCTGCGGAAGAAGGTGGTCTACTCGGCTCCCAGGCTGTTTACTCCCGGTATAAGAAGGACCAGCGTAATGTCAAGGCTATGCTGCAGCAAGACATGACCGGCTACGTGCAGGGTACCCTGGATGCTGGACTCGAGGAGTCGGTCGGCGTTATCATCGATTATGTTGACCAGGGACTGACCAACTTCATCAAGAATGTCATTACCACCGTAAGTTTCTTCTCTCTCATTCCGACGCGTATTGCTCCTTTTGTCTGATCATTACTAAATTTCTAACTCCAGTACTGCGATGTCCCCTACGTCGAGACCAAGTGCGGGTACGCCTGCTCCGACCACGCCTCCGCCAGCCGATTCGGCTACCCCTCGGCTTTCGTCATCGAATCTCAGTTCGAGAACTCGGATAAGAAGATCCACACCACCGAGGACAAGATACAATATCTGAGCTTCGACCACATGCTGCAGCACGCGAAAATGAGCTTAGCATTTGCATACGAACTGGCGTTTGCGCCCTTCTGATTCCAATCATGATCCCCTGGATCTTGATTACGATTTTATCTGGCTTTTTCTTTATACTGGCGTTCGGAGAGATATACCTATAGGCATTCATTTTCTTAGCATTGAGACGACTCGGGCAAGGCTTGCCCGACAGTCGGCTGGGGTTGCCAATAAGGTGCACCCTGCTAAATTGACATAACGACTTTTGTGACTTTATCCTTACTCTCGGAAACTATCGACATAATTCATTTAATGCATATTATATCTAATTTTTCCTAACTCGTACTATCTAGTACTAGTGCGGCGCTCCATAACTAACTAGCAGCTACCGGCTCAGTAGATCTGTCAGGGAATTTAGGCTGACCCTCCCGGCGGCCGCCTGTACCTGTAGACTTCCAAGCTTTGTATATAATAAACAATTATACTACTACTGGTATATCCGACCTTCGAGAAACCTCTTTTGAATAAATCAGGCATAAGGCCTAAAAATACCCAAGGTCGTACTGTAAAGGGAACCTGACAGTAGGAACCTTTGAAGCAACCAGTAAGGGTACTCAGTTAGGTACCAGCGAAGAGTTGAAACCCGAATGAATATTACAATGAGATATGTATTGAGATAGTCATTGCTAGTAGAAGTAGGCCTCTAGATCTTTACTTGAACACAGTGACTACTACTGAACTAGTATGTCAACAGTTTTCCAAAATAACAGCAAATCCGAGTCCCACCATGACGCAAACGTACCCACACGTGATCTACCGGTGAGATCGTCGCGAATATATTTCTTTTCTCTCAGGCTACATTGCGTTCCGCATTCATTGCCACAATCCCCAATTCCTTTCTACGAGTCCGAGTCAATTCCTCAACTCCAGCTTCTCTCCTTTGCATCCTCTCCACTTCGACTCTTTGGCATATCCTCTCAATCTGTTGACTTAACTTGCCAACTCAAATCCACAACGATGACGACACACCCCTACAGCAAAGAGCTCCTCATAGGAAGTCTCGCCGTCCAACGCGCCGCCCTCCTCACAAAGAAGCTGCTATCCGCAGTCGACAAGGGCCACCTAGACAAAAGCGACGACACACCGGTAACAATCGCCGACTTCGCCGCACAAGCCTCGATCATCGCCGCAATCCACAAGGCATTCCCCTCCGACTCGATAATCGGGGAAGAAGACAGCACCGCCCTCCGCGAAAATGCAGCCCTCTTCGACCGAACCTGGGACCTAGCAACGAGCACTCACCTCGATGACCCGCAAAGCGAATCCCACCTCCACACCCCGACCACAAAGGAAGAAATGCTCGACTTGATCGATCTAGGCGCGCAACCCTTCCCCACCGACAAAACCCCCCACCGAGTCTGGACCCTAGACCCAGTCGACGGCACAGCTACATTCATAAACGGCCAACAATACGCCGTCTGCCTCTCCCTAATCGAGAACGGAAAACAAGTCCTTGGCCTCCTCGCCTGTCCCAACCTCCCCGACACAACAAACGTCCATGAAGATAACATCGATCCCGGCCACGGCCACCTCCTCACAGCCGTCTTGGGTCACGGCGCACGCATCCAACCCCTCGGAACAGGCGCGCTCCTCCCCTCGCGCAATCTATCCCGCATCCAGCAAATCAGCACGGGCAACGAGCTCCGCTTCGTCGATACGAGTTTCTCGCCGTCGGGACGTCTGGATGTTCACGCTGCTGTGGCGGGGTCTTTGGAGGCGCCTTGGCCGGCTAGTGTCGATATCTGGTCTGCGCAAATGAGATATGTGGCTATTGCCATGGGTGCTTGCAATGCGTTTGTGAAGGTTCCGAAGAAGGAGACGTATCGGTCGAAGATCTGGGATCATTCGGGTGGTATGTTGCTTGTTCAGGAACTTGGGTGCAAGGTTACGGATATGGCGGGTGGTGAGGTTGATTGTGGTCGGGGCAGGACGCTTGAAGGGTGTTATGGGATGGTTGTTGCGCCTGAGAGTGTGCATGGGGTTGTTTTGGAGGCTGTAGGGAAAGCTAGAGCTGCGAAGGCTTAGGCTGTGATTCCATCTCGGAGAGTGGTGCAGTGCAATGTGGTGGTATGGGATGACTGGGATGACTGGGATGGTGGAGAATCTGTTTGTCATCTACCCTTTTCTATGATACCCCAAAATGAGAAAGCATTTGTTCGGATTTTTTTCTCTTTCTGTTTCTGCGCTCGTAGGGCTATACAGTGGCGTTGCAAAAGTTTTAAAACCTCCTCTTGCGCACCATTATCGACCGCCTTCTAATGAAAGACTAGTAGCTACCTAAGATGGAATAAATTGGCCAATCTATTCCATCTTGGGTAGCTACTTGTTCGCGATTAGAAGGCGGAGCGTAGACGAGAGGAAGTCAACCAGGGGTTTCAAACTTTTGCACCACCACTTATCGAACGTATACTTAACTAACTGACACTAACTCTGGTTGGCTGCTGGGATGGGGCGGAAAACGCACCTAAGCGCCTGGACAAGGAGAAGGCGCAGCCATGGAGGCTGAGAACGCCGAATCGTTGCCGATACAATCTTGCGCTCAATAACACACGGGACAGCGCCGATGCACCCTTCACTGGCAGAGAACCTACAACGACCATATATTGGTATAGCGGCGGTGTAACCAAATCCGCTTCTTAGAGTATCGTCGACTCTCATGGACGACCAAGCGGGGGTACGGGCCGGGCCGTCCACTGGATACGCTGTGGAGTTGGACCGCTTCGAGTTCGCCATTATTTGCGCCCTGCCTCGAGAGTTCGATGCGGTCGAAGTCTCCCTTGACGAAATCTATGACCAGACACCAGTCCAGAATGTGAACGATTCAAATTTCTACAAAACAGGCCGCATCGGCCCTTTCAATATTGTGCTAGCTTGCTTACCTGAGATGGGGAAAGAGAGTGCCGCCAGCGCGGCATCCAGTCTTCAAATCAGTTTCCCCAGTATCAGCTTGACGCTAGTAGTCGGAATATGCGGTGGGGTTCCTTTCCCGGCGCCGGGTACCGAGTTGATCTTGGGAGATGTGGTTATGAGCCATCAGGTTCTGAAGTTCGACTTTGGAAGACAGTATCCGGATCGGTTTGAGCAGAGGGGTGGTGTACAGGATACCCTTGATCGATCTAACCGCTCCATTCGATCGCTCATATCCGGTCTCCAGATTAACTCGTCGCGAGTTGAGTTTCAGGAGATGCATACTCGGTACTTGCAGGATGTTGGAGAGAAAGGTTCAATTTGGCAATATCCGGGCGTTGACCAGGATCGATTATTTCCATCATCTTTCGATCTGAAAGATACCTCAAAGTCTACGGACTCCGAGGAGGACCTTGTCGAACGGCATCGATTAACGGGCGGTGATAATCCCAAGCCTCGACTGCATTGTGGTCCTATCGGCTCTACAGATACAGTCATGAAATCTGCAAAGCATCGCGATGATCTGGCTCAAGGGTCACAACTTGTTGGGTTCGAGATGGAGGGATCGGGTGTCTGCAATAATCTTTCATGCATCATTATCAAGGGAGCCTGTGATTACGCGGATAGTCACAAGACTAAGGTTTGGCAGGATTATGCTGCGGCATCGGCTGCATGTGCTACTAAGTCCTTTCTGGAGTTTCTGGCGACAAAGAAGTGTGAGTGTCAGAGAGGATCCCATTCTGGATAATATTCCTTTATCGCTGACGGGTGAACAGTTGGGTCGTTTGTTTATTGCAAGACTTTGCAAATAGGCAGCAGGACGAGCAGCGTAACAAGTCAATCTGTCGTCGGGGAATGGCACATACCGCCCATATCTTCACAGACTGTCAATGTTGATCAGCACATTCGATCCGTGGATGAGGGACTACGTCGCATAGCTGATGGAATTCCGAACCCTTTACTGCGACGCACTTTGATATCAGCTGCTAGTCAAGCTATTCATAGCAGCAGGAATGAGATGCGGAGGATTTCCAAAAACCAAGTCTTTCAGTCGGTGCCCCATACGAGTGTATTTGGGAAAATAATCTTTCGAACTCAGGTCATTGAACGCACCATATCCGTGGGTGATGAATCCTCTGTTCAATCCGAGACTCAGACCTCATTCACTTTCCATCCTGCTCCTTGGCTCTTGAGACTCGGGATCAGATACGGATTGAAAGCAATGGCTATCAATCATCACAAAACGTGGCAGTATAGCATTTCGCCGGTAAATGTTAGACCAGATGACTCGCTCATTTTTCGTTTTTGTGAAATGGGAAATACGGAAGCTGTGCGCGAGCTGTTTGAGAGACAACAAGCAACAGTATATGACGTCAACTCAAATGGAATGACTCTCCTACATGTGAGTTTAACTCAATTTCTCCCTATTTAAATCGGTGCCCTGGTGGGTTTCTGCTTAAATGCTGTGTATTCTTTCACTCGGATCCGCTTTCAAAAAAAAAAAAAAAACAAGAGCTAATATAAGACATGGCATAGTTTGCGGCACGATACGCACACCTTGACCTCGCAAAATTTTTGATCTTGCAAAACGCAGATAACGAAGCCTGTGTATATAGGCCCGTGTGGGATAACCATTTGTTTGTTTGTCAGCTCACATGAGATGAATTTGAATCTAATCGTGTACAGAACACCGGTTTCATGGCTCGCTCATGGTGTAAATCAAAAGGACTTCTTGAAAATGCTTCACCTCTTCAGGGATTGTATTGAGTTTTTTGATCCAGACGCAGTTGGCTGGAAAATGTTAAGTGCTTTTGAAAATGTAGGATTGAGTGATTATACTCGAAATGGATATCTTCAACTTTGCCAGCAAACATTTTCATTCTTACGCGAAAGACTTCAAGAGGAAATCACGGTCAGCGTCGATCAGCAAGCGATAGAATACGCCCTAAACACTGCAGCAGTCAGGGGAGATGTTGTCAGTATGGATTTAATCTTCGAGTTTGACCCCCAGAAAGTGATTTACAGCGACTCCCTTGAAAGAGGGCGTCCCGTTCTGGAAGAATTCCCCCACTGGCTAGCTTTACAATTTCTTGCCGAGAAAGGGATCGATATTCGAACCAGTCTCCACGGAGAAACGCCTACGTCGAGATGTTTGGAATTTTCTGATCAATTTTTTCACTGGCGTCACGACGCAAGAATACTTTTTCCGAACATCGACCGACTTATCGAACGCGAAACTTCGGAACTCGCACCACGTCTACGAGGCTGGTGTTTTGATCTCTTACTTGACCTCTTTTCACTAGATCTACACGAACCCCTCAAAGACCAGAAATATCTTCAGGAACTTATTTATTTCGCCGATGGTGATATGATGAAGTGTCTAGAATGTCGGAATAACAGAGAAATCGATTTCTTCCATGGAAATTATGATGGCTTGATGATAGAGCCGTGGTGGGTAGAGTTGAAAAACTCGATCAAAAACCGCGAGTGTCTCTGTTTAATTGATGACGTGGTGCAAGATGGCCGGGATGGAAACAATATTATACACAAATCATGTCGCATCGAAGACATCGACTCAGACAGCGGCTCCCAAGCTAGTCACTCTTTTGGGAAATGGGAGTACTCTTCGGATACACAGCCAAAGCAGACACAGCCAAAGCAGACACAGCCAAAGCAGACACAGCCAAAGCAGACACAGCCAAAGCAGACACAGCCAAAGCAGACACAAGATACGGGATCGCAAGTCAATTCCGATACGAATGACGATCCTCTTCAAGACTCGGCCAGTGACATGGACGTGTCCAATAACCTTATCAGAGGAGCCAGTCCTCCAGATCAACGCTGCTTTATTCATCGGTGGGGTGACGTTATCCCCTTTCAATATTGGGCGGAGCATTGTTACAAGAAATACGGGGGGTGGATGCATGAGTACGAGCGATGTGAATACTACTGCTTTTATTGCTTAGCATTGAGGGAATGCTGGGATGAGGAATATGAAGAGGTCTGTGATTATTTTCAGGCGCCTTCTAAAGAAGGGGAAAGGGGTGGATCCGATTTGGATGAGCCCGACTCGGATGAATCTGCCAGTGATTAACACCTGTCTGGCCCCGAATGCAGTTTACAATATATTAAAACATGTAACATCTTTAATCATTCAAGTATTCAACTAATACGGCCTCAAGGTAGAGCAAAGTGCCCAGGGAATAGAATAGTATATCAAGCAAGACACCTACCTAATATAGAAACTTTCAATTTCCTAGGCACAAAATTGAATTTCTGCCTTGCATAGAAGGACCTATGAAAGCATTCAGAGTTGCCAGCATCAAATCCTAAATGGCCAAACTAGCCAGAAGTAGTAACTCACATGATCATTATATTGAAGCAGTGGCCCCTTGCCCCGCAGACTCGGAGTCCGGGGTACTCACCACTCATCACTCAGCCTACGTCAGCGGTAGTTACTAGTACAAGTACGAGTATATTCGTAGAGGGCATGGACAGGATCAAGTTTCAAGTTGTCTGTGTTCATAAACATCAAATCATTTCGGATCTATTTCTGTCACGTACTTTAGTAAAGGAACATGAATGGGCTAACTATAACTACTCGTAGATGTACTTTCCCAGTTTAGGGCCGTGCACACGATCGACGAGTGGCACCATCAATGTGCCATCACTGCCACTGCATTTCACCCCTGCTCCACCTTGTCTTCAGCGAGGCAGACAGCGCCATGGTCAATACCGGGAAATACTAGTTAGCACAAAAAGAAAATGTACCAGTGCCACTCAACTACTCCGTACATAGCGGACATATGGGTCCCACCTGAAATCAAGAAACCCGAGAGTTGAAACCTCGAATGACGGCACATCCCCCCACTAGCCGCCGGACTAGGTAGATCCACATCAGGTTCGAGGCCAAACCGTGATGTCAAGGATCTGACCTCATGTAGGCTGCGTCTCCCCTGCGCGGGTGCTGAATGGTTGGATGCTGGGGTCATCAGACCATGCGGGGGGGTCGCTGGATTCGCGGATTGGAATGTTAACCACGCCTTCCCCCGCTTTCAAGACCTAATTTCTCTCTGCTTTTATTTGATTTTCTGGGACCAGCTCGGATTTTGATTCCGTTTCTTTCTCATCCTCATCCTCATCACCATCACCATCATTTCTCTTTGACCTGGTCGAAATGGTTAACTTTAATCCCTTTGCTCGGCGTGAGACGCATAGTGCTCAAGCGCTGAATGCGTATCGCATTCTCGTGCCCCTCACCTGGGCGCTGGTCGTCATCGTTGGCATCTACTACTCCATCCACTCGCCAGATGATGTGAAGAAGAGCAAGAAGATCTGGAAGCAGGCGGATAAGCACAATACGCCTTTCAGTCAGAATACCACTGTCACCGGTATCTACTGGTGCGTTTCTCTTCCACCTACACTATATCTGCACTGACTCGGATATTTACTCCGAGACCCAGCGCTGGGGATGAACAAGAATATATATTAACCTCTCACAGGATTCTGCTCCTCCTCTCCCAGCTTAGCTACGTTTGGCACCTGTTCTCCAAGGATGTCGCGATCGTCGCTCCCGCTGCTAACGTCGCGACCCACTTCATCCTGAACAACCTCTTCGTCTTCTCCTGGATCCTCCTCTGGACTCGCAACCACTTCTGGGGTGCCGAGGTGATCCTGATTGCCCACCTGGCCAACCAGCTCGTGGCCTACTGGCGACACCAGGGGCTCCCCGTTTTTGTGCATCTTTCGACTCTCGCGGGTCCGTTGGCCTGGACAGTGACGGCGCTCTTCTGGAATGGCGCGGTTGCGACACACAGTCATAACCTACCCGGCCGAATTGTCGCCAATATCTTTATCTGGGTTATTGCTGCCGTGGGCCTGTTCCATATCTCTGTGCGACAGGATTATATTCTGGGCTACTGCTTCAGCCTGCTCACTCTGTGTAAGTGGTATCATCGCGAACCATACAGCTGTGGTTATTATATATTTAGTAGTAGTATTTCGAAGCTAACAAATTCTAGCTCTTGCACTGCGTCAATTTGCTGTCAAGATCATTGCCCTGCAGTGGATCTTCGCTTTTGTCATCTTCGGTCTTTTCACCGTGACCTCGATCTACATCTCCAGCACCAAGTACTACGGACGCGACACTCTCTTCCGTCGCGTTGCGCACCCAGAGTCTGTCGATCGCGAAAGACAGCCCTTGCTCCACGACGAGGTTTAGGTGCTGTCAGCACCGGGCCGGGCCAGCAGGCGAAATTGACAAGCAAAGTGCCAGTACCGAGTACCAAGACAAATATCGCATATGTCCGACCCGCCAAGAGGATGGAGAGAAGGAGGTTGCCTGGACTGCCCCCCCGCGGGGCTACAGAGATTGCCAGTCTGGGAATGGAGGGGAAACGTGGTGGAAATTTGGATTCGGAGGCTTGCAGTTTATTTGCTCGTTGCGCGATAATTAACATCCCCCCCTCTCGCTTTATTTCATTCATAATACCACTGGGCGTTGGTCTGATATTGCAGAACTATGATCCTACTGCCTATTTACGATGATCCGATACTCACAACCTGTTTATGCATCGCGATTGACCCACCTTGCCGAGTGGGCCTGATGAACCGTGCTCGAACCGAACATGGTGCTGTACGATGGAGTAGAGTAGACCAAGAACATGTAAGGGTAAGAGAGAGTAGCTGCTAATAATGAAGAAGATAATTATAGCACTTCCTCCTAATACCCCTAATACCCCTGCTACCCCTAATAATTGAAGGCGAGAGAACAAGGGCGGTTTCAGTCCCGTGCAGGCGCAAGTAGATCCCCGCGTTGTCGGGGCAACCGCGCGGCTCTCCGTTGTTGATAGCGGATACGCCGGGCTGGACTGCTCTGCACTTCCAACTCGAACCGTTCTTCTTATTTGCTCCTCCCCAGACTTCTGCCCTTACACTTACATCCACTGATCCAAGTTCCCTCTTGATCAATTATCAATTTTGTTCATTGTGTCGTGTCTGGTACTGCTGCAAGCTCAATTCTGAATAAGCTCTTCAACCTGCTGGTACGCATTCTCCGATCCACATTCCTACCGAACTATTCACTAACGCAACGCCTGTCAGTCCACTGCAGAGGTGCCCTACTATGAGGACTTGAGCAAAGTACACATTCCATAGTTCACGTCATGAACCGTCACCCGCCATCCAGCTTCGGCGACGAGCCGCCCTCATACGACAACGAGGCCGCTTCATTCCTATCCCACGATGATTCACCCACTGCGCCTTCGAGACACAATGGCCCATCGATGCGCCTGCTACCAACGAGCAGCAATGTCGATAGCGATCTAAGCGGAAGCTACAGACCTGTTTCGCCTTCGCAATACTCCCACTATCAATCAGAATATGCCGAAACAACTAGTCCGTACGTATCAACCCGTCTTCTATTTTCCCATCCACTTGCAATGCGAATGGCTTTCAATTCGAGCTTATTCCCCGACACATTCCAGTCGTTGCCCGCTACAACGCACCAATATCCACTGTGCTCCCCTTCCTACCCCTCCCTTGACAGAAACGTATGGCACAGACCAGTGCTTGGTGGGCTACCAAAGAATGGCCCCTGTCGGAAGATGAGGGACTATTTCCGCTGGTGGCTTAATCAATGCTGTCTTGCCATAAACACTGCCATATACTTGTTTATCACCAGTGTACCGCGCCATCTCCGTTTGGCAATTCGCTGGTCACATTTCTATCATCATGGATTTGACGCGACCGAGGACTAACATTCGCACGCGCAATAGAACCGGAGCAGTGCCCGGCTACGACAGTCGCTTCTACCAGGTACCCACAGCAACTTCACCTTCACGCCCGCCATCCAGCTTAGGGACCGCACCCACCATCCCCCCCACCGACTGCCAGCCTAGCAGATACATCAGTTTACCCTTCAATTCCACCCCGAGTGGGCTCTCCAACACGCCCATGGAGTCCGGGACATGTTCGTCCTCCCTCCGTGTCGAGTGTTGGATATGAACGCGCCGATATCAACGGCAGTCCTCGACCAGGTACAGCCAGCTCCAGGTACAGTGGCAGCCCTCGCCGACCACTTCCTCCTGCGCCTCTATTCTCTGGCCCCGCCGCTTCAGCTGGAGCAGACAGTAGTATCGATATTGGTGATCATGAGGATCCCTTCGGTGGTGATGGCCGGACCATTCATCACAACTCTCGCGGCAGTGTCCGATCATTCATGAGCGAGTCTACCATATTGGGAGACGAGAAAGATGCGATGTCAAAGGTCGATCTGGAAGAAGAGGGGGACGAGGAGGACGCCGCCAGCATGATTGATCCAAATCTTCACTATGGACCCGCGCCCGATAAGCAAGGCCGTCGAGGTGTCCGCTCGACTCAGATGGTCAAGAAGGAGGTTCAGCTCATCAACGGTGAACTGATCCTTGAGTGCAAGATCCCAACTATTTTGCACAGTTTCCTTCCCCGACGCGACGAGCGTGAGTTCACCCACATGCGATACACGGCCGTCACCTCAGACCCCGACGACTTCACGAGCCGCGGATATAAACTTCGTCAGCAGATCGGAAGCACCACTCGTGAAACGGAACTGTTCATTTGTATCACCATGTACAACGAAGATGAGATTGGCTTCACACGCACCATGCACGGTGTCATGCGCAACATCAGCCATCTTTGTTCCCGCACCAAGTCTCGTACCTGGGGTAAGGACGGATGGAAGAAGATTGTCGTCTGTATCATTTCCGATGGTCGCAAGAAGGTCCATCCTCGCACTCTCAATGCTCTAGCCGCTCTCGGTGTTTACCAGGAGGGTATCGCCAAGAACATTGTCAATCAGAAGCCAGTCACAGCACACGTCTACGAGTACACAACTCAAGTGTCACTCGATTCTGACTTGAAGTTCAAGGGTGCTGAGAAGGGCATTGTTCCTTGCCAGGTTATTTTCTGTCTCAAGGAGCAGAACCAAAAGAAACTGAACTCCCACCGTTGGTTCTTCAACGCTTTCGGTCGCGCTCTGCAGCCGAATATCTGTGTGCTACTGGATGTTGGTACCAAGCCCGAACCCAGCGCCGTGTACCACCTTTGGAAGGCATTCGACCAAGACTCCAACGTCGCTGGTGCTGCCGGAGAGATTAAGGCCGGTAAGGGTAAGGGTATGCTGGGTCTGCTCAACCCCCTGGTCGCCAGTCAGAACTTCGAATACAAGATGTCCAACATCCTCGACAAGCCTCTCGAGTCCGTTTTCGGATATATTACAGTGTTGCCCGGTGCGCTGAGTGCCTATCGCTTCTTCGCTTTGCAGAACGATGCCGACGGACACGGCCCGCTAAACCAGTACTTCAAGGGTGAAACCTTGCACGGTCAAGATGCTGATGTCTTCACTGCCAACATGTACCTGGCTGAGGATCGTATTCTCTGCTGGGAGCTCGTTGCGAAACGAGAAGAGAGATGGGTCTTGAAGTTCGTTAAGAGTGCGGTCGGTGAGACTGATGTTCCTGACACGGTGCCCGAGTTTATCTCGCAGCGTCGTCGTTGGCTGAACGGTGCTTTCTTCGCGGCTGTGTATTCGACAATCAATGCGAAGCAGATCTGGAAGACGGATCATACGCTTGCGCGGAAGATTTTGTTGCACATTGAATTCGTTTATCAGACTCTCAACCTTGTTTTCACTTACTTTGGACTGGTAAGTCGAGTTCATTGCATCGTGTCTGTATCTCCACTAACATATCGCAGGCTAATTTCTACCTCGCTTTCTACTTCATCGCTGGTTCTTTGAGTGACGAGAAACTTGATCCATTTGGCCATAACATGGGCAAGTACATCTTTATTGTACTACGATATGCCTGTGTCTTGGTAATGTGCTTGCAATTCATCATCTCTCTTGGTAATCGACCGCAAGGGTAAGTTATTCTTCCCGGAGTCAACAAACTTGAGCTAACTTCCTTTAGTGCCAAAAACATGTACCTTATGGGCATCATCGTGTACAGTGTGATCATGTTCTACACAATCTTCTGTACCCTTTACCTCGTGGTTCTGGAGTTGATGTCCCGCGCTGGCATTGATTCCGGCAAGGAGCTTACAGTGTCTAGCACACTAATGATGAACATCGTCTTATCCATGCTTTCAACCGTTGGCCTGTACTTCTACACCTCCTTCCTCTACCTCGACCCGTGGCACATGTTCACCTCTTCGATCCAATACTTCCTCCTGATGCCCAGTTACATTTGCACCCTTCAGGTTTATGCCTTCTGTAACACTCACGATGTGACGTGGGGTACTAAGGGAGACAACGTGATCAACACAGATCTGGGAACGGCAAAGGTCATCAACGGCAGCACCGTCCTCATGGAAATGCCATCTGAGCAACTCGATATCGATAGCGGCTATGATGCTGCCCTGCGCAACCTCCGTGACCGCCTCGAAGTCCCTGAGCCTCCCCTGTCTGATTCCCAGATGCAAGAAGACTACTACCGCGCCGTCCGTACCTACATGGTGTCCATCTGGATGGTTGCTAATCTCATCCTCGCCATGTCGGTTTCCGAAGTTTACGGTGTTGACTCAGGCGGCACAAATATCTACCTTTCCATTATCCTGTGGTCTGTCGCCATTCTCGCTGCCATTCGTGCCGTCGGTTCAACTGCATACGCTCTACTGCACCTAATCCACAAGATTGTGGAAGGAAAGACCAAGTTCCAGGCCGGCAACATCTCTAACTTCGCGCCCAGTTCCTTCGGCGGTAGTTCCACTGGTGGCTCTTCTGAAGGCGGCTCTTCTAAACCAAATCCCATTCGGTATAGCGGTGGTCCTAGCATGAAGGACAGGGTTTCCGAGGCGAAGTGGGCTGTTAGTCGAGGTGTTGGTAAAATGATGTTCTGGCGCAAGTAGATCTTTGCACCGATGTTGTTTGAAGCAAGCTTTTTTTCCTCCCTTTCTTCTTTTCTTTCATGGTCCCGTTTCTGGCGTTTACTCTTATGATTTCTCATTCTTACAATTATGGGGGGGAGTTTAATACTTTATGATCTTCGATGGAAATATTGTCACGATATTGGGTTTGAGGCTTATGTCCGCTCTGCTCTACTCTGCCCTGCGCTCTCATGCGAGAAGCGATGTGTTCATGGTTCTTATGGATATAGGATATACTTATGCGTTTTGATTTGAATGAATTTCATGGACATTCTCTGACACTCTTTCTCTTTCATTTCCCGTAATTCAACTTGAAGTAGCCCTATCTATCTCAATCAGAACAGCTCACTCCGTTGAACAGACACCATCCCTCTACCAACCCCCGTTCCATCAACACAATTTACATATTCAAACCTCGCCTCCCCACCCCGAATCACAGAAACCTCATGCCAAGTCCTAAACTGCCGCGCGTCCCCGAATCGTCGACCATGACTCACAGCTCCCGCATGAATAGCCAGATGAGACGGGTGTTTCGACGCCCATTTCTCCAGATCTGCCATGTTTTTGAAGAATGCTGTCACGCACGTTTCCTTCGGGTATGTATCTCGGGAATTGGCGATGAATGTATCCGTATCTGTCTCTCCTCCCTTTTCGGAATTCTTGCCCTCGAGACTAGGACTAAAGTCGAGAGTGGCATTGATATTGCGCAAATATCGTACCCCAAGGGACCCGCTCTCTTCGGGAAAGTTCCATAGATACAACAACCCACCACGAAGCTTTGGCTCCAAATTATCCAGATAGGCACTTGCTTCTTCTTCGTTGCAATTTCCCCAAAATTGGCCGGAACGAATATGGACCATGTCTGAGGGGTTTGTGCCTATTATAGATGAATTCAGAGAAGATTGGAAATTAACATCTTCTCTTCCCCTTCTTCCGCAGCTGCTGCAGATTCTCCGTTTCCATCATTACGCACTGCTCCATCCCCAGTAAAAAGATCCTCCCCAGACCCTGGGATCCGATCCCGTGCTGCTCCCCAGTATCCCGTGTGCAGATGCTTTGTCGTGGATGTTCCTGGTAAACGCGCGAGACCGGGCATATAATCCGTTGCCGAGTAGACTGTTTCCAGGCGAGAAATGTCCGAGATAAAACATTCTGCCCAGAATCCGATGGATGGGCGCAGGGATTCGGGTAGGGAGGTATGCAGCGAGGAAAGATTCAAGTCTGAGACTGCCTTTTGGTAGGAGTCTTGGGTTGACCAGTAGCAGGCCCAGATTAGGGTGGTGGATTTCTGGATGGGGCTTGAATCTTGAGCTTGAGCCTGGGTTGGGATGGAAGTCTGTCTATGGTTTGGCATGTCGTCTAAGACGAAGAACTGCTCTGTTGAGATTGGGGTGGACTTGGCAAGCCAGGTTTGAATGTCCGATCTGGGTTCTGAGAGGAGGGACAAGGCCTCCTTGGTATTTTTGCATGTTTGGCTGTGCAGTTGGATCCCGATGTAAGCTGTGAAGACTTGCTTCTGTGTCTCTGGGAAGACGAGGTGTAGTCGTGGTGGTGGGTTGTGCTTTGCGGGTTGTCGAAGCGGGTATGTTCGTGTGTCTGATGCCATGGTGCAGGTCATGGTTTTTATGTTCTCGGTCTCTCGACCTTTGTGGTCAGGCGAGGAGCAGATTACATGTTGCTTGTACGCGATTTGAGGGCGGGATTCGGCTTTGCGTAGCCGAGGAGCGGGGGCGCTCTGCCCGAGTGAAATGAGTCGAGCTCGCAAGGCGGGGAGCGCGACTATAGAGAATTTTTGCTTTTGGAAGTTAAAGTTTCTTTGTTGGGACGCGATTTTATTGCCCACAGGGTTCATCTTCAATTTAAATGTCTAAATATATAGCTTCTATCTGCTTGGGGAATCGCTGGTGTTTCCCCGCATCTCCACAAGCAACCCTGGCTGTTTAAATGCTAAAATGGGCTCCTTGACCTTGATTAAAATAGCTTTTTTATGAGCAATGGCACAACTAAATTCCCACCATTGAAGATATTTGAATAGCTTTTTGGATATATTAGCTCCAACCCTGAACCACTGTGCCTATCTTTTACCCCGCATCCAGAAACGACCTTGAGCAATATCTGGAAGACTACCATAAGCTGACATTCGCAACTGAGTTCAATTTCAACTTCTTCTGTATTTTCGAGCTAGACACTCTTTGGGCGCTTGTTGAAGTGGGTGTCACTGTCTTACAGACCTGAAAAGGTTGGGGTTATTAGTGGTGCCACCTTCAAGGAAGGCAATAGTGTTCATGTTGTTTACACACATGACCTGCTTTATCTACATTCACCAAAGAAATGCACGCCTTTCAGTTGCTTCTTGCTGCTTACATCCAAGGTAATTTACTCAACATTTAAAGGCAGGAGTGATGGTGCACTTCTTGAGCTATGGTCCATATTTAGTTTCAACATGTTGGATCTAAATACCCGTCGAGCTCTCAACCCTGTATTTTCCGATATTATTTGCCGATTGGCGGGTAATTTCATCTTCCTCAAGGGAGTCGTTTCGGCACATGGATGTAACTGCATCCATGAAAAACCGCGCTATCAATGTCGATCCTCAGTATTAATTAGGACCTTCCCCGCTCCAATACCCAACCGACATACTACCGTAGGAATCTGATTAGCTATGTTACATCGATAGCTGTCCTATATAGCAAAGCTGTAGTCGCAAATCGTTTTCATAGTTATAGACGACTTAATCTTATGATCGTGAAACTCATCAAGCGCGATTCGTGAATATAGTCGTCCACGATGAAACTCCCTCTCAGTGTCCTCATTAGCATATGTGCCGCTACTAGTGCCGTCGCTGGAACCTACAAGCCCAAATACCGCATATCGCCAAGTGACGGATCAAAGATTGCACTTCCAACGAAAGAACAGCTCGATTTCCAAGACAAAGAGATCGGCGTGCTCATTCACTTCGAAATAGCCACATACCTAAGCATTGACGGCTGCAACAATGTCCCAAACTTAGTGCCCAATGTAGATCTATTCGACCCCACTTTGATCAATACCGATGCATGGATGGATACAACAGCCGCCCTTGGTGCCAAGTATGCCACGCTCGTCGCGAAGCATAACTGTGGTTTCACGACATGGCCGAGTCAAGTGACTTTCGAAAACCGGGACAACGAGACCGTGCCCTACAACTATACCATCGCACAGTCTCCTGTACATGGAAAAGATGTTGTGAAGAGCTTCGTCGAGTCGGCTCAAAAGTATAACATTGGCCATGGGTTTTATTACAGCGTTGTTGTGAATAACTTTCTGAATGTGCAGAATTCAGAGGTTAGAGCCGGCTCTTGGGCGCCTGGTCAGGTTAATGTCACCAACAGCACTTATGACCAGGTTGTCTTTGACCAATTGAGTGAACTATGGAAGGATTATGGGAGTTTAACTGAGGTTGGAGTCGATGACAGTTACTCCATTTATTCTTGGCTTTTTAACTGATCATATTTGACGCAGATCTGGTTTGATGGCGGCTATAGCAGCTCACAACAAGACAAAATTGAAGCTTTATTGGAGGAAACCCAGCCCCAGGCTGTAATCTTCAACGGCTGTGATACTGATGGGAATTGCTTGTCCGCAAACTCTAGTTAGTGAATTTTGTGTTGTCAGACCAGAATGTTACTGACATTAGCCCTAGTTCGATGGATCGGCACAGAAGAAGGGCAGGCACCGGAAGAGAACTGGTCAACGTACGTACTCTCGAGCTCTGATATTGAGTACATGGAACTGCAAGATTTCTGGAATGCTGATTGTTTAGTGGCGTGACAAATGACGGGGGAGACTCTAAAAGTCCCTACTTCTGCCCAGCCGAATGCGACACCACCCCTACAAACTGAAGACCGCTGGTTTTTCGGCGTCGACCAGCCACTGCGATCCATCGAAGAAATGATCGACGTTTATCATAAAACAGTCGGCCGCAACTGTCTTCTGGAATTGGACCTCACACCCGACCGGAGTGGATTGATTCCAGCCAGTTATGCAGCCCGGTACAAACAACTTGGCGATTTTATCAGCTCATGCTATGGTGATCCCATCGCACCAAATGCAGCGCATTCTCAGGCCGATAAAGGAGAATACTCTATTAAATTTGACTATCCAACTGCCATTGACCGCATTGTTTTGATGGAAGATCAAAGTAATGGCCAGGTTATTCGATCGTACCAAGTGCAGGCGAAGGTTGTTGACAGCCAGGACGCTAATGGCACCCTGTCTGTGCCGTTCACTCGCGTCTCTAATGGAACTAGCATTGGTCACAAAAAGATTGATATCTTTGAAGAGGCTGTCACGGTGACAGAGGTCCTCATCAAGACAACATATGTGGATACGCCAAAGTGGCGTTCCGTTTCGGTTCATCTTTGTGATCAACTGACAACAAATGGCACTTCCAAGGCTGATTAGTATAATATCCGAATCTCCAGAATTAATACATCTTTGGTGATTTGGAATCAAGATTATCTAGTGTTTTATACAAATACCAAGCAGTGGCCGTTTCTTTATTTTATCTTGCTTCTTGCGCTCAAAAATGTCTATTAATATAATCCATAATCAACACTTACTATACCTCAAAAGATCCTATCTCGATGGGAAGTAGCGGAAAGCGATGAGATTTATGATCCCATTAGGTTGTGAGACGTCCTCCTCATCAAACTCCCGGAACTTCTCAAACCCAGCCTTCAGTAGAACTCTTTGACTCCCAGAATTCGCCTCCTCCGTGATAGCAATGAGATGCTCCTGCAGCAATCCCTCGCTATTCACCATTTCCTTCGCAACATTGGACTCCCGCTCTGACCGTGGCAGCTCTTTCCATGCCCGCAGCCAGGCATTCAAAAACTCCGATGCCAGGCCTTGGCCCCAGAATTCCTTTCTAAGCATGTACCCGACCTCGGGCCAGCCATGTTCCGCAGGAAAGAGGTGACATCCACCCATGCCGATAAATTCCCCCGTCTCTTTGAGGCAAATGGCGTAATTGAATGTCTTGGTGTCATTGGGTGGCAAGAAATTGTTCAATTTGTCTCTGGTCATCTCGATATTCGGGTCGATGCAGCCACTCGATGTCCATTTCATGACATCTTCTTGGGTACGCAAGACATACATTGCCTCGAGATCGCTTGCTGCAACGGGCCGGAGGAGCAATCGGTCTGTTGTCAATGTGGACCTTGCATGGCTTGCGGGGAGTGGAGAGGTCGGGAGTGAGGTCTTCACCGTCACGAAGTCGTTTGGTTTTGTGTGACCCATGGTATTTTGGTGATATTTTCTTTATGCAAGAACCCGCTAAATTCGGTCATTTTCTCGGTTGTCGATGTCCATTTGTTTAGATGGGCGGACCGTGCGAAGGCGGTGCAGAGATTGCCGTGTCCAACCGCGGCAAATTGTCGTTTGGTTTTGCGGCCCAAAAAGGAAATCGTGAATGTCGTCCAAATAAGAGTACCGCCGAAGAGTCTTCAAAATTGAAAGACTTGGATGGTCGGCCTGGGCTGTGTCCCTCATTTCAAGATTCTTGATACTACTGGTTAAGTAATATAGATTCGAATAACTATGCCGTACAGTGTCTGAAATTAGAAATATTGACCCGTACATACGCATTATCTCTTCTGCAAAAGTGCCCCTACAGAGATACAATTGGTGGAAGGAAAGACAAAAGGCGATGGAAGAAGTATTAGGGAAACTCCCTGTTGAACTACGCGACATGGTGAGAGAACAAGCAGATGATACCATTGATTTGGAGGAGTCAAAGCAGCAAAGAGTGAGGCTTCTGAAGAACGAAGGCTGATGGCCAAAAGCTTGAAGGAAGGAGAGTTTGTTTGAGAGTGAATCCATTGATCTCGCGTGGTGAGCACAGACCCCATGTGCCTGAAAAACGTAACATAAAAAATACCAAAACAATCAAACATACAAACCTAACATGTATACTACCAACCTGCCTTAGATGACATCGAGTGGAAGAAAGGAGAGCACAATGTATCTAGCCTACCACAGGCCAATGCAATCTCCACATGCGCCCTATATGCATCGTCAGTCATGCAATTTTTATCAAAAAATGAAGCCTGGCATAGTAGTTTCCTTACCGCGCCACCGATGGCGGAGACAATACACCCAGGAGAGAGCTCGGGAAGTTGCGAAATTAGGAAGGCTGGATTGTATTAGTATAGATTGTTCAGAAATACTAGGTTCATTTACATACGGAGAGTTAACCCATCGGTCCCGGCCGTCATAAGAAACTCGGCGATAATTGTACCGCAATCCAAGCCAGTTCCTGTCAGACCAGCAATGCAGGCTTTTTATCAACCGAATAACGTCAGCGGGGCAGTAATCTCGATCAAATTGATGCGGATGGTACGTACCGTCCATACTGCAGTCACGAGCCACAAGGTTGGATTTAAAAGGGGTCACAGGAGCCGGAGCGGCAGCGGCGAGAGCCACGAAATAAGGAAGCATGACCGAGAAACGCATGGTGATGGATTTAATTTAGCCTCTGAATGGTTCTGTTCTATAGACAATAGAATGGATTGGATAGATGAGACCTCGGGAGTTGAACTTGAGAAGATGGATGGGTGAAAAGTATAGTCGAAAGGGCATGGACGTACTACTACCTTTATATATTTCGTCCGAAACACCAAATCCGCCATATCTGCCTGGTCGCCCGGGCGTCGCCTGGACAAGGCTTACTTCCACCTCGTTTTCATCTTTCATCTTCCAAGGTTCAAGAAGGTTGAGGCTTCGTAGGGCTATCGGGCTTTCAAGATTGACTCAAAATTCGTCTTGGCTCATGTCGTCGTAGTGCCCGAGTGATCATGGTATCCAATGGCGAAAACAGCTCACCAGATGTTTTCGATCTGAAGTGTGAAGTTGACTCCTGCAGTACTGCTCACCTACACGAGCCTAATCCCCGGTGGGGGACGGTTTGTTACAAAAAAAGAATCATGTTGGTCTCTGGGAACCAATCTACATGTTTCGGACCCCATCTATAGCTGCAGGCCATAGGCTCTATAATAGGGGCCCGGCATTTCATTTTCTTATAGTCTTTTACCATCGGACTTCCTGTCCAGGGGTCTTGACTAACAATAAAATTCCGCTATCAATATAATTCATCTCGACCTGAAAATACCGAATTTATTGAACACTCATGGAGGAAAAACTTCTAAACATACGAAAGAACACTGTTCGTTTGGCTAAGGGCATATAAACTGTCTCAAGCTGATTCATTGTCAAGTGAAAGCTTAAAGTTATAGATCAATTTGCTTTGCCAAGTCTACAACTCATGAGGCTGAAGGCTTAAACTTCCCGCCCCTGTCGTGAGGGGACCAGGTTTAGTGATGCTCCTTCAGAATTTTCTCTTTTGTATTGTGTTTCATCGCGATGAAGCCTTTGGCTTTCCCTTGGCTTGATCTTGGCTTAGATCATTGTCTGACTCTTATACGAACGACTGTATTAAGAGTAGTACCAATATGCGAGGAAGGGAAGTCAGCTGCATTAGTCCACTCCCAAAGTTGACTTTGTCTCGTCATCGAACACCTAGGACCTGCCTTTTGTGGAGGGTGTGTTGGCGATCGTCAAGGGGCTGAGGTTTTGATCCCGTACTCGCACCCGAACTGCGAGAATATCTACATATTGTTTTCAAACTTTCTTGCTCAACATAAGTGCCTGGTTTATCGCCGAGCATAAAAGTTCGATATATTATAGCAAATTTCATGCGGACGCTCATATAGCCGTTCCCACTCCCCACCCTCCCCCATCTTTTGATACCCCTCCAGGCCCGCGTCACACAAGGCCACTTTCATCCACCCGACATCCTTCAAAGTGCACCCTTCGACAGATTCATAGCCATCCTCAAGCAAGTCTTCTGGCTTATCAACATCCTCAAGACCTTCTTGACTAAAATCTTCAATAGACTCTGGCTTCCACCAACCATACAACATATTCACAAATGCATCCTTATTGATACAGTCATCAATCGGCGCTCGGAGAACACTCTGCAAAGACTCTTCGTTCACAAAAAGGCAGAATCGATAACGCACAACACCAACATTAAACGCCCGGATCATTCCAGGTGATCCCCCTAACTCCTGAATAGCATTCGTTGACCATTTTTGAAAATGCTCTCGGATAGTTGCTGTGCTCGCATCTTCAAAAAAAGATTTGTCTTCAAAGACAGTTGTCTGGTAACTATCAAGCATATCTAGGCCATTATAGTATTCCAGCGAGTGAGAAACATGCCATTGGTACCTGTATAAAAGCTCGGCCCAGTCGGCGTCACTTTTGTAGGTACATCGGTAAATGGGGAATCCCCAAGTATGCAGGCCAGCTTCTTGTTGAGCTTTCTCGATGCAATCAGCGAGGTTATTACGAGATTCCTTGTCAGGGGTCCGTTTGGACGGATTTCGAGGCGGATCGCGCCTAGTCAACCTCGCTAGTGCCGCTAGTGCTTTTTCATGTGTGCTTGCCGAGGAGTTTGATGAAGCCATTCTTCGAAATTGCCAGTGGTATCTCTGTGTAAAGCGTTGAGAAGGTTGGACTAGGGAGCTGGCAGTGATGTGCAAGTTTGCAATATAAGTTGCCGAATTAAGGAGCCTTCTATTTGTTCTGAGGAATTTTGTAGTGGTGGACAGCATAGTTTGTCCAAATGGCATGCGGTGGTGAAATATTTAGAAGGGGAAAGTGTTGGATGTTGTTGTTTTAGCTTTTGGCTACAGGTACATACTACAATTTCTTAGTCAGCCGCCCCACAGGGCCCAGCCATTCATAAAATACCGTATGTCACGTATTATAATTAGGAGTGTCTTGGCTGTAGATCGATCCCCGGGTTCAAATGCCACCATAGCTCTGAGCAGATCCTCCAGCGTATTTAGTTCACCACCGGCAACATCCCATTCACACGTCTGTTCTGTCTCGCCACGGCCAATTTCCCAGAGGCGCTGACGCAGACGCCGGAAGACACTGATACGGCGGAAGTCAGCAACCCATGACCTATCCTCTTTAAAGAATTCGGAGCATTTATCCCGAGAGTCCAACCAACGCGCAGGTGGTTGCCCCAGTGTTTTGGTAATCTCGGGGAAAATATTATCTCGATCCCAGGAAAATGTTTCGAAGAGTGGACGCTCACCCAAGACCTCATACAAGTTGATACCTAAGGTCCATATATCAGCTGCGGTAGGTTGAGTGATGGGTTCATTGAAAAGGTCTTCTGGTGAAGCGCTGGGGTATAGAGAGTCGGCGAGGGTGTCTGTGATATAATAAAGGACGTCCCATAGTCTGAAATGATTACTTCTGGGTTGTCCACTTCATCGGCAGGTGTACTTAAACTCATGGATATATAGCATGGGGCGGTACGTGAGGTTCGCTAGGCTTTCCGTCCACTCGATGGATAGGAACCTCAAATGGTTTACCAAAGCGCTGGTATAGCTCATGTATGCTTGGACCATCTAAGTCTGGAATACGTAAGAAAAATTTACGTAGATGGAGGTCTACCTTTGATTAGCATGGAGAACTAATTAATTGAGATATAAAGGTATCATTGTTATTCTGACCTCCATGGCAGATATCGTTTGCATGCAAGTGGGAAAGGCCTAAAAGAAGCTGGGCAGCGGTAGATCTAGCAGCCTCCAGGGGAAACATCAAGTTTGTGCTATTCTCCTTAGATGTAGCAATACTACCACCAGCAGGCTCTCCGACTAAGCACTGATGATATCCGTTTGGGCTGTGGAACCAAAATTAGTCAAGTAGGGGCGGGATGAATCGCTTTCCAGGATGAGTAAGGTTGCTCTTCATCAGTTAATGCAGTACATCCCCCTCATGGCTGTCTGGCGAGGACCACGCAGTCAGTATCTTCAACGCTACATAGCGCAGGCGTTTCGTATCCCAGGCAAGCCAAATTGTTGAATATCCACCAAACCCAAGCTTATGAACGATGTTATAGCGGCCACTAGAAAAGGTATCTCCGATAAGAGCTGGGTGATATCCACCAGGCACATAGCCCTCTAAATTTTCAACATCTACCTTTTGTTTTGCTTTTTTGCTTTTTTACCTGTGACGTTTAGGATATCAGTATAAACCCTCTGCAATAATAAGCCGATCGGGCGAGCTTTAACACATCAACCATTGGAATCAGACTTGCGGCGGGAAAATTAATATTGCAAATACTGGGGACTAACAGGAACCCGGAGTGCGATGGCAAGGTATAGGAAATTTTGCATTCTGGAATTTGAAGAGACCAACTTCCTACATATATTCCTCAAACCAGTACAGTCTTATCAAACAGCAACTCCCTTCTTTCCATCCCTGATGATTTCTTCCAGAATTTTGGAGGCAGCCAATGTCTCCTCGTCCTTGAAGTGTCGCCCAGCAATCTGCAGTGCAATAGGCGCGTCCTCATATCTCTCCGGGCCTTCGTACTTTTCCCACTCTCGCTCATCTGCCTCATTACGAGGGGTATAGTTTTTGTGGTCTTCTGTCAAGGCATCTAGCTTCGGATCAACCTTCAAGCCTGAAGGGAGAGTCACAGCCGGAAGATCCAACAAGTTCCAGATTGCGGTGTAGTTCCAGTAGTGTGACTCGCCCATCACAGCAGCGACTCCGGAGTAGTTAGGCGAGATGATGAAGTCAACACCACGGCTCTTGAGAAGCGCGTTATATTCGTCACGGTAAATGTCGCGCTCCAATTGCAGTTTCCAGGTTTCATGATGAGTGAGCGGGTTGGGGCGTCCGTATGAAAAGGCCCACTCGCTCAGCGGGAGCGCTGGCTCGCCGGATTTGCGAAGCATCTCGCGCTGCAGGCCAGCAGCATCGGGATAATATAGTGCGGACTGTGAGTTGTCAGCGGGGTATTCGCTTGGTAGATACTGGTAGATATTAAACTTACGATGACATCCCACGCATAAGCATGCTTATAGGGCTCCCAGTCGACAACTTTGATCCCAGCTGCAACCAGCTTCTCCTTCGCGAATTGAAGGGCACGAGTGACAGGAGGATGAGGACGAACAACACTATATAATTCTTTTAGCAGCGGTTCATCAGAGATTCGGCTAGAGGTCTAACATACCCATCATCCCACATAATGCCAACGGTGATATCTCGGGTCGGAGTGACAGTCTTCCAGGGCAGAGGCACTAACGATGTCTCATCGTTCCAGGGCTCCTGGTCAATTATGGCCTTTTGGAAAAGTTCCAAGTCTTCGATTGAAGCTGGACCCATTGGGCCCACCACCCCATGGATTGACTCTTGTCCGACAGCAGCAACTTCAATTCCCACCGTCGGGTTACGCATCGACGTAGGTTTGAAGCCATAGCCACCGCAAAAGGCAGCTGGGCCTCGAATCGAGCCACCGATATCAGTACCGATTCCAAGTGGTGAGCACCGGAAACCTACGGCGGCACCTTCGCCGCCGGAGGAGCCACCGGGTGTTAATGTACGGTTGTGAGGGTTCAAGGTTTTCCCAGTGATATTATTCTCGGAGCAAAGATGCTAATATAATTGGTCAGTAAAAATGTAGGTCTAAAGGTTGTAGGCGTACCATTAGTGCTTGTGGCTGATTGGTGCGAACATGAAAGACTGCACCAGCCTTAGATAGCAATTGGAGAAGGTGTGCATCTTGAGTTGTGACTCTATCAACCCTATTGCATGATGATCAGTAATTTCCTCCATGGATGGCCTATTTTGCACCAACCATGCGACATAGCCGGTATGACAGGTCTTATTTTTGAAACCGATATGTTCTTTCACACTGATAGGCACACCATGCTGCATGTCGCTTTATTAGCACACCGATACATCCACGCACTTCCCTGGGTTCTACCCACAAGAGGCCCAATAAGTCTTCCATTCGCCTTATAAAATTCATCCAGTTCCTTAGCTCGAGCGATTGCCTCCTCGGCCAGGAACTCCGTCGCGAAGTTTAGCTAGATGCACTTAGTATATCATCACCTAGCCCGACAGTGTAGTCCTCCTCACCAGCTGATGTCCCAAGACAGACCGCTTGAGAAAGGCCACAACTACTTCCTCGGCTGTCAATTCCCCCTTTCCCATTCCGCTTGTCAATTCGGTTGCCGATAGCTCCGTGATTCCGAGCTCCCGATCGGTCAAAAGTCCGCTCTTCCTCGGAAAGTCGGTTACATTTTTCTGTGTAACAGGCGGCAGTTGGTCAGCAGGTGCAAGCCATTGTTTGGGCACTGAGCTCTCCAAAAGGTCTTTGCCTTTTTGCGCTTGGATTTGCCAGTTTTGGACGGTCATGTTGGAAAGAAGATGGGAAGCTGCAGTATAGTTCGGGGTATTTTGAGAAGAGAAAGCTGGATCAAGGAGATTAAAAGGAAAAAGGAATGACACAGTGTTTACTCCCCTCCTTGTGCCCCGTTTGGCCCCTCCTTGTGCCCCGTTTAGCCCCCGCATGAGGGGCTTTTCGTGGAACCGTTGATGCGGAATCGGAATGAAAGCATGGCTACTGATAGGCAATTCCATGGCGGAGTCCCCCCCGCGCCTCAGGGTAGGTGTGGAGCTATTCAATTTCAACCGTTCTTATTTGACTATCATCTTATCGAGCTGCATCTGAGACTCCTGTAAAAACCTTAAAGGCAATGATCACCTGCGGAGCAGTTCCGTCTGGCGACCTGTTTGGTCAAAATGTGCCTCTTACTAGTATGAACCTCTCGAGTTTCACAAAGAGACAAGGCTATCTAAGGCAGCAAGATATTGAAAGCATATCAGCGATGATAAGGTTTAGGGTATAGAAAAAATTGATATGATTTTAAGGTTGCTAACATTTTAGCTAGAATTTCTGACTTCTTAGTCCTTTTTCACAATCCCTCATCAACCAACAGTTCTAGAAGATAATGCAACCCCCCAAAAAAAACAAAAAGACAAAAAAGGACTCTCCCTCGGGGAATCGAACCCCGGTCTCCCGCGCTTATCAGTGTTAATGACAAGCGGAAATCATGACCACTAGACCAAGGAAGATATGATAGTCGAGTTACTGCTCGACCACTTGGGTGGTTGACGAAAAACGTCGCCAAATCTGGCTCTATCAATCATGCTATGTACTGGAAAGGTAAAGAAAAATGTATATCTAAAAAGAAACTCTCCCTCGGGGAATCGAACCCCGGTCTCCCGCGCTTATCGGTTTTAATGACAAGCGGAAATCATGACCACTAGACCAAGGAAGATGAAATAGTCGAGTTACAGCTCGACCACTTGGGGGTGGTTGATATCAGACATTGTCATATTTGCCATTATGATTACCCGCAGCAGGTTAGGGCCTCACAGAGAGTGCTACAAACCACTTGGCATCGGGGGTTCTTCTCACTATCGACAGGCGACACAGCGTCCCCTTCGGCTAAAACTTCCGGCTGTAGGGTCGCAGAGTGTATTCCATAAGCGTGAAAGCATTCGTTAATCGTCTTAGCAGTCTTCAAAAATCCGCTCACAGAGGGATCGGAAACAACAACGTGCACTGATGCGAGGGTCTTCTGCTGGTTAAGCCGCCAGATGTGCAATTCGTGAATGGAGTGGACGCCAGGGACCTGATATCTTGATCAGCGAAATTTTGTAAGAATCTATATGCGGGAGCGCTACCTTTTCTAGGTCATGTTGTACGTCGCTTAGGTCAAGCCCTATTGGGGCGCTTTCCAGCAAGATATGACCGCTTCGTCGGACTATTGTTTTGTTGGCATTGTTCAGAATTGACTGGAGAAGAAAACTTACTAAGAGGGATAGAGGATATCATTATCATCAAGGCAATTCCTATGCTGACTCCCGGGTCTGCGTAGTATCGGCCGTCATATTTGGCCAACCAGATCACTAGTGCGGAAGCAATGACACCAAGGTTATTGGCCGCATCGCACAGGACATGCAGTAGCACCCCCATCATTCCCAAGTCGCCATGGTCGTGTCCATGGCCGTGGCCGTGGCTATGACCATGACTCTGCCCATGGGTGTGTTCATGGCAATGGCCCGAATCTGCTCCCTGGTCCTTCTCGAGATGCGAATGCTTGTGGTTGTGGTGCTAGTATTGTCAATACCTATGACGCTCTGAATTTTCGGATTGGAGCAATACCTTTGTAATCGATTCACAACCGTCTTCGCTGATGGGCGATGGACCCGCTTCGAGAGATGGTGGTGGACCATGGTCATGCGCATGTTCTTTATTCGATTAATTCAACAATTATGGTTCTTCGAGGAAGCAAACTTACCATGGAGGAATAATGCGCTGATTATGTTCAATCCTAGTCCAATGCACCCAACAATGAAAACAAGTTTTGGATTCTCGACACCTAAACGCTTATCAGTGTGTGCAATATTGAACCGAGCAGAAAAACTCACGATGTAACTCAATGAATCGCTCAATGGATTGCAATAGGATGCTGATCCCCAATCCGAATAGAAGAACTCCGTTGAAAAAAGCCCCTAGCAATTGAGCTCGTTGCCAGCCAAAGGAGAGGTCTTTTGGCGAATCGCTATTTTCGGAAACCTAGTAGTATTTTGGTCAATATCAATAAATATATGTTCGTGCCCCACATACTAACTACCCACTGGCAGTAACAAGACATACCTTCAATGCCACCAAAGCCACCACAAAACTCAGCAAATCACTCAGCTAAAACACCAATTAGTGAAAATCCTCGCAACTGAGTTCTCCAATTTTTAACACACATAATGGAATGCATCCGCAATCAACGCAAGCGAATGTGTGTAGAACCCCACTGTCGTCTGTCAGTAAGCGCGCTCACGAAAGCTAGACCTATCTCCACTGACATGATATTTCCCCCAGAAAGAAGCATGTTGATATTGCAATGACCGCACTTAATCGCGTCGAACGCGAAAGCCGGTATGGCATGTTCAAAGTGGCCGCCCAATCGTAGCGTTCAGGTGATCCCAGGTCTCACCGATACCACCGCGGGGAAGAAGAAGAATTATCGAAGAGCAGTAGAGATAGGAAAGTCGAATAATCAAATGGGTAGTTGGACTTGAAGATATGGAAAGCGCGACGTGTGTCGCGAGCCGGAAGTGGTGAGAGATAAGTGATGGAAGTCTAAGTCCCGGGGTGGAACACGTTCACAGAAAAGGACCTACACTTTACTTCTGCCTCGAGTTGGTTCAGAAATAAATGGCTGGAAATTTCGGTGCCATGATTGCGTGTAACTATGAATGATGGAACACCGGCCATTGGCAAGCATGTTAAGCATGCCCTGACACCGCGAAGTATGCGCGTGGTCTTTGAGATGGAGTTTTGAGACAAGTTGCTTCTTTTTATGTATATACAGAACATTTACTTCTTTTTTTTTTTTTGGAATAGAGTATTATTTCAAAGTGACATTGACAATTTCCCTGCCTTGGTTCAAGCAGAGTATTCATGTCACGCGCGATTCAGATCTTCTCTCCTCCCCGTGTCACTGGGCAATTCAATCCCGCTGATCCGGTCCAACAGTAAGTAGCAACCAGTGCCGGAGAATTCAGAGATGTGGGGAATAGATTTCTTTAAAAGAAACCTGGCCTTAACGCGATATGTAGATTTGACCGTCGCATTGATCCACAATGAAAAGAATGCGACAATTACCACGACACGGGTACCCACGGAGACAATTCAGGCACCAGGGTTCACAGCAGTAATGCAAGATTCCGCGCGAAGCCCAAAGCCACAATCGACGAAAGAGGGGGAAATCCCGAAAAAAAAGAAATCCAATCATTAATTTCATACAATTTATTCGTATAATCATATAACTAAATTTTCAGAAACACACCCATATGTGGATGCTACCCCTTGTAAACACCGCAAAGCCCAAGCCAACAACTTGAACTTACGCAGCAATCTGATCAGCCAAACCGTCCAGCTCACGGTTCCAGTTCCGGTGCTGCGAGACATGCCAAATAAAGCGTTCCGCTAACCCCTTCGCCTGAGGCCCAACATTTGAAACCTTCAAGCCTGACGCATCACCATACCCGGTAACAACACCATAAGAATCCGTCAAAGACTCCCCACTCTTCGCACTCTGCACCTCATCCAACCCAATCTGGCGCGCAATAAACGGCACAGCCTCATTAACGCCAGAAATAGCCTTCAGATGAGCAAAGGACTCAGTAATCCAGAACTTCGCAACGCCATTCTTCGCAAGGGTCTCCACATGGCTACCGCCAGGAACGAAGACCGCGTCGAACAGCGTCGACCGCATCCCCGGGAAGCAATTATCCGGCACGACTGTTTCGCCCGAGTCAGCAACGACGCCCTGGCGCTGGGAACCGATGGTGAAGACGAATGCATTCTGCGCCTCGAGACTCGTTTTCATGGCGTTGTACGCGTTGTAATCGAAGCCGTCTGCGATTAGAATCGAGATTCGTCGCGTCGCGATGGTGGGCTTCTCTGGCATATACTCCAGTTGACTGAGACCCTTCGCCTTAGTGCCATTATTTGTTCTAAGCTGCTTGGTCGGCGTCTCGCCGCCTACGTTCTTAGCGACTGTCTTTGCGAGATCGAGACTGATGGCTGCGATGCGTTCGCTCATACGCTTGTAGACGACCGGGTCGTCGCAATGATCTAGTTCGAAGGAGAACGCCTTGGCCAGATGCATCTTCTCGATCTCCGAAAGAGAGTTGTAGAAGACTTGGGCTTGGTTGTAGTGCTCTTTGAACTTCTCTGACAGAGCGCGCGCCTTGATGCCCTGCTGCTTCTCTGGGTAGGATGTGAATCCCCCTTGGGCTGGCGTAGCGGGCGGATTCGCTTCGAAACGATTGGGCCAGTAATTGACCGTGCCCTTTGAGATGCGATGTTTCATGGCCCCGTCCCGATTGACCAAGTTCATGTACGGACAGACGGGCCGGTTCACGGGCAATTCCTGCCAATTAGCGCCGAGCCGCGAGATCTGCGTATCGAAGTACGAAAAGTTTCGTCCTTGCAACAGAGGGTCATTGGAGAAGTCAATTCCGGGGACGATGTGGCTGGTGCAGAAGGCGGCTTGCTCGGTCTGTGGGAAGAATTCATCCACGTTGCGGTTCAATTCGAGCTGACCGATATATCGGATAGGAATTAGCTCTTCGGGCCAGACTTTCGTCGCATCCAGCGGGTCGAAGTCGAAATCGTCAAGCTTCTCCTCGGGAAGAAGCTGTAGACCGAACTTCCAACGAGGAAACTGGCCTGCTTCAATGGCGGACATTAAGTCCTTGCGATGGAAATCTGGATCCTGACCACAGATTTTCAAAGCCTCGTCCCAGACGAGCGAGTGGACACCAAGTTCGGGTGTGAAGTGGAACTTGACAAGGTGACGCTTGCCCTCCTTGTTAACGAGAGAGTAGGTGTTGACACCGAAGCCCTGCATCATGCGGTACGAGCGTGGAATAGCTCGATCAGACATTTGCTGCATTAATTTGCATCTCGTTAGCAACGCCATTCTCTCATAATGGTAGTAGATCCGAGCCGAACGGTCGACACATAAATATCAAGAGCGCAAACTCACCCAGTAGTTCATATGCGTGGTCTCGGAATGCATGTAAATGAAATCCCAGAAGTTATTGTGCGCACTCTGGCCCTGGGGAACTTCATTATGCGGCTCTGGCTTAACAGAGTGAATAACATCCGGGAACTTAATCGCATCCTGTATGAAGAACACAGGGATATTATTGCCCACAATATCCCAGTTCCCCTCAGCCGTATACATTTTTACCGCGAAGCCGCGTACATCGCGCACCGTATCCGCACTGCCCTTACTCCCCTGTACAGTGGAGAAGCGCACAAAAAGCGGCGTCTCGCGAGATGTATCCGTCAAAACACCTGCTGTCGTTACGTCCTCGGCGCTCTCGAATAACTTGAAAGTTCCGAATGCACCTGTGCCGCGGGCGTGTACAACTCGCTCGGGGATACGCTCGTGGTCGAAGCGCATAATCTGCAGCCAGAGGTCAATACAAGTCTGGTTATTGCATCAATTTTTGAATGGATAGTTTGGTAAAACGCACTTTCTCGCGAGCGATTTGATCTTCTAGGAGTGATGGTCCGGTGCTCGAGTCGCCCACAGCACGGAGCCAGTGATCCGGGTCTGAGATTTTGATTCCATAGTCGGTGGACATATGTTGTTTACCATTGATTTCGACGGTATCTTTCTGCATGTCTGCAAACTTTCCATCAGCCGAGATGGAGTTATTTTTGGCCTCGGCGGCTGCTTCTGCCGCAGCTGTAGTTGCCATGATGACTTGATTGTTCTCGAGAAATTCGAAAATAGTAAGTAGTGGATGTGCGGAATTAGGTAAAAAGAATTCGAAGAAAGCCAGCTACGTACAAGAGGAATGGCCTATATATCACAGGGAATAGCAGCATCATCGACCATTGAGCATGAATGATGTAACCCATACCCACCAACCAACCAATCGACAAAACACAATTAATCATGCAATCACCCAGTCCAGCAACCACCGATCCGGCATATGTAAAGACCCAATGGAGTAAAGCCGACACCTCCAACCCGAAACCATAGGGTAAATCATGTAGTTCCGCGGCGGAAAACTGGATTCGGGGAATGAGCTAGTCATGACCCAGTTTCCGGTCATAGGATAACGCGCCAATAATGGGAGCAGTCACGGAAAGACAAGTAAGTCCACCCCCAAGGATCAAGCTTCCCATGATTTACAGCGGCATTTAAAACCTGATTGCGAATAATGCGTCTCCCATTTGTGGGTTCGTTCCCTTCGGGCTTTGCGGCAGAGCATCGAACATTCAGAACAGGCTTGATTAATCCCGGATCAACCTATTAGTCTAGAACAATAACTACATGTAAGCAACTCTGGCTTAGTACTTATTAAATTAATAATACACTCCCGGTTTAGGCGGGGTTGAGAGTATAATTGTATGTACTCGTAGTTGCTGGCCAGACCAACGCTGATGCTGATGCTGATGCCGATATATGACGTCATGCCATTCTGCAGTCGGAAACATCTCGGCCGAACCAGTCTTGAACAGCAATTGAATCGCAAATCCATATCTTAGTACATTATTACAGTAGATTTGACTGGCTGAGTCTTACTAATCGGGTAAATACCAGGAAAGAAGTACGGAGTACATGGGTATTGATTGAATGCTATTGCCCGATCGGATCATCTATACAAGCCTGCGGCCATCATCGCCATCATCTATCTAACACGTAAAGGAAAAGGAACACCCTGAGAGGGGAAGAACAAATATAATCACCACACATTAAACGATGGCGAATCACATATTATCCTCACTCCAATGACTCCTAGTCTTCTTCCAAGCAGCCTCCTCCTCCTTACTCTGCTCACTTGACTTACCCTCAATATCCAATCCCCTCTCAACCCACTCCTTACTCCCCATCTCAGAAAGTCTCGACAAAGCTCTCGCAAACGCAAACCGCTCCTCATCCCCACTGAAAATAGAAGTATTCTTCAGCGCAGCAACAGACATCCCCAAATCATCCATCAAATTACGCATCGCATCCGATAGATCGGAATGATCCCCGCCGACACCCGCACCCTTCACATCTTCCGCCGAGAGGAAGAGATTCGCCAACGGCACCTCCGTCGTAAGAACCAGCTTCGCCCGACTCTCGTAAACCGCATCAATGAAGGTGATAAACCGGCGCGCTAGATCGCGCTGGTTCAGATTCATCCCGGGTACATCGGTCACGATGAAAGCGTCGTAATGCCGGACTAATTCGAGGTAATCGGCTGCGCCGGTCGCGGTACCGATGAGCTGATTGAAGGTAAATTGGGCTGCTTTGCCGCTGGCGCGGGGGACGTTGATTGTCCGGCCCCAGACTATTTGAGAGGCTGGGTGGGGTGGGTCGTTTATCGGGTCGCCTAGGACGTCGAACCAACGCTGTGCGTGCTGCTCTGCGCTTTCGCCGAGCGGGTGGTGGTAGACTGCTGCAGGGGGGCGGGGGATCTTGCGGTAGTCTGTGGGTGAGTTGAGGTTTATCACGTTGAGGTCGGTTTTGAGGAGGTTGATGCATGGAATGAAGGATTCGCGTTGGATGCCGTTTTTGTAGAGGTCGTCTGGGTGGCGGTTTGACGTTGTGACTAGGACGACGCCGTGAGACATGAGGACTTCGAGAAGTCTAGGTGAGTGGATGGGTTAGTACATGTGTCTCTGAAAGGATATCTCTGGCGATATGAGGAGGAGGGGAAGGGTGAGATAAATACCTTCGTAGAATCATTGCATCCGCCACATCTGTACACTGGAACTCGTCGAAACACAACACGCTGGCCTTCTCCGCAATGTCCGCAGCAACCATAGGCAGCGCATCAAAGTCGTTGCCGTACTTCATCTTCACGACATGCATGCGCTTATGTACATCTTGCATGAAGTTGTGGAAATGAATTCGCGTCTTGGTCTTGATATTGTCCGGCAACGTATCGAAGAACAGATCCATAAGCATGGTCTTTCCGCAACCAACATCTCCGAACATATACAAGCCCTTTGGCAGATTATCCGGCACGACAGAGGTCTGCGCTGCCTTTGCGCCGCCGCCGAAGAGAGAGCCAAAGAAGGACTGCTTCGGTTGCAGGTCGAGGGATTCTGGGGTGGGGTGAACGACGGTAGGCGGGTGGTAGGATTTGAGCGCTTCGAAGAGGTCTTGTAGATTTTGGATTATACCTGGAGGTAGCGGGTTGATATTGTTAGCTTCAACTATTCCATCCATCCGGTCTGCAACTTCGACTGGGATATTCCGTGGCAAGATCCACATATATTGAAATTCATCTTAACTCACCTCGCTGATAAGGATCATCCCGTAACCGGCCCTCCTCAACACGCACATCATACTCCTTCATAGGGCCATCCACAGGCCCTGCCTTCGAATCTACCCCCGCAGCCCCCTCACTGGTAGCAGTCGCCAACCCGCGCGCGCGGCGCTGTAGTCGGAGGCCATTCACCGGCAACCCGGTGGCTAGGGCAGCATGTGGGACATGAGGACGGGAACAGAGCAGAGGCGAGGAATGGGTGGTGGCAGTCGTGTATGAACGAGATCTCACGCGCAGCGGTGTGGGAGTCGCAGACCGCAATGCCCGGCCGCGGGGCCGTAATGCCGGGGAGCAACTTGCGCAGAGCTTCGCAGATGGTCTACTCATGGCGTGGCGGATGTGATGTGCGATTTTGTGAAAAAAAGGAAAGAAAGACACTCGCTCGCTGCCGCAGAGGAATACTGTACAAAATGCAGTTGCGGTTTGTGATTGTTGTAGCCGAGGTATTCTACCTATCCGCAGGAATTGTTTTCGTCGGGCGGGACCGTTTGTCGGGAGTTGGATATAGTGCCTGTGCCTAGAGGCAAATCAACTCTAGGCAACTTTGGAACGAGAGAGAGAAGTGAGAGGACTGGGCTCGAACCCAAGTATATCAGCAGAGGCAAAGACGAGAAAGACTAATCGGAGTGCGTCTGGCGCCGTTGCGGTTGCCGGGCGAAAAGTGCGGGCCGATGACCGAGTCATGTGACCAGATTAGTCGGAAGAGGGCTACATTAGATACATGTGCCAGTATGGTATAACTAACCAGTCATACAAACGAGAAGTATACAAATAGCTAGTGCTTCATATTATTCGATTACCAAGCAGGATGCAGCTAACCTAGATAGAAATCCTTCTGTATATGCAGAGCGCAGCATATGTACAAGTCAAGATAGACCAGGGTATAAAACCCAAAACATCAAACGGGAGAATATAGGTAAAACAGAAGGAAACAGTAGGTCCGGTGTAGGAAGAGAGACATAGAAAAGGAGAAGGAAAGAAAGAGGCAGAGCCGTATCAAGGGAAACAAAAAAGGGTCGGCTGACCGGGATAAAAGCATGAAGAGACCGAGGACATTGCAGAGCGTAAGCATTAACGTTAACGTTAACGCAGAAGGGGAGAAGAAGGGGGAAGAAAATATTCAGCCATGCCACATATCTCGCATCATATTCGTAACACCACGATCATCCAAACTCTTGAAAAGATCCAGGTGTAAGCGCTGAAAGGGCCGACAGAGCACAGGGAAACTTTGAGAGAGGAAAAAAGCCCAATACAGAAACGCCTATGCACCTATGCCCATTGCGAAGGGAGTTAAAGAACAGCCAGAAGAATTAACCAAGGGGGAAAAAGAGAAGAAAAAAGCCAATGTGGGAAGAAAAACCAAGAAAAGATGCCAGCGCATCGCCACAACAACCCAGCAAAACATGTCTATCTCAAGAGTACAAGATCAAAACAACTTTTTTTTGTTTTCTTTTGCTCTCATGCGATGCTCACAAAGAGGGTCAACTTGGTGTTGCGCTGCATGGCATTCTCCAGGTCCGCATCCGATATCAGATCGACATATGTCCCAGAACTCTCATCGCGGTACTGCACGATGATATCCTCCTGAATCTTCAGACGGTCCGAAAGCTTATCTTTCAAATGCTGCAAGGTAACGCCCGAGGGAATCCGAATGGCAATCAAGTCATCCTGGAAAAAGACCTTCACCTTCATCGCGCTCGAATTAGACGTTCCCGAGGCCTGGGTGAGGGAACTGGGCTGGCGGTTCATGGCCGGTGGACCACCATTAGAGAGAGATGCAGGGCCCGGCGCACGCTGCTGAGAGACGCGGTCTTGCGACGAGTTCATTGGGACTTGGGATGACTGTCGCGAAACGCTTTGCGAGGGATCCACGCCAGAGGAGGAGTGATGGGAGTCGCCAGAGTAGCGGGCCTCTTCACCAAAGGCGCTCGGGTCAATTTCGAAATCGCCTTGGCGCGGCCCGAAGAGCTGGCGGACGAGTTGGCAGCGGGCGATATGTGGGGGCATGGAGATGAGCTTCTTGATATACTCGTCGAGGTTTTGGCGACGGCCGTTGGAGATAGCATCTGTGACGTGGGTGACGGGGCCCGGCATGAAGGGGAGTGTGCGTGGGCGTCCTCGGTTGCCGGCTTCGTCTTCGAACTGCGTTAGCAGCGCGATCTGGAAGTCGTAAAAGTCGTGATAGTAGCGTGACAATTCCCAGCATCGACCGTCTTCCATCTTGGCCTCAATGATGTACCAGTACTTGTCGTTGTCGAAGCAGTATCGGGGGATTGAGGCCGCAACTGGCGCGAGAAGGGGTGGCTGGTAGGGTTGCTGGGGTCCTTGCTGAGACATGGACATGGGGCCTTGTGATGTGAGAGTTCCTTTGCTAGCGTTGCGCTGGTGATATCCCTAGAAAACGTGCGCACACACAAATCAGCCTCAAAAATCCCAAACAAAAGTAGTATGTCGCAAGTCCGGCAATCAACTTACGTAGGGGTCACCATTTTGACTCATATGGCCTTGCTGGCCCATAGCCATCTGATCCATACCGGTGGTGACGGCCACAACACCGCCGCCACCAGCACCACCACCTCCGCCCGCTTCGATCTTCCCCAGGGTGATGCTGCTGTTCTTATATTCGGCGGTCATCTTCTTCCACTCCTCAACCTTGGGAACACCGGCGCGTCGCACAGCCTCGAGGGGATCGGTGACAGCCTGGCCAGATTGCATGTCGCGCAGTTCAATAAAAGAGACGGGAATCAGACCGGGGCCACCGAGACGGCCGATGGGTTTGGCGACAAACCATTCAGGATTGGATTGAGCGATGACGATAATGGCTTCGCCGGCGCGAGCGTCCAGCTCGTCGGGGCGCTCGGCCTGGAAATCATACTGAACGATGCCGTAGACCATGGCGCCCTGGCCTTTGCCGAGGGCGGACATTCTGAAGGGGGCGAATTTGGCAGGAGAAGAATCGGGGACGGGAGTGCGATCGGAGAATCCCGAGTCGTGATGGTCGTTTTTCTGCAGATCGGAGGAGCCCCCACTATCCCTTTCGTTTTTGCCGATGACTTCGAAGAAGGAGACGGGGACGAGGCCGCGGGCGTCAGGGATGAGGGGGATTGCAAGCCTCGTACCAGTCGGAGTCGTCCTCCCTACTGATCACGTGGAAGAAGTCGCCCTTGCTGAAGGCCAATTCCTGGGAGTTTGGTTCGGGGGTGTAGTCGTAAAGAGCTTTGATCACCTGGAGGAGATGCGGTCAGCGCGATCGGAGTTGGGTGGGAGGAGCCACTTTGGAGGGGCAGAATATTCAGCGGGGGCGAGTGAGCGCAAGTTGGCGGAGGTTGGGGGAGTGGAACAGGACAGGTACAGGGACAGGCACAACGACAGTAGACAAGAAACAGCAGGCAGCAGGCAAAAATAACAGATCACACAAGGGGTGCTCATAGCATACCTTCTTGGGAGGTAGAATCGCAAGGGCTGACTTGGGGGTGATGGAGATGTGGTGATGGTGGTTGTGGTTGTGGTGGTGGTGTTTGGGTTCTTTCTCCCCTTCAAGGACCGTCGGATAGCCTGGATAAGAGTTAGTGTTAGTTCAGTCCGAGCACACCGCAGCACGGGGATATTCCAAACAGCAAGGGGTTCTCTTACCTTCATCGCGACAGAGGGGAAGGATTGAGGGGGGATTATAAGGGGGGAAGAGAAAGTGGAAGTGGTGAGTTGCGCAAGAGTCCAGGGTGATTGCCGTTCCAACTGGTGGACACCAAACCAGGCTGGGAATGAATGGTGAATGGTATTGCGTACGAGTAGGTACGAGTAGCGTTACTCGTAGATTTATAGACGGAAAATTAGACTATTTTATGATGCGAATTATTCTGACCCTCCATCTGCTTTTGCCATTCGCCTGCTACGCGCCAACCACCAGGGTTTCCTGGTAATACACATACGCGCTGTCAGCATGAGGCTACTATGAACATTAACACTAGCAGTAGTTAGTATTACAGTAGAATGCTATTGCAGATCACACAAGAGTTAACAAAGAACGGAACCGGCTCTCAGCCCGTGGAACAACTACCCCGGGTCCATGGATCATACTCTTTGTCTAACGACAAGTATGCTATAGTTACTAACTATGCTATCCTATACATCCACTTCGTCTGTGTAGACTTACGATGAATGAATGAAATAGTATCAGTATGTACTCCGTGGATAGCCTAAACATAGACCTAACTGCGCATATACACGTCGTTGTAACCCTTCAAGCTCCTATGGTTAAGTATCAGTCTATTCGTACCATACTCAAATATCTATCGAATCCTTTTTCCATGGTTACTGTGATCTATTAACCATCACCATCAATCACAGGGTTCAACTTCAGCTGACTCTGCCGATCCCATGATGTCAGTCCTAGCCAGTCTTTGTCCTTTCTGCACTACACTCTGCACTCTGCATATCCTCATATGCAGAGCGACAGCTAATCAAGGACAGAGAATCACAACTGCAGAGTTCTCACTACATACGAGTACACAGCCCTCGTGCTCTGTACCCTGTCCCCCGTACCATGCATGGATCTAATTAAAGGAACCGCACAGGCACCACAACCGACCGGGGGAATCACAGGGGCAAAGCGGCCAGAACCAAGGACACGACGCAGAAGCGATTTCTCGAAGCCGACGGAACATCCCTCGGCCAGTGAGATCTTGTCGGACCCATTTCCACCCACGGCTGCCACGCGCTGCGACCCACCGTGGCGGGGGCGAATCCTTGGATTTGCATTGGTGCTTTTGTGGATGCCACAGAACCCCAGGAACCCCGTGGTCACACGGTAGTTATTTTGCGGCGGACTCCGTGAAATTCAACCGTGGTGAATTTACAGAGTATGTAATCCGTACAATACTTCATACTTTGTAATTTGGGGTTGCACTCTGGTTGGGTTGGGTGGCGAGGGCCTCGAAGATCGGGCAGCAATTTGGGTGTGGACCGCGGCTGCTCCACCGCTGGTGGGGATGTGGTGGTCTCAGGTCTAGAATTGGGATACATAGTATCTTCGAATTCGACTGGTCTCGGAGCTTGGACTTCTTCAACGCTGGCTGTACGGAGTGCGAAGTATGGAGTCAACTAAACATAGGGCTGAGCCGCGTCAGGCATATACCTCGAGTCCACTAATAGTACTACTATTTAAAAGCATGGACGAGGTCATGCAAATCTGATATTAAAATGCCACTATTCGATTCTACCTACTCCGTACCCAGATACTAAATAGTTGCATAGCTCATTATCTAACTCCCACCCAATCCTGCAACCTCCAAGATAGCATCCACAAAAACCCGCGGTTTCTCCAACGGAATCGCCTCCCCACACCCCTTAACAATACGATGCACCCTCTTCCCAGTAAAATACTTCGCCGTCGCACTCCCATCCGTCGCCGGAAAAACAACAGCCTGATCCGGATCAAGCGTAACAGCCGGAACTACAATAACAGGCTGACTATCCAGTTTGGCCGCTAGATCCGCATAAGCCGGATCCCCCTTCGAATAAAGCAACCGATTTCGATAAAAGTCCGTCGCAATATCGACATAATCTGGATTCCGTAACGCTTGCGCTGCAGCATCGAGCGTGGCCTCTGTAAATGTCCAATCGGGACTATTCCTCGACCAAAGAACCTCCGCCCAGCCCTTTGTATCGTTCGCCAGCGAACTGTATCCGAACGGCGTGAGGAAGACGTAATAGTACCATTTCACTGGGAACGAGGTAGCCGGCGCGACGGACCACGCTGTCTCGCGGTTCTGGATTAGGTAGGAGTTTGCTGCGACCATGCCGGTGCAGCGGTGTGGCCAGAGTGCGGCGGCGGCGTTGACGACCACGGTACCCCAGTCGTAGCCGGCGAAGATGGCTTTTTCGATGTGCAGCGCGTCCATTAGGTCAATTACGTCTTTGCCTAAAGCGGCTTGTTCGGCGCTGCGTGGTGTGCTTGGTGAGTGGAAGGTTGTGCCGCCGAAGCCGCGGAGTGAGGGTACGATTACGCGGTAGCCTTCGTCTACTAGGCCTGGGACTACGTCGATGTAGGTGTCGAGTGAGTATGGGAAGCCGTGGATGAGGATGGCGACTGGGGCGGTGGTGTTGTTTGGGCCAGAGTCGAAGTATTCAATCGAGAGGGTGGGGGTTTTGGCATGGTGGACTGGGGAGAGTGTTGGTAGGGATATTGATGATGAAGGGGAGGAAGGGGAGGAGGTCCCTGTTGCTGTTGGTGTAGCGATGGTTGTGAGGGATAGACTGCATAATACGAGGAGACCAACAAAGGTCCCTGATAAAAGTCGTGGCATGGTGGTGAGTGATTGGATTGATACGTTTTTTTTTCTATTTAATTGGGTGCAATTCATACTCTTAAATAATGTCTTCAGCCTTGTTCAAGAGAACATATCTGCTAGTGCTTATTCTTTGTGCATTGTGATCAGTCCAGGGGAAGCATAGTAAACCTTGGAAGTGTATAAGCAACGAGGCTGAGCCACCTGTTCCTCAGTGAGACCGGAGTTGGTGCCTCAGTCTTCTGGCCGCATTTGGGTATCATTCTCCTCTTTGGGAAAGTGTACTAGCCTAAAGTTTATGAATGGATTAACTATCTCAAATCAATAACGTTTCATCGTCAATATTTAGGAGACTAATCTGAGGGATCGAAAAAGATGAAAATGGATAATTTCAACGCTGCCTGCGAGGCTGTGTCCGGAATGGCAAAAGGAGCCATAAAATAACGCGATTGCCATAAGCCTCCATATTTTCTTTCAATATTTGAAATCATGATTGATGTCGAGTGCACCTGGAATAATTACTAGGTCTTTTCCGACCGCACCTAAATATTCACAAGGGGAAAGTCCTTTTCAGAATCCGCAAAAGCTAGCATAGCAGGAAATGAAGGGTCCCTCTCTTCGAGCTCGCTTCGATGGTACTTACAAGATCCTGATAGACTCATGTTATAAAAGAGTTATTATTCGAGATGCTAGACCGGATATAAAGCGACTTTCCTTGGCTAGTATCGTTGAAACATGTATGGTTGTTATCAAGACTGGCCTTTGCATTTCCAGGTACCGACATGCATGTTTGTGCTGCGCTTCGCTGCAGCCACAGATACAATTACAAGGGAACTGCCACTAATAATGTCAAACACGCCAAATTTCTGTTCGTCGAGGTCAAGGCCTTTGCAAAAACCGACATAATGTGAGCATATTGACGGCAAAATTCCGAGTCTTTTCACGTTATAAAGTAGAGAAATAACGATACTTTTCTTTTTTCTATTTCATTAACTCATAACTCTCCTACCAGCAGAATTCATATCTACCAGCATACTTCGCAATACGACAAACATGGAGGTCATGAATCCCAGCAGCGGACAACTTGGTGCAACAGGTAAGTAAGGTGGGATAAAGATCATTCCTGCGCCTAAGTATACTTCGGAACCTCCAGAATTGACCAGCATGCATACTAGCCACCGAGATAAGAGACTGGGTAAAACCGATCGAAAGTACCAAGATCAACCCCAATAATTATCGAGCCAGTCGCGAGTTTGCTAACATTGTGCCTTGTGCCAGATAACTGTACCTTCGAGCCTCCCCATATAGAGTTCAGTAGGGATAAGTGGATAGAGTGCCATGTGCGTATCGAACGAAAAACCAAGCAAATCGAGACTGGACAGGGCACTGGCACTGGAATGGTTTCGAACTGGATTATTGAAGTAACAGGATCACTGATAGATGGGCCCATATACCAAGCTCCGGATGATAAGACTCTCAGCAAAGCGCTTGAGAATGTATTTCTTGCAACCTGTGAACTCAGCTTACCTGATGACGAGAGGAGGCAAAGATATAATACTATTAGACTCGCACATTGCTAGTTAGATCTACCAAGGAGTCTCAAGATTAAGATCATGATTGCTCGTCCCACAATACTAGCACTGTAAAAATAAAACACTGACAAGAATTGCATTGCTTAAATGTACTCAAGATGGGCCAATATCTACTGAGGTGCGCCAGCGACACCCTCGCACCAATACAGCCAGCACAGCGCAACAGTACCTCGACAATCAGTCGTGCCGGTTCTTGCAGCGCTGGCCTCGACTATGCTGTACCGGGCTTCAAAACACAAATAGAACCGGGGGATAGAATGGGAATAAAAGAAGAAAAAGGAGACCAAGTGCTAACGCAACGTAACTCCGGGGTGATATGACGTGGAAAAGAATTTTGGTCGACCAAACGCCTGTCGCTAGGGGTGGAAATGGGATAGAAAAAGGGCCGAATCTACCAAGGCGAGGTAGTGGCAAGGTAGTGGCGCAGAGTAGACGGGATCCAGGGACCAGCCTAGGGGTAATTAATTGAAAACTGTTTTCCGGGACAGAAGGAATAAGCGGACTGAGAAGGGCCCAGGTTAGATTTGTCCTTTGATGTCGACGACACGGTGCGCTTCAGATTTGGCTTGTTCGAAGACGAGCCCGGCCTTGCCGGTCAAGAGCCTGACGGACCCGTTTCGCTCTTCAAGGAGTTCTGCTGGGGCATGTTCCAAGACGAAACGGGCGGTCTGCTCATCCGACTCGAAACCGAGTTCCTCTGTAATGAAACGGATGTTCACATCGGGTTTGTACCTATAGTTTTGTTAGTAAATAGCCTTCGAAAAGGGGTTGAGACGAATCAACTTACGCTTTGCACATGACGGCCAGGGCAGACAAGCGCTCGCGGTCGACAAACATGTCCATGAGATAGGCGCCCATGTTGGGCGTCTCTAGGTACAACTGGAAGAAGCGATGGTAGTTGCCGAGTGCCAACGCGGAGCGCACATCGAGGGCGTGCTTAACAGCCTCGTTCTTCTTGTCTGCAGCAGTCACGTCGGCTAGAGCATCGTTCATGGCCGTCCAGTTGCGGGTGTAAATGAAATAGAGAATACGATACGCCTTGAACTCCGTCGGATTCCCGCCTAGCGATTGCGCGTAAAGTACCCGGAGTTGAGTCTGGCACTGATTATACTCACCAAGATCCCCTTTCTCCAAGGCGATACGTGCGTGAATCTCATATACGGTCACTGTGAAGTCGGTCCGGATGTGCTGAACCGTCAGATCCTGGCGGAGGGACTTGAACTGATCACAGATGTAGGTGTAGTTGCTCTCTTGCTTCCATTTCTTCTTTAAAAGATCCAAGGCCTTTCGGAGAACGGGCAGTGGGCGAACAGTATCCGGGTTCGGGGCAGAGGTTAAACGGAAGTAGTTCTTCTCCAATTTCTGGCATCGGCCAATCACGGGTCCTTGGTCGGGTTCACTGCGCGCCGGAGAGTCGACAGGGGAAGAGGTGCCCGAATTTCCGTAGGTGGCGCCGGCACCCTCAAAACGCCGCTTCCTCATCTCCAAATTAGCTTTTGACTTACTCGAGTCATCTGTGGTCATGCGGGGGCGCTTCTCTGTGGAAGGGTGAGTGACTCTGTCTTCAAAACGATTGCGATTATTGTTAGCTTTTCTCCATGGTGGGGAGTTCTCGGTTTGATGGATGTCGGTCGACTTTCGCTTGCGCGAAGCATCCCCTGGGGAGGATGGTTGACTGGACATGCCCCAGTGGGAGACACTCGGGTTGGCCAGGATCTTATTGCGTTCATTCTGGATCATGACTTGCGGCAGAGCGAGACGCTCCCAGTCTATCATCTCTAGTTTGTGGTTTTCAGCGGCGTCGGTGATGACAAAGCGGAGTTTCTCTTGCATCTCCTTGGTGTCGACGCTGGCGACCTGGTTCTCGGGGGCAAAACACCGTTGTACGTAGCTGCGGACAGCCGGTGGAAACTCCATTCGAGGTCGCGGATCCGACTCGGTAGATGGCATGGCGGGCTGGGGAGGGTATCCATTTGTGGCAGGCTGGGTTGATTTGCTATGTGCCAGACTACGGCGTGCTTGTACTGGGATATAGGCAGGGGTCGCTGGAGTAAAACCGTTAGCGCTGAACAAAGAAGCGACTGGAACCCGAACTGGAACCGGATCTGAAAGGGGTCCAACCACGGGATAGGGCTTACCAGTTGGAAAAGGGACAGGCACAGCAGAGGGTGCTGGAGCTGGCCAACGGGATTCACGCCATGGGACGCTCGAGTTCATGACGGATGATGTCTAAAGGGAAGGGTGAAGATGACAGGGCGGAAGAAGTGGCAAAAAAAAGATGGAGAGAAAAGAAGAAAGATAGAGAAGAGCTACGATGGGCTGACGGGAGATGTAGAGGAGAAGTAGAGGTGGAGGAGGAGGAGTTGTAAATGCAGCAACAGTAACAGTATGTGGGAAGGGAAACTGCGAGTCTGCGTTGTCCTGCGTCGCGCCTGCCCGTTCCAGAGTGTGTCTGAAGTTCACTTCGCTTACTCTCCGGACTTTTAGTTTCCCCGACATTCCGTTGTTATCTCCTTATCGCGGCCTGCAGGTTGTCCACCTTATGCTGGCCCCCGGTCCCTTTGGGAAGCTGCGTGATGCACGAACCTGCTAGATGTTCTTCAAGTCTTTGGACCTGACCACGGCACTGCGCCCTTTGCTATTACCTGACGAGTCCCTTCTCTTTGTACAGGATGCGGTCGGGTTATACGAGGGGTGAGTGAAACGCCATGCTTGGCATCGGATCCAATGTTATGCTGTTATGCCCCGACATCTACTGATATAAGGAATAGGAAATATAAGATCCCCAACTATCAAAATGGCCACGCCTACTTGACCTCCCACCGAGTATGCTACGTTGCTACCGAGGATCCACGCAAATACTGTGTTGGAATTGATTTAAAGGAAATTGACCGGGCAGAATACCAGGTTGGAAGCTCTCGTTCCCGGGATGCGGGGGAGGCGGAGGGGACTGCAGCTAATCCAACTTCTGTTACCAGGCTCGTTTTTTAACCTCGTCGCCTAAAGTTACCATCTATCCCAAGCCACAGAATACCAAGAACGACAAGTCTCGAAGCACAACATCGAGCCCCGCTATCCCTCAGCAATCGACTCTTCATCCACTCCCCCACACGGGTCCATCAAAGTCACCCTCACCAAAGCCAATCAATGCAACTTGGATCTGCCCGATATGTACCTTCTCTAATCCTGTTCCCTCCAACTTTGACCCGGCGACGGCGACGGCTGCGACCAACTTACCGCCGTGTCTTGCATGCGGTATCAAGCCGCCCTTTACAACCGTATTGAAAGCAGCGATCACGGCTGCGGCTAGTCGAGATCACCCCTTACCCGGTGCTAGCTCATTGGCACCAGAGGATAGTACGCCTACCAGCAATGGGGGACACGACACAACTACCGCTGGATCGGTATCCTGCCCTCGGTGCACCTTTGTCAACCACCCATCACTGATCGAGTGTGAGATATGTGGAGCACCGTTGATGCCAAAAGGTGCTGCTTCACTGCTGGACAGTGGGGGAAACCGTGCAGATTCACCGGCTCCATTCTTCCAGCAAGCGCGGATAGTCAACACAGAAGTGAGCGAGAGTATCAAATTATCGTTTCGGGATGGCGGCGAAAAAACTTTTCACGAAAGGCTTAAGGATGCCCTGGTGCAAAGGAAATGGCTACTCCAGAATGCCCCCCCCGGTACCTCCCCCGGCGCAGGTCACCTCGTCGCCAGGTACTCCCGCCGCGGCAGCCCTCGAGAGCCCGCAGCCCGCAGCCCCCCGCGTGTCAGCTGTAGGCATCGCAGGCCTTGAACAACGAGGGTTGGAGGCTCGCATGAACAATCAGTTGGTGATTGGCAATGCGTTTGAGGATTTGGAGGCATTGATGGCATCGGCTAAGCAAATTGTCGCCCTCGCAGAGACCTTGGCGCGAGAATCCGGAATGGCTACGAATGAAGGCTCCGCGGAGACTAACGCGGTGTTATCTGAGTCCGTGGCAGCCCTCGGGATGGTAACTACCAAGGATATGCTGAGTTCGGGTTCCGAGACACTCTATCTCTCAGAACTATCACGCAACCTAGCAGAGTATCTTACGGACGACCGCCAGGGCATTCTACAGCGGGAAGGAGGAATCATGAGCTTGATCGATCTCTGGGCGGTATTCAACCGGTCTAGAAATGGTGTCGAGCTTGTCAGTCCATCTGATTTCCAGCGAGCGGCAGAACTCTGGGAGAAGTTGAAGCTCCCGGTTCGATTGCGCCGGTTCAAGAGTGGACTGTTGGTGGTTCAGAGATATGACTGGAGCGATGATAAGACGGTACGACAATTACAGGAGTGGATGGAAGAATTGCGCCAAATTCCACCCGAAGACCCGGTTCCATGGGACTCGCTGATCTTCGGTCGGGCCGTGACGGCGCAGGAGACGGCGCAGCGCTTTAAATGGAGTGTCGGCGTGGCTACCGAAGAATTAGAGATGGCAGAGGACCGAGGCGTACTTTGTCGGGAGGAAGGCATTGAAGGGCTACGGTTCTGGGGCAATTACATCGTCATTCCTAGTAACTAGGATCTAGGCTTAGTTGCTTAGTGCCGGCAGCATCCGACATCATCGATCAACCAAGCCAATCCCGAAAGAAAGGTGATCCGCCGGGTGCAACGTGAAGGCAATGGGCGATGACGATGGATTCCAAGCTAGCGTGCTAGTCTGGTCCAAGGGAGCAGAAACTCTGCAGGCGACGAATCACAGTCCGCAACCTGGGTGATACTGTGACGTCAGACTCCAAATTGACCTGTGCTCTGCTTACGTACGCAGACAGGGCTGCGGGGTTTGCGCGGTGATTGGTCAACTCCGCGTGTGCCCTTGTCGGGTCTCCACCACAGCCGGAAGACTCTCCTCCTTGAGGCATTCAGCCAGGGAGTTACTTGAACTGCTGTCTCCCATTAATTTTATGTTTCATTCTGTTTTGCGTTTGCAATTTCAGAGAATCAAACGCTTCATACAGTATATATCGGCGACTGCGCCCAAGTGGACCTGGTGCCCACTTCCCCGCAATTCGCTTCCTCTTCGTGATTTCGGGTGGATATGATCGACTTCCTTAGTGTCCTCTCGATCCCCACGCGAATTATCTTGTGATTCGAACTACTCACTATTTTCGATTGCCGGATATATCAAGAATACAATCAGATTATCCCTTACCCCATCCCAATCAACCTCTGTCTGTCATGAGCTCTTCCATAACGATACCCCGCGCTGCCGGGGTTGGCGTTACACGCCCTGCCCTCTCTCAACTAGTGGCCTCACGCACCTCTCACAGTCGAAGCATCCTGGGCTGGGCCCGTAGCTACCATATCGGAAATAAAGACAAGTTTGAGCGAATTTCCCGCCGTATCGACAAGTACCACCGTCATCCCGAAGCCAACTGTTGCCGTAAGGCAGAAGCTCGTGAGGACTGGCCTTCCACGAGCCACCGCATCGCTGGTTGGACGCTTGGCAGCTGGCGTCGCTCTCGTTCTAGCTTTTCTGAACTCTCATCTGGTCGAGAGAAGATTTTTTGGGATGCTGAGAATGAACAGATGGCTCGGCAAATGTCCTCGATGAAAAAGCTCGTCTCGGATGACCCCTACGATGCACTTTTTGGACATAGACTGGGTGCCTCTAGACTAGGTGCCTCCTACATGGAGCAGAACAATGCTCGCTGGCCGAGCTTTCTGTGGTCCTTCGTCAACGAGAAGCCTGCCTACGCTGAACCCTCCAAAGCACATCTCCAAGACTTCAACTTCACTCGTTCCCCCTCGTCCAGCTCTCTTGGAAACCCAGATGCCCTTCAATATGACCCGATTAGTGGCCGCATGGTGCCGACACCCCCCCGTTGAATCCAAAATTAAAGGTACCAAGGCCTCCGTGGACTGTCCTCCTGGCAGCGAAGTTGAGGCAAAATTCGCTTCAATCCCTGCTGTTCCGGAGGATAGCAAGTTTCGCAAGACCTCGGCCATTGCCCATTCCCAGTCCATCGACTGTCCACCTGGCACTGAGCTAGATGCTCTCTACAAAACCGAACCAGACGCTCTTAAGGAGGCTAAGGTTACTGGCGTGAAGCATGGCGAAGAGTTCACTCAAAAACCCAATATCAACATATCCTGTGCTCCAGGCAGTGAGTTGGAAGCGCTTTTTATCTCCGAGTCGATGCACACAGAGCAACCACATGCCGAGACCTTTAAGGTCAAGAAAAGTGCCAAACATTATAACCTCGATGCAGACTTTAACACCCGTGGAAATGTCGAATGTGCCCCCGGCAGCGAGCTCGAGGCCATGTTTTCCTCCAATCCCGCCGCTCGTGAGGACCGAAGCCGCCCTTTGAATGCATTCAACCCCGAGTCAAGCGAAACACACATCACTGTATCTGTTGACTGCCCCCCCTGGAGGTGAGCTGGAAGCGAAATTTGCTACCCAGCTAAGCCTGGGCGAGCACTACACTGCCCCCACCGATGTACCAAACATTGACTGTACCCCTGGAAGTGAGGTTGAGGCGAAGATGGTTGCCGAGTCTGTCATCCCCTTCTCCCAAGCCCCGGAGCGATCTACTGCGAGTGTTGACCGCACTGAAAGCGTTGACTGTGCACCTGGTAGTGAACTGGAGGCACTATTCACTGCGGATCCCGCCTCTGCCGAGACAATAACCCGCCCAACTAAACTCGCCCATTCAGGCAGCACCCAGAAGGCTCCTCTCACCATGGACTGTGCCCCCGGAAACGAGTTAGAGGCGATGTTCGCTTCCGAAGCCGCCGCTACTGGAGCATATGGCAAAATCGAGGATGTGAGCCCGCTGCAAGCCAGCGACATTCGAGCCGGCCGCATCTCAGATGTCCAATATGATGGTGTCGAAGATCGTGTCGGTGATTTCCTAGCATTGAACCCTGAAGCTGCGAACACTGGATCCGCCCCCTTCCGTATCCTAGCCTACGATGCCGCCGCTTCGAAGGTTGCCAGCTCCGAGGCAGACTCATTCTTCGGTGCCAATGAGCCTGTAGAATCGCACGAGGTTCTCTCCCGCCTCCACAACCCCGCCAAATTTGTCCCCTACTTCGAACAAATGCAACAAGACGGATATGAGATAGCCACAGGGGGCGGCGACATTATCGTCTTCAGGAAATCGTCCAACGGCTCAATCAACCTAATCATGTCCCCCGAAGTCGCTGCGCGACAGGAAGCTATCCATGCCGACATTGCGAAGTCCATCCGCCATGACTCCTATGATTCATCGGAGTCCTCCTCTCGCCCTTCCACCTCTAAGGTGAGTTGGCAGTTAACCTTCCCGCCCGGGTCGTCCTAACTCATCGGGTCGACATAGCTTTCTTCAGAGTCAAAGCAGAACGCCAAACAGCACACGCGTGTGGAGGAATCGCAGGGATCCGGATCATCTACACACCCGAAACCAAAGATCCAGTCGACATTTTCCAAAGCAGTCCGCCGAATTTTCATCACCGGTACTGCCGTCGGCGCATCGTGCTATGCCGTTGGTGTTGTGACTGAGTACTTCCGCACAGGCGGAAAAGACGGATATGGCATCGACGGATTCACGGTATTTGAGTCCGATAGGCGTCATCGGTGAGACAAGAAGAGGACTATCAGCTGAGCCATTAGATATGATCGGTTATTTTTTTATGGTCTGGTTTTGACTCCATCCCATATATTTTCTTGATCACGAGCTGGCCTTATGATATTTTTATGAGCCTCCCCTGATATATTTTTGATTTGATTTTGTTTGGGGGGGGATACAGATGTCGGCGCCTGGTTCTTTTTCATGCTTGTGATATACCCATCTCCCCACAATGTCTATGCTGTGCATAGAGATTTAGACGAAGAACAAGATCATATTTCCTTCTCATGTTTCTTTGTATTTTCTAAAGGACGATTAAGGGGGAGCTGCCTAGTCTCCCACTAGGTCTAATCTTGGAAGCCGTTAAATAGGCCTGGACGACGATTAGAAGGGGCCACCGTCTGATCGTCATTTTTAATCGCAAGTCATTTATTTAAGCTTGACTCCCCACCAACCTTTAGCATCAATATTCTGTGTTTGCTACGCGGCTTGGGCCCCTGACCAAGTTTATACCCACTATCCGCCGCCAAACTCAAACTCAGTCAATTCCACCCGTAAGCTTATAGCTAAAATAAGGCTAAAGATAACATCCACACTGGCCATCCTGAGGTCGACAGCGCAAAATTTGTTGACTCAACACTTGCTTTTCTCACACTATTCAAGGCCCTACGACCAACCCCCTCCTTCCTTTGCCCTCGGCGAACAATCGATATCCAAGCCGGATACCCAATTCGCCGCGTCGGCGAATGCTTGAGTCAGGAGACGACTAATACCACCTGGTACCCCCGGGTAGTATCTTGTCCGAATACATTATCGGCGGTGAATTACGGAAACAACGAACAATCCAACGCACATATCACGGATACTGGACCCGTCCCGTACGACTGCGCCAATTCAACTTGGAATCTGTTGGCGCATGCTGGGTACTTCTGTTGCGAGGAGGATCAGGCTGGGTTTTGGATTAGCGATAAGAATAGCTGGGCGTATACTTCTTATGGATGTGAGAAGGAGAGTCTTGTGCGTCAGAATGCAAGCCTGATTATAGCGACTCTGGAGAGTTCAAGTTCTTCATCCAGTATGTTCTCGTTTGAGATTGCTATCTTCTCCCCGTCTCCAGATCGGCGACTGACTCGCTGTGAAAGCGCCAAAGGCAGGTCCGAACAAAGGTGCCATTGCCGGCGGCGTGGTCGGAGGAGTTTGCGGTCTTCTTATAACTGCCGGATTACTATGGTTTTTTCTCCGTCGCCGTCGCTCAGGAACATACACCAAACAAGATCAAGTCTCGACGAATTCCAACCCAGGCGCTGGATCTTATTCTGGGCATGATGACTCGCGACACGAAAGAGGCGAGTTGGAGGGGAGTCATGAAGTTCGGGGAGAGTTATATGACCCTTCGCCGTTGCGAAATGAAATACCGGGCGATAATCGATCACGCATGGAACTCAATGGCGATATTCCTAAGGCTGTGAAGGTGGTGAAGCAAGACTCGGCATCCGAGCTTCCTTGATGTGGGTTATTCCTTTGCCTATATCTTTCAGTGATTATCTTGTAATGTGTCTTTCGAGTGGGAACTTTTGGGGTTTTGTAATTAATTATACACTTATACCCTTGGAGAATGCAAATGAGCAGCAATTTGGTTGGTAATGATCCCATTAAATTGAATTGTGGCGGCCAAATTCTAGCTAAGCAGCAATTCAACATCCAGTTTGACCGTTTCCTTCATGCTGGCGAGCTGCTGAAGCAAAAATGGACCGAGACTGGCCAGTTGGCGATGGGCACCCGCGAACGTTGTAGGCAACCTCAATAACTCCCAACTCTTCCAATCTCTCTGCTTTTTCCTTCCTCTTCTTTTTCTTCCGCCCCAACTCATACTCGTTTGGCTGCACCCACCTTCATCAGCAACATTGACTAAAAGCCTCTTTCACCCCGTGGGCCACAGCGTCTCGTCAGTGCACGGAGTCAAATATTCAGACTTCTACCCCCAACCGGGAACGCAGTCAACGAAATCTGGATCGATGAATTCGAACTGTCCTCCCGCTTGCCCTCCAGAGGAAGAGCATGGAAAGTAGAAAGACTGGTCGCGTCCAATTTGGGGTAAGCCAGTGTGAGCTGCTGATCACGACTTTTTTGTCTTAAAAAAAGTCAATTCAGCGAAATACGACCTTAGAATTGCGACATAGGAGACGAAGAAGCTGAAGCCAGGATTACCTAACCCACTTCGGTTCAATCATCCGTTGCTATCACTATCAGAAATGATTGATAACGGGAAAGCATGCCGAAAAGATCGAGGGACGGGACAAATCGGACATGTATCCGCGGTGAACTTGCGCGATACTCCTCATTCCCCGCATCTCCTCCAAACATCCCCTCACATGCGGGGGATTCTCCCCACTCAGAAGCACCTGTCAACAGTTCCCGAAAAAATACTGCACAGTGAGAATTTGTCTTTTTCATATATCCAGTAATTTTGTTACTAGTATCCGCGGTTCCGATCATAGACAGCGTAAAGTTATTATCATGGCGAGCACAGTCGGAAAGGCATGTCACGACTTTTCATCACTTCTCTTAATTTCGTCCATTGGTAGCTAACTTGCAGGAAATAGACAATTACTTGCAAGGTACGAAAGGATGCGGCACAATCGACATGGATTCCGCGGGGGAAGATGAGCGAGCATGAGGTATACTGATCGCGACCAAAAAAAGGCAGCAATTGCTTGGAATGCAAAGGAGCCTCTATCCTTGGAAGATGTGGAAGTGGCTCCACCAAAAGCACACGAAGTGCGCATGAAAGTCCTGCACACTGGAGTGTGCCACACAGGTATTATGGCCCACACTGAACCCGAATGAGGCTTACTAAATGTACTAGACCAATATACACTTTCTGGCGCTGACCCGGAAGGCGCATTTCCCTCCATTCTCGGCCACGAGGGAGCTGGTATTGTGGAATCCGTTGGAGCCGGAGTGACTAACGTTAAGCCTGGAGATTTTGTTATCGCACTATAGTGAGTCAATACAAACGTTCGACAATTTTCAAGTTTGTCGTCATATATGCTGATCAAAATAGCACCCCCGAATGCGGCGAATGCAAGTTTTGCAGATCTGGAAAGACAAATCTGTGCGGAAAAATCCGTGATACTCAAGGTAAAGGTGTGATGCCCGATGGAACATCGCGTTTCCGAGCACGCGGCAAGGATATCCTACACTTCATGGGCTGCTCGACATTCTCCCAATACACTGTTTTGGCAGATATTTCCGTCGTTGCTGTCACCGATCGAATTGGAACCGACCGGTCTTGCCTTCTCGGCTGCGGAATCACCACCGGATACGGTGCAGCAGTTTTCTCAGCCAAGGTTGAGGAAGGTTCTACGATAGCTGTCTTTGGCGTAGGCTGTGTTGGATTGTCAATCATTCAAGGGGCCGTTAGGCAAAAGGCAAGTCGGATCATTGCGATCGATCTGAACGATGGAAAAGAGTCTTGGGCGCGAAAATTCGGAGCCACGGAATTCATCAATCCCACAAAGATGCCGCGCAGCAAGCTTCTCCAAGAGCATTTAGTGGAGATTACGGATGGAGGATGTGACTATACTTTTGATTGTACTGGTAATGTCACTGTGATGCGAACTGCCCTCGAAGCTTGCCATAAGGGATGGGGCGAGAGCATCGTCATTGGCGTTGCGGCTGCTGGCCAAGAGATCACCACTCGACGTAAGTCTCCCTTTCTCGTTTCTGTAGCTCATTGCTAAGGACTCCACAGCTTTCCAACTCGTTACTGGCCGAACTTGGCGAGGCTGCGCCTTTGGTGGCGTGAAGGGCCGTACACAGCTACCGAGCCTTGTTGATGACTATCTTAATGGTCAGCTAATGGTGGATGAATTCATCACTCACCGTCTGCCGATAGAACGCCTCAATGAGGCTTTTGCTTTGATGAAGGAGGGAGGCTGTATTCGTTGCGTTGTGGATATGAAATAGATAAATTAGTGCGGATTGTATTGAAGAGAAACAGGGAAAGGGTTGTGCAAATAGTCTGGTCTGGTCCAATGCCTGGAATTGACATCTAAAGATTTCAAAGGACTGTGATTAAGTATTTTGATTTCTTTTCCTATGCTAAAACATCACAACTAGAGGCTGTGACCCTCGTAGTACGTTCCGTTGAAATAATTTCAGATGGTCACTCAGATGGTCACCCATTCCTCGAACAAACAAAATCCTGGCCCAGTGTTCCATCGTCAAGCCAGCTTAATATTGTCCTGTGAATGTCAAAAGATGAATATAAACAGTTATTAAGAGATCACAATCTACTTACCTTCAATATTTCAATTCTCTCAGAAGCGCACTGGAAGGGTGCTGACCACCGAAGGCTTTCATCGCTTGTAGCTTATGATCCTCGGTCAACGAATTTTGGACGATGATCACCGTGGCCTTCCATCTCCTCTCGCCGGTATTTCACATATCAAAGAAGATCACTCACATGGGGTAAAAGACTACCTGGTCTCTTGAATCCCGTCTGCTCAGATCTAGTTTCAACTGAATCTGCACCAGCAATCCATGAATAACCCACTCCTGTGCATATGGCCACTCAGTCTCCAATTTATTAGCGATCGACTCACTTCCGCCCTCCCAAAGCCCCTTCTCAAAGGCAGGAGTCTGTTTGAGACATGCGAACACAGAATCAAAGTCTCTGTCACCTGGCGGCCAGCGACCTCTACGGGCGCGTTTGGGATGCCTGAAAACAAATGGCGGGTTGTGCCAAATCGCTGAAATCTGGTCAGCAAACTTAATTATCGTCTTATGTATATCGTCGATCCTGAAGGGGATTGGATAATATGGAATTGGATGGAAATAAGAGGCCTCTGGTCGGAATTTACTCACAGCAGTCTTGCGCCCTGAGGAAGAATCGACTCGGCATGAATTCTTCAGCCGGACGGTTCAAGTAAAAGACCGCAGGGATGTTTTTAACATTTACAGGGATGACAGGACCGGGGTGGTTTGACTCGATGGTAGATGGGGGCTTGTGATCCGACCTTGCTGAATCCTTGACGTCCTTCTCCGACGAAGTTGCCTGCCCCAGGGGAGGAAGCACAGCTTTCTTTGAATCCATGATTCATTGAATCAAAATTCACGAGCGAATTAAGAATAGTAGAAAGAATAGTTTTGAGAAGAAGAAGGATGAAGATAAGAGTGAGAAGAATGTGGAGGTGCTGAGAGAGAGAAGAAGGGGGGGAGGGCCTGATGATGCGATGATACGATGCGACAATACGGTCAGTACTGTCGCATCAGATATGAGGGTATCGCAACCTGGAGTCTATGGGTATTTAGAGGTAACTGGTGTGAAATATAAGATCACAGTAATAGTCAGATTCATTTATTCGTTCGGATTTAGATGTTGTTGGTCGTTCACGCTTTCTTGTTTAATTGGTTGTGCGACTTTTGTTCATGGCGACGGCGAGGTAGAGTGGAGACTCTCCAAACTGGACGCTCTCATCCCCATAGAAGAATACCATAGTGTGGTACTTATTATACATGGCCAAACCTGGTTAATATAATGTGAAAACCACACTTTTATATACTCTTCTTTGTGAACCTACAATCATTCAGTATCTCTATATCGGAAACGACTCTTTGTCTCTGACCAATCAGGAGTCAGGGATGACATCCGCTGTAGAATAATATGTGCTCGGTTTAATTAAGAGGAACTTGAATTAATATAGCATCTCTGTCAGTTTCGTGCATTGGAATAATAAAAGCAATTAGCCGAAACTCCTATAGTTCAAGGGTGGTGATCCGTGAAGCGGCTGCACCATCCATAATAAAGGGATCGTTTTTGATTGCTCTGATGTGTCAGAATGCTTGTAGCAGGACATTATTGACTCTGGTCAAATAAATTCATCTTGATCATCTACAATTGCGTGAGAATCTAATACTGCCAGTTTAGGGTTTATACCTGACAGCTGACACCCGCAAGGCGGTGAGCCCAGACAAATACTAGAGATACCATATTTCCAGCTGCCAGCCCTGGAGAGATCTATATTATATTGAAAATAGTAGTCCGCGTTTGACTGTCTTATTGCTATATAGAACACCCTATTTTACACAAGGGCTTGGAGACCTGCGTGAGGCTGAAGCAAGTGCTTTGGTACCACCTCTACGAACAAAACACTTGCCAGCCGTGGAGGATTTCAAGTTGTCCAATTTGAAGCACTGGGGCTCGGCAGCGATCATGATACTGCTATTACCCAGTAGTCGTAGTAGGGGATTATTTGCTCACTTCGAGTTTTCCCAGCGGGTAAGTATCGCCGACAGTCACAGCCGCAAGCCTACTACGAATAGAATTGCGGTTCAATGCTTCCCGTCCGCGCAGCGAAAAAAGAACTTGAAAAAGAATGCTGTCCAAGATTCCAAGTTTAACAGTCCACGACAATGGGGATTAAACAGCCAATGCATCTTTCTTTCTTCCTATTGCTCCGGTAATCCAACATCAGTTCGCTGACGTCCGATTCGAAGGTTGATGACGCATACCGCAGACTCGGATGTGTTTAGGCTACGTACCAGTCGCAAATATATATGCCGCACACTGCAACTCGACACAATCTTCAATTTGGGAGACAGATCATCAGAGATGACGTTTCAGCCCAATATTCCACACTGGCCAGACCTACCCCGTGGAGACCATTGCGAAGCAGAAACCCACCTTTCCAGCAGATGAATGCAAGCCGGGGAGTCTGGACTCTTCGATGTGGCCAGACCCAGTCACGTGGAGTCACATGACAGTGCTTGTCAAACAGACTGAGGTAAGCATATTAGATGGACTGGGTCACCTGACTAGGTACCTGAATGTACCTGACGCGCATGGACCTGTCAGTGGGGCCGAAGGTGGTCCAGGAACAGGCCTAGTGCACGCCTAGTGCGGGTGCAGACCTTGGTACGCCCGATGATCCTATTTACGGCAGACAGTGGTACGGAACATGTTTACATACACGTATTCCATTACGCCTGGGTATCCATTAGCAATCCTGGGGATGTGTATACGAGCATGTAGGTATTTGTACACCATTGAGATAAATTGAAACTGGAAAGACATACTATTATCTACTAGTACACACTCCTATAAATGAAGATTGAACAAGGGCAGGATATTCTTAGCACAGACTCGCGTTTCTATAATCAACAACACTCCCTCCGGCCACCAGCGACTTCTGTGTCCTTTGTCCGTCTTTGTCCAGCACTATGTATTCGGCACTGCTTCCAGAATCTACCACTGTTGTCCGCGCGTGGATACGATTCCCGCGACAATCTCTACCTTGATGGTGAGAAGATTACTCCGTACTCGTACCAGAAACATGCCTCAGCCACCGCTTGGTGGAGAGGGTGGCAGTCTGAAACAGAGAAGCGAACATCCGCGAGACTCTTACATAGCCGACCCCTCACAGGGCTGGCTCTCCACAACACTCCGAAACGCGTCAGGAATGTCTGGATGACGGGGGCTGGGTGCTATGATGTCGATGAGGAGATCGTGATGACCCTTCATTCCGACCTGTCGTGCACGTGGGATACTAGTACTAGTATCCTTTACTCCGTACTCCGTACGAAGTATACCCAAATACTACTCTACTCTAAAGGGAGTCAAACAGAGCCAAATAATGGTTCATGGCCCGGCTGGGTGGGATCGACAGGGACCTCGCGCAAAGCACGAATATAATGGGACTTTGAGAAATGAAGTACGTAGCTGGTATTATCGCATAAATTGTGACACCACAAGACCACCCGGGCATTCAATGGTAACTACGGAGTACAAAAAACAAAACTCGACGTTGCTCTACGAGGTTATAGAATTGCAAATTAATCGTGGAGTCTTCGAGTAGATAGTTTATTCACAGGATCAATACTAATTTATTCCTAGGTAAAACCAACAACCAACTATTGACCTGGCGCCGCGGACCAATGGACAAGAACGGAAAGCAGTCCATGACGTCTCGGAGGATTTCGAGACTATTAACTCGTGGGCAAGATAGTGCCGGAGTGTGCCAGTGCCACTGCCAGTGCCAGCCAGTGCCACCACCATGATGGTGTCCACACTTCAAGACTCCCTGAGGGCGGCCCCCGAACGATTCAAAGTCTAACCATCTTGGCCATGGCCGGCGCTACGCTGATTCGACCTCTTTGTTGATCGCTTACCCGAAGAGGCCAGGCGAGCGCGACTAAAACGAGGCCACGCCACAACGGGCCAAGTGGGCTTGACGAAATGCCCGTGTATAGTTGCGTATTGCTCGTGGGGGGTGAGTTAGTGCCACTATTGCCACGGGGACACGCATAGTGTCGGGAGGACGGGAGTACCTACAGTAAGTGCCTGACGCGGGCTGATTGCGATGTGCAGTTGACCTACCGCGTAAAGCAGTGGGTTAGACTGCCAGGTGGACTGGACTGGACTCGATCTGATCTGATCGTGATTGTGTTTACTCCAGAGGGCTCTGTGCTCCATTCTCATCCTGCTCCATCTGTACTGAAAATTGAGTCATGAAGGATCTGTATGCTCGGCACTCCGTAGTTACTCTGTAGTTGCTGCATGCTTTGTTTTTCTCCCCTGACTGTGGATGTGCTGCAGGAGCGGGAGGGAGCTGGGAGTACCTGGGAGCACCTGCCGTGTGAATATTCCGATATTACAGTACTATACAACACAACATACTATGTTGATATACCACGTATACTACTAGTACTACTATGTATATGTAGAGTGTTGCAACAAAGCAATGGTCTAGAGTAGAATAATATACTACTTGTATACTCTTCCCTATACTACTCTTACCAAAATACTGATACTTGTAGTTGCTCTGCCCAGTGCGTGGCTGTAAAGTCCCCCCCCCTAATTTACCGTCACTTACCAATACACACTTCCAGTCCCACTCCACCTTGGCAAACTCCCCCATTTTCCCCTTCGCCCCCTAACAAGCCTCACTCCCTCTTCATTATTCACCTTAATTCATTCCTTTCGCTCTCTTTACTGCGTCAACGACCTTCGGCGCCTTTGACCTGGGACTCAGCCAATTTGAGACTTCCCCTTGCATATCCCACGGTCGCGCTCTTCGCTTGTTTTCGTTTTCGATTCTCTTTCATCGCTATCGCTCCGCCTCAGGGCCGTCCACTCGCTCCTTACTGCTGTCCAAGCCCACACTCGCTTCTTCGTCGTTTTTATCTCCCGGCTCGTCTCAGTTACGATCCCCCTTCCATTCGTTTGTCCGTCTAGATCGATCGCCATTGACTCGGTCGTGTTTCACTCGCATCCCGTTGCCCTCGAGACGTCCAGTTTCCAAAGGAACAAGGTTGAAAGTTGGAAGGTGTCGAGACTGTGTCCCAGCATCCTCTCAACGTACTATCAACTCCATCAGGAACCATCGATCCATTCGAATCGTTACTTTTCGCATACACTTGAGGTGTTGGCAGACGAGACCATCCGATCTCGTACTGTACCCTCTCCGGACCGGACGCTCTATCATCTGAACTGTCAACACAGATCCGACGATTAATATGCGCCCCGGAACTCTTTCTCTCCTCGCGGCCTGCGCCCTTGGAGTGGTCGCTTCACAGGAATCCGACAACAGTGCTGTGGAACAACCAGAAGTCACCAATGTCGAACGCCCGCGCTTCTACTTCCCTCGCGAGGTGAAGCGTAACATCAAGAATGGCACCCACAAGGCCGCCGAGACCCAGGACTCGAACGATGGAGGAATCTTGGCCGGTGTCGACCAGCTCATCTCCAAGGTGGCTAATGGTGGCTCCGACACCACCACTGCCGAGACTGCGACCCCCACCCAGTCTGGCAAGGAGATCGTTGTCGTGATCACTGAGAACCCCGATGGAACCCGTGTCACCAGCACCATCACCCGTGATGTTGCCGCTCCGACAACCACCACTTCGTCCACCGTGACCACCAAGAGCGAGACTCCTGTTGCTAACACCAATAACAGCAACAAGGCTTCCGATACCAACACAGACTCCACCGCTAGCAAAGATTCGGCCACAGCCGCCAGCGCCAACACCGACTCTGCCACTGCTGCCAAGTCCGCCTCGGCGAGTGCTACCACTTCCAGCTCCGGCGGCCTTGGAGATATCGTTTCTGGCGCCCTTGGCGGTGTTAACTCTGTTGTTAGCGGGGTCGGCTCTGGAGTGAACTCTGTTGTTAGCGGAGTTGACTCCGTTGTTGATGGTGCTACTGGTTCCACCAAGACCTCTTCTTCCGCAGCTGCTGGTACTGGTGCTGCTACTAATGGCACTGCTTCATCCCTCAAGAGTGCCGATGGAAAATCGACCGGTACGAAGGGCACCGACTCTGCTACCACCACCACTGGCTCCGAGAACTGGATTCAGAGCTGGATTGATGGCCTTGGCGGTACTACTTCCTCCCCCACCACTCTCCCCGCCAGCGTCCCTGCCTCCGCCACTGCCTCCCCAAGTGCTTCCCCTACGGACTCTGCCACTTCCGGTGGTGATTTCCTCGGGTCCATTGTGAGCCCTGTCGCCTCTGGCATCACCGGCCTCCTCAATGGTGGTGGCAATGGAACCAATTCTACCGACAGCCTTACCAGTGGCCTTCCCGCCATTCCCACCCCCTCCGGTGGTCTCATCCCTCACCCTCCCTCTGCTGTTCCCAGCGGTAGTGTGATTCCCACTGGCACTGGTGGCACCGGCACCGGCATCAACACTCCTGGTGTGTCCAACTCGATGGGCCCTGTTCCCACTCCTCACCAGCCTGCCACCGGCACTGGCTCCGAATCCGGAAAGGCTACTGGCTCCGTTTCAGGTGTTCCTACTCCCACTGGCGGCGCCCAGGAGACCAGCTCTGTCGTGCCTACTTCCACCGCCACTCCCACGCCTGTCACTGAGACCACCCCTACCGAGACTGTTCAGCCCAAGCCCAAGCCCACCGAGACACCAACTGAGTCTGAGACAAGCAACTGGATGCCGTCGACCATTCTTGTTCAGCCTACCGTTGTTCCCTCTGAGACCAACACCCACACCGGTACCAACACTCAGCAGACCAGCGGCCCGACTTCGCTCCCTGGCTCAATCACTCCGTCCAATGCTGGCTCTGAGGCTCCTGCCGATGGAATTCTGCTCCAGCTTGGATTCGACAGCCACCTGCCCTGGTCTTTCGTTGCCACCACCCCGCTCTCTTCGTCTCAGATCTTCGAGTACATTCCCCAGGCTGTGAAGGGCGCTCTTTCCGGTGCCGATGACATGTCCATGTTCGCCCTGGAGCCTTACTACTCCTGGAAGACCACTGGCTACAACGCCACCCTCGCCATCTTTTACTTCCCCCGCGACAAGATTGATGCCCTGAAGAGCCTGAAGCTCAACCCCAACTCTGCTCTGTACCAACAGCAGAACGAGGCCGCCAAGACAATCATGAGCATGATTGACCCGTCCATCCCCATCGAGTTCAACGGTAACTTCCCCACTGGCGATTCGGATTCGACTTCCGACTTCAACGGCAGCGACAACAACAACGGCAACAACAATGGCGACAACGGCGACAACAACGGTGATGCTGGCTCCTCCGGCAGCTCTAAGGCCAAGGCCAGCTCCGTCGGCATTGGTGTCGGTGTCTGCGCTGGTGCCGCCGCCTACGGTGCCGGTATGTTCTGGGTTGCCCGTCGTTACCGCAAGAGAAAGCAGCTGCACCAGCGTTCCAGCTCCACTGCCGAGCAGATGAGCCAGGGCTCCGGCGCTGGCTCTCTGTTTGCTGCTGGTGCCCGTATGTCTGGTAGCCAGCGCACCGGCCGCTCCCAGATGATCAGTGCTCCCGTCATGGCCGAGAACTCGCTGGGCTGGAACTAGACGTTTGATTCAAATTATCAAGACGGATAGACTGGCTGATTGGCCTCGTCATGCTTCCTCTGCCAAGTCCTTGACAGATCGGCGCCCCCAGGCGTCTTCTGTGCCAGTGTTCCTGTGAGACTCTTGGGATACTCACAGGGATATCTAGCTGGAGTTGACAGCAAGAAGCCAGACTGCACAAAACTTCATTTCATTGTTCATCATCCCCTCCCAGGATATATGTCATATATCACGTATCTTTTTCACCTGTGAAATCTTTGACCGGCCATTTTTCCATCTTTTTATTCTTTTTTCACCTTTCATTTTTATGATACTCCGAGCTCCTCCGGGAAGCTGCGTTGTGTCTATTTTTTTTCCCCTTTTTCTTTCTGGAATATTCCCCCTTGTGTTTAACCATCCTCCACAACACCACCACCTCTCTACCTTACCCTACCATTCTCCATTTTACATTTTCCACCCCTGGCCTCCTGTGAAGAATTGTGATAAACTGAATGAGAACGAAAACGTTGATTCCTGCTTCAGCTCTGTGTGTGCCATCTGGAAAATTTACCTTTTTTAACTGGTCATATCTATGTCTCTTCCTTTTTTCCTTTTCATCCCCCTTCCTTCCCTCCCTCTCTTATGCTATGCACAACCCATCTAATGGTTTGGGTGGCCAGGATTCTTATGAGCTGACGCTAGTATCCCTGCCCCTTTTTATACTGTCTGTCTGATTGTTGTTTTTGTTTGCTTTTGTGTACAGTTGTTTGTCCCATGGACAGTAGAGTTGTGAAGAATGAAGTAGATTCTTTCCCTTTTGCTCCTTGTTCACTTCTATAGTCATGTAGCTTTGTACTACAACTTAATGACTTTGTAACTACGTACGAAAAGCACAGTAAAAGTCGAGTTCCAAGAAATGGAAATGGGATATCAATGCAAAGTGGAGAAAACCCATATATACAAAAGAGAAGAGTATTGCGAGAAGAATATCCATGGATAGAAAAAAAAGAAAATATACTTTCACCTCACACTTCAGCACATCACCATCACCACATGCTAGGTAGTACTGTCTGTACTCACTCCTTCTTCTCCTTCCCGCCATCACCAAAATACGAACTCAAGCTCGTCCAACCACCACCACCACTCTCCTTCCTCTCTTCCCTCGCCGCGTGCCTCTCACTCTTGTACTCCTCCCAAGAAAGCTGCGCCGCCGCACCAGTCACACCCTGGCCCTCACCAGAAGAAGCAGCAGAGTGACCACTCTCGCGAGCCTTCAACGCATGCGCAGGCAAAGGACGAACCGCATCCTCGCCGCCGTAAATGCGTAACGCGGTACCGAAGGCCCAGTCCACCGCTTCTTCAACGGGATGATCGAATATGTACGGGAGGAACGGGACAACGGTGAGACCGAGCTGTAAGCGAGATCGAAGACGTTAGCCAAAGCAGTCCCCAAGAAAAAGGAGGAACTTTGGGAAAGAGGAAGAAAAGAAAATCCAAAAACATACACCAATAGGAACCCAAGTCCTCACGAACACAATCTTAGACCCGCGCACCATTTTCCCGGAGTACTTCACAACAGAATGAATAGTAAAAGCCGGAAGACCCATACTAGCCAGACCCTGAAAAATAGCGCGCTTCGCCATAACCATGCGATAATCCTCCGCGAGGGAAATCGTATTCGTCGGCCAGGGCGTGAGTTCGGATTCCTGTTCTCCTCCGGCCGCAGCCGCGGCAGGGTTCTCATCAAGAGGCTTTGCCAAATTGCCCATGGCCATACCGCGAAGCTCCTGGCCAACGCTAACGCTCGCATCGCGGTACTCTTGTCCCGGGGCGGTTAATGCGCGCCGGTTACGCAGGTATGCTTTGTAACCTTCATGGCTGACGTCGCCGAGGAGGTAGGCCCAGGAAACGGCGTATGCGGAGCGGACGAGGATTGGGTGGGCGACTGGTCGGAAGGATTCGCCTATGTCTGAGGTGTAGGCTACGTAGCGGTGGGCTGAGAGGAGGATTGTTCGGATTCGGTTTGCGTAGGCGGCGTAGCGGTATGGGGTGTCTGTTGAGTCGACGGAGCTGGGGGTTGAGGTTGGCATGTTAGTTTGGTATGGTTGAGAGGGGTGCTATAGCTGGGATAGAGGTTGGATGGGAATTGTAGAAGAAGGGAGAGACGAGGATTGATTGTGCTCGGAAGCTGATATCATATGGTGGAGTATGGATGAATGTGTGGAGAAGGCCAGGCTGGGCTGGGCCGGATGCGGTCTTTGCGGAGCTTGCATTGTTGGTGTTTGTATGCATTTCTCGGCGAGGATTGTGCAGAGGTTGTGATGTGTATTCAGATGGATTGGGGTGTATTGCACGTACTAGGGGGAGTAGAGGTCATCGTAGAAGTCGTCTTCACGGTCGACAATTTGTTGCAGTTTCCGGGGCAGGCTTTGCCGCGGCGGGAGCGGGGAGTTGTCTGTGTCTGTTTCTGTTTCTGCGGGCGCCGATGCTTCTGGTTTGCGCCCCCAAACCATTGTGAATTGTGAGAGTAGTGGATATAAAGAAAAGGAGAAAAAGAGTGAGGGGGAAGAGGGGAGGCACAAGGCACGAGGATAGACTCCGAATGGGGAAGTAGAGAAGTCGAGAAGCAAGGGGGAGTGGGAGTGGGAGGAAAGTTAAAAATTTGGAATGAGAATAGTAGAACACTAATACTAGTCAAGTAGGCAGGGTTAATTAAGAAGAGTCAAAGTACGGAGTAAAATTACTTGGTTCTGTCAATATCCTCGGAGGTACGGCATCAGCCACGGCAGCGGGCAGTGACATAGCCGGGGAACTACTAACAGTTCGTTGTACATCTACTCCGTGCCTGGACCGTGGTTTAGTGCAGTGCTGCCCGTTCTGTTCCTGGTTGCTGGGTCATTTCTCACACATACTTATGAGGTCATCAAAATTAGTATTTTATCTATCTGGACTCTCTGGACTCTCGAGTCTCATGATAAAAGATTCAAGATATCATTCCCCTGGTCTCCTTCCTGCTTCCTCTGATCGGCTCTGTTTTCCTGCTGCTTCCCGAAATCACATGACCTCGGGCCTTCCCGGAATGTACTAGCACCACGTGATCTTAAGTCACCTGCTGCTGTCTGCTGACTCATCCGTCACGCTAACCACATATGGTCCGGTCCGACTTCGTCTCTGGCCGAGCCTGAGGATTCCGCTTTCCACATCGTTGCCTTTAACCTCCAACTCAATCCCCCACCTCACTCCCTCAAGATGGTCGTCTACTACCAGATCGCCGGCAAGAAGGTCGGCTCCCACGTCGTAAGTGACCGACCCGCTCCCCCAATCCGCCCGCGCGCCCCCGCCTCATCCCTTTTTGCATCCTGGCATGACCCGGAAGCACGAGCACCGCAACACAAAGGCTAACCGGGCTTCTTCTTTGCGCGCTATAGCTCTCCATGGCCGTTCTCGGCTCCATCTTCGCCGGTTCCTGGGCTGCCATGTCCGGTGGCGAGAAGCCCAAGACCGCCGCCGGTCCCCCCCATCAACGCTTCTTCCAAGGAGGAGGGTGACTTTGTCCAGTACGTGATCTGCAATTTCTCTGCCGTGGCTTCTACTTCTACAGAGGAGAGAAGCAAGCTTTGAAATAGCCTTGTGTACTCCTATACCGCGCAATGAACTAACACGAACTACCCATATAGACAATTCCTGAAGGAAGTTGATGGCGGCAAGTCCGAGAAGCACTAAATCGCCCTCTCCGCGGAATATGTCGACGGAATCGACCGGTCGTGAACCAGCGTGACGCCACTCGAGCTCGTCCCGTTCGCCTGTCGCTTTCTGTCGCATCGGTGCAATCGATATATCTCAGCTAGGCATATGTCGTGACCCGGCCAGAGTGGAAGCTGGGTTATTATAGCTGGGATCCCTGCGGCGGGTGGATTTTGTGGATCTGTACATAAGAGGCGTGTACGTTGCATAGAAGAACTGTTCCTTCTACCACTTCTTGTCTCTTGTTTCTGGCCGGATTGCTAGCCGAACTTTCGGTTATGGTTCTAGTAGTACTTGCCAAAATTCGTGCATTCGGAAGCTGTGTCCAGCTGTTACGGTTGTCCCCGGAGCGATAAAATACAGCCCCGGCTAAGTCACTTGCGTTGTATCACCGCGGTGGCATACCAGTCAAGCTCTAGTCCTAGGGCAGCTCGAAGCTGGTAGCTGGTAGCTGGCCGGAGCCCGGGAATCGTAGCACAGAAAGTTCCGCGAGCAAATCCCGATAGTAAATCAGTAGTGAACAGCTAAATCCCGCGGGAAATTTATCATATGGCTATCCTTATCACCCAGCGTATATTCGCGTGGGTAACCGTAACGCAAACCCAAACATCCAACCCACCCTCCGCTTCCCATCTCCCTCACTACACTATACTACACCTCCTCACCACTCCGAGTCCATACCACACCACCCACCACAAGCAAAATGAAACAAATACCGTTCCCCTATGCCCTGAATATCGGCACCGACATCGTCCACCTGCCCCGCATAACCCGCCTCCTAACCTCACGCCCCAACTACCTCTCCCGCTTCACGCAGCGCATTCTCAGCGACGCCGAACAACGCGACTTCCACAGACGCTTCAAGGGAATCACCCAACTCTCCTCCCAGAATTCCTCTAAACCTACATCCGCATCTGCATCCACATCTGCATTTACCTCTACCTCCGCCTCCATGTCCGCGTCCACGCGCTCCGCACCCATAACCCCCGAAATAACGCGCTGGCTCGCCGGCCGCTTCGCCGCCAAAGAAGCCGCGCGCAAAGCATCGCCGGCGGGCGCGGCCTCGATTGGGTGGAAGGATGTTATCGTGAGGGTTGAGGAGGATGTGAGAAAGTCAACTGCTCCAATGGGTGGTGCTGTTGATGGGCACACTGCGGTGGATGGGACGAGTCGGAGGCCGGAGATCGTTTATGTCGGTGGTGGCGAGGAGAGGGTTGCTAGACTGTCTATTTCACATGATGGGGATTATGTGGTTGCTACTGTTCTTGCGGCGGGGTGAAGAGGGGAGAGAATACGGTTGATTTTAATTTGATGGAGCTTCGCGAGGGAGCTTCGTGAGGTCTTTTGGCCCGTTGAGGCTATGGAAGCTGGAAGCTGGAAGCTGTTGAAGCTATACTTCTTCTTCTTCTCTCCTCCCATCTACACTTTGCTGTTGCCGAATTGACCATGAATATTCGTCACATTTGGATCTCCGCTTTGGTTCGCCTTGCATGATACTGTGGATGGGGCCATCTATGGGTGACTGGTCTGTCTTTGGATACCGCGGGCGCCCGCGGACTCGAATGCGGCGGCGCGACTACATACATCTGTTCTGTGGCATGCTCAGTGTTACATGTTGGTATTAGATGGAACACTTTCTCAATCGCGAATTGGATTGGGCTTGCTACAATAGCGATTTTGTATAGAGATTCCAATGCCGAGGCAGTTTGTTCGTGTTGGGTTTGTAGAATATGCGAGAAGATCTAGATAAATTAGCTCCAGGCTCAGATGGTCATCAGCTAGAACTATTTTGAGGACAGGAGAAATATGCCAACAGTTCAATTGTCTAGCTTTCAGTCCCATTTGGTTGCAATTGCTACCACGTTTTTAATGGTTGGCCATCGTTCACTGCGGGAATGCGGGACAATCTTATCTTCCGCGGAGCTACCTTAAAAGTTGCTGCATCCCACCCATCCCAGCTCTCTCAATTACATCTCTTCTTTGCCACGATCAGTTTTAAACTGACTTGTGCCTGGGAATCTCTCTGCCTAACGAGCAGCTTCAGGTAAAGAACAGAGACCAGAGAACAGAGAACAGACAGACAACAAGGTACGCGCAGCGACACCTCTCCCTCTCTCGATCACACGCTGACGATTAACCAGGAACACATCAAAATGCCCTTCTCTCACCACAGCCATTCCGGCCAATTCTGCCCTGGCCACGCAAAGGACTCCCTAGAGGATGTCATCCTGGCAGCCATCAGCAAAAAGATGAAAGTCTTCTGCCTGACCGAGCACATGCCCCGCCACAAAGAAGATTTCTACCCAGAAGAGGTACACCACTCAGACCGCAAATGCAAATGCATAAAAAAAGACCCAAAGAGCAAAAGCTAACTGTTCTCCCCAGATTGAATCCGGCCAAACAGAAGAATGGCACGCTAGCAACGAAGAAGCCTACTGGATCGAAGCAACCCGCCTACGCACAAAATACGCCTCTCAAATCAACCTAATAATCGGCTTCGAATGTGACTGGATCAGACCCGAATCCTTATCCCTAATCAACCGCTCTCTAACCCGCTTCCCATTCGAATTCTTCATCGGATCACTCCACCACACCCTAACCATCCCAATCGACTACGACAGGCCCATGTACGACGAAGCCCGTGACCGCGCTGGTGGCTCAGAGGAGAAGCTCTTCGAGGCATATTTCGATGAGCAGTTGGATATGCTGCAACAGTTGCGCCCACTGGTTGTGGGCCACTTCGATCTTATTCGGTTGAAGAGCGATGATCCCGAGCGAAGCTTCACTACCTGGCCGGGTGTTTGGAGTAAGGTGTTGAGGAATTTGGATTTTGTGGCATCGTACGGCGGTATCCTTGAGCTTAATGGGGCGGCTTTGAGAAAAGGGATGAGTGAGCCTTATCCCAAGGCGGAGATTTGCAAGGTGAGTTTTCCTTTTTTTTGGCCCAGTGGCGGCTGTAGTGGAAGCTGACCTTTTCACTTTCGTAGGAGTTCCTTGCCCGCGGCGGTCGCTTCTGTCTGTCTGATGATAGCCACGGCGTGGATCAGATCAGTCTGAATTTCCAACGTGTGGTGGACTTCCTTGATAGTACTGGCATCTCGACGGTGCATTATTTGCAGGTAGCTGAGACCGAGGCACAGGCTTCTGCGCCTGATGCCAGATTCCCTCTCACGGAGATCGGTTCGATTTCTGTGGAGGAATTGAAAAAGTTGGAGTTTTGGCAAGCGGCTTGAGGTGTTATTGATGTACATAGAATTTAGAGGAATGCTCCCAGTCTACTACCGATTTTCTGAGTTTCTTTTCTGTTTGAAACATTCGCCGATTCGGTGTCTAACTATCCACAGAGACCTAGCTACCGATTTGAATAGTCTTCCGATCCTGGCATGCACCTGGCCGGGTGAAATCGAGATGTCCGGTTCATATGGTAGTATTAAGTGGTATCTCATTCGGACTCCTCAGACTGATAGAGAAAGATGTACAGCTACTCGGGATAGTCTTGTCGTGCTGACTTGGGTGAAATGGGAAGACAATGCATAGTATGCGTAGCTAGCTTGCAAAAACACCAAACTCCCCTGCCTCCAAAATTGTCGCTGTTTGCTGCTTGCTGTTAGGCACCCACTTGATTCACCTTTCCCTTTCACCCTCTGCCTCACACACATACCGCGATCATTGCCATCTCCTCGATTCGCCCATATCATCTTGCATATGGGGCTTGGGCCTTCGCTCAATTTGAATACTCTGTTCAATCCCCTTTACATACTTCGCTTCAGGTCTCCTCCGCCACCAGCAACGTCGCTCCCAGAGCCGTCCTGCCGATTGCAGTACGCAACCTGTGTCGATCATCATCGAAAAGCTAATTCCAGAGCGCAGAGCACATCTTTTGTCATCAGCGACGTTAACGTGTACATCTACTCCTTCGATTCATCCCAGGCGTGTCATCCTTCCCGTACCAGTATTCACCCCTCAGTCCTCATCGGGAGCAATCTCCAATAAACGCTCCTTGCTGCGTGTCATTTCTATCTCTACTCGCTCACCCATCGCAAGCCAGTTTTGAGCTTCATTTCTCTGATAACGAGTCATCTTTAATCTACACACTCCACACACCGCGAAGTGTTCACTATGGACTCCGAGAATATTTCCACCGAGAAGCTCCCAATGCTCAAGGGAATGGATAACTTCCAGCAATGGGCCTATCATCTCAGGCAGGCATCGCAAGCTCGCAGTGTGAAACTCTGGAAGCTTATCATTGGCGAATTTCAGCCTGCCAACGAACATCCGATTGCCTGGAGCAAGGCAGAGACTCGTACTCGTGCTGCCACTTACATGCGCATGCCTGCTGCAAAGGTCAGTGACGACCAAATTAGAAGATTTGTCCGCATGTTTGTCACCACTCCAAACGAAGAGCTTGCCGAATGGACCAAGCTAAACTCGACCGCAATGAACCTCATTTGTTCGACAATTGCTCCCGGGATCGCTCTGGGCACGGTGGAAGAGAGATCAGCGACAAGACTTTTCGACCGATTGACCAGGATGTATGGAAGGCCCAACAAAGATGTGTTCCAGTTGAAGTTTGATGCCTTGGCCGACTGCAACTACCGTCCCGGCACCAAGCCTCAGAACTTTGTCAAGAAGTTTTGGGAATTGGTTATGAACAAGCATAATTACACTGGTCCCTATCACCTCACCACACAATGGGATCTTTATGGTCAATTCATCCGCGCTGTTCGTGCTCATGGCGACATGCTGCATTGGATTACCAATCATAACCCAGACATGGAATCTGCAACGCTTCTCAAGGACACAATCCAATCCTTTCTCGATTACGAGTGCAACCGTGTGCAAAACCTCGCTCGTACCCCCCGTCGTTGACTATCCACACCTTTCAGCAACAACGACGTAGTCGTCATTATCGACTACCTCGGCCATATTTCGCTATGGGCAGCCATCCATGCAAAAGTGGCATGGCGAGGGACCTCATGTACTAATACTTTCTTTCTTTCTTTGTCTGATATCTACGTTGACGGGCTGGTGGGATCTTCGGGTTTTAGGGAAACTAGATTAGTTTCTCTCTCATTTCCTCTCTATTCCTCACATGCATGTCACTACCATTACAATCACCTCCATGCGCACCTAGCGCCGTAAAAATCATTGGAGAAATCCCTCAGCGACGACGAATCAACAGGTCACCGAGTCTTTCTATAGGAAAAAGTCGAGGTAGTCCCTCCATCCGCTCAATCTAGCACATTAGGGCATGGCTGGAGAGATACGCAATAGTAAAACGGTCTAGAACGACCCAGCCTCGGTCCGCAAGCCGCTGCTTCAAGACTTTGACAAAATAATTGCCACAGATAGCGCCCTTTGAAAACCATACAGTTTTTCTTGCCTGTACCCGACCGAAAAATGCCGACAAAAGACACATTAAAAAAAAGTGGATCCAGTGAACGAGTTCATAGTTAACCAAAAAGTTGACCGACGCAGGGGTCGAACCTGCAATCTCTTGATTCGTAGTCAAGCGCCTTGCCATTGGGCCAGCCGGCCTTGATGAATTGTGGTTTCAGATTATGTCTTATGATCCAAAATGAGGAATTGTGTCGGACTTGGTAATGTGCCGATGCTCCGATGCTCCTATACTCCAGATTTAAATGGTCGTAGGTCTGCGAGAGATAGCTTGACCTCGGGTTTCTATTGTAGGCCAAAGAATCTAGCAATGAATATCCCAGTACTGCGCATCGGAGAAGTAAACTTTGTTAATTGATGGTTGCGTCGATGATGCGATGCATAAGGCCATGCATGTATGGACCGAATACCGAAAGATATTGACCCAATTGCTAGCAGCGACAAAATAATATTTGTAAACTGCCAATTGGCCTTGTTTATAATGGATTCAGATGAATGTAGGATCAATTATGATCAAGTCCACCATTCATGACTTCATGGAAAGATCTTGAAACTATGACCGATCGGATCCACACCGAAGAAGATAACTCTCATGCTGGAGGGACTAATTGTATGTTACTGCCACTGTACTACCAGACCTGGAGTTTTTTATTATTATTTATAGACTGTGATGCATTTGTTGCTCGGTAGACCGTACTCGTACTCTCTGCTTATGCCAGACAAATTCAAGAGTAATCACCGCTAGATCCCGTCATCCCGGCTGGGGCATTGAAAGGGTGAAGCCCATCGAATGAGCGTGCGAGGCAGTCCCTGAAAAGAAAAGGTTATTCCGTCAAGGTGGCCTGAACGCGGGTGATTTTGGGATGGCTGTTTCACCATCCTCGGTATAGAGTTGAGGTATATCAACGATATACCCAGCCATCTCGGGAAGTAGATTCCTAATCCAGCTGAAGCATAAGAGTCAAGCCCAATCTATCCAATTACAGAGTATTTGTGAGCTGAATTCCCACTGTTCCCTTCAGGTTCAAGTTCCACTGGGCTGTGGGCAGAGGTGATTACGTCGAAACCCCACTCCCTCGGGGAATTGTGGGCTCCACTGTGGCTGCCCCTCGTTTTTTCTCTCCAACCTCAAAACTTCCATCTCCAACACTGCAAGCTCCCCCAACTACACTACATTTACATCCACATCCACATCCACATCCACAATGGGCGTTGAAAAGAAGACTCTGGTCCCCGGAAACGGTGTTGACTTCCCCAAGAAGGGCGACAATGTCTCTCTCCACTACACCGGCTGCTTGTACGATGCCTCCAAGGCCGACAACCACTTCATGGGCGACAAGTGAGCAACAACCTTCCCCTCAGCATCTCTGAAACCCATTATAGTAGCTAGGCTTACCAATCATGTCCGATAATCAGGTTCGACAGCTCCCACAATCCCGGCCGTGGTCCCCTTGCCAGTGACATCGGTGTCGGCCGTCTGATCCGCGGTACGTCACGTTCACACCTTGGATTATGGAATGCGCGCAGTTGAATAAGCAGTTGTGGCACATGGGCATATTGGGATATCACATTGCTAACTACCTGCTCTATAGGTTGGGACGAGGGTGTTCCTCAGATGAGCGTCGGCGAGAAGGCCATCCTCACCATCAGCGCGTAAGTCATTCGCACTCCTCTTTGAAGCTTCACGACACACTGCTAACCATTCCCTTTTTAAATATAGTGACTACGGTTACGGTCCCAAGTATGTACCCTGACATCTCCATCCACATGAACCCCATTCCGCTCGACTGCGAGTCGCCGCTTCGAATGACAACAATACTAATTTCTTTCCTAGGGGCTTCCCCGGTCTGATTCCCGCTAACTCCCAGCTGGTCTTGTAAGTATTCAACTCATCTCCTACCAGGCAAAGCTTAAGCTAATTCTATATAGCGAGGTTGAGCTCCTCAAGATCAACAAGACTGCCTAAATTATAAGATTAGTGTTTCGTTATCTGCGAGTACATTTTCTTCCCCATGAGACTACCTCCTCTCGTGGGCATTGGGTTCATTGAAACCGAAGAAATGCCAATGAAAATTTCGATGGCGGCTTGTTCTGCTTGGCAAATCACATCTAAGATTATATTGTAAACGATAGACCATGGCGGATGTAGTGCTTCACCACTGGTAAACCTCACCAACTTGTAGAAAAGATCCGCTATCAGCAACCTGAAGCTATTACTGAGGGGGGGTTTCATTGTTAAATCAAACAATGATCACTTCTAAGTTTCACCACCCATTGCCCGGGGGTTCTGAAAGGAGCTTTGCTCAACTACGTCCACAAATTCTTTGTTGTTGGACTGCCCCGGGGGAAGTTGATTCCATTGTTCAAGTTCTCGTAGTAATAGAGAAAGAGTCGACTTACGTTCAATGAGGAGCCGGCGCCGAGGGGTAGCCTCTTTTTGCACAATGCCTTTTCTTCCATCCTGATGTTTTCCACAGGTAAATCAATGCTACGAGAGATAATGAACAATTCGAGTTGAGACAAGCACACATAGTCGGAAATGCTATAAATTATATGTAATTCCTCCACAAGCCCTAAAACTTTCCAATTCAAGATAACTTCCAGCATAACAGTACTCAGAATCGAAATTGCTTCCCAGATTTTCCCAAATGGCCAAAGTCAACTTTGGCGAAAGCCCCCCCTAAATGCGAATTTGATTCGACCACAGTGGGGAACTTTTCTCGATTCCGCGAGAATATGGTCAGCGAGTTCGACAAGATGGCTAGTCAATTGGACACTCCAAATGAAGGCTCAAGGACCGCGGCTTTTCAGTCGGTCGTTGATTGGCTACCCAGTATAGCACTGCTGAAGGAATGAAATTTTATCGTATCCAGCTCGAGTCGAATATGTCATTTCAATCCCCTGCGCCCCCTTGTGTGCTAATCAGATACCGTCATATAGAGAGCAATATGCACCGCACAGCGAATCTTCTGCAATTCATCCCCGGTCAGCTACTTCTACTATATCAGGTGGCGCTATTATACAGGAAGGGCACAGCAAACGATTTCAAGAACAGCTAGGTACAGTACGTGAAAAGCTGCAGAGAAATCCATACTTATACAAGCAGCTACGGAAGTCTGTCGGAACTTTCTCTATGCAAGTGGAATCGTTTGACTCTTAGCAACGATGAGGAATTTCAAGATGTACTGGCCTTCATTAGGGATTATCGAACGGTGAATGAAGATCAAACGAATTACAGATGTAGCTTCGGGACTATTGGGGACGAAGCAAAGATGTGGGATGAGGTTAACGAGTTGTGGGGTCTTCTTGATCGGCCGGTTCCAAACAGCTCATGCAGGCAGTGTTTTGTTCGTTTGGCTCCTAGATAAACTTAGCTCAGTAGACCACTGAAATAAAATCTCTCATGGTTTCCAGTTATCCTGTGAAGCTAGATTAGTATCATTGACGGCGGAGTGACGAAAGGGTTCGAATCTTGATTTCGTCCTCATTTAAGGTTAAATGGTTCGATCCGATCGTCGATCGATCGAGCTAACCAGATCTTTACAGCAAGGTATGCTACCCACATTTCCCCAGAAGCATTCCACAAATCAGGGATCGTGAGGTAAGTCTTTAAGAACAGGCTCGCATCCGCTAGTAGCACGGTGCAGCAGCATTTGGTTCAGGCACAGCAGCTCATGATGTCACCTCCGGCAATTGAGATGTCATCACGGACTCGGGAATATAATATCCGACTAGTCTCGAAAGCATTTAGAACTCACCTTTGAACTTACTAACTTTGATTTTCACACTATTTTAAGTTCCTCCAAATCCTGCCATACTCACCAACCGAAGCGCCGAAATGCCCCCCCAAAGAAAAATATACCGATCCCAAGCTTCGCAATGAGGTGAAAGAAGAGATACACCAAAGTGATAAAGGCGGAAAGCCCGGACAATGGTCAGCACGCAAGGTGATTTCTTCCGCCCATTCTACATACATTTATAGATGAGCACTAACCACGGTAGGCTCAACTAATGGCCTCGGAGTACAAAAAGCGCGGCGGTGGCTACAATCAAAGCAAGGAGGAAGGGCAGGATGAGAGTCAAAAGCATTTGGATGACTGGACAAAGGAAGACTGGCAGACCAAAGAGGGAAGGGGTACTGCGAAAAAGAGTGATGGCTCAAGGCAGAGATATCTCCCCAAGGAGGCGTGGGAGAAATTGAGCGACAAGGAGAAGGAGAAAACGGATAAGAAGAAGTTAAGCGAGTCAAAGAAGGGGAAGCAGTTTGTTGGAAATACAGGGGGTGCAAAGGAAGCGGGTCGGAAGGCTAGGAAGCATGCTGAGAGGGGTGAAGAAGACAAGGAAGAAGACAAGGAAGAAGACAAGGAAGAAGAGGAGGAAGAAGACAAGGAAGAAGACAAGGAAGAAGACAAGGAAGAAAACAAGGAAGAAAACAAGGAAGAAAACAAGGAAGAAAACAAGGAAGAAGACGAGGAAGAAGACAAGGAAGAAGACAAGGATAGATACGAGGATAAAGATGGAGAAAGAGATGGGGAGGGAAAGGGGAAAAAAAGGGGGGAAAGGGCCCGAGCCAAGGAAGAGAAAAGGGAAAGCAGAAGGCTGGAACTAAAAGGAGTGCGAAACAGGCAAATGGACCAAACAAGAAGCAGGAGGTCAAGCAGACGGGGAAATAAAATACCGAAGTGGAGGGACTACAGGAGCAGGATGGTAGTTATATAGAGGACGCAAAGATGCGAAAGACGAGGACGAAGGAAAGTCAAAGAAGCAGAGTTGGAAGACTTATCTAAACAAAGACTTTACATCCCAAGCGCTTGGGTGTCATGTCTTCTTTCATTAGAGGATGGGCTGTATTTTCTTAGTAGCTTTGTGACAGCATTCCTTTCGAGGTCTAAAACAAAGGCAGCTTCACTATTGTTCCCCATGCACGGGAACCCACAATAATGCTCTTTATTTTTTGGACTCGAGAATCATGCCAAATGAATTGATTGGGAATCTAGAACCTTATTCTGAATATTTAAAATACTCAACGGTCCCGGCAGAGAAGAAATATCAACACATCTCACCATAAGGCAATTCCAAACTGAGAAGCGTACCTTCGACATATTCATACCTCGAGTTAGTCAAGTTACATTTTATACTCAAACAACATTACCTACTATATTCCTGAGCTATGGCTGTATTCTTCTGCGGTGGTTTTGAGTGGGAGCGCGATGAGATGGTCCAGTGCCTTTCGTCGGACTTTCGAAAGGCTGAGGCGTCGGAAAAGCTCGATTCTGGTGATCGACTAGAAGTTTATAAGAATATTGCAGGATCCCTCTGTTGCTATACGAAGAAGATAGAGGAATGGAGAACTAAGGCGGTAAAATGAATGGCCCTTAAGGGAGTCCCCTCCCTGTTTTGAGCCAAAATGCGATCGCTTTAGAAACGAAATGCAACTTCAAACCCTAAAAATCAACGATATACAAAAATCCTCTGCCCCGAAGAAATTGGAAGCATATTTCAAGAAATATCGATTATCTGAGATACTGGATATATTTAGCATACATGTCGGCATGCTAATAATTCGTCAGAACTGGTTTCCCCCCGGCTCATCTGTCGATATAATGAACAAGACGGCAGACTCGAAGCAACTATATTATCAAAACACGACTGCGGCAACGCGCAAGAACACTCCGTACCTTGATGTTTATTCAATCTGGTCGCGTCTCTACTTGCCAGTCGAAGACTGCGGTTGTCACTCATGTCTTAGATTAAGCCGTTTCTGTTAGGTTTTCATGGATCCTTTAGGATATTTCTGTCTCAATCTTGCTTTTAGTCTAATAAAATTTTGTACTCTAACACCTCAATATGATTCACCCGCTAGAAAGAATACGTTCAACTTCTTCTGGTAGTAAGCATTCAAGAACATATTAATTTCTTCCAAACCTTGAAAATTATGGTACTTCGATACGCTTAGGCATTCCGATCAACCTTTCAGTTCGCTGCATCATATAGATACTCATCGGATTCAGTTCCTTATAAATAGCTTTACTATTTTCATATCTACTGTCGGATTCTAGACTCTGCTTTTACCTTCCATGATGCGTCGGGACACTGGTCAGCGTCATCGTGGGGTCCCCATTCGATGAGAACTAACTTTGATCCCGCCTTTTGAAAAACGAAATATCATTGGCTTTCACCTGGGGTTCTTATACCCATCTTTCAAACTGGGCTAGTTCAGGCCTCCCGCGACATAGGATCACAATACGAACACATCATGGATTTTTTACCTGAGTTTCTTCCCGGCTTTCGACACGAACTTTCTTCAAAAACATCATAGCAACATATATCTTTCAAGCTCTATATTTCTATCCATTTTTAACTTCAAGTTGAAGCAAGAATGGAAAACATACAGTTCCAAGGTGCAAAATCCACGGTCAATTTTATTTCTTATTCTCGAGCTGACATGTGCTCCATCCACGTTTAGATTACCTCGCAGTCAACCAGATAGTGTTCGAATGGGCGGATAGTATTGACAAAAAGGTTAGGCATCGGTCTCTCGTACTATTAGGTTTTCTAACTGGTTCTCGATAGGACTGGGATAGACTTCGCAAGATTCTGGCGCCAAGCCTCTTGGTATCGTTCATTATTCACAAGTTAAAAGACCGAAATTCCGACTCATAATACCTTCACAGGTGGATTACAGCATCGTTGGCCAAAAGTCCTTCCCCGAAATGAGCGTCGATGACTTCATCTCCATGATGAGCTCTCCTAGTTTTGTAGGAGACCCCCTTGTTCGCACTCAACATCTTATTGGTGCCGCCAGTTACGAGTGGGTGTCTGAGACCGAGATCTCTTCTAGTCACCAGGTGCGTGCTGCACACCAGCGCTATTCGGATGCTGAATTTACCACGGTATCCGGGCGTGGCCATGGTCATGGAAATGTAAAGCATTGGTACAAAAAGATTGGTGGTATATGGAAGCTGGCGGGTGTCCGGCCCGAGATGTATTGGGTTGAACACGACCTTTCCACCATTTTTCTCGAAGAGAGTCCCAAGCAATAGATTATTTGTACTGTGGCGCCGTGCAAGAATTTTCAACCCCCTCTTGCCCACCATTATTTACCGCTTTCTAATAGCAGACTAGTAGCTACCTAAGATGGACTAGATAGGCCAATCTATTCCTACTCAAGTAGGAGATCAGAGTAGTCAGCAAGAGACTGGAAACTTTTGTGGCGTCACCGTATGTATGGCTTGATAATATTTCATCTATCGCGATACAAAATCAATCACATCTAGGGCTGTAATACCAGGCCACCCCCGACACACCGATTACACACAAACAGGTTCGTCGGATCTACCCGTCGCTTGATCTCAACTAATCTCTCATATTTGTCTCCCCAGAATACTGTCTGCCAGTCGGGTTCGTACCTGGAATTTTGCTGATAAGCTTTAATCTAATGATATGTGAGAGATACTTACGGATTAGCTTCATTGATGTATGTTCCTCCTTTAGCGCCAACAATGTTTGTAAAATTTTTGCTCATCATTACGGCGCGTAGCCGCTTCTTGTGCTTCTCAGACTTCGTCGCATTATCAGCCCAATCAATAGATATGCTCATTAGGGCATGACTGTGCTTCCAAATGTTGTTGACTGCCGTGTTGTCACGTTCGTCGTTATTGACTTTGCCAACTGCGTCGAGGTGAGCACCATGGAAGCTTTGATAATGTCCTGAGTACTTACTAAAATTGAAACCTCCTTTTCCACCGTTATCGACAATGAGCTTCGCTAAATCCTCTGCTTTTTCATCGATGACACTTGCGGTCAATAGTCGTGAGGTGTCTTGGACATTGGTACCAATGTTTGGATCCTGGAGGAATGTTTTCAAATATCCATTCCATGTTGACAGGTAGGCACCAACTGCGCCTTGTATGCCAGGAGCCTTGGACATATTGAAGAACCCGGCAAAGGTTTTATTAAAGGATCCTATGGTCCCATTTGGTTTGAGGAATATCGCCTCAAACCTCTGGTCCATGTTTCCATATCCGGTATACCCAGCATCGGTCACGTTAGGAAGAAGCTTCATAGAGCCTGCAAGTAAGTCTGTCAAGCTGTAATTGTTGGATGCATTCAGCTGCACAACGCCTATCAGGAGCGTTTGTGGGACCGGATGGGTTTTGTAGGTGACTGATGTCACGACCTGAGGACCATCATTTGTCAGTCACAGAATTGACTTGGAATCGAGTTCACTTCACATACACCCCAGGCACTGCCACCACCCCTCGAACGGCCCAGAAATATTCCGGGTCTGAATAGGTATTGAGCACGCGGTGTTCTCCGTCCGCAGAAACGATGCTCATTTCCAGGAGATCTGCACTTATGTTAGACGCATGAGATTGAAATACTGGTATCAATCACTAACTGTCTGCAGCAAGGCCATAGTCATGCGCGAATGGTGAATGTCCTCCTCCAAGTAGATATCCTCCTGCTGCGCCCACCGTGCGAGCAGATCCTCCCACAACCAGAACTTCCTTTTTCGCTGCAGCCTGATACACATCTGCGTCCAATGATGTCAGCTGGAACTTCGTTTGAAAGATAGAGTACAAATGAAGCAGACACGCACCGAACCATTGCTCTCCAGCCTGCAGTGTCACGGCGGGCATTCCACTGGCATCGACAGGTGCCTCCTGAGGGATAAACGAGTCGTGCCATTCGATACCCTTCAGATTGTGTGTCCAGATTGAAAGTCCTCCTTTCCCACTCGAACGGCCAAGACTGTCTCTGGTTAGATCGGGACCGCTGGCACTCAGGAACAATACTTACTGATCATGCCCCGTATTCTTTGTCACTAAATACAAGTCCTTCTCGTTTGCAAATTTTACTGAGGCCTGAATGTCCTCTATATCTTGGGCACCAACTGAATAGTATGGTACTAATAATAAAGTTAGTAATTGAGTAATATTATCCTCAGGTCCCCTTGCAAGAATTCGTACCAATTCCTTGATCACAGGGAGCTCCGACGGGCGTGTCAACGAAGCACTTTCCACTTTCGCCCATTTCCCATAGCATTGCAGCATAGCCCCCAGTCTGATTTGTCTTCCAGAAGCTATCCAACCAGCCACTCTTTGCAATAGCACATTGATTTGCATTGTACCTTTCGGCATGGCAGACGGCAGCAGACGGCACAGATCGAATCAATCTTCCACCGATAGTATCGTTGAATAGCTTCCAAGTGTTATCACTTGGCCAGCAGTCGTCACCATAAGCACATCGATGGCGAAATTCGCTCTGCGCACCCACTGCTGGGGAGAGGAGGCCGACAGCTGTAAGAGTGCTTTGGACGAACATGGATGACGTAGAGATGGGGGGGAAAATGACGGTTGACGAGGAATGAGTGTTCTTATCCGTAATGAAATTCCCCCAAATTTGGGATGAGTCTGCCACCACCTTTTATATTCTGTTTCTCTGCATACCAAAAGAAGATATACATAATACGAGACCTTCCTCATATGGAACCTTCGTACTCTGTAGATCTGCCGAATACGAATAGTTCTTGGCACCCCGTTTGGGACGGGCATTCCGTAAACCCGGGGCCCCGTCCCCCATACGAAGCCTATTGGCCAGTGCCCGGAGTATACATCTCGACTATCATTCTTGCCAAGATGGTTAGCGGCGTAGAAAAACATCTGGGCACTTGTTGATTTAGCGCAGGATTTAGTAACTTCTAATTGAAGTGTTTCCCCCCCTATCCTCAGGAAAAAAGTGGAACAAAGAATCCTCTATGTAAACTGGTAGTTTTGTAAGTCATTGTTTGAAGTCGTTGATGGTTTCATTGAGCTCTAACATGTAAATTGATATTTATTGACCTTGGGTGGCAGATATATGGAGCTAGTGGGTATAAAGGCTAGGCAAATCCCACTCCAGGGCTACAGTATGCATTCCGCTCACACCACTACTATTATTCAATCTTCAACAACCCCCCCTTCCCCCCCCCTAGGAAAAACTAATCCGGCAACAGAAATACCCTTCTCTTTGATTTGAACATGGCTAGCTGTTCCCAGCGGAGCTTCTCCGCCCATCGCGACAATCTCGCAGAAACCCTTCGAACCACAGGCGACCGCACGTGTAGACACCCTGTAACGTATAAATGGATATCCAGATTCCTAGCTAACCGCGCAGATGAGCTTATTAACTTGAAAGAAATTGCAGCATCAAGCAAACGCCCCGATTGCTTCCTGGTTCGATGCGACCGCATTATAACAGAGATGAAGACACAGAGCTTAATGTTCAAGATTGGCAAGAACATCTCGACTAGCGCTCCAAGACTCATGGAAATGTATGCTCTTGCTGTCGGAAGACTGACACTTAGTTATAGTGGTCGTGACCAATATGCGGAAGAAGAAGATGAAGAAGCCATGGAAAGAAGATTCGAGAGACAACCACAACACGCGGAGAATGCTGACAGACTCACGTCCGTTGTATGCGATTTGGACTCTTTTTGGCTGCGTCTCAACTGGCCTGTCGATGGTTGCTACTGCTCGCAATGTGAGAAGCGTAGGCCATTTATGAATTAAATTTGAATTTGAACTTCATCTACAAATTCTCACCCCGGAGGTAGCAGATATAATCAAATATGACAAATGGAAAATTCCCCACTCATTCTGAAAATAGATCTTTGCTCCGGAGCGGGTACTTAAGACAATAAGCCCCAACTTACTAGTAACATTGCCAGTAGCTAGGAGATAATCTACCGAGCGATGCTGTTTATAACAGAAATTCCAGCTGCTCGATAAGAATCGACTTCAATATAACTCTCATTTCGCGGGAGACGGAACACAAAGTTTGTCGCTTTGGAAGAGTACCGAGGCCATTGAGGAATTTTGTCAACTATAGTATGTCAGTATCTAATTTTGACAGAGAAAGTAGTGATGTAATGAATGGAATTAGCTTTCGACCTACGCCCATGTACGTTTGGATTCAGGTGTGTGACAAAAGATGTCCACATTCGAGCTGCCATCTGCCCAAGCTCCAGGCGGGCAGGGTCAGTTCCGAGTGGTGTCATGTTCTGTACCGGATTGGCAAATACAAATGGAATCTAAGTTTAAATATTAGCATTTGATCTAAAATATGGAGGTCTAATTTTCAAAATAGGGCTCACCTCGGCGAAGTGTTGCACTCCAATCGTTGTGGATGTATTTAGCGCCGCGACATCCCAGCGGTAAGAATATACATTGTCGATGAAGTTGGACATGAGATGTGCAAGCATCCGACGCGGTGCTACCATCGAGATATCTCCGGCCATAGACTCATATCGCTTATATTGGAGTCCCAGCTCGGGCCAAGTGACATTACCCCAGCCATAGGGACAACCAAGAGCTGGAATATTTGGATAATGTGGTAGGATATTGACTGCTTGTTCACGAGTAATTACCCACCGCTTGGAAGCTATAATAAGTTGGTATTAGCATCGCCTTAATTGAGAAAATATCATGATGTGATTGAGACCAAAGACATACATATTAGCTGCTCAATGCACTGCTCAGCAGTGTCAGCACCCGTAGTACCAAAGCTTGTACCTTCGTCTGTATTTGTGCCTAGAAGAATGGGAACCTTGGCGATTTTATTTTCTTTGTAGCTGATCTGAGGAAATTGTGTGATGAATTTTCCATCAATCGTGGCAAACCACTCAAGTCCCTCGTAAGCAGCACCGTAGAATGTCTCGTACGGCAGATCGCGCAGGCACTGGAGTGTGTTCGACGAATTTGTGCATCTAGTAATAAATCAGCTTCATGTATTCAGTTGATCCGAAGGCTAAGAACATACCCGGCTCTATCAACAATTCGGTCATACATTGGCTGGTGCCACTCAGTGCCATTGTAAGGTGGTCCAACCGCATTACCAGACTCCATGATTGCTGCAAGCCTGGTCAGCTATGTCTATTATCGAATACTCCTTTCATACCAGCTCTGAAAAGTCCCTCATTATCTCCATCGTTTGTCACTAAATGAGCTCCGACACTGTAAGCGCCCCTAGAACCAGCCTCGTCAGAATTTTATCCAATAATGCTCAGCAACTTCAACTCACGCAGATTCACCCCATATGGTTATCTTCTCGGGGTCTCCCCCAAAAGCTTGGATATTTTGCTTTACCCAGCGCATGGCATTTCTCTGATCACGGAGAGCTAGATTTGTATTTCCTTCTGCCTGTGTGGTGTCAATCTACAAGGCCTTCTCGGTTTGAATGTCTGTGGGTAACTTACCCTCACTTCTTCGGAATCCAAAAATCCAAAAGCTGCCAGTCGATAATTGATGGAGACTCCTATAACAGGATTCCCATGCAAGGCTCCTTGCTGGGCGATGTAGCTCACATTGTACCTTGAATTATGGCCACGCGTGAGAAACGGTCATAATAACTTTGGGAGAAGGGTCAACATACCGAGGGTCTGCGGTTGCTCCCTGCTGCCACCCACCACCAAAGATCCACAACATAACTGGCAGGAGATCATGACTCTCAGTCTTAGGTCGAACAATGTTCAGGTTTAGACAATCTTCATTCAACTTGGCAAGACCCATATTCACTAGTTTAGTAGTGTCGGAACCGTAAGCAGGGCAGTCATATCCATATTGCGTAGCATTGTAAAAGACAAACTCTGAGCTGGAAGTTAACCCGGCCCTATTTAAGCTCAAAGGGCCCGAATTGCTGTCGTTGGACGCATATTTAGTCTTCAGTTCGGATGGCGTGAAGCGAGTGGGTTCATCGGCATATTTGATACCCAGGAAGACATCTTGGTCGAATTCAGAAATTGTACGGCCGACAAACACAGTTTTAGAGCTTCCATTGCCTTTGTTTGAGATTGTTGCGGTCGGCACTTGTGCTGTGTCTGTTCCTCTGGTCGAGAGGCCGCTCGAAAGCGATCCAGAGGCTAAGAGTAGCCCAAGAGACAAACTTAGCATCGTTATTATCGAGTATTATCTCGGTATTCCTGGATGCTGGGATATGAATGCAGCAGTTTTTTCAATTTATTCAATCAGAATAATGATTTTGGAGTCTGACCGGCACAATGTATAACCACTTGGGCTTGGGAGTTAGATTGTTCCATGTTTACCCCGGAATTTCCCCATGTTTAATTTCCCACCTATGGGATTTCTTGCCCGGCGCTAAATCCCCAATCTGAATTCAATCCGAAGATTGAATCTGCGGGGAAGCATTTTCTTTTGAGACAATTTTCCCGTGAAGAGATGAAATCTTTTTGGTCCGCGAGTTCAGATTCTACTATCAAATGACTTAAGCGTTTGCACACTTTGTATGTCATTTTAGGCTAATCACGTCCGGTGACAATTAGCTTCTTTATATGAGTCAATCAAAAGTCTAAAAACATGTTCCATAACCTCTTTATATATCCATTTTTGCTGCAAAGCCTGCAATTGATTTACTACTAGTACTATGGGTCTCTACTTCAAAAGTGGCCCCAATGCTAGAGGCTGGAAGCCTCTTGGCTGCATTACCCAGATAGCATGATCAACCTGACCCTTGGCCCGAGCTTCACTTGAAAAAACCAGGCTGTGAAGTTTTCAAGTCCGTATACAGATGCCGAACCAGAGCATCTGGCCCCCCAGGTGGAGATTGATTCCTTCGCCAAGAACTTGTTTGCTTTGCATGCCCGCCTAGGTAATTGCGGACACTGCGAATAACGTACAACCTGATGCTAGCGATGCAATAAGGACAATGAAACCAAAGATCATAACCACATAAGGAAGAAAAAATTGGTCTTGGTACTAGTTACTAAGTGACGAAGCTCCCGCTGATTCAAGACCAATCCATGCATTATCATCAGTTGGGGGCGGTGCTCGACAACGGGGTATCGCCGAATTCTTGCTGCCTGTGAACTTTTCATAGCCCGTTTTCAAGCTTAAATAAGTATTTAAGTAAATTATTCTGCGTGGAAATACTTATTTCTCGTTTCTTACAATCATATCAGCCGTGACGAACGTCACAATCGCACCTGCGAAGAATCATATTTCCAGGTATCTGCAGCATTGTCGAACACTGAGACAACTTTGTCTTCTAAGCGAGGCTTGGGCATTTATTCGTTATTTTATTTAGATTTCGATGTTTCGAAACTATGCGTAAGCTTACCATCATGTCTAAAGATGCCTTGACACAACTGACACGGTCCTAGTTTCTCGTCCCATGTGGCTGGTTTTTGATCGATTTCGCCATGCTATTATATGGGGCATTAAAAGGCGCCAAGCACATTGCTTTGTTTGCAAGGTCCCTTTTTGACCTCTTATCGGCAATTCTACTTCTCTCGCAACTGTCATTGTTGACAAAGATTGATGCTGCTGGATATACAACTTTCGTATTTGTCTTTGCTGCGTATGTTGCCAGTTCCAAAGGATTGAAGATTTTCCAATGTCTCATCGGCTGCACTTAGGTATCTCCATATGGTTTCTTCGATTTACACATTCTCGGAGCTGTTTCGTTCAAAAGAGACACAGAGAGACCGGTTATAGTTAGATGACGAAATTTGCCAGACGAGCGTATTTGGCGAGAAAGGGACGGATTCTCAAAGGAAAACAAAATTCATTCAAATACCCGTAAGATGTTCCCAGGGAAAGAAATAGCATTGTTTTACCAACGACGTACCCGATGCTCACGAATTTTACAAGAAAAAAGAAAAGAGTCGTAGTAGTTGCTTCGTCATAGCTTTTTATTTACCCCGTATACCCCCCCTTTTAAGCTTAGCTTTATGCACTCGGCAGTTGATCATTGCTAAGCCACAAACATACGTACCCAAATTTCGCGTCGTTGACCAGGATTTTGCCTGCTGGATTGGAACTTTAAGATCTGCAGCTGACCATAATTCTGCTATAAGGCAGCAAAATAACCATACGTCCAATAAGGGACAGTGCCTTAATAGGTAAGATAAAAGGTGTTCAGAGGTGATTCAATCGGTTCAAGATGAAATGAACCGTCAATATAAGCTCCATTGATATCTGATTGAAAACAAAGCTGTCAAATGCCAATGGCGAAATGCGGAGGGAGGCACACCCTTGCCCATTCCTATCCAGTCGTACATTCGATTATCCAGTAGACTTCGCCTGGAGGCTCAGCAAAGAAAGAAAACATTCGTGTGGGGAATGAGAAGGAAAAGAACACCAAGCCGCTCATGATAGAAGAAAAGGAAGAAAGAAGAAGATTTGAAAACGTACAGAAAAAGGGAAAAGGGAAAAGGGAGAGAAACAAGAAAGGAAAATGCAGAATTTGTAAATTCGCCTGAGAGGAATTTACGCAATAATCACCAAGGGACTCTATTATGTACGCTTTCACAGATTTCCGTGGTCAAACAACCACACATTAATCATCCTTTACGCGCTCGCCATACTCAGTTGAACCCGAGCCTGAGCCCAGACCTGTCGCGCGAGACCTGCTCGTCGCGGATGCGGATGTGGCAGCTGGTCGGAATGACGAGGAAGAGGAGCTGGTGTTTTGGTCGAGGCGTCGCGAGCCCAGCAGGCTGGGAGACCGCCGGCCTTCAGAGGTATCGTCCATTTCGATCAAGTCACCAACACCCCATAATCCTCCACTGCGACCTCGTTCGGCTGCGTGCTGATTTGGAGATGTTTGCTGTAATTCGGTGATGCCGGCCTTGGTGCGTGCCGCGACTTTCCGAACCCAGCCTTCGAGGGCACCACCGATATTCTCAAGGCCCGATGCAGTAGATGTGACGGTCGACTCAGAGCCAAAGGACGACCGCCGCTGGTTATGTGGAGGGGCTGGTGGTGCGAGATAAGGCATATGCTGGGAGAAGAATTTGCTGAGACCATCCATAGCTGGCCCAGGTGCGGTTGAGGTGCGGTCGAGAGAGCCGACTCCGGTTCCTGAAAGGTGTAAGCTGCTGCGCTGGCGGCGGTGTGACCGAACAGGAGGTGCTCCACTAGGCCGGGATTGGTCTTTGGTCTTTCTGATCTTAGGTAGTATACCCTGCGAAGGGCCAAGTCGCGGCGACGCGGCCGGCGATGGAGTTCGGGTCAAATCTCGCGAAGAACTCGAAAGTAGTTCCGAATCTGTATATGAAACGGATTTTCGACGAGTGCGTGGAAAAAAACCCAATGATCTTCGAGAGACGCGACCGATCTCGATCGGCGCTGGAAATCCGTCTATTTGTACCCAGGACTCGTGTTTCCAAAACTGATTCCGATCGGTATCGGAAGAATCGGGCGGATTGTCATCTGTGGATGGTTGATTCGCAGTCGCGGGTGCAAGGGAGCCATCAGATGGGTACTCGGTATCGTTGCTGAGTAGATCAACGTTCTCGGTAGGTTGAATTGGTCTTCCCTTGACGGTGCATGCATCCACTGGAAGAAGAACCGCCTTGCGGCTTTGAATATTATCGTTGGGCCAGAAGCCGTTTGCTTTCCGGAAGATAGCGGCCTGGCAGCCGTATTTAATCGTGACACCTGTGATGCTGTCTGTTGCCGTCACGGGATGAATGTAGGCAAGCGCTTCCTCCTCCTGATTAGGGTCAATTGGCTGCTGATCGAAATAGTCACCGGAATCCCGCCGTTTGTGACGGGAGTTGCTATTCATGACCGGGTCGCATTCTGCTAGTAGAAGCGCCTCCCGTTTCTTCGCCTGTACTAGCGCCTGCCGTTCCTCCTTGGTCCCGGTTCCAATTTCTGGGGTTGTGGGTGCGGAGGGGCCCCACGCCGAAGGCAAAGACCTTGGGATGCTTCGAGTATATACGTCGGATTTTGATGGTTTTCTCCGGGTGTGTGTCTTCGTCGCATTATTCGCTGAGTTCCGCCCAATGTCGCTCCCTAGTACCGAGGATGCCAAGTTCTGTAATGAAGACCACGGGGAGTCCAGAAAATCGGGTGCTCTTTGAGACGATGAAGCCTTCGAAGATCCATTCCAGCCAAGCGATGTTGTCTCGTGGCGACCACGGAGGCCACGTTCGGTGACGCGGGATGGGTGTTTCATTGGCAGCGGCGAAACTCCGCGGGACGATAGCGGCGAAGGGGTGGCGCCACGAGATCGCGTCGTTCCGATGTCCATTGTTGAAAGGGTCGTGGACAGTCCCGTCGTGGAAGGCTGCGTGTCATTGTAGGCGTAGTTGGAGGCCTTAGTGACGGGGGTGTCATCTTCATCGTCCATGAAGGAGACAAGGCGGCGCGGCCGCGACCGGACCGCGGAGGTGGACGTGGTGGCTGTACCGACTGGGTTGGAGGAGCTCAAGGAAGCATTGGTGAAGCTATTGTGGGAACTCATTCCCAACAGCGAGTCCGAAGATCGGTTTATTTAAGGACACAGGGTCGAGAATTCCCTTGGGAAGAGGTGGGTGTATTGCCAAGGCACTGGTTGCCATCAGGAGTCTCCTAGGAGAGATCCATTCGTCATCCACTCAATGTTTCGCATTCGAGGTATCCGCCCTGGGAGAGATTAATCCGAGGCTGCGACCAGACACGTTGTTTGGGATTCTATAAGACGGATTGAGAGCTCCAGGGAATGGAGAGGAGGTTGGTGGTGGATGGTTGGCGGTTAGTGGTGGGGGGGGATGATGATGCTAAATGGCGATAGGGAAAAGATAGAAGGAGCTGATGAAGATGACCACCCACAGACGCCCTGCCAGCGAGCGCGGGCAAACAATCGACAGTGGGAAGCTATTTTCAAGGAGCGAAAGCGAAATGCGAGCAAGCCGAAGTCTCCAAAAGAAGAACAAGAACAGGGAGGGAGGTTTGGGCGGATCGGCAGGTGACTTCGCCGCTCGGCCAAAAGTAACGGGTACTTCACATTACAGCGGATTGGCCACCTTGAAATAAGTACCGGATACTTCTACCTGCATTGCCATGCAGTCCTTGCATGGTTTACAGTTGGAAGTTCGGGGAATTTTTTGGTGATAAAGTTGGTCTCTGAGTAGGTGCTAGTGCTATCAAGAATTGACATATGATCAGTCTAGTAGCTCCCACTAGACAGCGACGAAGCAAGTGCAAAAGCTGTGAGGTTACCAAGAAGCTGTCCCTGTATAGCCCTTGAGATAAAGTAGTAGATATTGTATTGAAGCCCAAATCTTAATCATTGTACAAGATACAAACGCATCAAATCAGTTCTATGGACAACCCGGCCCAGCCAGGGCTACAAACCCTGCAGCCAAATAAGAAGAGATGTGATAGAAAGAAAACAAGCAATCCGACTAGAATAGAGAAGATTCAAGACACGGCATTTTGTCCGTGAAATAACGCCCGTTCCTCCGTACTGCCTGACGTTAGAAGAAAATAAAAAAGCATAGCCCATCTAAATTAGGATAAGAATAGAGTGATATATCGCTATTACTCTGGAGGCTCGGCCATCACAGAATAACGGGCTTCGGCTTCGGAAGCACCCTCGGCCTCAGACTCAGTCTGCCAGCCCTCTTCCTCATTCGCCGCGCTAGCTTTGTCTTGACTCGCCGCCTTCTTAGGACGCCGGCCATATGGGAAGTCATCCATACTAAGGCCCCGAACTTGACTAGGGTCCAAGGTGGTCAATGGCAGACCGGCTTTCTCCATCTTTTCGATTTGCTCGTTGAGAGGGCCAATGGCTGCGCTGCGGCATTGCTCCTTAATGTCACTACCGGACAGACCGGCCATCTTCTTGACCAGCCAGTCCACATCGATATCCTCCCGGTCAACCTTGGTATCCTTAAGAACCAAGCTGAGAATGCGGAGGCGTTGGACGTCCGAAGGAAGACCGACGGGGAACTTCTTAGGCATACGTCGGAGGATCGCCTCGTCGATATCATTGATTCGGTTGGTGGCACCCAGAACAACAATGCGCTGCGGCTCACCCCTCGAGTTGGCAGAGGTAAGACCATCCCAATGTGTCATGAATTCCGCCTTCACCATTCCACTCGCTTCGTGCTCGCCACTTCGTCGGGTGCCAAGGATGGCGTCAATCTCGTCAATAAACACAATTGATGGTTGAAGCTTCCGCGCAAGAGAGAATACCGCATTGACAAGCTTGTTCGAGTCACCGTACCATTTCTCAGTCAAGGTGGAGATGCGCAAATTAATGAAACAGGCACCGCTCTCGTGGGCGAGTGCTTTGGCCATCATGGTCTTTCCACATCCAGGTGGGCCATAGAGGAGGACACCGGAGGGAGCGGTCAGGAGGGATGATGTGGAGGCGTAAAGGTGTGGCATAGTCAACGGGTAGATGACGGATTGTTTCAGTTCTTTGATGATATGATCCAGACCGCCAATATCTTCAAATGTGACCGAGATATCCTCCGGTGCGACAACGTCCATCGCAACGGCTTGTTCGTATTGGTTGAGGGTGAGCTCCGCTCGTTTCGGTTTCCCACGCTTCGAATCTCCTCCTCTCGGTGATTCGTCATCTGATTCATCTCCCGCGTCTAATCTTCGCAGAATGGCTGTGGACTTTCGCTTTTGTTCCTCCTTTTTCTGACTCTCAGGGTCGAAGTCGATGCGTGACAGGAGGTATCTGATGAGGAAGTATGCGGAGGCGGACTGCATGACAGGTTAGGATGGAGTTAACTGATATTCAGATCGATCCTTTGCGAGCTACTCACTGTTCCAGCAACCATAAACATCTCCTGCAGGAACTGCTGCCATCGTCGGCCCGTTGAAGCCATGACGACAGTGGTGTGGGGGGATGAGGATTAGGGGAGAGAGTAACGAAGGACGGGATGGCGAGTCGATCCGGGGGTTGTATCGAAAGAAAGATCGAGATAGAAAAGAGCGAAAACAGAAGAAAAGGGCTCGAGTTGAGAAGATGCGCAAGTGCCCAAGGCCAAGTCCCAGTGGAAGTCCGAGTGTAGAATTGCAAGAGTGATGTCCGGCGGATCGGCTCTGCTGTGGCGCCGTGGCTCGAGGAATGTCACATGTTCCCCGCTTGTTTGGGCTGGCGCGGCGCGTCTTCCCCGAGAGAGTTGAACTTCTCCACGCCCTCCACAAATTGACTCTCCGCCCAATTGCGATATGCCCAAGCGAAAGGCCCAGGCCAAACTATCCGGCTTTGTCGGATCCGACGATGACGATCTGATGGGATTTACTGAACGCGAAACTATACCTCAGGAACAGGAACATGAATCAGAACCGCACGACGAACCTCCGGCCAAGAAGCGAAGAGGCCGGCCACGCACTTCGAACGAGATTGCTGCCGAGGCGAAAACTGCTGCCAGATCGAAGAGGCAAGAACCATCACAGGCGCCAGAGGAAGAGGCGCCTGCGAAGGTTACTCGGCGTGGTAGGCCTCGCGGCAGTAGTCGCACTTCCGACACCGCGGAACCTTCGCGCGCATCGGTAGCAAAAGAACCGGTTGAGCCTCAGGAGGAAATACAGGAACAGGGTAATTCTAAGGCGACGCGAACAACAAGGACAGCGAGATCTACTGCGACCCGTGGTCGAGGCCGAGGCCGAGGTCGTACGGCCAGTATCGCCAGGCCATCGGTAACAGATGGCGATTTCGAATATACACCCACTCGCGCGCAATCATCACAGAAGGAGGTGGAAATTCCCGATACGCAAATGAATGACGCTCATGCGACGGGACACGAAGTGGAGGAGTCGATCATGCCCGAGCCATCTGCGAACTACACACAGTCGTCTATCACCAAGAATGCAAAGGCCCGCGCGGCCGCAGCGCGCAACAGTCAGGACGCTTCTCCGCGAAAGCGCAAGTCTGGCGTTGCTACTGAACAGGGAGATCCGGAGCTGAGACGTCGCATTGGGGATCTTACAAGGAAAAACGATACATTGGAATCTAAATATCGTGACCTTCGAGAGATCGGTGTTGAAGAGGCGAAAACGAATATAGAAAAGCTGCGGAAGCAGTGTGAAAGCATCACGATGGGTATGCTCCTTGCTTTTTAAGTCCACCTCTGGGTCGGTTATGCTAATTTCAGCTTCAGCTTCCGACAAACTCGTTTCTTCCCTCAAAACTGAACTAGAGGCCCAGAAAACATTGGGACAACAGAGTCGAGGCCTCCAAATACAATTGAAGGAGCGTGACGCCGAAGTGGCTCGGCTCAAGACCCAAGCCGAGGCGGCCGAATCTCAGCTGTTCTCGGCGCAATCCGAGATTAAGGCCTTGCAAACAAAACTTGCTGCTGCCCGGAACACAGCTGCCGGTTTGGAATCCGCGGTCAAAGTTCCTGGAAGCGCTATCAAGGGAGGTGCCGCGAACCGCGCAGCTGCAGCTGCAAATGCCGAAGCAATCCAGTCCGCCCAACTGGCCCAACTGAGGGAAGACTTATACAGTGACCTGACAGGCCTCATCATCCGCGATGTCAAATCAAGAGATGAGGATCACCTGTATGATTGCATCCAGACTGGAGTCAACGGAAGTAAGTACCTGTCACCTTTCGAGGCATCCAACTATCTGCTGACTGACAATTCTACAGCGCTTCATTTCAAGTTGGTCATCCCCAAAACAACTAGCGGGGCATGGGAGAAAGCAACCTACCAGTATATGCCGCTTCTAGATGCCAACCGGGACCGCGAATTAGTGGACATTTTGCCTGACTTTTTGATGGATCACATCACTTTTGAGCGACAAGCTGTGACGAAGTTTTACTCGCGTGTCATCGATGCTCTGACCAAGCGACGGGCCAGCTCTTCATAGTAATTGCTATATAATCTGGATATTACCATCTTGCTTTTGAGCGTTATTCCCTTTTGTCGTTCCCCCGAGCTGTATAACAGAAAGAAACCACTTCTTGGCCAGCCTTTAACTAATCTTGGACAACACCTTCTGGGTATCAGAATTACTTTTCAGCTGGGACCCTAAATGGTATTCACTAGTAGTATTATGAGTTGCGTAATAGACCTACAGGGCTAATCATTTACTGAGGTATCTGACTGGTTACATCATCCTAGAGGCTCTGAAACTCACAAAGAAATTCATGTCGGCAGAGTATGTACGACAGATGCGGGATGGCCCCAAGTTCTTGGCACCATTGAGAAGCACCCTGCGATATCTGCATACCATGGTTAGAATGCTTTGTCTTTCCTTTAATACAGGGATTTCGATTGACATGAGCCATGGGAGATCGTCTTCGTGGCTGATCATCAAGATACCCGAAGCCCTTGACCTAACGCTAGAGGGTACGTCCAAAGCCGTCACTGGAGCTGACCATACCCCAATATAGCAACCTTACAAGGACGATCTTCTGCACGTCAAAAGGCTTCGGTATAAGAGAAAATGAACTTGAACATAGGGCTTTCTGCATCGGGAATCGCGCAAGATCCCTTTTATCCATGAAAGGGGCCTCGATCCTTTCTCCTCCAAGTTTCTTGACGTTTCAGAAGAAATCAATTCCTATCAAAGAATCGAGTAGTACTATTTGGCATAAAAAGCCTATAAATTTCTCGATAGATCCTCGTCTATGTCCAACATCCATCAGCAAGTCCTTCTAGACTATAGCAGCATCGACCTGGAAAAATGGATTTCGATCGGTTTAACGAGAGTAAGTAAATCCTCCCCCTCTAGCAAGAAACTCGCGACTAACAAAATTCAGAGCTTATGACCCTCGGAGTGATTCATCAAGTTGAGGAGAAACCAGATCAGATTTTTGTCTTTCTCCATGGCGTCACCGGTAATAGCAAGACTACCTGGGCAGTTCCTCCCGACGAAGTTCCCGACGAATATCCCAAAAAACCGACATTATGGCTTGCGAATCTTCTGCCAAACGATTTCAATGCAAATATCTATACTTGTGGGTGGGATTGGACCGTTCCAAATACCATGCATGATTTGGCTGGCAGTTTCATCAAGTGATTGAGCAGCTTGGCGGATAATGTACTGCGCCAGAAACATAAAAGTTTCCCAATTGTTTTGGTTGGGCATGATATCGGTGGCATTATCATCCAGAAGGCAATCCTTATGTTTCAAGATTTGAGTGCCGATCCCCGCTATCTCAGAATCGCGGCGAACATCGCTGGGATCATTTTTATAGACACCCCTTTTGAAGGAGCTGTGGGAAGCTTTTACAGCAACAAGCAAGGGATTGAGCCTCTTGTGAATCTGCAAGATAATGAATTGGTGGATACCAGCTACATTGGACTTCTCCAAGTCCAATCTTCGATTCGTAGGGAGATTGTTGCCGATTTCTACCAGCTCGTCATCAAGTTCCAGCAACTCAAGACGATCGGTCCATTAACCTGTTTTTGTTCGGGTAGCCCACAAGATCAATTTGATAACGCCCTTCTCTTGCTGGTGCAAGTTCCGGAAGTAAAATGGAGGATTATTGAGGTGCTTCCAAGCCGCTCAGAGTTCAATGGAAAAGGGGAGCCTGAATATAAACAATTTGTGAAGCAGGTCAGAGAGCAGATTGATTTCCGACGTTCTGCATATAGATGGATTAATTTATCGGATTGCCTCGGATGGAGCACGGGTTAGCCGAAGGTTTTAGTCAACGGCAGCAATGCAAAGTCCAGATAATGACGAACCTTAAGTTAAAAAACGATGAAGCTCTGTGCTGGGTACCCGTGAATTCACTATGTCTATCTTTGAGGATTTGATAACCATTACCTACTCAGTACTAGTACTATGGTATGTCGAGTGTTTTGCGCAAAGGTTTTTAGTAGTATGTTATTCCATCCGGATGTCCAATCTTGGAAGTTGATATCTGAACACTCTTTAAGTTTCAAGGTTGGTTTTAAATAGTATGTTTCAGACTGCAACTTGAATGATCAAAACTTTATTCAACTAGTAAAACTACAACGTTACCAGATTTCTATATAGTCGTATTTCTGTTGAGACCTGAGGGTTCAGGCTCTAGTGCTGAGTTATCCCGTCACCATACCTGTAGTAGATAGTAGCCTTCTAGTTTCCTCCATAGCACACATCCATCACCATCAACGCATTCCATCCAGTCCCTCTGTATCCAGCAATTTCCAGTTAGAGTTTCTCCCATATCCGGTGTAGCACCCGATCGATTTAGGAATTTACGAGGCTTGGGCAATCGCATGAACAGGGTTTTGCATGCGACAGCTCCTTAATACCTAGATGTCTAGACTTTGGGGTCACTACTATCTCTCTCTATTTCAACCTAACGTGCTTTCTGTTGGTTTAAAGACAGAGTAGTACCGCAGACACTACACAGGGCATCTTACTTCATCTTGCTTCTCTGAACCCAAAAACTAAAGACTAGCACGCTAGTAAAATGCCATTGTTTTGTTTCCACAACTGCTCTCGACCAATAAGTTTGATTATGACTGTGCTTCGTTTTTCCAAGAAAGAGACGGAAGATTGCCCGCTCGGAATTTTCCAAAAGTTACCAGCCGCCCATCAGAAGAACTACATCCGTAAAATCCCAAAGCGGAAACTGTCTAATACATCCACCAACCGAATAGAATTGGAATGGAAGCGACCAGCGCGCCAGTACTTGTCAATAGAGCCACATATAGCCACCGCATCCACCGAGTAGATCTTAGAAATGACTGACGATCGTTCACTCGTGGAAAAGGCTCCTTCGGCACTGGCTTACCCAAAAATGTGCACAGGGGTTCCCAGCCACTTCCCAAAGTATACTCTAACAGTTGCTCTGGAGGTGTGATTGCTTTGACATGCTGATAATGCTCCTTGTACTTCAATGTTGCTGTCTTTTCAAGGTGCTCAGTCGAAGAGCCCCCAAATAGTATTTGAAATGATAGCGTCAAGAGCTCATCTAGCGGTCCAAAGACCCAGCGGTCATACCTGAGGAATCTTTAGTAATCTGTTACTTGTCACCAAGTGCCAGGATTGCATAGTTACCGCGAGAGCCATGTAAATTTCCAGTCGCCCCTCCAGTCTTTCAGAATTTCCAAAAAACTTTCAGCCCATGATTCGACATCCCGTTGGACTAGGATGACTTTTGCATCGGGGTAAGCCGCAATAAGCTCATCAGTGAATGCAATACAAGGGTTATCGCTCACTCCGCCAAACTTAGCAAGGACTTGGTCCCATTCTCGATGACTGTATTTAAGGCTTTTTTGCTCAACCTTCGCTCGTGCCGCTTCTAAAAAAAACCACTTGTCGGTGTTATTGTCCGCTAAATTGACACCGTGGTAACAGTTGATATCCAAGACATTTAAAGCATGCTTGATAGCTAGATGTAGACGTGAAGTCAGGAATAGCGTTCACTCGAAAGGAATAAAAAGAGAGGGGAAGGCACTAGGGGCAACAGAAGAAGGAGCAGCGGACGGGGGATATGACTGACATAGAGATCCTGTACGGGGCATAGATAGGTTGAGAACTTCCATAGGAACCGTTCGCTCCGGGAAGTCTTTCGATCTTCGAGACTGGGATATGGTCAATAAGGATTTTGCTATGTGTTTTAGGATATTAAAAATCGGCTTACCATAGTTTTATTTGTTTATTTTGTTTTGGGCTTCAGAGAACCAGGATTAGAGACCAAGTCTGTATGTGACCTGATTCAAGTTAACATGAAACATAAATCTATTGAGAGTGATCTTCTGATTTATATACATACACGTGTTTTTTAATCGCCGATCACGTCCCTACGTGGGATTTTTTCTTCGTTTGAATTCCTAATAGTTCGAATGAAAGCAAATATTTCCTGCCCTATATTGTATGTGATTTTGAATTAATTTCCATTGGTCACAGTAAGACATTACGTAAAATTTACCCATAGCTTAGCTATCTTAGGAAGGGATGCGATGTGATAATGCACTAAAGGGGGGGCTCACACGAACCTCCGATCAACTATGGGTCTTTATTGTTTATCAGCTGGGTCTGGATTATTGAGTACAGTCAAAATTGGCCCTAGAAGTGTATACCTTTCCACTGTCTCCTGGACAGATACTCGTGCTCCCGTCAGTTAGAACATGTAGCCAGACGTTGAGTATGCCCCGAGATCTAGAAGATATCTTGCGTGATATTATAGCTTCTAGCCTCTGAAAGACTTAATACAGGCGTAGTCCGGTGTTACAAATGGGCTATTTATTGTTGCCGTCTCTTACAAGGGGCTAGACGCCAAGTACTCGTATCCACAGCGCTAGGCTGACGGGGACGATGGAGCGTGGAGCTATTACTCGTATGGATCACTTAATTGTCGATCACCCCCCCGTGAAGATCCTCGCCAGTGCTATTCTTCCTCGTGGGTAATAACTATTATTCCTGTGTGCCGCCTCTTGCCTTATACTATCATCCCTGCTATCCCCTTTGCCTGAGCTTGATTCATTATGTCGTCCGCACCAACCCAGGCGTCCTCTTGGCAAGAGTGGACGCTTGAAGTATTAGTACCAAGCTATATCTTGATTAGGAGGGATTCGCATACTGATACGAGTATTCAGGAAGGAAAATATCGGCGTGGAGATTTTATTCCGTTCAAGCAGCCTTAGCCCACTTGATCTCTCTTGGCGCCCCACGGCTCAGATGTGAATCGATAGAACATGAAGCTAATCACGATCGCGTTCCATATCCCTTCCTAAGGTTTCCCCCTTTCAACTATATACACACTATGCCCCCGATCGGCGGTCAAAATCCCAAAAACTCCTACGAGAGAATCAGGAGGGTCGGGCCCAGCTTGCAATAAAAGCCTACGAAAATTCAGAATTCCCATCTATTCGCGAAACTACACGCGTGTTTGGAATTCCCTATATAATTTTTTCAGCGCGTCTACATAGCACAACAGAACGCCAAGTTACGGGCGCAAATAGTCATAGATTGACTTCTGAAGAAGAGCAATCACTTCCACAATGGGTTTCATCAATGGATCAACGAATTACACACACATAAACAAATGTACATATATACACTGGCATATACCTTTCATGGTTATCAGGCTGTGTCCAGTAAACTACTAGTAACCACTGATTAGTATGACGCTCAACCCTTGGAATGCGCACATGATACCTTTCCTCGCTGTCAGCGGATTGAGTTGCAACAGCAGGTTTCGTTTTCGTTATTGTTTACATTTCAGTATTTGTGCATCTCGACATCCAAATGCTAAACTCTAAATATTTTGGTCCATGCTTCCGAGAAAATATTACCTGTCATATTGGAATCTCGCACGGGACCACTGTCAACCTCATCATTCACGCGACCTGTAATGAGGTCTATCTCCGAGATGGGCACGACTTTTGTTTTCGTTGGCGATAACGTTCCAAACTCTTGACAGGCATGGTATATTTTCCCTAGCACCAGGATTTGTGGCTTCTCGGCCCGGGTCGCCATGATAGAGTATTTGCGCAGCTCACGCCGGAATACAAGGAACGAAGTTTCTGTTTGTTTTTTTCTCGTTCGAACGCCAGGTTATGGAAGAGATCCTTTGTACGATTGTAATTTAAGACAGATGTTGTGGTTTCACATCGGAGAAAACGGTTCGAAAATCAACATATGAAATCGGGTATTCGGAATTTGTCCGCAGTCGGACATTGGGGTTTATATGCCGATACGCACTCGCCCATTACTGCTGATCCACTACACATGCAATGTGGACTTGCATCTTCTAGACTTGTTTTAATACCGAGACAGGCTAAGTCATTGGTCCACTATCTCCAGCCAACCCTAGTAATACTCCGAGAGACAAGAACTTCCGAGATGTATTTAGAAACAAGCAGTGCCTGTAACATTTCCCCATACAAAATACTATGAATTGCGATGTTGCTTAAACTAGACCGCCAATAAAATTCATGTTCTCAGCGATACATTGTATTTGCGAGTCCTTGTATTGCCCTGCCGTTGGGGATTTAGGGAGATACACTGGCAGCCCCTCAACTCCTGACGGGAGTCGCGAGTGTGTCACGTTTGATAGCTACCCTAACCTTGGGAGG